AATATAAATATTCGTAGAATTTATAAACTACTATCGGCGCTTTATACGTAACTTCGCGAAAATTATAGTATTACTTATAGAACTTATAAAAAATAAGAAAGAGTTTTATTTCGAAAAAGAATAAAAGAAAGCTTTTAAGATATTATAGGATAATATAATATTTAATATTATATTTACGACCTACGACCCCGAAAAGCTACTCGAATTAGAAATAAATATATCGGACTACGCTATAAGAATATAGATTAGCTAATAAGATAATAATAATAATTTACGATTAATCGCTTTTTTTTTAAAGAAACTCTATAGTATAGAATTAAATTATCCTATCTATAATAAAGAATTCTTAATAATTATCGCTATTATTAAAGAATTTAAGTATTTCATATTAAGAACTAAGTTTAGACTTAAGGTTTATACCGATTATTAAAATATATCTTATTTCGCTACGATATAAGAACTTAGCTCGCGATAAATACGATATATTAAATTCCTAGCGGAATACGATATTAAAATTATCTATCGGAAAAGATCGGAAAATAATAAAATAAACGCGCTTAGCCGCTAACTAAACTATAATACTAAAGTACCGAAGGCTAAGGGCTAAATACTTTAATAAAATAATAAAAGAAACTATATATAAATAATACTTAATTTTCTCTTATTTAAGGTAGAAGTAAATATTATATACTATAATAAAATACTAGATTAGGTATCTAAATATAGAAAAAAAATACTTAATAATTATATAATAGAAATAAAAAAAGGACTTACTAAGAATAAATTACTCTAAATATTAATATTATTACGCGATAAAATCTTAACTAATATTTATATATACCCTATAGTAGGATACTAAGGAGTTAGAAAGACTCTTAAATAAATATAACGAATATATAATTATTAAGGAATTAAGGTAGATATCGTATATATCGTTAGATAATACGAAGATTATATATATAATAAGGCTACCCGGTATAAATTATATAAAGAACTAAAGTTATTATTAATACCCTTAAGACTATAAGAATTAATAGCCTTCGATTATATTATAAAGTTACTTAAATTAAAAAAACTAAGATCTAATATCGAATATAATAATGTATTTATTATTATAGACCGAATAAATAAATTTAGATATTTCTTACTATACTAAGAAGTAATAAATATAGAGATACTTATATATATAGTACTTAAATATATCGTAATTAATTATAGCCTTCTAAAAGAAATTATTTTAGATCGAGGGATAATATTTACCTTAAAGTTCTAGTAAGCCTTAATAACTTAACTTAGAATAAAGTATAAGCTTAATATAGCTTACTACCTATAAACGGATAAATAAATAGAAAGATTAAACTAGATATTAAAATAATACCTACGGTATTATATTAACTATAAGTAAGATAATTAAGTCTTAAAGTTATTACTCGCCTAACTCGCTTATAATAGCGTACTTATAGAATTAACTAAGACCTTATTATTCTATATAAACTATAGATATAAGCCTGAGTTTAGTAATAAAATACTAAGGGACGGACCCCTTATTAAAAAAGTAATACTTAAAGCTAATTAATTACGCTCTTTATATAAATATATAAAGAAATAACTCGAATTTATATACTTATAAATATCGAAATACTATAATTAAAAAAGATTAAAAAAACCGATCTTTCGGAGGGGAGATATAGTTTACTTATTATATAAAAACTTTATAATAGCTTAACCCTTACTAAAGCTTAATTATAAAAAGCTTAGATTATTTAAAATCGACGGAATTATCTTAGATACTAATTATAAGCTTTTATTACCCTTAAATATAAGAATATACCTAGTTTTTTATATCTTATTATTTAAAAAAGTACTATAAAATATAAAAATAAACTATAAACTAGAAGTCCTCGAAAAACTTTATAAATTAAAATAAATTATCGATAAATAAATAATAAATAAAGAAATTAAATACTTTATTAAATAAAAAGGCTATATAAGTAATAAAAATATATAAGAACTCGCTAAATATCTTAAGGATTATCGTTACTTATTACGATAGTATTATTAAAGGGAAATATATCGGGTATTATACTTTAATCGATAATCTTAAATATACTTAACTCTTAAGTATACTTAATTACTTATTACTCCTTAAGAGTAACTTTTTCTTAAGAATATACCCTATCCTCTTTATTTAAGTTATATATACTATAAGATACTAACTCTAAGGTCTAACTTTAAAATAGTTCTTATTAGCGACGAAAATATTAAACGCGCCCTAGAGCCTCTTAAAGCTCCCTCTCGGATTTTTTTAAATTTATTTTTACTTATTTTTACTTAAATACCGCACGCGTTATTAAAATATAGGTTAATATATATATAAAAAATATATATAATACTTATAATATAACGTTACGCTAGTATTATTATAAGTCTTCTTTATTTCGATATATAATATATAACGATAGGAATTACCGCTTATATAATAAACGCGCTTAACGCGATAATAATAAGTATAAGGTATCTCGCTCTTAGAACCGTTAAGATAAATAGCTTTAATTAGGATAACGCGATATAAGTTATTAATTCTTTTATAAGAAGATAGATATTTCTATATATAATTAACTATAATAGAAAAAAGAAATTACCGAGTATAACTTACGAAAAATAATTAACGGGTTTTAGCTAATTCTAAGATAGAATCTCGGAAAGAGAAATATTATATTACGACCCGATATATAACTATATACGCCTTTTACGTGCCCCTTGCTTTTTTCCTCTTATTATATATTACCTATATATTACGTAAGGTAAATAACTATAGACGACTAGCGACTATAGTCGATTATACTATAAAGGCGCTCGTAAATAATAGTTAACTATTGTCGACTATATAATATTTACTTAGTATATAAGAAGCCTAGCTTTATTATAGTTAGTCTTTACTAGCTCCTTAATTATTAATATAATTATCTACGTAAGATTTACTATCTTATATATAGACTATAACCTAACCGCTTAAGTTAACGATATCTTAGTATACTTAGTTTATAAACTGACCTTAGACTTACTTACCCTATAGCTAGTCTAACCCGAATGTTATATATAGCCTTTTATAACCTTTTAAAGGCTAGCACTACTATACTCGCTATTATAAATTAAACTTTCTATAACCTTTTACTAGGTTCAGTTTAACCCACTCTTTTATAAGGTATTATAGTACTCTCACGCTTATAAATATAGGCCTTTATTCACTACTAAATAGTTCTTAATTAAGTTACTTATTTACTAAGTTCTTTACGTATTACTTTACCTACCCTAAAGGGTTCCCGGATTATTGCGATTTACTTACCTTACGCCTAGAAGAGTACTACTCTTTAATAAATATATTACGAGCGCCTTTACTCTAAGAGTTATTACTACTTAAAAATCAAAGTATAAGACCCGCTAGATATATATACTTAGTACTTAATACCTTATAAATAGTAATATATTTATATAAAATAACCTTATTATATTATATACTTATATAAATATTAATTATAATATTTATATTATATATAATAAATTATTATTTAATATATTTATAATATATTTAATAAGAATAAAATAACTTATATATATATATCCTTTTAATTTAATTATTTTCCTTAATTATTTAAATAATTATCTTTTCTGGCTTAAATAAAGATTTTTTATTATAATTTAAATAAAGATTATTTGTTAAGGGTAAAGGGTATTAAATTTAAAGAATTATACTTTAAAAATAAAGGTTATAATATCTAAAATATAATCCTAAGGCGTAAAAGATAAGAACTAGACGGGATCCCGTATTTTCTACTAGGTATAGTCGTATATAATAAAGTAGGTTATTGTTTAATCTCATGATTCTGTTTCTCCTTCCTCAGCCGCGTGTTGTAATCGTGTTGTAAGGAACACCTATCTCTTGAGCTTTGTGCCGGCCTGGGCTGGGGGCTTCACCTAAGCCCAGTGACATCCATCAAGCCTGCCTTGCAAATTGCAACCTAAGGTAATACGTAGCTGAGGTGAGGTGAGGTGAGGTATGCGTTTTCTGGATCGCGCATGAGAGTGTTTGGCATCCCTTGCTCACCGCCCCCCCCCCCCCCCCACTGCCATTGACAATAACGTGGGCGCTCTGCAGGTCATCCTTTGGAATTTGGAACCATTGGATTTCGGAACGCAGGAGACAAGCAGATCTCCACGGATTTCAGATCAGATCGTCCTCTCAACAAGTGCCCAGCTGTGGATTGAGTTTGCCAAGCAGCGTGGGAGGAGATGCAGCTAGTCATGATGAAAGCCAATGTCGGCGCCAGGCTATCCGGGAGAGTAGCGTGGGGACCATCCCTGCTCGGTGATGCTTCGCGTATTTTACCAGCGCGCCAAGGAGATGATTGAGATTCGTCATGTTGGCAGTTGCGTGACTTGCGACCGAGGGAGGCGGACAATGGTATCTCAACTAGATTGTTGACAATCGCCAGCGGTAAAGGACCATTTAGAAATATATACTATCTAGACTAGATGGCTGGATCGGGCTCGCATGCCGCTACGTATGCACTCGGAGCTCAGCTCTCGACGTGGCATGTCGTCCAGATTGGCGATCCGCCTCCTCCCACCCACTTCCGCGGAAGCCAAGACATGGCTGGCAAGCTATCGTGAGACGTGCATGGTCATCATGACGGCGACCCACGAAAATGTCCAGATGTCCGGAGCTTATCATCTCAGATCTCGCCAATGCCGCAACGTCGTTTCACATCATCACCGCACACCTCTCTCGTCCGCTTCTCTCTCCCCCCGCGCACACATCTCGTACTCGCAGGTCGAGTAACAAACGGAACCAAGTGCTAACAGGCCATTATTATCGTCGCATGAGAATCACGTCACGTCATCGCGAAATGGTCCATTCGTCGTCCTAACGCCCTCCACCGCAAGTGTGCGATCGGCAGGCCAGCCAGTCGCCCTGTGCTACGCACGCACGCACGCACATACGGACTGCACAGCTCGCCCTTTGTTGCAGGTGCACGTCGCACACGGAAAAGTCTCACATTTGTTGTGTGTGCTGGATTGTCGTGAGATCACACACCTCCACGGCAAGGTGCATGCATGGTCGCCGCGCCTCCCCATCCTTGTCATCCAAATTGAGCTGTCGATGCTTGGGCCAGCTGCCCTCACCATATTCGCGCGGGTTCATGTAGGCAGCAACTCTTCTGCTTCACCACCCAAGATATGATGGGTGGTTCCTGGGCGCCGCCTCGGACGAGCAGCTTGAGTGCCCTCATCGCTGCCGACGCCAGGCCAGCAACAGGACCGATGCAGAGGTGGGACGGTGCTGCCAGGACTTGCTGCGAATGGGACGGACTGCACAAGGTACGTCGACACGCTCTCTCAATTCTCGCTCAGCTGCTGCGATGCTGACACGCAAGTGAAGGACCCGGAGTTGTGGCTTCGTGGAGGTGACTGCCTGGTCTATCTGTACGGTCGAGGACAGTCACAAAGAGGGCCGTCCTTCCAAGTCTGCTTCAAGGAGCTCGTTCGTCAAAAGTGCATACCACTCATTGATCGATTCACCATCAGCGACGGCACACCTTTACCTAGAAATGCTCGACAGCTCGAGAGATGGGCGGCTACCGCATCACGGCCGATCAAGCTCTACATACCGCCGCCCGACAACGCCACGACAGAGCAGGCCTTCGCCTACCACATCGCAACGAGGAACTTTATGGCATGGGTGTTTCGGCGGTCCCTTGTGGGCGAGCATTTAGGCTCCGCCATTGTCGCGCTCATGTACAGCATGCACGAGTTCCGGTCCGATGACGTGGAGGATCACGCTGCCGACGTGCACGGCTATCTCGACGAAGAGGGCTATCTCGACCTCGTCAACCAGCCCAACCATGCGCTGGGGCTGCTCTACTACGCGGAGACATTTCGCATCCGGGACATGTACATTCGAGCCCTGGCTCACTGCGTGGGCATGAGTGACCGGCTGCACGCGTGTCCAGGATACCCCGTATGTGAAGCCTCTTTTTCTCAGGTCAGGGACATGATCGTCGCTAACACGGAGACCAGGCCCTATCACTAGCCACAAAAAACACGATTCGACAAAGTAGAGTGAGCCTGGACGACCGCCAGTCAGCCGCCACAGACATGCTCAGCGATCTGCTGGACGAGGAGCTCTCCGAGGCCCAGCTGGGGATCCCAGCCGCCATGCGAGCCCATCTGGACCGATTCCGCAGCTACCTCATGTCCATGTACACCAACCGTCTCGGGTACTATCCCCCTCGGGCCTTTGACCCGCGTCTCTGCCGCACCATGCGGGACGAGTTCGAGTCGTTGTACCACCTCTTGGTAGACTACGCCCATCCTGCCGCCGGCGGCCTGCCCTCGGTGGCGAGCGGCGGCCTCTGCACCCTGCAGCTCGTCAACACCTTTGACGCGAGCCACCGCTACGCGCCCCTCGACCATCCACTACCCCTCCTGCCGGACGTTGCGACCAGTGGCGTGTTCACGTTCGCACCCTGGAGGGCGCGCGCGGACAGGATGCGTTCAGACAAGAAGCTGCTCGCCCACGCCGCGCTCTTGAAAGCTTCCCACGGTGGCGAGGCGGCGCCCAGCAACGAGCTTGTGCGCGCGTACCGTACCTTTGAGGAGCAATCGATCTTCTTGCCCAACAAGGCGGACAAGCTGGACAAGGTGTCCCTTGTGGACGGTCGGAAGGTTCGGTGGATCCTGGTGTATGCCGTGTACCAGGTCCTGCGTAGTATCACCAATGTCCCGCCGGAGGTGTACGACGCGGCCGAGGCGCCGTACCACGTCGCGATTGGCACCGATACGGACGATCTCGTGCCATGGGCGGGGACGGAGGCGTCTGTCCTGCTGGGAGGATTGTCCGAACAGAACGAGCAGCGTGCTGCGACGGACAACACGCAGCCCGTACGGTGGGCGGACTCGGCTGGCGTTACACTGGTCGATGATGCCGACAGGATCGAGATCAAGCCCGATATTGACTATCTCGCACTCAACCATCGCGAGTCGCAGGCTTTGCGCGAGAGGAACCTTGTGGGCCAGTCAATGAGCACGGGGACATTGGCGCGGGCGAGCTCTGTCAAGACCCGGCTCAGCAGGAACTCGACTGTGCGGCGTTCGCTACGGATGTTCAGACCTTCGTCCACAGGTCCGTTTGTCGATGGCCCATCATCGCCGTCGTCAACGTCGTCGCCCAAGCCCACGTATCACGAGATCATGGTGCAAGGCTACGGCAACGGTCTAAACAGCGTCAGCAGCCCCTGCACCGCCTCGCCCTCGTTCCACAGCGACGCATGGCATCGCAACAACTCGACAGCATCAAAGTCATCCGCCAGCGATTCAGTCCCAGGAAGCACGAACAGCGGCGACACTGTCGAGTCGTCCCTCGTCACGCCGACGTCGGAAGCCGGACAGTTTGACCTTGCCCTCGATGGGGCACAGCCCAGGCCTGATCCACGAGGACGCCAGGCCGTGTCGATGATCGTTGACCCGTCAGACATGAAAGCATTCGCCAGTGGCCTGCGACGCACGGGCAGTTTTCTGTGGCCAGCGAGGCGAGGTCTGGATGCGAAGCCGCCCGTGCAATTGGAGACTAGACGGATCTCGCAGCCCCCGATCACCGTGCGGGATGACTGGGCTGCCATGCAAGCTTTCATGGACGGCGTGGACACGCGGCAAGATGACGCGTGGGAGCAGTACGCCTCGATTGGCGGATTGACGGAGATGTGACGGTCTTTTGGGTGTGTGTGTGTGTGTGTGTGGAAAACGATACAACACGTCCCGACGGACTCCTTTCCTATCTTTTCTTGTTTGTGTTTTGGTTGTTACGAACGATACCCTCTCTGGACTCTAGTATGTTGCATTTTGACTGCGGAGGCGGTAATTACTATGAGCAGCCCAGGGTGCTTGCTCGCTTTTTGCTTTGAAAGACACACTGTGTGTTTGGAATCTCTTGAAAAGCTGGTGCATACAAAGAAAGCGCTTACAAATAACGGTGTTTGAGTATACATGTCTTGAGCACCGCGCTACTCAGCGGCTCGGAATGAATAAATCGTCTACTGTACCTGTGCCATGATACTTTCAAGTGTGCTCCTTCAACCCCTTTTCAAGATATAGAAAAGCCTTGGTCTTTTTCTCATAAGCTCGTATACATCGACGTGCGATTACGCGCTCTTCCTGTGCTCAGACGCCATCGCCAACCCGTCGAGGATGTTTCCGCCAAAGTCAAAGATCATATAGCCTGAGCCCACCAGCCAGGCGCCACTAGACGGGTCAGAAAACCAATGACTACCAAATACAGACCAGGGAGGGTCAGAACTCACTTGGGGATGATCCAGAGGAAGAGCAGGTCCATGGGCGCATTGTGTCCAATGCCAGCGAAACCGCTGTAGTACTCATTCGCCCCTAGTTGTCTCGTCAGTAAATCACTCAAATCAGATCAGGCAAAGAGGGCCACGCACAGTACAGGACCGTCTTGCTCAGGGTCATGACAGCCGCGCTGAGGCCCACCAAGGCCGCCTTGCCACCCCTCCGCCCGTCGAGCGTCCAGGATCCGCGCTCGTAGCACATCCACAGGTAGGCTAGGTACATGGCGATCTCGACGGCATTGAGGAGACCCTGGGCGCTGGTGAAGCCGAGATTGTCGTGCACCGCCTTCCAGCCGTACACGTAGTCGATCTCAGCGTAGAGGGCGTAGGGGACGTAGAGAGGCCAGTGGAGGAAGCCGCCGGCCATGGTGTGGGGTCTGCCGAGGACGTAGACGGTGTCCCAGACGACGAGGGGGATGGAGATGGCGAGCCAGAGGAGCGTCAGGCGCGAGGGCGCGTGCGACCACGAGCCTTGCGTGGGGTTGCTGCTGCTGCTGCTGCTGCTGCTGCTGGGCTTGCCGGAGGAGGAGAGAGGGCGCTCATCGGCGCGTGACGAGGCGCGCGTGGAGACCATGATGGCTATGTTTCTTTGCTGCGTGGAAAGATTCAATGTTGTGAGTAGGGGAGTGAGGGGGAGGAGAAGAAGACGAAGTGGTGATGTTCACACGCGCTTGCAGGGGGATCAGATCACTCTCGGCTGTAATCGCACTGGAGCGGCCGCCCCCCCCATTTTGCTACCTGCCTACCCTACTGGTCGGCGGCAACGCAGCGCGTGATGCACCATGCATACGGAGTACATGTACGCAATTACGCACAGACTAGTAGGCTACAGCGTAGTCTGCGGCGTAATCAATGCCGACAGAGAGGACCTGTTAATTGGGGATTTGCAGCACAAGGGCTTGTAGAGCCAATGATGGTGGTGAATGGGCTCGGACAGTCAGACTCCCGCAGCTAATTAGCGTCCTAGCAACGGAATGTCCGACTGGCGTGGGTTGGGGGACCAACTACGTACAAGGAAGACTGACAATTGTGAGAGGTGAGCACACTGATCACGTTGGGTACGATTCTGTGACAATTACTGTAGTGTGATGCGCTGCTGGCTAGGATGTATCATGACAAATCGTCTTGGATTCATACGCACCTGGAGAATACATGTACATGTGGTGTGCGTCCCGGGTAGGCCGATGCATACCGGTGACATTTGGGCAACAAACGGCATGAACTCACCCTCAATACACGTGCAGGCAGCCCTGTTTATAGGCACCTTTCAAGAGACACGCTTAGACCCATGTTTGTAACCGTACAGTCCTACGCTGTCTGCTTGTCCTTAGCAGGTGGCGCAAAACTCTCGCCTCCGTTCGCGAGATACGCCTCCTCCTCCTTGCTGGACACCCTGCCCAGCGGTGCATTGCGGTGAGGATACCGCCCAAAGTCCCTGAGAATATCCATGTGCTTCTCCTCTATTGACAGCTGCATCTTGGCCAGGTCCGCCACCGCCTTCTTGCCGTCGACCACCCTGGCCGCCCTGTCTTTGGCCTCATCAGCATCCGCGTCCTGCTGGCCCGTCGTCGTCGGGTTGACCAAAGCCTCCATGTCCGTGACCAAGTCCTCGCACATCTTCATCGCACGGCTGTGCGTGGGCAGATCTTCTGAGTGAACGAGAGGCAGGCAGAACCACATCCGGCGACAGATGACCCAGCGGATGGACGGGTCCTCGAGAACACCGGCGGCCAGGGCCATCTCAGCAACGTCCCGCGCTAGAGGATCGTAGTAGCGAAAGACAATGTCTGAGGACATGCCGCGGTAGCAGTTGCGCGGCAGCTGGTCGAGCAGCAGTAGGAGACTCAGGTAGTCCAACGGCGTCTTGACCTGGCCGGCCTCGACAATGGCCTTGCCAGAGGACACATTGGCCGCTTTGATGGCCTCCAGAACCGGCACGAATTTCTCACTGATGGGTTTTGAATTGCGTTCAGCCACCGTGGTCACACTTGATTGGGTCTTCCTCTGGCGAGCGTCACTCACATGCATCGGTTGTCAAAATCCTCGCCGCCCATGAACCAGGCTTGGATGTCTTCCTGGGCGGGGCAGATCAAGCTGTCCTCGTCGCCGACGTGGCTGAACCAGAAATCACGAATGCCCTCGAGGAGCTCAGGCGTGAGGATGGCCTTGAGATCCGCCATTGTCGACGCTGTCGTGGACGAGGCGCGGTGCTGCTGGACAGTGGGCAGAAACCTGGGGAGACGCGGACGTGACAAGGCCAATTGAGATGTCAAAAGTGTCAACTGGGCAGAATCGACGCGCTGCAGTCGTGCTGAAACTTGCGCTGAGTGATATCGATGATGTCTGCCAAATATTTGTTAGCGACGCATGTCTCGACGCGACCGACCTGATGCAGCGACGCCCGCACTCACTTTGGAACAACCAGCCTGGGACGCGTCACACGCTGAATGGATGGGCAGCGCATCTGGAATGTATAAAACGAAGAAGAAAAGAAAGGCGAATGGATGTGGTCAATTGATGAAGTGACGAGTCGTGAACAGCGCAAGACGTTTATCAGCGATTCATTCTGCGGGACGGCACTCGCTGTTAGCACAAAGTCCGCGCGCGCGAACCCCGACTCGAAAACCAATATCCATTCCCACGCATGTCTCAAGCATCAAAATAACAGATGTTACTGCATTCATAAACGAGCGTCGTTATTCAGTGCACTATGTACGCGAGCGCCCAGACAGCGGCGTCCCTGGTCAAGTATATACAAGAAACCCATCCAACCTTCTCCTCCTCATTTTCCTTAGGATGACTGCGCACCACCGACGTAGAAGACGAGCACGTCGTGGTTGCCCGAGGTGACGAGGCCCGCCGCGTCCGGGGCGCCGTCCGGGTTGACGTCGTCGTACGGAAAGGCGTAGCCCTTGCCGTCGACCTCGTTCTCGTGGACGATGCGGCTGTAGTGACTCGCCGGATCCACGGTGTAGTACTGGTCCGCCCCGACACCGGGCTGGTGATCGCCGCCGGGGATGGTGTAGGTCGCGCGCTGAAAGGCGGCGCAGAGACGCGGCACGACGGCGTAGTGTACCGCGTTGTCGCCCTCCTGGATGCCAAACGGTCCGCTGTTGCAGCCCCAGATGTCGTGCACCGTCGGTTTCGCGTAGCCGCGGTTGTCGCCCTCGCACTGGAGCTCCTCGCCTTGGACCTGGCATACGACGTTGCCCGCGTTGCCGAGCGCGTCGTTTTGGGTGTCGACCGTCAGGGGCTGGGCGCGGTACAGGTCCCAGACCTCGTCAACATAGGCGTCAAAGTAGTCGTCAAAGCCCCCGGGCCCGACCGTCTCGTAATCCTCGGGCGACAGCACACGGAGCGGGTTGCCAGCCTCGTCGGCGATGCACATGGCGGCCCACGGGCGGCCGTCCCTGTCGCCCTGGGCCTTGAGCGCCTCGCAGACGCGGCGCACGCCGTCGCCAGGGAGTCCGACCACCTCGTCGATGCTGCCGTCCGTGTTGCGCAGGGTCATGGACATGATGATGCCGATAAAGTCGACGTAGGAGATGTTGGCCCAAATCTCCCCCGTGGTCGTCAGCGTCAGCTCGACAAAGCCCCAGTTCAGGTTGCGCGACGGGTCCTGGAGGTTGTTGACGGACGGCTGGACGAGACCCTCGTTCCCACCACCGATGCCGACAATGGAGAACTCGAGAGCCCCCTGGGAGAAGTAGATGCGACCGGAGGAGAAGGCGACGGGTACGGTAATGTCGAGAGACTGGCCCAGCGGTGGCATGGTGATGGCGACCGGTTCGTTGATCGGGACAGGCACGGAAGAGCCGCCCGCGCTCGGATAGTAGAGGCTGCCATCCTCCTTGAGGAAGAACACGCGGCCATCAGAGTCGGCGGCGGACAGGTAGCAGACGAGACCGTCGCCACCAATGTTGTTGACCAGCGAGAGGTGGAGGCTCTGGGAAATGGGCACCTGCTGAGCCTGGATGGAGAAGGCGTGATCCGTGGGCTCGGTGCTGTTCAGCGTGTTGTTCCGGGTCACGACAACCTTGTCAGGCAACGACATGTCGATCCGGGTGTAGTCGTTCTTGGGCACGTCGCTGCGGCGCAGACTGCCCATGTGTGTGTAGGGGGCGGCCAAGGCCGAGCCCAGGAGGCCGGCGAGGAAGACGAGGGAGCGCATGTTGCTGTTGATGGTGCTGGTGCTGAGGGAGTGACTTTGACCGAAGTTTTTCAGAAAGGAATGTGTATGGGGACTGGCGTTGTGCCTCGTCTGCTCTGTCTGCTCGAGTTGAGTGAGGATGATGAGGCTGATCAACAGCTTGCAAAGGCTCTCATATATACTTGCCAGCCCGACGACATAGATACATCCAAGCTCGAAAGGGCATGTTCTCAGCTACATCGCAAGGGACAGGGCTTGAGTAAGCATTCTTGGGTGTACTGCGTAGTGAGAGGCCAAAGCAACATGAAACCTCGTCCGGGGTGTGTCGTTTGCGTGTCCTGATCTGACCCGAGCCACACTATGCTACCCAAGATATGTACGAATTCGGCCCATCTCTGTTCCCAGAGTGCATGCAACGATGCTCCATCGGGGAATTTGGGAGGGAAGCCGTCAGGAGGTGGTGCCTGAATGGTAGCCACACAGACTAGCTGTCAGGCGGCGAAACCCCAAACTTGGCGTTTCTGTATAGGTTTTACTGTCGATAGCTACGACAGTATCCGCTGGCCTGGCAGTATGCAGGCGCTGGCACCCATGTTCCCCTTCGGCCAGTTTTCGGGATGAGGGAACGAACTTGGATAGAAAACAGCCCGTGTGTGGACATATCGGGCCCAGTGACCTGAAGCTGCCGCGGCTGTAGGATCAGAACCACAGGAACAACTAGCCTTGTTGGAAGGCTTGCCTTGACTGTAGTGGGTGTAGAAGCTGCCATGGACCTATGGGCATCCTTCGACCGATCCAAAACAGCCGGTGCTGCCCCCGAAGGATCAACAGAATGCCGCCGGCTGCAGGTCATCCTTTCGCCTGTTACGAAGATCCCGAGTCAGAGTATGGCGGAGCTCCCAAGAAGACATCCTACGCGCCGAGTCCTGAGTACAGTACTGACAGAACCAAACCCCAGTAAGCATGCCAGACAGAAGTCGGCCGCCAGCTGGGTCATCCATCGCATACTGTAAAGTCAGCGACGCTTGTTTCGCCTTGCGAGCGATCACCACGCGCGTCTATGCAATGCGACTGAGCTACAGTCTCCTTGACGTTTCGAAACGACTTGTTTGCGCCAGCAATGTTCGAGAAGCAACCTGCCGCCAAGGCCATACATTGTCGATCCCAATCTCATCTCGGAGCGCAATGCGACTCCTTTGGGGTCGACGCTTACAGACGCTCGTCCCAATGCGGGGGATGACAGGGATCCTATAAGTCAGGCCGACTTCCACGATGGGACCGAGTGATATGCATGGATGGCGTGCAGCATTGCGGGATAGGAAGGTCATTTGGCTGGGGGGGCTTCGATAGAGATCGAGCGGTGCTTGACTGCTTGTAACGTTGTGCCATTTGAACGACGGCGTGTGTAGATACTAGAGAGAGTCCTAATGTAGACGTATGCCCGCGGCTGTCTGACTCGGACCCTATGGAGCAGGGCGCGCTTCATGTTTGATGGCCATTGTTTCGAGGCGCTTGGTCCGTCAATGCATCGATCGTCAGGGCTCGTCCGTGGACCGTCGCTCGTCTGTTCGCAGATCACAAAGGCGCGCCAATACTGACAAGCTGACTAGCAGCGTCTCAGAGAATGACCCCGATTCCACATTCTCGGATATCGGCCAATGTCTGTCTCCGTCCTTGTGTCAATAGTATATTAGGGGAGGGTTGTCCCAACCTTGTCAGCAGCAGCCATCCTCGAGACCGGCAAGGCAGAGTCCGCGAGAATTCGATCGACTGGAGTACGTTACATTGCCTAGTCTTGTCTTGTCCAGACGAACCTGTATGTATGGGGTACGATGCGACCCTACACGCTTAATTACAGTCGTCCGACATGACGCCGACGAACCAGGCTTGGTGATGCCATGGTCCTCCTCGTCGGGGTTAATACTCGCCAGAGAGAACAGAGTCTGTCATGGGCTGCCTCAGCTCAGACCAACCTGCCATGGCCGGAGAATGGATGAGAACTGTTGACCTTCAATAAAGGCAGGTTGTTGACCTGGGAAATATTTTCTCCGTTCATCTGGGGGGCTGGTATGGACGTGCGACGCGCAGAGTTTCCAACTTTGGCGTTGAAGGTCCAACCGCCAACCTGCGACGCTCCCTGCATCATCCCCGTCGCAGGCGGCAGCCCCCCGACGGGACGAAAGAATCCACGGGTCAAATAGTAATAATAATATCACCACGACGATTCTCTCCTCCCCAGATTCTTTCCCCATTCTCTAATCAATTCCCAATTCACTCTTTACTTTGCACTGCTGTGCAGCGCAGCGCTTTCGCTTCTTCCTACTCGCCGGCGAGACCCCTTTTCTCTTAATTTCGACTCTTTCCACCGCCTCAAGCTGGTCTTGCCCAGGATCACCAATTGTCCTTTTTCCATCCGACCAAAGACAAGAGACAGACCGCCGCCAAGCCAGCCAGAAAGAAACCAAAATGGGCAACAATCTCTCCTCCCAGTTCGAGCCCGATCTCTCGGGCGTCGTGTACGCGCCCTGGGACCGCACCGCGGTCATCATCCTCGGCGCGACATGGGGCATCGTGTTCTACGCCATCGCCATGCTCTGGTCGACGTGCGCGCTCATCGATCGCTGGAAGGGCCCCAACGACAAGATCCGGACGGGGAAGAGTTCCGTCGTCGCGGCCCTCCTGCTGTCGACAATGTGGCCAGTCGTGGTGGCGTACATGATGCTGGCGACATAGCTTATTAGGGCGGTGCAGGAGGGGGGGTGGGAGAAGAAAGAGCCTTGAAGGGGAACCACGGACGGCACGGCCTAGGGAGGAGATCCTCTATGCGTTAGGCAAAGGGCATCCATCAACCGACCAGAGTGTTGCGGCGGCTTCGATCAGGGCGCGCGTCTTTCCTGCCCACGATGGACTCCAACGCCTGCTGCAGGGCTTTGGCGTCGTACCGACCACCACGGCCAGCCTCATCTCTGGGCCCATAGAGCCTTGTCGCATCAATACATAATTGACTCAACTGTTGCTTGTCCACCTTGGGCGCCGTCGGTCCCTCGATGTAGATGACGTGCGTGACATATTGATGGTACTCCTCCCGCGACGGCCGCGGCAGACCACGTGAATCGGCACACGCATTGGCAATCGTCGCGATAAAGTCAAGCCCCGTAAAAGGCGCGCTCGAGGGTCCTGTCTCGCGGTCCGTGGTGCCGTTCAGTATGAGGACCTTGTTCCCAATGTGCGGGCTCGCTATCGCCTCGCCTACACCCTTGAGAACGAGGTTGGGCGTGAGTGATGTGAAGAGGGAGCCGATGCTGTAGATAACGGTACTCGACTCCCGCAGCGCTTCCAGGACGCGCGGGTTGGCGGGGATACGGATCTCCTGACCGTAGGGGTTGATGTACCATATGCGATCGATCCGTGAGGACAGGTCTTCCTCGTCGTCCTTGGAGAAGGCCATCGCCGGGCGTCTCAGCGCCGGCAGCGAGCCGGGGAGGTTTGCGTCCTCCACCTTGTCGTGCTCCTCCGTCTCGTCGTGTGCCGGTGGCAAGGGTGTCTGTGCACCCGTGCTGATGCCTGTGCCGGGGACGGCTCGCGTGGGCTCGCTCGGGTGGGAAATGTCGTTTTGGCCAGTGATCACGGTCCCATCTACCAGACCGGCCGCAATGTGGTGAGCAAAGTTGGTGTTGATCGCGGGAAGCACCGATATGCAATCTGGCACGCTGCATATCGAGCTCAACAGGTAGATAGAGGCCTCGAAGCTGCCGGTGAAGAGCCTCGCGCCCGTCAGGAAGAGGTTGCCGATGCTCGCGCCGGAAAAGTCAAAGCGGCTGCTTGGGCGCATGCGCTTGACGACTTCGAGGTTGAAACTGTTGAGGTACGAGCGTATGAGCTCTCTCTTGGGCGATGAGATGTCGTCCCACAAGGGATGGGTGGCCTCGAGTATCTCAAACCACTCCGCCCTCGCGTCGGCGGCCACTTTTGGCAGGCGATGATTGAAGAAGTGCTTGATGGCGATGGTGTCCTGTCTTCCATCCTTGGGGATCAGCCGCACCAGGCGTGACCTCACGTCTCCAATGCCTTGACTAGGTCAGTCTCTGATTTGAGTTTGGATGAGGCGTACGTGCCTGGCCCGCCAAAGACGCGGATGATCTCGCTCGTGCTGCCGCCATTGTCCGATATGGGGATCACATAGCTCAGTGTGCACTTGTTGGCCTCCCTGACGTGCTCAAATACGTCGACGAGGTTGTTGGCGGCGCTGCCACCGGAGAAGATCACGATGCCAGTCTTGGCCTGCGGGTTCGGACTGAGTGGCCGTCTGGGCGAGGCGGCTGGACGTGGTGAGGGAACCCCTTCGGCCGCTGCGGTCGAAGGGATCTGCAGCTCGCTCTGCGAAGCTCGAACCGATATTGACATTGCGACGTGCGAGCACGTCAGCGCGCCAACCTAGAGTCATGTGTGGAAAGCTTCAAAGTGAGCGGCCGCATTTGTGTGGGTGCCGCGGACTGCCTACCCTGCATAGACGTAATGGTTGCTGCTGAGTCATTCCAGAGTGTCAAAGTGCAAAGTGAAGGCAGGCACGATCCATGCGCCCCCATTGATGCATATGCCATTGTGCATGCCTCGAGCCTCATGATGCTTCCAAAGCGACCTCCTCCACGGCACCGCAGCTTACCAGCGACACCATAAGCCCGACACGGTATGCCATCGCCAACGAGGCACGACAGCGAACTCTGCCGCGATGCAGTCTCGATTCTCAAACATTTCTGGCTGGCCGTCTCTCAAGGGTCGTGAGGACCCACGTTTACGTCAATGGACGATCACGGTTACCCCCCTGGGCGGCTAGGCCCCTCCATCCGCCTGCCATGCCCACCATCATGAACGTCGATGGAGTCATGGACTGATTACACAATCCTCGGCCTCCACGGACACTGCCTTTTGCATAATCCACCTCTCTGCAGGTGCCGAGTGAACTATATAATTATAGGTATATAGCATTGCTCCATCTGCCCGTGCCCAACACTCATCTCACACACAACCAGCTTCTTCTCACTCTCAACCGTCCGCAACTCCGTCCGCGACAAGACCGAAACTCCAGAACCCCCATTTCATCATGTCGATTCCTCAAACTACCAAGCAGTGGACCGTGACCGGCACGAGTGGCTTCGATGACTTGAAGTTCCACGAAGCGCCCATCCCCGCGCTCGGTGACAGCCAGGTCCTCGTCAAGCGTGAGTTGCACGGCCAGGGGGGCCACGCGGTACAGGAACACATTCACTGACCGACTCTCGCAGTTCACGCCGCTTCTCTCAACGTGAGATGATTTGAGCCCGCATCCTGTCCATTTCACTGACCGTGGCTGACCTCTGTGCGCAGTACCGTGATCTCATCATCCCCCAGGGCAAGTATCCCTTCCACACCAGGGAGAACGTCGTCCCCGGGTCCGATGGCGCCGGCGAGGTCATTGCCGTCGGCAAGCACGTGGACCGCTTCCAGGTCGGCGACAAGGTCGTCACCGTCTTCAGCCAGGGCCACATTGGCGGCGAGCTGGACGCGCAGGGCGCCCGCACCGGTCTCGGCGGCGCCCTCGACGGCACCCTCCGCACCGTCGGCGCCTTTGATCAGCAGGGCCTTGTCCACATGCCCAAGGGCCTCACCTACCTCGAGGCCGCCTCGCTCCCCTGCGCCGCCGTCACCGCGTGGAACGCCCTCTACGGCCTCCAAGGCCGCGCCCTCAAGCCCGGCCAGTGGGTCCTCACTCAGGGCACGGGCGGCGTGAGCATCTTTGCCCTGCAGTTTGCAAAGGCCGCTGGCGCGCGCGTCGTCGCCACCACCAGCTCGTCCGAAAAGGCCAAGCTGCTCGAGAAGCTCGGCGCCGACCACATTATCAACTACAAGGAGACCCCCGAATGGGGCGCCGAGGCCCGCAAGCTCACCGGCGGCGCGGGCGTCGACCACGTCATCGAGGTGGCCGGTCCCACATCGATGAAGCAGAGCCTGAACAGCGTCAAGATTGAGGGCGTCATCACCATCATCGGCTTCGTCGGCGGCGTCAAGGGCGAGAAGGAGCCCGGCTTCCTCGACTGCCTGAACCACCTGTGCACCACCCGTGGTCTGCTCGTCGGCAGCCGGCTGCAGATGGAGGACATGAACAGGGCTATTGAGGCCAACGTGGACAAGCTGCGGCCCGTTGTCGACGGCAAGGTCTTCAAGCTCGAACAGCTCAAGGAGGCGTACGAGTACCAGTGGGCCGGCAAGCATCAGGGCAAGGTCTGCATCCAGATCTCGTAGGTTGGGCTGTGGCGCTATCAAAAGGACTGTAACGAATAAAAGATCACACATACTAAAATGAATCTGGTACTTCACATTGTCAGATTGATGCAACGCAAGTCATACGGAAAACCACTATATACTACCCTCGACCATGTGTAGGAGAGAGCCCCTGAACTCTGTCCCCCCCTTTTTCCCTCACGCGGTAATGGCAATGTCCGCGCAGTTCAGATAGATCTGCGGCGTCTGGAAGGCATTCCACTTGAAAGAGAGGAGCGTGTGCTCGGCAACAAAGTCGTCGGGCAGGCGGACGCGGTCCGTGACAGTGTAGCCGCCAGCGATGGACGTGTAGCACGAGTTGATGGGGGCGCCGTCGACGGCGATGCAGCCGCCCTCGCCAAACTTCTCACACGTGAACCAGTCGTTGCGGTAGCAGGGGTCGCCCTCGGCGCAGTCCGGGCTGTAGCCGCACGCCTGCCCGTCGACGTCGGTGCAGGGCAGGACGCCTTGCTCGAAGCAGTCCTCGGCCGCCTGCTTCTCCGCCTCGGTGGGCAGGTAGTCCGGGTCGAGGAACTTGTCGACAATGGCCTGGTCCTGGCAGAGGCGGTACGTGTACATGCCGCCGTGGTCGCCGTTGTTGTCGATGCACCACTGCACCTCAATGGTCTCGCCGGCCTTGTAGGTCTGCACTGGGGAGGCGCCCCAGTTAGGACCGGGCTGGTTGTAGTCGACGCTCACGCGGGCGTTGTAGCCGCACACGCCCATGCGGCTGACGGTGGCCTCGTCGAGGTTGGGCCACGCGGGGACGGGCTCGAGGATGGTGCACTCGGGGCATGTGTCGGGGCCAGCCTGTGTATTTGTTAGTCTGATTTTGGTCAGAGTGGAAAGACAATTACCTCAGCGTTGAGTCCCACGCGACTCATGGGCTCAATGAGGTATCCATGGCCATGGACACCAGCAGCCAGAGCTGAAACAGCGAGAACAGTGGTAAGCATTGTGAGTTTGGGATGGAGAAGTAGAGTAAGCGGCTGTTTCTGTGGCGCTATGGTCTCAAGGAAGTTGTCTTGCTCTTTGAAATATTGTAGTGACTCCGGCATCCTTTTACACCTTTGAGAGCATCGACACTGCCTACGTCTTGCCACGAATCTGCACCCCGGAACGGCATCCACTGCACCCAAACTTGGTCACTGCCGCCCGGCTGATGGATACTCGTGCATCTTTGCTACATGGAGAAAGGGCTGTTTCGTCATGGCGGACGCAAGCTTGTTAAAGCCGTGCCAGGCGTTATTGACCTCGAGTCGGCACTGTGGATATCACATGGCTCGGCGCGGTCCGTCACGCCTAATCTGGCAGCTGAGCATCCTTCATCCCCGTCGTACGTCAGCTCTAGACGAGGATCCAAGAGCACAATCCAGGCCGGACGGGCCTTGCTCGGCGTGACTTGAGGGCTGGAGGGGAGTAGAGGCTGCAGAGCGCGCCATCTGGCTCCGCATCAAGTACGAGGCCAGATCACCAACCCAGGATTGACTTCGGAGATGCCAGGTCTGTAGTTTTTGAGATGCGGCGCATGGTGAATCTGCGGGGATGCGACAGTGTAGATCTCATGTGGCGGGGCCGGCGGATGGCGATCGAGTGGTGTAAGTGGACGCACTACCCCTGACATGATGCCTCCCTCGGAAGACCCAATCCCGTGTAATAGAAATGACTGTGTCATGGACGGTCACATGTCCTTGTTTTGGTGCCAGAAAGGCGGAGTCTCCGCCTAGGGAGGAATTACACCAGCTCCTATTGGGTTTCCTCTATTTAGGCAGTATCGTGTGTTGCAGTGAACGCAGAGAATGTGTCCTGCGTGGTCGGTCCGACGGCGACGCACAACTTCGATCTGGCAGTGATTGTTTCATGTTTTGCGAGTCAACTACCTAATCAAGCTTCTTTTATCAGTTATAATCGGCTGAGCATGTGAGATGAGGAGGGAATTCAAGGGACGTACCTACATGTAGGTTGGGCATGCCAGCAACTAATCGTTGCATTACTGCCACTGATGTAAAGGCTGATACACCCATGTCGGTGGGAGAAGTCTGCCACGTCTTGGAGATTCCTTCTTCCCTTTACACTTTCCTCTAGAGTGCGGTATTCGCAACTCGAGAAATTATCGTTGTCTGCTTCGTGCACCTCGTCTCCCGCTTCACTCGCCCCCGATCACTCACTGTTTCGAACACAGCAGATCACCAACCTCCCGAGAAGATTCCTCCATCTCAGAGCTCTACGCCAATTTCTGCGTTTCTTTAAAGTCCGATGTACTTGTCGCCAGTCACGTGTCGGGTGGACCTGCCGCCCTACGGCGGACGATAGCGATATATATATTAAAAGTAAGTTACGGGGATCCCTCGCTTAGGTCTTCAAGTACGTGCTGTACATCAACCGCCACTCGAAATAGGATTTGTCTCCTGGGTGTACTGACAATAACTGTCTTATTGCTTGCGCTAGCGTGAGAGAAGCGCCAGAGACGTGGCTTTTCGCCCGTTTGGTTATTTGATGTGATAGAAATCACTGAATAACTTCTATGCATCTATGTCGCTTAAACTATCTTCCAGTCAATTTAGATTGTGATTATCGCAATCTGCAATATAACAAGGCGAGTCCATCCATAGAGAGCTCCATTCAAACCAGGAAAATACAGCGATAGAAAGCTAATGCAATATAAACTCGGGGACCATTTATGCAGCCGCCGGGTCACATCTGTCACCAATCACAGCTCACCAACAACGCAAAGCCGCACGAAATCGACGTATAAGTCTACGTAAATTTTGGCAATAGGTATAGCACTCATTATTCGAGAATCGAGAAAAGTGTGATCCGGTGGAACATACGATTCACAGTGATTGGGGCTTGAAGTGACTAGGAGAGGGCGATGTCACGGTGAACGCAGTACCCAATTCCCGGTGGCCTGTACTGACATGATTGCCATTGGCCGGCAGTATAGCTAATCGCGCGGTCATAGTGGGCTGGCTGGTGGAGGAGCATTTTTGGTGTGTGAGACACTTCTCAACATCGAGGTAACACGAACACAACACACTCGCTCTATCGCCCATCTAGGCCTGGCAGTTCTCTTCGCTTCCCCCGCTGGCTTCAAGTACATTCAACCATGGACCCAACAATCGATTGAATCTGTTAGTACGATCAAGCGCCTTGTATACTCCGCTACTCCTTAGTTGGATGACTCGTGGTGTTGATTACAAACAACGGGAATGCTGTAAACCTTTCTCCGACAAGATTTGAGCATTGCCAAGCGTAAGCATCAAGTCAATTTAATGGGGGTCAACAGGACTGAAAACCTTTACAAGAATGACTGTTACCAGTCAAGTCCGGCGCGAGCCCTCGATCGTCGCGAGGGCCACGACTGAACCCTCCAACCCGGTCAAAAGCACGATGACAGGCATTCACAGCTTACAAACATCAACAGCACCAGTCATGAACGAGTTTACCGACAACGTACGCGGATACGACGGGCCTGGCTCTACGCTCCTGTTCATCGCCCCCTTTTTTGGTGTTGTTTTCCTAAGCTTCTGGTAAGCATCTCAAAATTTTGTGGATATCGACGGCTATTCTATGGATTTTCTCGTGGGGCTATACTTCATTCCGTTGAGAAGTCCGACTAAAAAAAGCTATGTAATATCACTATCGGCGTCAAGTATTGCTTGAGATACAACGCTCGCAACAGAGTCCGGGTTACGGGCAACAATCGTGGGCCCAATACTAGGGACACTGGGCAACGTCCTCATCGGCGGCGCCGCGAAAAGAGACTGATGACGATGGAAGAAGTCAACGAGAAATTCCCCACGATGAAGTACGGGACTTTGGTGTTAGAACGTGCTAGAGAAGGGCGGCCAACCCCTGGCGTTGTATCCGTCCCGGCGAGTCGGGCCAATAGTGTCCAGGAAACGAACGACAAGGTTCTCGATAAACCAGCCAGATATAGGCAAAGGGAAGGAAAAGAAGACATCGAGGAGACCGACACCGAAACCAGACAGCCTACAAGTCCAAGTCCAACATCACAGACGCAGGAAACTCCGCGTCACGTCCACCAGGGCTCCTCAGGTGGCGGCAACGGAGATGGAGATGAGCACATATATTCTCTTCCCAATTCGGAATGCCCCAGCATCCTCATAAATCCTTGCGCGGTTTGTATCAGCAGCCTGGAAAGTGATGATGATATTCGAGCATTGACATGCGGCCATGCATTCCACGCTGTGTGCGTTGATATCTGGTTGACCAAACGCCATGCGTGCTGCCCGCTTTGCAATGCCAACTAATATACGCCAAACCCCAAGCCAACCCCAGAGGGTGACCCCAACGCTGCGGGTGATCTCGGCCCGCGCGACAGCGATCGGCTCAGCCTTCCCAGAGGCTTGCGCGCGGCATGGTTCCAAGGCAGCGATTCAAATTTATCACGTCAAGGGACATCGGTGATACGTGTTGGGGGCGAATCTCGCTCGTGGCAAGCTACCCTTGAACAACCTCAAGATCAGGTTCAACGGGACGCAGCGATCACTCCTGCTCCCCGTGTGCAGACACGACTTAGGACGTCGGTACAGCTATCTAATGATGGCATGTCCCCAACCGTCCGACCGCCTCAGTGCGCTGGTCAACCAAATAACCACAAGCCCATTACCCAGAACACCGAGTCCAGGATGAAGGAAATGATAACTCCGTCACAACTTGAAGCCGGAAGTTCCGAGCATTGATGCAGGTAGTTAGACGTGCGCTGTGTTATACGTGGCCTCAATACTGCGATACCTGCGGCCGCGGTTGGTACACTGGAATTGAAGATTATTGGAATGCGCTCGAGGGTTTGGTAGCGCATGGCGTAGAAACCAAGTGGCAGCTTGTGCTGTACTTTATGAACTTAAGACGGACTGCCTGGGGAGTGGGATGTGGAAGGGTCTACAAGGTGCACACGCGTTACTTGATATATCGCCAGCGTTCCTCGGCCGCCTGATCTGATTCAATGCGGCAATCGCTCACCTAGCCTTCAAAGGAACTATTTAACAGGGGGTTTTGGTTCATCCTAGTCTGAAACGGTGGATACTATCGCCGGCCGACCTGATAAGACCGTCAACCATGCTATGTTTGACCCAAGCAACCAGGGCAAGAGTCCCCTTCTCCCCGCAGCAGCTCGAGGGTCTCGATTTCTGTTTTCTATCTCCTCTAGTGACCCGAAGTACGCGATCGAAGGCGCACCATGTTGCTCCTCTAGCGACTTCCATATGATCAAGGGCGCCAGCTTATCGTCCATGTTAGTGGTCTTGCGACTCAGGGGCGCAGTAGATTTCAACGGTAAATGTCATCACCAGCAATTATGAATTAACTTTATATATACATATACAGGCTTAGGTAGTTTTGTTTCAAGGGTGAAATGGGGGGCCGGAGGCAGCTGCGTGGCCCCGAGACGCAAGGTAACCTGATCAACCGATCTCCGTGAACATAGGCTTTGGGCAGCTGCCAGCTTTACAAAGCGTTCGGCCCTGTCTGCTTGATCTATTCAGGGCATCTAATCAGCATCTAGGGAATGGCTAGTATGTCGTCTCTTGGAACAAACGAGGTGCTCGAAATCGAGGTCTGTTTATTTCGATACTCATATCGATTGACCTCGCCACGCTACATCACAAGTTATCGCACGCTGGTAGTGTGCGTTCCTCCGAAATGGACCAAACCCACATCTCTACTATTAGGTAGAATGTTTCGAACCACAGTACAAATTTAACTTCAGAAGCTGGGCTAATATATGCATAAAGCGGGGTCGACATCACCTCCATCTGACCTTCCGAGTACACGCAGGAACGACTTGAAATTGAATTGATCCATTTATTAGACTTGGCCATAGCTAGGATACATGGCGCGAACACAGGGCAGACTGAAAACGGCAGACTTCGGATCGAAAGCTGAAGAGGAAGCTAGCAATCGCCCGGTCTTACCATACACTGCCCAATTACTACACATCTTCATTTCTGCGCAGGTTGTCAGCAACACATCCTCCCTAAATTTGCCAACACACCTACCCCGCAAGTTTTGCAAGTGCAATCCTGGCCACACGTGCAGCTAGAGGAACCGCCGCAGTTGCACGTGGAGCCGCAGTCACAAGCCATGTTATTCGATTGTGCTTCTGTACGTGATATATCGACTGGGACACGTTTTTCTATGCGTTCGAGAGGGATGAATTGATCTGCAAGACCTTGTGAGTTTCGAGAAGGAAGTGAGAACTCAGTCTACAATGCCTGGTTGGGAACTGCATTATGTAGGCGAAGACAGTCTTTCCAGTCTCGGCAAGACGGCATGCTGACATCATGATTATGGTAGATTTTGGCCCGAAAACGTTTCTTGGCCTTAGACTTAACGAGATCATGACGCCCTTCCGGCATCATAGACAGTCAGTGGGATAGAGGTGTATCGTGGCTGCCAAGTTCCGCTTCGCTTACACTCACATACTATACATATGTGACCAACCCTTTCCTCGTCTTTGTCAGGTACCCACTAGCAACTCGGGGTAATGTGGGACTGTGATCTGTCAGGTGCTGTACAATTCAGGGATGGTGCATTGGTGCTCGTGTTAGACCTTACCTGTCGCTCCTTGTCTTTCTGTCTTTAAGCGCGTCAATGCCGTCTCATAGGCTCTCACCAGAAGGCATGGTCAGCAGCACTAATTAGCCTCAGGCGTTTCGTTCGACTATTTGTGAATTCGACTACGAGTCCCAATAATTTGCTTCTCGAACAACCCATCGAGATAAATCATGCTCAAAACGCAATGATGTTGTAGCTCATATGCCGCGTTGCGTCACTGTTCCCCAAGTTCAAACCGCCATCTACGGAGATAGTGGCACTGAACGCTACCTTGCCAAGTAGATGGACGGTGCCGCACACAGTACGTCAGCTTTGGTGCGCGCAACGGAGGGCAAGAACAGCTAGCTAATGGTGCGAGCAAACCACTATTATTTTTGGCACTTGACCAACTCACTGATCCGAGGGTCTCGATGATGGAGATACACAGTTGAGAACTCCGGCTTGTCACGCTTCAATCTCCAACGAAGACGGTATTGATCTGTACCGCCTGTCGTCAATAAAAAGCTCACGGCGGTTTCTTTCTTGGACCATAAAAGTCGGACGCGTTGGCTCATTGGTTCAGTGTGGCGCTAGTTGGCGTTGATGAACTCTCCAGCTGCAGTGGTGCTTTCTGATACCTCTTTCCTAAAGCCCATGATCCATCCAATCATCAAAACGTCATGCGGAACATTGTCAATGGAGAGTAGCTCCACCTTATCTCCATTGCCGGCAAATTTCTTGAAATCTCCGGCGAGTCTCTTGTGATCTTCAAACAGTACTTCTTTCTGCCCCGTCACAACTAAGACAGGTGCAGGTAGATTGAACGGATGCCACATCGGAGCCACATATTTCTCAACCTCATCCGTTATTTCCAAGCCTTTCAGAAATTGCGTTGCGCCCCATGCCGGGAATGATGGTGGAACATAATCGGTTTTGTAGTTTTTGTTCTGTCTCCATTCGTTGCGATTTCTGGCAGCAGGGACATCGCCCCATGGTGACCAAAGAAGACTGCTTTTCGGCGCCGGAAGGACAGAAACGTTGTTGAAGTCGACGATGTAGCGCAAGAGGTCCAGGGCGAGATGGCCCCCAGAGCTATCGCCGCTGAGAACGATTTGGGATGGATGAATTTGCATTTGATCGATTAGATACTTGTAAGCCGTTACAGCATCTTGAAGCTGGGCTGGGAAGCGCCCTTCTGGTCTGTAGGCTAGTCGGTGCTGAGGACAAAGCACATGGCTCGTCGCCATGTTTTGAAGGAAGTTGTCGGCGATAAACCCGCATGAAGACGTGCGACCGTCGCCGAGGACATATGATCCTCCATGGAAGTGCAAGACAACATATTTGTCTTTCGATACTCCCTGGGGCAGAAGTGGCTCAGGGTACCACGTCGCTCCTATCGTCTCAGGCTGGATGTACTTGTCCGCCAGGATATCTTTGTAGAGCTCTGGGCTGGCTGGGTCAATCAAAGTAAACCGGTCCGCCTCTCGACGTGGGTTCAAGGACAGTCGCCACCGCGTGCGCAGAGCAGTATAGTTTTTGAGACCGGCCTTGAGGGCTGAGTTTGCGAGTGCTTGTCGATATGACCAAGCCTCGTCCTGCCTGTGTCTGGGGGTCACGTACGCCAGGGCGAGCAAAGGCAGACACAGAAGCGATGGCATTGCGAGATTGTTGTCTTTGTAACATTACCACATAACCCTGATAAATGTCGATCTGTTTCGTCGTATATACCTACAATACCTGCAGTATGTTACGTCAAGAGAATGTAAAAGGAACGTCACCAAGGCTGGGTAGCCAAGGCTCTTCCCAACGATCAGGTCGCAAGGACCGGCTCGCATGCCGAGATGGAGACTCGAGCAGCAGGTACCATGGTTCCGATGCGTACGGGCATATCTTAAGATTTCTACCTCCTGGAGTCATCGTGCGCAGGGTTTTGCTCTGGGACATATGTTTGAAACTAAGTCGCGGCGCAGTCTGCACGAGTCGAGACCATAATTGGCGGTTTCCCCGCCCACCGCTAGTCATTCACTGACTAGGCTGGCGGACCGAGGTTCTCACCGTATACACTGCTGAAGCCGGAGAAAGTATGTTAATGCGATAGGCGGCCAGACTTTTGGTCCTATGAGGGGTCACAAGATGCTGCCCCGGACGTAGGTCGGACCGGAGAAGAAAACCTCATCGGTCGTAGGTGAAGTTGATCTATGAGACTCAGCCATCGCCAAGGCCAGTCCATCGGAACCAAGGCGAACCTCCACCGTCATCTTCCAACAAGCTTAAACACCATATCACCAAACCACGCGCCGCCATGCCGTTGGAGTTGATGGGATCAACGACTCTGAGGTTCATGAGAAGATCGGGCGTTTCGTGGATGGCATGGTCAACATCAAGGGCACTACTGACGAATTCTTGGTGAAGCTTTATGATGGGCGCGTGATTGACGCCGAGGGCTGGAATGATTGGGAATGGACGCACGGCATCGGCCTCAATGGCATCTGGACATATTACGACCTGACCGGCGATTCGAAGTGGCTGAAAATTATTGAGGATTGGTTTGCCGCCCGGTTCGCCGCAGGAGGCACAACTAAGAACATTAACACCATAATCGTCTTTCTCTTACTAGCTAACGTATGCTAGAGGACCAACAACCCCAAGTATCTGCCGTGGTTAGACAGCCGGGTTGAATGGGCATACCACGACCTGGAGAGGACCAGATTTGGGGGCATGCAACACATCACCTACATTGAGGAGAATGGCAATTATGGAAATGATACCCTAATGATGACTGTTCTCCCACTTGCCACGATTGGGAAGGTCTCAACCGTCCTGATTATATTGAGGGTATCAAAAAATACTTCCTCTTACACATCAAGCATCTGCTTGATACGAACACTGGCCTGTTCTTCCATGATTTTTACTTCAAAGACGATGGCCACAACTTTGCGCGCGAGCACTTTTGGATCGTGGAAACGCGCGGTTGGCGATGGCCGTTCCGAAATTTCTGGACATCCTATCGCTCTCATCCAGGGATCCCATTACTTCACACCTCCTCGACACGTTCAGCGCACCATCTTTTGGTTTCTGAAGAATCCACAGCTAGAACCAGGTTTTTGGACGATGCTTCCGCCATTTTTCCCTTGATTCTTTCTACCTGCCTTTCACCTTTGATCTTTCCAGCGTATCTGGTTGACCCACTGGGCCAACGACCGCTCGGTGGGAAACATGCGTGTGCATCTCGACCGAAGGACAAGGTTGGGCATTGCGAGATATGGGCGTTCGCCGTGACAGACCTTGATGCTCTCCATGCCGATGTTGTCGCTAGTCGGCGGGACAGAGGCGAGCATGTCTACGACTGGGAACAAGCCGACGTCGTACGATTCTTGAAGAAGCCGTAAGATGACCGGCAATAGTTCTGCCGGTAACATGGACGACTTTGGACGATTGGTCTGTACCACCGCTGACTTGATCCTCGCAGTAATTCCACGACCAAAGGGAACAATTCACGATAATGAGGATTGCCTGGCTCGTACAGGGATGTATGCTCCTCTCCTAGACGCCATCTACATGTACGTGCCCAACAGCACGGCTAAAACGCCGAAAATACTGTCGCTAGACACACGGCCTATTCCCACCATCGCCCAATCATAGCCCCTTTCACCAACTATTCACCACCGACCGAAAGCTTCATTCGCCGCTTCAGCTCCCTCCACATGGCATCCCGATCCTCACGCGTCCTCTGCACGGCGTCTCGATTCTCCTGCACGCGGCGTAGCAGGTACTTGATACACTCCCCCGTTGTACCCCATGCCATGTACTTGTACACGGGCAGTATCGCCGTCGACGGATGGCGGTATGCGCCTCCGTCGGCGCCGCTCATCTCGTTGTCCGCCCGCCGGTTCATCTGCACCAGCTCGCAGCTAATCTCGTCCGCCATGCCCTGTAGCTGCGCAAACGATATCTGCGCCTCCGCCCGCCCCTCGTTCTGGATTGCGTACGTCCGCCGCACCGAAGTCGCATTGTGCGTCGCCAGCATGAGGCTCACCTGCGGGTACTCGGCGACGCCGTCGCCGCGGAGCGTGTCGTTCCACCGCCGCGATAGCACGCTCGCCGCGCTGCTGTCGTAGCACATGTCAGTGTCGTCCTTGGTGTCAAAGAAGCACTCCCGCGGGTCCGACTGCATGTACGCGCCGCGCACGAGCTTGACGCCGAGGGTGAAGCCCTCATCGCGCGCGACTATGAGGTGCTGCGAGAGCTTGTCCGGCATGGCACGCTTGTAGGCCTGGTACGTGCCGTAGATGGTGGCGCGGCCCGGCGTGGTGTTGTACTTTTGCGAGTACTGTAGCGTCCAGTTGTCGATGCCGTCCTGAAGGGCGTCGTGCTCGCCGTCAAAGAGGAGGCGTACGCCGCGCTGCTGGGCGAGTTGGCAAATATTGTCGATACATTGGCTCAGACGGAGATTTGGCGCGTGGTTCTCGGCGAGCAGATCACGGGCGAGTTGGCCAGCGCCAGTGAACCTGTACTTTTGTCAGTATAAGGACCGACTCTCATTGTAGCTCGTCAGGGGCGTCGTTAGCTTACTTGACAGCCACAAAATCATCCGGCTCCGTCATGCGCACTGTTTCCAGCGTATATTTGGCCCAGTGGTCAATATGCCTGTCTGCACTCGCCTGTGTTTCCTGACCCTGCTCGTGTGGCGGCACCTCTTTCGCATAGCAAAGAACGACGCCTGTAAAGCCAATGCGCTTGAGCCTGGCGACCGTCTCCTGAACCTCGGTCTCTTCGGAACCAGCGCAGAACTGCGCGTACATGGTCTTGTCGAGCAGCCAACGTAACAGCGGGTTGCGGTCTGGGTTCAGAAGGCGGTTCTCGCTTTGCGCAATCACGGCCATGATGCGCAGCGACGGTTGTAGCAACGGCGATGAGGACAGCACGCTGGTGCAGAGTGAGCGAATAATCATGCGCAGAGGCAATAAAGAGAGGGGAGGGTTTGCGAAGCGCGGGTGGTCGAGCGCAGCCTCGCCGTTGCCGCGGTGTTCTGTGGTTGATGAGCATTCCTTGCTGGACGAGAAAATAGGGCGATATTGGGCTCGATAAGAGGCGATTTTGGCAATTGAGAGTCGTGAAGTACACGTAGATCGAGGTATTAGTTGTGTTAATGACATAGGCGAAGACCTGAACACATAGGAAGGGTTCATGGTGAGCTGATGCTGCCCTTATGAGGAGTATGTTCGATGCGCCCGAGATCGACGGTCGGCGCTTCAGCTCCAATGTTGAGTGTCTAGGTCGAGCATCTTCAAGGGTGTAGATGAGTGCTATGTGTATCTGTCAGACATTGAAATTTACATGGTTGACCAAGTCATAGCAGAGGTGAGCGTTCAATTATGTCACTTAATATAGCCTAGTGTGGGTCTTGGAGCCCAACTCCTATCGTAATTATGTGATCGAGATGGCAACAAATGATCTATGCGTCGCGTCAGCGGACACAGAAATCAACAAGTACGCCCATAGACGCTAGTAGAACGTCAATTAACGTTGAATTGTCTCGTTCTGAGGCCCTGAAATCCTAAAAGTGTCTGTAGACGTACGCGGTGGGCGAAGAGATCGGCATATTGTCTTCTCAATACGTAAGATCGCGGGATCACATCCTTGAGCGCTTCAAACACTGACTGAGGATAACGGACTCGAACTACCATATCTGAAAACCGACGGTTCCTCTTTCTCTCACTTGGGGCAGGAGATAAGGCTAGAAATTTCCGTTGACAAACGACGCAATCTGCACGCTACATGACACGCGTAAAATCCCGCCTCGTCGGTCTCGGTCTTTCTTAGCGGCTCTGACGTTGCTCACATCTATCGATGACTTGACCTGTCACGAACACGTCATGATACATCGAGAATAATAAGTCCCTGTAAAATTGCCTACTCAAGAATGCTTTCTACGCTTTTTAAAGCCGCAGACAGATGGCCCACGAAATGTCATTCATTGCTCTTAGTGACGTGGGGCGTGCAATACCCTCGCCAAAGATTATTCGAGCGAAATCAACAAAAAAGGTTAGGTTTCTGTCTTAGGGATCTATTAGTCAATTAGACCGTGCCGATAGTAGAGAATTGTCACCTAAAGGATATAATGAGAAAGAGCTATATATAAAACGCGGCTTTTTTTTAAATTAATTAAGAGATTTATATCTTAAAGTATTTTTAATATTTAATAAATATATTTCTTATATTTTTAAAAGTTCTTTAAGAAAATTAAAATATTATCTAAATATATTATAATAAAGATATTTAAATATTCTTTAAATATATTATTAATTATTTATTAAAAATAATTAAAATATTAATAAAATTAAATAATATTATTTAATACTTAAATAAATTAAATTTAATATAAAAAGTTATTTTTTATATATTATTTATAAGAAAAATTAAGCTATAAAATATATAAATAATATTTAAAAAGATTTATTATAAAATAATATAAAAACTTTTAAAATAATATAAGACTTAATATAAAAATAAAATAATTTATAAATATATAGATTTATTTATAAAATATTAAGGTATATATAGTACGGAATTTTAGGCGTCGTAGACTTTTAATATATATATCGCTATCGTCCGCCGTACCGCCCCTAGCGCAGCTATATAAGCCGTTTAACTTTATCTCATGTCAGGTAGCTACTGGGGTACTCTTTAAGTTTCACAGTTAGCAACGGATTATCTAGTTACTCGCAGGCAGTACGAGGATTATAGTTCGAATTTCGTTCTCGGGAAAGACGTGTGCCTGATAAACAACGCGTCTAGTACTAGAAGCGTCGACGAAAAGCGTGACGTATGCTAGCAGACGTGCGTATCCAAGTTGGCCATGCGACATTCTTTTTTTTTCTTCTCCTTTAGCTTCTTCTTTTTCTTTCTTTTTTTCACCCTTTCGAAGAATTATATTACTTTATTCTCGATTCTGTGTATTACGAGGTGCTTTTGCGTGGAGAGTGTGGGAAAGTTAAGACGAGCTAAGTAAATACTGAAATATTATATGTTATACACGCTACTATACGGTTATAACACTTAGACATTATCTTCGCTATGTAATCTATTTACAGGCATAGTACCTAAGCGACGCCTACTGCAAGTTACCCACCAAGGGCAGGTTCCTCGACGAGCTGCCGACCCAGACCTGTTTAGGCGCGTCGGTAATGACCCAGTTCTGGCTGACCGTGTCCCAGTTGCTGAGATCACGGCGGGTGATCTGGGAGATGAACTGCACGCTCTGCCCGGGCGCGATCCTCTCGATGCGGTCGAATCCACGGAGCACGCGGACGGGCTCGCCCTCTCCGCCCAGCGACACGTACAGCTGGGGCACCTCGTCGCTCATGGCTGCACCGGTGTTGGTGATGGTGGCCTGGACCTCGTACATGACATCCCACAGCTGGCGGTTGCCACCGTTGGCACCCGAGGCCGCCTTCAGGGGCTGGGGAGAGCCGTCTGTGGCGCCAGCAGGGAGGAACTCCTCGGCGGTGGAGCCGTAGTTACGGTCTCCAGAGGCAGCCTCGCCAGACTCGGCAGTGTCGAGGTAGGGGTAGATGAACTGGTCAATGCGGCGAATGTCGTCGGGGAAGGTGTATTCGTTGAGGTCGTCCGAGTAGTTGCCAAAGGACGGCGCAGCAATGGTCTGGCCGACGGTGGGCTGGTACGGCTGAGGAGAGCGCGGGGTGATGACCAGGTCCGTGTACTCAAACGCGGACCACGACAGACCAAAGCCGTACTCGTAGATGGGAGCGCCCTCGTCGCCCTTGTTGGGAGCGACCTTGTCAAAGTGGCGGTAGTCGATGAATGCACCTTCAGTAAAGTCCTGCTGGGGGGCACCCTTGCCGTTGTTGGGCTTGTACAGCACATCGACGCCATAGCTCTCGCGGTTGGGGCCCCACGAGAAGGGAGAGCGGCCGGGGCTGTGCTTGCCGTACAGGATGTCCGTGATGGAGTTGCCAGCCTCCTGGCCGGGGAGACCAGCCCACAGGATGGCGGTGACGTTGGGGTTGTCGTACCACTCGGTCACCTCGACAGGACCAACGGTGTGCATGACAACAATGGTGTTGGGGTTGACCGAGGAGACGTTCTTGATGAGGTCGTTACCGTTCTTCCAGAGAGTCATGTTCTTGCGGTCGCCCATGTTGCCATCCACGTTCAGGTAGCCCTCGCCCGAGTCAGCAGCGACAAAGACGATGGCGGTGGCGTCGGGCTGGCTGACGAGGGCCTTGGCCTTGTCCCACTCGTAGTTGCTCAGGACGCTTTCGTAGCGCGTGCCATCCTGGATCGCTTGCTGCTGCAGAGCACTGTCCGGGGTGATCAGGTAAGGGAACTCTGAGGTGCCGCTGCCCCAGCCCATGGCGTTGACACCCTGCAGGCAGCCACGGTCACTGCAGCCGTTGGGTCCAGCAATGTTGGGGCCCGCATCATCGCCAACGACAGCAACGAACTTGGGCTTCTTGAGAGGCAGGGCGTCATAGTTGTTCTTGAGCAGGACAGTGCCCTTGGCAGCGGTTTCGCGGATGTGGTGAGCGTGGTTGCCGCGTACGTCGACCTGGAAGTTGACCTGCTGCCAGTTTTCCTCGGACGCCGGGTGGAGGTAGCCGAATGTCTGGCGCGTCCACGAGGAGAAGTTGATCTCGGGCTGAGTCTCCACAGTGCGGCCAACCTTGAAGTAGGAGGCCATGATGCGCATGGCCATGTCGTCGAGACGGTACTCTGGGACGGTGCCGTTGAGCACAGCCAGGGTGAGGTTGCTGCCCCAGTAGGAGACGCCAGTGTTGAAGCTGGTATCGCCAGGCATGGTCATGTCGAGGCCAGCAACTGCTGACGCAGCGCCAGTGTGCTGGGCCTGCCAGTCGGACATGACAAAGCCCTGGAAGCCCAACTCACCCTTGAGGAGGCCGTTGAGGGTGGCCGAGTTCTGGCAACCGTACGAGTTGTTGATCTGCTGGTAAGAGCACATGACGGAGCCGACACCGGCGTGCACAGCGTCGACAAAGGGCCAGTTGTACACCTCGTGCATGGTCTTATCGTCAATATTAGCCGAGAGGGATTCGGCAATATCGAAGCCATAGCCGGTAGCCTCGCCCGATTGGCGAAAGTGTTCTGGCGTTGTCAGCTGGTGATCACAGGGCCAGAAGGCCAAGCTGGTAGATCTCACCCTGCTCGTTGGCAATGTAGTGCTTGGCGCAAGCCACAACACCAGCATTCTGGATACCCTCAACGACGGCACCAGTCATTTGACCCAGCATGTAGGGGTCGACACCAAAGCCTTCCCAGTCACGACCGCCCAAGGGCATGCGGCCGAGGGGACCGAGAGCTGGGCCAAGCATGACGTCGATGCCCTTGTCGCGATGTTCGGAGCCCATGTTGAAACCACGGTCTCTCAGCAGGTGCTTGCTAAAGGTCGCACCGGCGGTGATGGCGCCTGGAAATGCGCTGTTGTAGTCTGAGAAACGGATGCCCAGAGGGCCATCCTGCATGCAAAGACCGCGAAGGCCAAGACGAGGGACACCTCCCACGTTGCCGACGCAGCGTTCGCCCATCCATCTAGAACGGTCAGTCCTTGAAGCTCCAGTCCTCGACGTGTGCAGACTCACCCCACACCGGTGGTGATATTGACCTTCTCGAGAAGGGTCAGCTGAGAGACAAAGTCCCTGGCCTTGATGTAGGCCTCCTCCCAGCCTTGCGCATTGGGGTCCATCCATGGCGAAGGGTAGACGGGAGGAGAGTAGGCGAGGCCGTCATTCGAGTCGTTGCGTGCCTGTTTGGGTAAGGATAAAGGGTCAGCTGGTGTGCTCCAAGCAACATGAATGAGCCCCAGGGCCAGGACACTGGACTCGAGTCTCATGGTGCCGCCTGCCTCAGAAATTATGTGTAGCGACTGGAGTCAAAATGGGAGCAGTGTCAAGGATGCGAAAGAAAACACGAATGGATGCGATGCTGATCTCATCACCAGCTCACCATGGCGCGAGCACGACGTGAATCTGGATCATCCGAGATTGGATGGTTCAGCGGGAAGCGCGTGCTTCCATGCAAGGGAAGGCGCACCTCAGTCCTCAGCTCCTGCTGAGCGCTGGCACTGGCAGGCAGGGCGCAGGAAGGCGCAAAGGGGCAAGACAAGGTCAATTGACTCACCACGAGTGGGCTGGCGTCGAGGCCAGTTGCCAAAAGGGCAGTAGCCACGAGAGGAGCCGTCTTCATGGTGAAGAGCTGTCTGAGGAGGCTGTTGGTGTTGTTGCCCAGACAAGCAAGCAGTCAGCACAGGCTTGATGATCGACATGATGGAAAAGAGCAAGGGGCATAGAGACGTTAAATACTCCATTGCGCTCCATGACGATCCCTCCAGACCAGGAGGGACCGTTGCGATGCGACGTGATCGCACCGCGTCAATTTCTCCTCACGATGCCAACAACAAATTTCGTGGTAGGTCGGGGACAGTCCTGCACGGTGACCCGATGGGGGGCATCCATCTGCCGATCAACTGGATCCCTGGCCTCCAACCCCAGCTTTTCTCCGCGTTAGCTTCGCGGCGCAGACAGGATGTCCGTCTCTTTGTTCAACAAGTCCGACCCGATTCAGCTGCGTTTCTGTTCAGCGACATGTGAGGAACATGACATCCGTAAGACCGCCAGCTCGTACTTACGCATGCACCCGCCCAGTGACCTGAAGCGCCGACAATGAAGAGGAGAAAACGCGGTGGAGGTTGGCGAGACTCCAGTCTGTCACACAATTCAAAAGGTCATATTGCGCTGCGCCGTATGATGCGCCCATTGCGGGGAACAGGCTCCAGCGACCAGCCAGCCAGCGAGACAAACCGAACTGGTCCAAGTTTTAGTTGAGGGCATGACTGCATTCTCCACGATGCATCCTGCCGGGCTAAGCTTGACGAACTTTGGGGAGATGGGCCTCCTGCAGAGCATCCCCTGGCAACCCCGAGAGTAAGGCCGATCGTGAGCGGCAGGTTTTTCTCGTGGCTTGCTTTCCGGGGAAGCTTTCCGCCTGACTGGCTGGATCGGTCTGGTTGATCAGTTCACCGGCTCCAGTCCCGTCTTCACCTCTGGTCTCTCCTCGCCGTGGCCCTAATCCAACATACACCGGTTGGAAGCGCACTGCGGCCCTGCCTTGGTTCAGAGTTTAGACCCCAATTCCAATATCCACTAGACAAAATCTCGCGCATGGAAAGCATAATGTGCCGAGGGAATTCAAGCCCCTCCCGTCCCCATAAACCCCACAACTGAACTTAACCCCGTGGCACATTCACCGGCATTCGCTCACGAGCTCCACGGCACACACACATCTTCTCGACTTCTACGTATAGCTTACCTACCCTGTACCCTGGGTCGCTGTCAAGACTTTCTCCTCACTCAGGACTCCCGCGATCATCGCAATCTTTTATGAACTGAAGGGTTGTGCTCGGCGTTTACAAGCATGCATCTCTCAGAACAAAGCCACTGACGTCCGCTGCAAGCCATCGGGTCCCCAGGCCCTGAGAGTCCCGCAACAACAACAACACCATTAGTCTGCCAAGTTGAGTACCACCTCCATCTATCGGTCCTTCTGCCAGCGCCCCGCACATGCTAATGACGCCAACGAGCCTTTCCTCGTCCGTTGTGTGTTCGCCCGTGATTCCGCTGCGGAGGAGCACCCATGCAAGCTCCCAGCCCCAAGCACTGGCGCAACGTTGTTCGCCTTCGACATGCCTCTATAGGCTTGGTGTCGGCACTACTAGGGATAATGTTCGGTAATTTGACAGTCGCGGTAGTTGTCTGCCCCAACTCGGGCCATAGCAAGATGTGGAACTGATGAAGTCTTATTTGCTTAGCTTGGTGCCTGAGTTGGGCCCTGATGATGACGTTGACTCCGTCTGCTCTGCGAGGACTGCCTACACCAGCCCAGCAAACGTTGAAGATTTGAAAGCAAGCTTACCAGGTAGGCACTCATCATTAGTTGTGTAGCTTTAATGTTCATGAAACCCAGTGATAGCTCTCTCTCGCTCTTTTTGGGCTTCGTTTGCGTCCATCTGGTGAGTCGAGACCTGCCACTCTGTTCTCACCGTAATGTCGTCGCCTTTGCCCGAACGATTGAAGCTAGACCCCGTGTCCACAGAGTTTGTCGCCGTCCCAGCCTGCTGTTGATCCATGATTTCTTCCTCTGAACCACATCCCTCGTAGAAAGTGCCTCCTGGAAGCGACAATGGGTGCTTGAACTTCCTTCTTTTGCCCTCGGTGGAGATAGTTGAGAGTTTGAATGCGCCGTTGCCGTTGCTCTTCGATCCTCCCGGTGTTGTAGTGTTGCCGCTTTGCCTGGTTATGGCGGCTCGAAGACGTTTAAAATATGATCGCACCAGAGGGAATAGAACTGGGGTATTGGAAATAAATACGGCGACGAAGGACTCTCGACACGACCATTCGCCTGCGAGTTGTGGACCGTTTGGGCTATTCTGCAGAACGTAGCCACATCGCAGCCCACCGAATACAGCCGTGATGATCCCGCCGCCGAGCAGGATTACAAGCCCTATCTTCCTGCGTCCAGGCAGTCTCGCGTTCCAAATCATCTGTTCATGTCAGAAAAATCGAGTATTCTGAGGGGAGATGAACACACCGGTAATGGGATCATCATGATATAGAAATCGGTTGTCAAGTTGGTGCAGATCAAAGTCCAGGCCTGCAGTCTGGACACGGCAGGCTGGCAAGAGTCTTTTCCTATCGTCAGACCTTGATCGGATCAGTTTGAAGTGGACTTACTCCCGGGGTTAGGATAGATCTGCCAGTGCTTTTCAATGGGCCAGCAACCACAGAGAATAGTGAAAAATGTGCCGAAGAAAGTCACAGCTACAAACAAAAATCCGATGTTGGTTTTGATCGACATGTTTTCGACTCCTTCGCCCAGTCGCCTGTAGAAAAAGAGCCAACATAGTTTCAGCGTCCACAGCAAGACTGTGTAGACAAGCCACCCGAACAGCTGAGTTTTCGACCCCTCAACGCGGAGGCGGTATTCAACACCGTCCGGATCTATTGCAGCTCGTTGATCGTCGGTCATTCTGCACGTTGTCAGTATAAGTCGTGGACAAGGAGTCAGACGTATCCCCAAAACCTACCCGCTATTGGCAAGACCTTGCCAGTACGCTCCGACATAGTGTGCTGTTGCAGTCTCCGCCGTGTAAAGAAGCTACAGTCCCGTATGAGCTGTTACTCTGACAACGCTGGGCGCGGCGACTTACAAGTGCTATGACCATAAGGTAGTCATCCATGCTCAAGCCGCGAATGGTCCCGGTCTTCCATCGCAGGGCAAACCGACCGAAAACTACAACAATGTCTATTGCAAGATAGGTCCATGATTCAATAACAAAATCCATAATGAGCACAAGAGACCTCAACGAACGAGGGCTTTGTGACGACTCTGCGTGTCCGAGAAGAGACTCCGCTTGAGATGTATGTGGGACGGAATCCGAACATGAGGAGATAAAAAGGGGCTGGAGTATTGGAAAATCCCCGTCGAACGCCAACGGCGGTACGTAGCAGGCCGAATTTTGAGCACCCTGCAAAGTCGCCCCCGAGGCCTCGACCCATTGATAAATATCGTGATTTTCACAACACCAGCACAAACCCAGAACAGAACGAGCCAGGGAGGCCTGCTAGCGCTCGAGTACCCGACCTGCGGATAAAACTTACCACTGATATCTCCGTAGCACCTAGGGCCCATCACCCCGGCACGTACATCTAACTTCAACGGGCATTCCGGGCGGCCAGATCCAGGCGATCTTCATCTAACAGGATGAAATGCGTTATCCAGCGAACTGTCACTAGGCGATGAGGCCAGCCTCCTTAAAAACATAGTCAGCCTGGTGGCCGGTGGTGGTCAATCTGGTATTCAGAATGGTCCGCGATTTCAGAAATAGGATATACATAGTTCAATCTCTTCCTCGATGGCCACGCTAGGAAGGCTGACGCTGGAACATGAAGTAATGTTACAACCAGACCCACACCAACTGGGGGTCATTGGTCACTTTCGGCCTCACGACGTACCCTCTGTTATCAACATTGATTATTCTGCATGACAGAGATACATCGCGAGGCCGGAAGTGACCAATTTGACCCCCGGTTGGTGTGGGTCTGCTGTGACATTACTTTCCGCGTCAACCTTCGTATAATTGAGTTCTGACAGAATCCGACAGGGGCCCGGAGAAGGTGCGACCACGCTGAATTGTCGACACTCGACATTACCTACGGACCGTCTTACTACTTCTGTTTATATGAGACACCTTTACAGATGCGTGGAACAAAGTCTGCTCCTCGAAATTTGAATCTCGAGACGGACATGATATTTCTTCTTCGTGCGCCATACGTGCACGGTTACATCTAGTCCAGGATAAGGGAACATCGCCAAAAAAAAAAAAAAAGTCCGAGCAGACGGATCCACTAAAGGAGTCAGCACGGTAAACAAACCACGCTGTTAGCAGCAGTTGATCCTCGACGCACTGTACATAACAGACTCAACTTTGGGATTTTTCGGAAGGCATTTACGTATGTACACTGTACAACCCTGGGCCACATGTTTCGGGTCTGGTTCTTGGCCGAACAACCCTGGACCACTTCTTCGGGCACATGACCTTTTCGGGCCCCCGCGTTGTGTCTTGTTTGAGAGAAGAGGGGGGCGGGGGAAGCGTGCGAAGAAGGGGCCCTATGTCTCCTTCCCAGCATTATCAAAGCTGTTGATACCTTTGCCTCATTATCATCCAGATTCAACGTGTGGAAATTCAACACCATGGCGTCAAAGATCAACATCGAGGTAAGACATTTCGTTCGTATATCCCATAGCTTGGATTCCTCGTGTCTACTTGTCTCTACTATTATTCAAGACCACTGACCCTCCTGCCGCGTCCAGACCTACCCAGGCAACATCATCAACAACGAGTTTGTGTCTACACCGACGACACGCCACTCGATCGACCCAGCCACAGGCAAGCCTCTCTACGAGGTACCAGTCGCCCGCAAAGAGGACCTCGATGCCGCTGTCAAGCATGCCCGCGCCTCGTTCAAGTCATGGTCTGCCACTCCGTTCGAGGACCGATCAAAACTGCTCCTCGCCTACGCTGATGCTGTCGAAGCTAATCGTACGGATCTTGAGCGTCTCCAGACCATGGAGCAGGGCAAGCCTCTCTCCTTGGCCCAGACTGAAGTCAACATGGCTCTCACCTGGCTTCGTCAATTCGCAACCATGGAGGTAAAAAGCGAAATCATCGAAGATACCGCAGAACGGACTATCTATTCTACATTCCCGCCTTTAGGCGTGTGCGCTGCTATCGTTCCGTGGAACTGGCCCATTTTGCTCGGGCTCGGCAAGGTTGGCCCCGCTCTGATGACGGGTAATACGGTTATCATGAAGCCGTCTCCGTACACTCCATACTGCAACCTGAAGCTGGGGGAGATTGCCATGAGTATTTTCCCTCCCGGTGTCTTCCAAGTCCTTAGCGGCGACGATTCTCTAGGACCATGGATAACCGAGCATCCTGGTATTGATATGGTCTCCTTTACTGGTTCTATTCCTACCGGTAAGAGAGTCGCTGCGAGCTGTGCCAAAACCCTGAAAAGGTATGTCCTAGAGTTGGGCGGTAACGACGCTGCGATTGTATGCGACGATGTGGACATCTCGAAATGTCTGCCAAAGATTACTACGCTTGCTTTTCTCAACTCGGGTCAGATCTGCATGCTTCCGAAGCGAATTTACATACACGAGAAGATATATGACCAATTCAGAGACGCTATGGTTGAATTCACCAAGAACAACATCAAGACTGGCGGAGGCTTTGAGGCGGATGTTGTTGTTGGACCAATTCAGAACAGCATGCAGTACGTACCTGGAATTTGGTTTCACCCGGTTGGAATGATTGCTGACTACAGTCCAACAGATTTGATCTTGTCAAGGACATGTATTCACAGATTGACAAGGCTGGCTGGAAGACCGCACTCGACGGCAAAGCCCGCGACGGTGCGGAAGGATACTTCATGGAGCCTGCTATTATCGATAACCCTCCGGAGGCCTCGCGGATCGTCGTAGAGGAGCCCTTTGGTCCTATCGTACCTATCATGAAATGGTCTTCGGACGATGATGTTATTGAACGAGCCAATGCGCTCGAGACCGGACTGGGTGCTTCAGTGTGGAGCAAGGACCTCGTTCGCGCCGAGAAGATGGCCCGACAGCTGAGTGCAGGCAGCGTTTGGGTCAATTCGCATTTCGACGTCGCGCCGAATGTCCCCTTCGGAGGTCACAAAGAGAGTGGTATTGGAATGGAATGGGGCATTGAGGGCTTCAAACATTACACGAACACGCGAAGTCTATGGGTGTGGAAGAAGACTTTTGATTGATGTCCTATGAGACTGATACCATCATAGGGCGCATTGAATAGGCTTCTCTTATTATACTGTATCAAACAGGCCACAAGGGAATTTCACATGTGCTCTTAATGTGGCCAGTTAGCGTACACACGCTACAACACTTTGCGTTGCCCTCATAGTGGCAAATGGCTGGCTCATCATTCATGAGAAAGAAGTTCATTACAAAAGGTATCAGATAGACTACAATGCTAGATGAGTCCCGCATGTGGCTTTTACCCATGAGCCAGAATGCCCTATTCAACGCCAGTCCGCCCCTCCAAACGATCTTGGCCTGCGCACAATCATGCGCCACCTACAGTCACTCCCATTCCGGACCATGCTAGGTTCCCAGCTGCGGACGCCGCGCCCTTCAGCTTTGACGTCCCATCCCTTGGCTCCTCAGTAGATACCGGGAATGATCTTGGAACGGACAATCGTCTTGTACCTGTCCCAGTCCTTGCCATACTTGCGGTGGCACTTGATGTCATCTCGACCCTCGCGATGGACAAGGAGCACGGCAAAGTAGATGATGTAGAAGCAAGTGAGGGGGATGGCCCAGCCGCGGGCCTCGCCTTGGATCACCTCGCGACCGTCAGTCATCAGATACGACCCGGGCGCATTGGAACCAGCCGAGAGGATCTGATAGCCAGACACGCCGCAGGGGAGGCAGTAGGCCCACGCCTGGAGCCAGTCGCCCAGGTAGTTGATATGGCGAGATACGCCCCACCAGCCAGAGGTGAGGAGTTTGCTGCCCGACTTGGTCTCGATGAAGGTGAGGTGGGCAACCTGGGGGTCGTCGGGGTTGATGCGGAAGCGGTTCTTTTGGCTGTTGGCCGAACGGAAGATGTAGTAGCCTGCGGCGATGATGGCGAGCATCAGCGTCAGGTAGACCGGACCCAGGTGGACTGGGTGGTGGGCCAGGTAGCGCGTCTGCAGGGCGTACGCAAAGGGCTCCCAGACGAAGTCGCCAAACGCCAGCATCATGCCGAAGCCGTCCGTCGTAATGTCCATGGTCGTCAGGATGGCCGACTCGTTCCACCACGAGTCGACGACGTACAGGGCCTGCACGACGCTGATCAGGACCATGCTGTCGGTCACGTAGCCAAAGGTGCGGTGCTGTTTGGCCATCCAGACAAAGTTCATGAGGACCCAGCCGAACATGCCGGGGCGCAGCTCGAGCCACTCCTTGAGGTCAATCTCGCCGATGAACGGCAGGGTGACGCGGGGGTTCAGCTCGCGGCCAATGAACCAGTCGTAGAGGATGTTGCCTGACTGGCCACCGGCGGCCAGCTCGCGGAGCTCCTTGTTGCCAGGCTTGACGCTGAAGCTGTGGACGTAGACGTAGGTCGCCGTGGCGTAGGCCAGCAGGATGTTGGCGGTGATGATCTGGATGTAGTTGTCGCTGATAAAGGTCCACACGATGAAATGGGCGCCTTGCGCGGCGGTGCCGGCAGCAAGCACAGCCAGCATGACCGAGTGGCAGTAAAAGGCTATGTCGTCAGTGAGTCTTCGTTTTTGCTGTTGGAATGCTTTTCTGTGTACGCACTGTTGAGGCGGTAGCTCAATCTTTCACCATTGCGCAGCTTGACACCCTGCACCTCCTCAGCGGGCAGCACCCTGTATAGAATGGCGTTGACCAGGACATAGCCAATGGTGGCGAGGAGAGCCTCCCAGCTGAAGAGTCCGACGATGCCCTCGGCCGGCCAGCCCACCTCGCGCTTGAGCTGGGCCAGCGTCAGGGTCGAGGGATGCAAGAGCGACGGCGGCGGGCAGCCGGTGACATCGTTGCAGGCGAAAGCAAAGATGTACACGACCACGGGAAGGATGAAGGATATGAAAAAGGCACCGGGACTGCCGCATAGTTAGAGCGTGATCGCGAGACGAGGGTTAGGGAGGGGGGTTCACTCACGGGCCCAAGAACTCGTAACCGTGCTCCTCGAATGCGGTCTTCTTGCTCGTCTTGGGGGCCATGGCTGCGATTGATTCACCTGGCAGTGGTGGTGGTGTCAACAGAAGGCGGCGGACGCTCTTTAAGGTGGCGGCCTGGCGGTGGTCACTTGCTGGGTCGGCGCGTCATGCATCCGTGTCGTACCATTCGCAAATTTCCTAGAGACAGGAGGAGCTGAGCTCTGAGCTCCAAACGGGGTTCGGCTGCTCCAGCATCCGGGTCGCGTCACCTCAAGTCCGTGCCTTTAGCTCAAAGGAAGCTAGACCTTTTTAGACTAGCTGCTACTGACTGCGGAGACAGTGTTTCTCCGGGCCCCGGCGGAGGCACCTTCCCTTACCGGCACGTACCTTACCTTACCTTATCCGACGCGAGAAATGCGTTCATCGTGGGGGTCTCCTGCAGCCAATGGTGGCACAGCTGCGTCTCCCGTTTAATGACAACCTGGTGATTTTGAATCATCAAGAGGCGCAACCACGTTGGAGTTCTTGATCAATTATCTTCGTCCAAGCATATTATCATCCTTTCGCGCCGGCTTGCATCGCGTACTCTCGTTCATTAACAAAGCTGGTTATCATCTTGTCTAGTACATGGTATAACCTCTCCAACTGTCGAATTCGCGCTCGAGCGCAGTCCGTCCCCCCCTATCCACATCGTTGATCCAATCTTCGGCGGCGCGTTCCGACATGATGCGCGGCTTCACGACCTTTGCCTTTGCGCTGCTGGCAGCATCAGTACGGGCATCTGATGACGAACCATCACATACTACACCAGCGCCCGCGTGTACGGCCACCTCTACCACCGGCAGTGGCGCGTACTTTGACTTGCGACCGGACATTGCGTGGCCCGAAGACGATGAGAAGGCACACAGATATGCCCAGCACAAGGACTACCACGCACGAGGCTACGATTATGGGAAGAATTTCACCATAAACATTTGCAACTCCGTGGTGGATCCTTTGACGGACGTGGTCGGCCTCGAGGAGAGTCAGTGGCAGAATGTCAGCGCATACTACATGTCGCATGGGGACATCTACTCGATAGGGTAGGTTTGCGCGCTTGGGCTGCGATGGATGGTTGCGCTAATAACTGCAGCTCCGAATCGAAAGGTCTCCGGACGCGAGGGCGAAAGCTCCTGCTCCAGTACACTGGCGGCTCGCCCTGTGGCGGCAGTGGTGATGAGGATGACGACGACGCTCGTAGAAACGTCGCCCGTTTCGACTCCGACTCGGTCCTCTACCACGATGGGCAACACGGACCCATGGAACACATCCACGAGGCCGGCAAGGTCGAGGCAAAGTCGGGAGGCGACAATGTCCGGCGAAAGTCGACCACCATCTCGTTCCTGTGCGACCGCGACCCCGGCACCGTCCAAACGACCATTTCCTTTGTCGGCACCGATCCCGACGAATGCGCCTACTTCTTCGAGGCACGGTCGCAACACGCCTGCGCATCGGCGGAGCCGCACAAGCCGGGCAGCGTCGGCCCCGGCAGCGTGTTCGGCGTCGTCGTCCTCATCGCCGTTCTCGTCTACTTCCTGGGCGGCATCTTCTTCAACCGCACCGTGAACCACGCGCGCGGCTGGCGCCAGCTCCCCAACTACAGTCTGTGGGCTGGCATTTGGAGCTTCCTTTGCGTACGTGCCCCTCGGCTCAAACCGAGTTTGCCCTGAGTTAGACGTTTGTGAAGACCTGGGGCGCTGACGAGTACCACCCCCTTGTAGGACATGGTCGTCATCACCATGGCGTCCTGTGCGCGCTTCTTCCCCGGGCGGAGGGGCTACAGTTCGCTGCGATCGGGCCCCAGTACGCGAGACAGCGAGCAGGAGGCGCAGAGGAATGCGCTGATTGATCAGCTGGACGAGGAGTGGGACGACTAGAATGCCACCCGACGACGACGACGCATGGTGTGATTGTCTGCGAGCAGCAGGCTGTTTTGATCAAGTGAGGCGTTCATGGGGCGCACGTGCGGTTGCAGAGGACGACACGCACATTACACGGCGGAAGAGCATTTGATATGTTTCTCTCTCTCTCTCACGATTCCTGCTGTATTATACATCGAGCAATGCAAGCGTTGGGCTTCCGGTACATGTACATACTTAGACTACAGAACATGAATACTACTGAACGAATGAAGAACACTGGGGGCGGACGAGTTGGCCAGTGCTGACCGACAATGCCAGTCAGTGGCAGCTGTCGCCTCGTTTGCAAGATGCACTCTACCGTCTCTACGAAGTTGCGCGTCGTGAGACAGAGGGCACTGGTGGGCTCCATGATCTCTATCACAACATGCTGGTCTCTGTGGAACGGCGATCTGTCACAATCTACAGGGCAGGCCCCGTCAGATACCAGCAGAAGCCAGCCGAACGTAATTTCTGGACCGATCGGGAAAAAGCAACAGCCTGCTGGGCCAGGCCAGCCTGGACGGGAACGGGGAGATGCAGTTTGCCTTGCGCCACAGGGGTGGGCAGAATCGCGCCGGCCTGGCGTATGCACGCCAGACGTGTGAAGATTTGCCATGATCTGCAGGGCATGAAGTATCTGACACTGTATCACGGGCACGGGTGAGTGCGTGTAGATACATGTATGGGCTGACCGCACGATGTCCAGACCTCCATGCCATGTGTACGCACTCAGTGTCCATTCGCCATTCCATAGAAGGCAGGACGAGTAGACTGGACGCAAATTACGACAATCAGAAAAAGCCAAGAACCCATGATCGAGCACATTCCGTAAAGGAATGCTGCTGTCTGCAGATCGTGTCACTCTCAGCAAGCCCCTGGACGCCCCTGGGCCAAATAGCACCAAACGGAAAGGGACTCCAGCCACTCCCGATGCCAATCCGGCATGATGGGCCTGTTTGCTTCCGGAGCCTTGGGAGTACTTTATTGTGTGATTATTAACACGGATTTGTCCGTTGTTGTCTCTGTAAAGATGGCCTCACACTTCGCTGATCGAGTGAGCTTATGACAGGAACCGTTAAGACAGCATGGAAGCGCGCATCTGCGATCCGAAGAACTTCCCAAGTTGGAGCGAGACTTTGAATAAGGGTACACAAAACCACAGAATTTAAACTACATCCGAACTTTGACATCACCTCGTAGAAATCATCTCCTGGTCAGCCGGCTTAGTGTTGGTTGTTTGTGACGAGCGGGAGGCAACGACCTGAGATGTGACGGCTCGGAAATTCCATCATGTTGACAAGGATTTCCTACTCTATCCCAGAGCCCGGTATGACAGGCTTTAAGTATAATGAGAACATACCAGTCGTTCTGTTCTGCTGACTATAGCAGTTCGGTTCTTCTGATGTTTGTCCCGACAGCATCCGTTGACACTGCACGGCCGTCTCTTCTTTGCTCCTTGGTTGCTCTTCGTTCCCATATACCCAGAACTTGCGGTCTACGGTCTCTGCGATAGCGTGACGCCGTGCGTCAGAGTCACTGTACCTACCTCTCGGTCTCGCCGCTTTCACCTCCTCTTCTCGTCGGCAGTCCGCAGCCACCCAGCATCATCAGGTCTGCTCTGGAGCGGTGAACGACTGGCCTTTCCCCGCCCAGATATTTCACGTCTCGCTACCCGATCAGGAAGAAAAATGCACTACAAATCCGGTACATGGCGTGTTGTTCAAGGCCGCTACGTCTTCGTCCCGGAGAACACTACCTCGTCTACCCATCAGCCGCCTTCTACTCTGTCTGCTAAAACTTCGACTGCAAACTCCCTTCAGCCTGCCTTCTCTCGTCGACCGAGTGTTCGACCAACAACAATGACACAAGACCACGGGACACCTTTGTCCATGATGGTGAGAGCATATACGGTTGCCGCATGACCTTCGCTAACATTAAGAAAGGACTATCTTAACACAGCCCCTGGATACTGCTTTGATCTCGGATACGGGCCAATGGCAAGCCCCTGGGCATCTCATTCAGACTACCAGCGGGACGTCGACCGGTCGACCGCGGGCTTTCAGAGCGTGCCTGAACCCCCTTTTACATGCAACATGACACCTGGCGTCTGGCTTCCCGATATCTCCTGGACCAGCCACTTTGAGGCCTGCAACTGGTCACGCACCGAGAGCTTCCACACCGATGGGCACGAGGCCCCCTATTTCTCCCAGCATAACGGGTATCCAGAGCCCGTTGATAGTCCACTCCAGCTCCCGTCGTCGTCGACGACGTCTTCCTCCCCCAGCTCCGACGCAGGCACCGAGACCATGGTGGACTTTCCCCTCGCGGGCGTGGCAATGGCCATGCACGTGGGCTCGTCGCCACTCCTGGAAGAACCCACCAGCAGCGTCGACGACAGCGACCCCGTCCCCAAGAGGGAGTACATCGAACCAACGGGTCACCGCCCCCGATCCACTCCGAGTCGCATATCACCCCTCGGTGAGGACGCGCGCCACAGGAGGGACCAAGTCCTGCTCGACGGCCGCCGGGCTGGCCTGACATATGCCGAGATTAAGAAGCGTCACAACCTGTCCGAGGCCGAGTCGACCCTGCGCGGACGCCACCGCACCCTCACGCGCAATCCAGAGCACAGGGTCAGGAAGCCCCAGTGGACCAGGAGGGATGTGAGTGTGTCCGCCCCCCGCGCGTGTGCCCGAGTACCCGGCCTGACCGCATAGGGAACAGCTTGCGTTGCTCAAGGAGGCCAAGGGCTCATGCCAGATGAAGCTGTGGTCCGAGGTGCAGCAGCATCTCGAGGCGCAGCGTGCGTCGTACCCATTTGGGGCGAATGCGTGCAGTAGGAAATGGGAGGAGGTCAACAGGTGCGGCGGGGTGTAAAAGCTCAGATTTTCGTCTTCTCTTGTTCTTCTTCGGCATCAATAGAATCACTATGAGGCAGCCCAATTCCCCTGAGTGCGTTGACTAGACCTGCCGCGTCCTTCCGCAGAGCCTCCCACTCCAGTTCACTCTTCACCAGCGCTGTGCCCGCGAGCAGGGTGCCGTTGAGCGCCAGGTTGCCGAGTACGTGGCCGTCGTCCGAGGTGATCTTGACGCCTTCTGCCACCCGCGGCACGAGAGCCAGCGTCGTCTTCGTCATGGCCATGTTGTAGCTCATCACCGCCTCGCCCTCGGAGGCCACCTGCTGCACCCGACTCCCCGTGAAGCGCGCCCAGGCGTTCACAGCCCGCCTGTAGAGTCTGATGTACGCCTCGTGAAGATCCGAGCCTTGCATTTCGAGGTGAATTTTCTCCGTGAATGCCGCAAAGGGAGTCTGACGCTCGCTCAGCCGGTCCGTCAAGACGTCCCATGAACTGGTCTTGTCCAGGCCATCCTTCATCCTCGCAATGGGCAGTAGTTGTATGTGGCGGTGAGGCTGACTCGCGCCAGAGTGCTCGCCAGAGTTGAAGAAAGCGAACAAGCCATCCTCATGCCCCTCGTATGCCCTGATGCAGCTCAGCGTGGCCTCGAGGTCTGATGGCTCAAGCAAGTGTGTCTGCAGCTTGAAAGCAGTGGTCGCGAGGATGAAATGCTCTGGCACTACGGCAAACTTGTTCAGCACGACAAAGTGCGACGGGCCAACGTCTGCGACGCGCAGAGCTGGCGGCGGATTCTCAAAGGGGTCAAAGGGCTTGTGGGACTTGGCGGCTGGGTCAGGAGGCGGGCCCTTGGGTTTGTTGGCCAAGGCAGGCGAGAATCGCAATTGGAACTGGGATGAACATTAGCACTGGCCATCTCGAGCTGTCTCCGAGTGAGCGGACTTGCGGGAATGGAGCCTGCAGTGAGAATGGTGACCTGCGTTGGGAAGTAGTGGATATCCCCGTTGGCACGCGCGGCATTGAACGCCTTCTTCACCAGGTCGGGCAGGTCGCCTGGCGCTTTGATACGGGACATTGCGAGAGCGCTGCGCAGGTTGAGATGTGAGGGTTATGGATCAGGGATGGTCTTCTATTTCTCACGACTCTGGAGGAAAGTCGATTTGAGGTTCGCGTTTGTTCCTGGCTAAGACGGCATGAGGTCATGCTTGGCGGGCGCGTTCCACGACGCCATGAATTACCCCACTTCACACTGCGTACGACATCGCCAGCAGCCTCAGTTTTGATCGCAGCTCAAATGTTCACAAATCAATAATACTGAGTGTGTCGGCTCACGATTGGACACGGGCCTGTACGAGGCTTGGTTCATACTCACTACCACAAGTGGCTGCACCAAGAAAGGGCATTTCGAAATGCCAAGCACCATATTAGCAAATGGTAGTGGAGTGAATATATTCAAACAAGCCCTGCTGCGGACATGTACTCATATCCCCGGCATGCCAACAACACCTCTGACCGCGGGAATGAAACGAGGCACAATGTACACAACATAGAAGCCAACAGTCGCTGTCAAGAGACCCGTGAGCTAATTGTCCATGTTAGTAAATGTATCATCCGGAGGCGGCAGTGGCAGGTACTCACCTTCTCAAACCAGGTGTGGAAGTATATAGCAGTCATGAGCAGCATCCAGAGATTCAAGCCGACGACAACACCCGTGATCTTGCCAGAAAGGCCAAACCAGCTCTGCGCTCGCCCCGCACCAGCGGCAACCCCAGCCTCGACGTTGGCGCTCTTTGTCGCGCCATCGGCCATGACGACGGTCCTCTCATCCTCTCTCCAGTTGGCCCACCTGAGGACGGCCCAGCCAACCTCCTCCATCAAGAACGCCGTGCTCAGGACGAGCAGGAAGACGTGCCCCGAGATATCATGCCCGCCCTTCCACTTGCCTCCAGCCGCCTTGCAAGCCACCGCCGTGACCTTTTCGCCCACGCTCGTGTCGCCCATCTCCACCTCCATCTCCGCGAGCTCGCATCGACCGCCGGTCCACCTGAAACCGCGGTCGATGATGGGCGGACCGAAGAACCACTGGGTGACAAAGAACCAGCACGCCGTGACCAGGACCCAGCGCACGCACGCCTGGAGCCTGCGCACCTGGGTGCTCAGCGACGGGTGCAGCAGGACAAAGAGGATAAAGGCCAGGCTCATCCAGCCCCACCCCTGCTTCACAAAAAGGACGTTGAAGAGATTCGACTTGCGCGCAAAGTAGCTAGGGGCCATGGTTGGGTCCTGCGCGTGGGATTGCGTGACGTGGTCGTACGGCGCAGAGCGCGTCTGCGGTGACAGGACCGAGAAGATGGTGCCAAAGATAAGGGTCGCCGGGAATATGGCCAGACCGATCTGCTCGAGGGGCGTGGGCACGTATGGCGATGATCGTGGCCGCGTAGAGGCTGCGCTGGCGCGCGTAGAGGGCGCTGCCTCTGCCCATGTTTCGGCGCCGCGACGCGTTGTCACCATCGCGAGGCTCTAGAGTATAATGCAGGGGTACGTATGTTTGTTGAAGCGAGGCGAGGACGGTGTTGCATGCGGGACGACAAGTTCATGTTGGAGGGACAAACACACAAATCTTCAGTGTGTCCTGAATGACGTCGACGTCAACATTCCACTTGTGGGGCCCACGATCGACCACCAGCTTGGAAATCCTGGCACGCTTCGACTGGGACGGCTAGTCTAGTAATGAGTTTCATTCTACTAACAACGTCAAGGCCACTGATCAGCGATTAGACCATTGACTGCCGCTAAGATTTCCCTGCTCCAACACGCTTGTGAGGCTGTGGGTTGACGGCTGAGGTGAAGTGGAGCCCTCCCATCCCCGGTCTGACTCCCCAAGTCCTGAGGCTGAGCCACCCTTATAGGTCTCACTAATGAGCAAGATTACCAGCGAAGTAGCTGAAATCGAATTGGTAAAAAACCGAGAACATCTCCCCGTCTCTTCGGAGACCTTCGCTTTTTGTTCAGTAGGGCTCTAGCTTGCAGTACGAATCCCAGTGTCGGGTCTGCCATATCCTTTTTGCATCGTTCGTCACCCTTCTTACGGACATGCAATATAAGTCAAGTAAAGTCGCTCTTCACACTATATACATGGAAAAAAATGCACGTCGTACTACATGGAGGCATTCTCTGCATGAAGGCAGGAGCAGAATATATATCTAAATCAGTAGTATGTAATTCCATTCACATCCAAGAGGCCGCAAGACGCTACACAAGCGAGCAGCTGGCGAGAATGGCAAAAAGGTGCGTCCATGGATAGCACTGGTGTTCGAACTATATATCTTTGACGCAAAAAGCGAAGGTCCTAATTAAAGAACACTGATCAATCCCAAGAGCAATTGAGCTACTTCGCTGGAAATCTTACTGTTACTTTGGTATATGAAGGTCGTCAAGGGGTGGCTTGGTGGGTCTCCCCTCCCTGGCCTGAGTCATTCGCCGGACGACATGAAGAACAGCAACCACATAACATCGGCTATCCAGCTTGCATAAGAAGATCCTTTGCGTCGACAGGGGTCACAAAAACAAACAGCACTATTGTAGCAACGGCCACAGAAGAGAGCCAGGTTCCCTTCATCATCGTTGTATGTATCTATGATATTAGCTCTATAGCTCCCGCCACTTGGATCCAAACCCGCACTTCTTCATTGCGCGTAAGTCGTTACATCATCAATACTTGTCCCTCCTTGCAGAATCCTCCAAGGGGTGCATATCTTTGCCCCGTCTCTTCATATCTTGCTGCGCCTGTCGCACAAGCCCCATCGCCTCTTCGACAACGTCCTGGCCCCTCCGCCATGTGTACAGCGTGATCCCCAGGCGATCGAGCTCCTGGTGCGCACGCTCCAGCCTCCTGTTCCACAGCTCAATCTTCCTGTCGATTGCTGTTGGCTGCTGTGCGCCAAGCTGGGGCGAGCTCGTCGGTGAGCCGGTGCGGGACCGCATGGACGATCGCGCCACGGCCTTGCCTAGAGACAGTGTCGACCCCGGCAGCGGATCGTAGTCAACATCCGAATTTGCGTTGCTCACCACACTGGAAGGCGTGCCACGCCGGCGCGGGGGCGGTGGTTGCGGCGGTACGCGTCCGCTGTCCCGTCTTTGCGCCTGCAATCCTGGCGTGCTGGCGGGGCTGCTGTTAACCGTCTGGGAGGACGGGTTCCGGATCTGCGATAGGGGATGTGGCGCATTCGCTCCGCTGGGCACGGGCTTTCTTGCAGGCAGCGGCGGCGCTGCGTCTTCGTCGGACTTGTTAAGCGAGGACGTGCTCCGCAAGGCCGCTGGCTTGTTCGGTCTCGGTGGCGGGGCCTTGCGAGCGGCAAGTAGATCAGAGGCACTGCCCTTGCGGTGTGCAGGTTGCTTGCGGACTTGATCCAGTGCCTGGGCTTCGTCCCATGCAGCCTGCCGTGGCTCCTCGGACAGATCGATCAGATCGCCCATGGTTGGCCCGCTGGACGGCTCCTGGGCTTGCGGAGCATTGGGTGCCGTGTTCCACCGCCTGCTGCCAGTCTCGTTGAAGCCTTGATCACGGAGGCTGAGGTTGGACACCTTGCTCTTGAGCCCGCCAAACGAGTTCTGGAAAAAGTCGACCCGCTCCGGCGTCGTGACATCGCGGATGAAGATGGCTAGGATACTCTTTGGGTTGGCCATGGCGAGCTCCGTGTAGACCTCGAGATCGGCCTCGCCACTGTCCCCCACGAGGATAAATTTCCGCTGTGGAAAGTCTCGGATGAGGCGCTCGAGTGTAGACTTCTTCCGTTCCGCCACAGGCTCAAAAATGCCCTGAAGCATGCCAGAGTACTGCTTCAAGTGAAGCGAGCCAGGTGGTAGACCACTCAGCTTGAAGTAGCTCGCCAATACGGGGTACAGTTGCCACGGGCTGTTCGAACAGTAGTGAATCTTCACGTCATTGGCGTGCAGTCGCCCATACCACTCCTTGACGCCTTCCACCGTGAGCTCGCCAAGATCCCGCACAAACGTGTTTCGAAAGATCTCCTTTGCGCCGCTCGAAATGTTGGATCGCTTGATTGTGTCGTCGACGTCGCTGATCAAGCTGACGCCGTACGGCTCCGTGATTTGGACCTCTTGGATCGCCGAGAGACCCTCGCTGGCCAGCACCCTGACGTGCGTGGGCACGAAATCCAGTGGCGCCCGAAAGTTAAAGTGCCCGGCGTCGTTGGTAATGACTGTTCGTGACTGCGACTTCGAGTCGTTGTAGAAGAAGATGGTCACAGGCAGCGAGACCGAGGGATTGGTCATAAAAGGGGCTATCCGAGCCATCAGGTTCTTGTTGGCCACCGCAAACTCGGCTTCGCTCATCTCTGTCGAGGAACCACCTGTTGAGTACTGGGTGGCTGTGCGCATCGGGCTGCTGGGTGCGGACCCCGAGCCGTTCCCTTGGCCGGTCTTGTAATTGTACATGCTGCCGGTTTCGCTGTTGTCGAGCTGCGGCCTCTCGCTGTATTCGCCTCGGCCAGCGGCCTGCTTCTCTTGCAGCCCTCGGCGCTCGATTTCTTCCGCCTCGCGCTCTATGCGCTCTTGGTCGCGTTGCGACTCGTGCATTTGGTGTTGTGCGCGGAGTCCTCCCTCGCCGGCGTCAGCAGCTGGCTGCTCCGTTCGTGGGGCTACGATGCCGCTCAGCCTCCGGGCGATCCCAATCAACATGCGGTCCTTCCTGTTCATGGGCCCGGACGAGGGCGAGTAGACCCATCCTCGAACGTCAACGTCGACAATCGCCCTCTCATCCTCATTTCGGTCCCACTCGTTCTTCCAGAAGAGTTCCTCTTGCGTAGCTCCTTGCTGTCCTTGCGTAGCCGACTCGGACGGACTGGACCAGTCTTTCTTCGCATGCCTTTTAGCGTAAGACGGGAACAAAACCATCTGCTCATTTCCCTTTACCCGTATGTCCACATCTGGGAATGCCCCTGGAATGTGCGTCCTCCCATGACCGTCGTGACCTCCATCCAGTACTGGTCTGGTTTGCGCGTACTGTTTCTGGATCTCCGATACTGCCGCCTGCCCTCGGTTGTAGAGCGTGCCGGCCATAGCCGCAATCTTCATCCTTCTGTACCCTTTCTGACCCCATTGTACTTGCTCCTCAGGCCCGCCTGGCGTGGACATCTTACTTTGCTTCGTCGCCGTCTGTCCCCTCAAGACCCTCTGCCCATCTTTCGTGGTGACCCTACGCAGTCGATTCCGTACGTTATACCGGTGATACTGCGGGCCAAGCAGGATGCGTCGTCCGTGCCGCGCAACGACGTCAAGGAGCCGGGTTCCCTGGGCACGACGGCGCTGGCGATCGAGTATGAATCGGTATATGCGAGACTGCAGGCCGCGCTTGAAGCTGGGGAGGGTGTACGCGTGGAAGTCAAGGAGCCGTTCGTGGTAGCGATCGCGGATCGTTCGCGGGAAGAGATAGCGAAGAAGGCTGGTGCGGTTGTGGGGGTGCGGTTTTGGCAAAGGACGCCCGGCGCGCAAGAAACGAAAGGGGAACCTGAATGGAGCCAGCTTGGGCGATTCTTGGTTCGCTGGGGCGAGGTTCGCCCAAGGCCTCTATGTTATCCCAGCTCAGCAGAGCTGCGCACCTGACAGCAAGTCCAATACCGAAGTCCTAGTGCTAGATCGGAGTGTGGAAGTCCAAGGTACCGATTGACTTGGCTGATGCTATTCCAAGGTCTTTAGCGGAGGGTGATTGGCGTTGACTCTGGCGGGTGGGAGGTGCATGCGCGTCTTGTCGGGGCTCGTGATAGTAAAGGTTGGCAGACTGGCTGTCACTTGGCAGGGCACGTTTTGCGTCATGGGATGTCAGGGCGGCTGGATGCCGAGGCCTACCCTGTACACTCAGATGAGTGTGGTGAAATGGCGGTCGACCATTTCAACAACATGCATCCAATTGAATGCTCGAATATCGACACGTAGTCGATGCTATGGCAATGAGCGGAGCGATGTGTACAAACAACAATGATTCCTTTTCGAGGTCAGAACAGCTTTACACATGCATCGGACCACTGTTACCGTGGTTGGCACAAGGGCATGCATCATGCTGTGACCCCCAAGTTAAACAACATGAGGCGATCACGTTGGGGAAAAAGTAGCATATCAGTACAATAAATTGGCGAAAGGCCAATGGCCACTAAGAACAACTCAACATCACTATTTGCCCCTCCCGCGACCCCGACCACGACCACGGCCACCGCCGCCTCCGCCTCCTCTCCCACGAGAACCTCCTCTTGACCCCCCTCGAGATGGACCGTCACGGGCAGGACGGTCTTTCTCGACTCCATCCTCCCGGTCTCCTCGATCCCCTCTATCCGGGCGTCCTCCCCGAGGAGCACCTCGTGAAGAACCCCTTCCGCGACCTCGTGATGAAGGAGCAGCGCTCTTGTCATCTTCATCCCCTCTGTTCTTGCCACCCTTCCAGAGATTGCCCTCCTTTCTCTGCGCCATATTGTCCAAACGCTTCTTGTCCTTGTTGCTCAGCTTGCCGGCGCTTGTCTTCTTCTTCAGCTGGTCGCGAACGCCATTGAGTTCATCAGCACCGGCCTGTTTCGACTTTTGCTTGTCGTCCTGGGTCTCGAACCAGGTTCGCTTCGGTCGTGACTTGATCTCATTCTCGTGCTCAATCAAGTTCTCGCCCTTGCGTACCTGCATCTCGGCAGCAGCGAGCTGCTTCTCCCGCTTCTCCTCTTTCATAATCTCCTCAATCTCGTTGTCCATCTCGTCGATTTGGTCTTGCCACTTGTCCGCATCCGCGGGATCAATGGTTCGGCTTGTGACCTTGGCACCCTGGGCTTTGCCAGCGCGGACGGCAGCCTTGACAACCTTGCGATCAGGCTCCGCCGCCAATGTTACGGCCACACCGGTACGACCGGCACGCGCGGTACGACCAACACGATGGACGTAGATTTCGAGAGATTGTGGCGCCTCGTAGTTGATGACGGTGTCGACACCCTTGATATCAAGACCACGCGAGGCGAGATCCGTAGCGAGCAAATGAGAGACTTTGCCATCTCGGAATTTCTCTACGTTTTCGATACGCTTTGTGGGTTAGCAATGTTTCCATACAGGAACAGGGGTTGGGCTTACCATTGTTTGGTTCATGCTACCGTGAAGTTCGCCGCATGAGAGACCAAGCATGCCAAAGATGATCCTCGCTCGGTGAGCGTCTTTCTTCTGTCGGAAGAACACAATGACCCGTTCGGTATAGAGAGTCTTGCAGAGATGAACCAGATAGCCAAGTCTCTTGTCCTCGCGTCCCGGACGCAGACGCACAAACTCCTGCACCAAGGTGCCGACCGTCCGCTTCTGCGAATCAACCATGAGTCTCACGGGCTTGTTCATTCCCACGCGCACCAAGCGGTCGACAGTCGATGTCATTGTCGCGGAGAACAGCATCGTCTGCCGCGACTTGGGCATCGTGGTCAGAATCTCGTTGAGCTCGTCGGCAAAACCGTCCTCCAGCATGCGATCAGCTTCGTCGAGAACCAGGATCTCCACGGTGTCAACGTTGAAGCTGGCCGAGTTGCGCATGTGATCGATGAAACGACCTGGCGTGGCAATGATCACGTCGGGCCTCAGACGAAGCTCAGCTTCCTGCATCTTCAGACTCAAACCACCAACGGCAAGGGTGAATTTGATGTCAGTAAAGGCAGCGATCTTGGTGGCCACAGCGTGACACTGGATGGCCAGCTCTCGGGTGGGCGTAAGCACCACGACGCGGGTTGTCGGCATCTTGTTCGGGCGGTAAATGAGGCGCTCAAGGATGGGGATGATGAAGGCACCAGTCTTTCCGGAACCTGTAACGGCACCTCCGACAATATCCTTACCCATCAATGCGATGGGGATTGTCTTGTCCTGAATGGGGGTTGGCTTGGTGAATCCGACGTGCGTCAGGCCGCGCATGATTGGGCGCGAGAGGTTCATTCCCAAGAACGACGAGGAATCCTTGTTCTTGCCAGGCTTCGCCTTTTCCTCGGGGGCGAAGAAGGCGTTGCGCTTGGCCTCTTCTTCGGGGTCCTCTTGGTCGCTCGCGTCCGAGTTGTCCTCATCATCGTCTGGATGGTTCATGGGCGTGGCGACCGAGTCGTCGTCTGAGGCGGGCTCGTCACCGTCTTGCAGCTCTGCCTCATCTTCTGACCCGTCCTGGTCTTCCTCGTCGCCCTCCTCATCTTCGGCATCAACGTTCATGCCAAAGGCATCGTCGGCAAGGACTTCGTCGTCATCATCGTCGAGATCCACAGCCATGTCGTTTTCGATCTCGTCATCACCGTCGGCATCCTCGTCAGGCAGAACTGCAGTGGCTTCCCCGTCGACATCGACGTCGGCCTCAGCCCCAGCATCTCCTTTCTTTCCATTCTTCTTCTCCCTCCGTCGGCGGATGATTTCGTCCAGGTCAACGCCCTTCTTCTCCTTCATGTTCTTCTTGGCGCCTTCGAAGCCCCAACCTTCGAACTCGTCTTCGCCCAGATCGCCAGCAGCATCCATCTGGAATTCAAAATCGGAATCCATGGCACCGTCGTCGGCCTCTTTCTTTCCCCAGACGCCTTCTTCGGTTGTTTCGTCAGCTTCTTCATCGTCGTCTTCTGCCTGTTTTCCTTTCTTCGCGTTCTTGCTAGTCTTGGCTTTCTTTCGGGGCGGCTCTGGCGCTAGCTCCTCTTCCTCCTCGATAGGGAGGTCATCATTATCTGATAATGTGTACACAAAATCATCATCGATCGGTCGTTTGTTTGTAGGCGCCATTGCGTCGAAGTTTGCGACAATTATGCAATGGGTCTACGCAGTCTGGTTGTTGCGAAACTCGTCTCGCAGACGACCGTGGGGCATTCCAAAATTTCCAGAGTACCTGCACGGGCTGATTATTTCTGCCGCCAAAAAATTGGGCGGTGAGCCAGCAAGCCTCCATGGCTCCATTTCAAGCTCCGGTCGCTAATAATTCCAGGCGACATGCCTTGGCCTGCACACGTGATGCACTGTGGGGGGGGGGTGCTGTCCAAACCAGCGCGCTGCGCGGCCCGCGATCTTAGGCGACTGAGTCCGCTGTTTTGCCGGTGGTATTGCCCCCCCACCACGCGGTTGATTGGGCGACGGGCTTGATGATCAAAGCACCGCGAATGAGGGTCGATGGGATAATTTCTCTTTCCAAACCTCATTACAGTCTTGACATTTTGCTGCCTAATAACCTTTACTAGGCTTCGACCATAAACTTTGTCTTAAGTCGGCGCATCGGTATTCCCGTCAATTTTCATCTTTGGCAAACGATTCGACAAGCTCCCCTTCCCGCTGTTTACACCCCAAGACTTCACCATGGGCGAGTCACGGTGCGACCTCTTGCGCGTCTAGACACTGTATGCTGTTGCTGACGATAGCCGCCATCAGTCAAGAACTTGTGCAATGGCTGAACAGCCTGCTTCAGCTCAATATCACCAAGGTCGAGCAGTGCGGCACTGGGTATGTGCTGAACTACCCCTCCCCCGCCGAGCCCCTGAAGAAGCATGGCGCCGTGACCGATGGCTGACGACGACAAAGTGCTGCCCTCTGCCAGGTCTTTGACAGCATCTACATGGACGTTCCCATGTCGAGGGTCAAGTTCAATGTGAATAGCGAGTATGCGTACATTCAAAACTTCAAGGTCCTGCAGAGTATGTTGAAAATGCGACGCGAGATGAAACATCGCTGACTTTGCGACAGACACGTTTGCGAAGAAGCAGATCGACAAGCCCATCCCCGTCGAGCAGTTGGTCAAATGCAAGATGCAGGACAATCTCGAGTTCTTGCAGTGGACAAAGAAATTCTGGGACTTGAACTTCCCCGACCACGACTACGATGCCGTCGCGCGCAGAAAGGGAGCCGCTGTCCCGTCCGGAGGTGCAGGTGCCCCTAGAACTGCGACTGCCAGTGCGGGCGCGAGACGGGGGGGAGTCACTCCCAGCGGCGGCGCTAGGGTGGCCAAGGCTGCTGGACCAGGCACCGCCGCCCTGCAAAGCGAGAACGCCACGCTCAAGGAAACCGTCGGCGGTCTCGAGCGAGAGCGCGACTTCTATTTCAGCAAACTGAGGGACATTGAGCTGCTGATTCAACAAGCTGTTGAGGAGGACCCCGAGCTTGAGAAGCAAGAAGACGGCTTGGTAAAGAACATTCAGACCATCCTCTACTCGACAGAAGAGGGCTTCGAGATCCCCGCCGAGGGCGACGCTGTGAGCGACCAGGAGACATTTTGAGGGACGGGAGGCATGGCGTGACCTGTCCACGTTTGTCCCGCGGGGGAAAAGTGAAGCGTTCAGCCTTCGGTTCCTGTCAGAGTTGCAGAAAGGAAGCGAGCGATTGCATAGATGTGGGCCAACCTGAAGACATGCAGCTGTCAAGGGTCAAAACACGACGCGGAAACGAATTATATGACGAAGAGTAATGATGTCTCGTACTTGAATAACCTCAATCCAGTACTCCAACCGCTAGCGTGATGTCGAATGTACAGCCAAGACCGTGACGCTTCAGTGTTGGTCCACAGCAGTGATGACGTCTTGACCTGAGCTTGAGGTTTGAGCGACGTTGTACGAGCCTTCGTACAAGTCGGACAAGAAATGATTCATATTGTGAAGAGTGTTTTCGCAAGTGTGCAAACTATGTCGGAGCGAGTGAACCAGCCAAATGCAACAGCGCATCCCACGGTATGAAGGTGGCGCTAGCGAGTATCATGATGCACCCTGGCCGTCTCCAATCGACCCCCAGCTGCACGGTGCACCCTGCAGCGTGACGCCTCGTCATTCCAGACTTGGGTTGCCTGACGATCGCCTGACGCCCAAGCTCTAACAGCCTCGACAACTTTCTCTTCGTCATCATCATCACCAAAACGCAGCCATCCAGAAACACAGTCATTTGCCACCTGTTCTCAGGCAGGGCATCCCCGACTTTCAATCTGTTGCGATCAAAGCCAATTCAGAGCTAGACAATGGCACCGCCGCCTGAAATTGCGATACCCTCTACCAGCACATCGACTGCGGGCGCTTCGAAGCCATATACACTGTACAACATCACCCTTCGACTGCCCCTCCGATCATACGTCGTTCAGAAGCGTTACAGCGATTTTTCGAACCTCCATAGCACCTTGCGTGAGGCTGTCGGCACACCGCCTCCCGAGCCTCTCCCTGGGAAACACTGGCTCAAAAGCACAGTCAACTCGCCAGAGCTGACGCAGCAACGACAAACAGGGCTTGAGAAGTATCTCAAGGCGATAGCCGAGAGTCCAGATCGGAGATGGAGGGATACATCAGCATGGCGAGCTTTTCTAAATCTGCCTAGCAGCAGCACTACAAACTCGGCTGTGTCAGCAGGTGGCATGGTGGGTAGCAACACCGCTGTCGGAGCGGCAGATCCTCACACGTGGCTAGATATACACCGCGAAGTAAAGGGATGCCTCCACGAGGCGAGGCAGTGCCTTTCACGAAGAGACGGGGCCAGTGACAGTGGGAACAATTCTGCCGCCGCTGAGGCTGGCGCGGCAGCCAAAAAGTCACTGATCAAAGCTGGCACCTTGATCAGTAGCCTCGGCGACGGCCTTCGGAAGATGCAGGAGTCCGGTAGGCTAGGCGATGGGGAGCTACGCCGCAGACGAGATCTCGTGGCAAACGCAAGGATGGAACGCGATGGCATGGAGAAGCTGGCGAATAGCACGCCCTCGCCAGCAGCAGGCAGAGGAGGAGCCAATGCCGATACAAAGGCCGCCAAGTCGGACAGAGCTGACTTGCTACGAGGTGGCAAGCCCGGGGGTCGAGTACTGGGGGCACCACTACCGGAAACCGACAAGACGCGGGAACTGGATAATGAAGGTGTCTTGATGCTTCAACGTCAGGAATTGGAGGAGCAAGATTTGAGTATCAACCAGCTTGCCGCGATCATCGCCCGACAGAAGGATATGGGCGTCCAGATCGGTGAAGAGGTCGACAGGCAAACAAAGATGCTAGAGATGATGGACGAAGATGTCGACCGCGTGTCGGGCAAAGTCAAGGTCGGCAATGCGCGCCTCAAAAAGTTCTGACTGGGGATGATACACGGGTCTGTCAGGGCAATGATCCTAGCTTTCGGAATTATGGCTTGGGTTACCACTGTTCTGAATGGACTCGCAGACGGTTTCGTCTGGGTAGCTGAGATCTTGGCCATTCTGATTGTTCACCCTGGGCGACAATGATCCCCCTTGGCCGCAAACCAGGAGGGATGGACTGAACTTGGCAAGATACCACATGCAGGACATTTACGGCGATAGTCGAGTCGCGAACGGGGCGTACACAGCGACAATGTTTTCTTAGAATGATACCTGGACAATTGCGGCGTTTCGCTTTCTACGCTTTGGCCTTTCTCGTCACGGTGAATGTATTATCCGCATAACTCCATTTTCTAACTACCTCGCCTCGGACTGTTCCACAGCTTAATTGCTAGTGAATCTGTATGGCGTGACGCATACCAACTTCGAAATCGACACTTGTGGTACACGATGCGACATAACTCATGCATGTCGATGCAACCATATCGAATGCGCCCGTAGCCAGGTACATGTCACACCGGTTTATGTCCGCAAGGTGATGCCAGGTGTTGTGGCCAGGTGATACAATTAGTTGAGGGCGGCGTCCAGCTGGATCTCTGATCACCACGGGATCTCCAACTGGTCCCCGCAGTGACAGCGCCGCGCTCTGCACCTAATTACAGGCTACGTCACGTCTTGCGTTCACTATAATTTGGGTGGGTGGGCCAAGGGTTGGTGGTTGCTCTGACAACCACAAGCTTCTACGGTCCCCAATATGCTGTTCTGTTGTTACAGATCTTCCTACACAATGTTGGCGGGAAGTATTGCGAGAAAATCAAGCAATCACCGGGAGAAATTAGCCCTTCAACCAGAATCACGACTGCTTCCTCGGCATAACAATGCTGACAAACGGAAACCCATGCTTGCCACGTCGGTCGTGCTCTTCACAGTGGGGTGGTACTCCAGTCCTTGACCGCCTGCAGGCTCACGGGTCGACGACAACCTCTCAGAGCTCGTTGACAGAATTTTGGCCTGCGGCCAAGAGAACCACAGCACGCCGTGGAGATCATAGGAGAGGAATGGTTCATGTACCCGACAGAAAGCTCTGCGACAAGGGCAGGCCCGGATGGCTTGCGGGCCCAATTGTCTGGTGATCGTTCTCTGCCGTTGACATGATTTGTAGCGATGGGAGGGAACTCAAAGCGACAGATGTCAACAACGTGCAGCGAGTCTTGCGAGTTTCAACGACGCCAATGAGGGGCTTGGCGGCGGATTAGAGGGCCCGGCTCAGCCACTCACGGTAGCAGATCGCCATTAATTGGTGCTCCTCAGTCCCACCCGTCTGGTGTTGGAAGGAAGGAAGGCGTCGTTCACTGGCCACATCCCGTTCCGCCCGCTAAATCGCACTGGCTGCGGAGTCACAGCCCCTGCCACAGCTGGAGCTCAAAGTAAACACGGGCCGCTCCTTCCCAACTTTTTGTCTCAAAGGAGACTCCTCCTCGACCTAGATCGTACACTCCTCATAAACTCAAACCAACGAACGACTTGCGAATCCCCGCTACTAACATATAGATTGCTGTCTTTTCATATTCCCTTTGGGCACGGCTGTTTTCAGTCCTTTGTGCATTGTTTGCTCTATTTGCTTGGTGGGTGCATGCCTCCCGCCCCTTTTGCGTGACGACGCCGTGACGAATCAGGCCAGAACAGGAGTCTAACCAACGATAGCCGAACAAATCTCATGCCTCTCGACCTCATGGCTTCACCGACGCACCTATAGTCTGGGTGACATCAACGACCGCATCATCGACCGCTCGCACCTCGACCCCGACTGCTTGAGCGCCTGTCATGAACGACCAGCCGCCTCCGCCTCCACCACATGGCGGCCATGGCGGCGTTCCGAGGTCTGGAGGTCTACCGCCAGGCAAGTACGACATTTTTGTGATTCCAGAGCATTCAGCTGGCTCGGGATTCCTGTACTTGCCGTCATTGCAGCCGAACATCAATAGCTTCGTCGCGGGATTCGCATCGGCCCTGATCATGGTGGTCCTTGGACAAAGCATGGCACCAGCTTTTCGAAATTGGTGGGATAGCTTCCAAGGGCTGGGCAACGTGGGCATCGCAATGCTGATTGTTGGCGTCGGCTTCGGTGCCTGGGCACTGGGTAGGACTCAGACAGATGGAGGATCTCCATTTGGATCCGGATTCAAGCACAAACCGAGTGCGTCCAGTGGTGGCCCAGGCGCTGGAGGCTTCGGAGGCTACCCAGGTACCTCAGCTGGTGCCGATGGTCCTCCGCCGCCACCGCCGCCTCATGGGAACAGCCCAAAGGGTGGCCACAACCCGAATGGTGGTCCCAGCGGCGGCCCTCCACCGCACGGTGCTCGACAACATGCAGAGGACTATTGGTCCCAACCGAACACGCCTCCCCCACGGAATGAGCCGCCTCCGCCTCCACGACAAGAAACACCTCGACAGGAGGCACCGCCTCCCCCTCCTCCTCCGCCTCGAGAGCCAACACCGCCGCCACCTCCACCTCCCCCTCCGCCACAGGAGGAGAAGAAGGCGGCCCCGAAGCCAGCCCCCAAGCCAGCTCCACCACCGGAGCCAAAGAAGGCGCCCCCACCACCTGAACCAAAGAAACCGGACCCTCCCAAGCCGGAGCCGAAGAAACCCGATCCGAAGAGCTCGTGGGAGAAGGCTCGAGAGCAAACAAAGGCAAACTGGGAGAAGGCCCGGGAAGAAGCTCGCAAGAAGGAAGAGGAACGGAAGGCCAAGGAAGCCGAGCAAAAACGCAAGGAAGAAACTGCAAGACGACTGGCTGAGCTACGTGCAAAGGAGGCCAAGGAACGTCAAGCCCGCGAACTGGAGAAGCAGAGGAAGGAAAGGGAAGCCAAGGAGAGAGAGGAGCGCATCAAGGCAGAGCAGAGAGCCAAGGAGCTGACGGAAAAGCTCGAACGTGAGCGCAAGGAGCGTGAGCGTCTCGAGAAAGAATTCAAGGAACGAGAGGAGAGAGAAAGGGCAGAGAAGGCAAAGCAAGAGAAAGAGAAAGAGGCAGCGGAGGCCAAGTCCGAGAGGCAGGGCAGCAGCTATGCCTTCTCGGGCGTCGGAGAGAAGATGAGCATGTGGCCCAACGGTCGACCTCCCATGCCCAAGTCCTCGCCTGCGCCATCCACAACTTCATCCAGGGCGCCGCCTAGCCCTGAGAAGAAGCCGCCGCCATCGTCTGCGAAATCATACATGAGTGAGGAGACACACTCATATCGACCGTACGACAAGCCGAAGCATACGCCGCGGAAGAAGTCGGGGTCGTCCTTTGTCGGCTCCGAGTCCTCGTTTGCACCCTCGCACACAACGGCTCGCACGTCGCCTCCGCCATCGATGAGAGGCCCCTACTCCACCAAGGACCCTGACAAGATTGTTGTGTCCGCCGTGTACCTGTTCATGAACCAATTCGCAAAAACCCCCGCCAGTCAGCTCATATCTGGTTTTGGTTCGGTCACCGACGGCCTTATTCTCCGCATCACCACCGAAGGGCTCTTTATCGACGACGACCTCCGAGGCGTTCCGCAGCGTGAATGGGACGTCAAGGCGTGGACCCTGGGATGCGTCGAGGTAAGCACCAAGAATTTCTTTCGTGAGGCTTGCAGCATGCTAACAAGGATCAAAGACCGGTAAATGGGAGGCCAAAGGCCTGCACGTACTGCGCGCTTCGTTGCGCGACAAGGAAACCAAGAGGTACCTGTTTGTGATGGACAGGGCAGAAGCTACAAAGATGCATGCTGGCATCTCGCGGCTGCGCAAGGGCAGACAGGTGCGCTCCATGGAGGTCAAGGAGATGTCGACGGGCGAGGCCCGCAAGACGATTGAGATGCTCGGCTGGGTTTGAGGACGGTGCAGAACCCTATGATGAAGCAAGAGACCAGTGAGGAGAGAGGAGGGTTCGGATGGCAGTCATTCTCGGCGAACCTGGGGCATTTAAACGGACAGTAAGCATGGCATGCGGATGATGATCTCAGCGATTGGAACGTGGTTTGCGAGATGTGTTTTGGTCGGATTGGAGTTTGCATTCCACAACATACCCCCCTGATTCTAGACGTCAATACAGTACAGTAAACATTTCGCGAGGGCAATATTATTGTCAAGGAATGAATGAATGTACTTATTTTATTTCGCAAATTGGTATCTGTCTGTCAACTCCTTGCTGCGGAAATCATATACTAACTAGGAACCCAATACAATAATACACTGACTGCGCCAATACCGAACCACACACGCACTGGTAGGTGGTCAGGCCCATGTCAAGTCCTCCGAATCACAACGATAAACTGAGAACGCTCCGGACCCCATCAAGACTTGCAGCTGCCGAGCTCGTAAAGCTCCCAAACTTCAATGGTGCCATCCATCTTCCCCACGCAGAATCGCTGGACACTGTCATCAAACGCCGCCGCCGTGATCATGCTCTCGCTGTTTCTTTCCAGCACAATCTCTTTCGACATGACATCCATAATATCGAATCCGTCTTCCGTCCTGCAGGCGAGGAAGCGTGCGTCGGGGGAGAAGCAAAGGGGCCATCCCTCCTTGGTCCGCCCCGCGGACAGCGAGGACGACGCCAAGCTGCTGTGGTCGGGCACCCAGGTGTACTGCATCCGTCCCCATAGAGAGAAAATCTCGCATCCATCCCTCGACACGCCCACTAATGTCGGGTTCGTGCTGTCCATCTCCAGCCTGGCCACCGTCCTGGTGGTCTTGATGTTGGTGACGCGCAGCGTGCCATCCTTGGACGCCGTGACAAGTGTGCCTTGCGGCGTGAAGACGGTGTGCATGACCAGATCGATGTGGGATGCGATGAGGGCCACCCTCTCGCCCGTCTTGATATCCCAGATGCCAATCCTCACGGGGGAGGAGGCGTCGCGCGCGGCGAGCAGACGCCCGTCCTGAGAGACGGCGATGGGGTTACCGCATGCCCCCTTGATATCGCCCAGTGACTTGCCGCTCCTCACGTCCCGGATGACGATGGTGCTTTCTTGGCTGTTGTCGACGCCGCGCTGGGCCAACCCCTCTCTCACTGTGACTGCTCGAATGGGTTCATTCCGCTTGGCGTGCGTGTAGCTGCCTTTCTCCTCGGGAATGAGGACTGCCGCCGCACCGGAAGACTTGGAGAGTGAGTTCAGGGAGGGGAGAGTGAAGGCGTCGACCCAGGACAGTGCAGGCGTTGAGCGATAGGTAGTGAGCAGTGTGCTGGAAGAGAGAGAGAGAGAGGTGATCTCTGAACGTGCTACGGAGCGACTTGTGAGTAGCTCGAATGAGGATGACCTGCGTCGTGTGAGCTATTGACTTTGATTGCAGGTCTCGTGGCAGAACTTACATGGTGTCAATGACCAGAGCGTGATGAATCTCTAGTGAAGGGTTGTTTAGTGAATGACTTTTAAAGAGGCACTATGTGAAGCCGACGAAAGCGTCCTTGGGGGGGACATCTTGTATATGTACACTTGACATATTGACGCATCGTTCATAGATACTCCCCCCTGAACAACCAGGCCGAAGACTCATAACTGCCTGGTACTGACAACGCGATGCACGCGACGATGCAGCGTTCAGCAGCAGCATTGGCAAGCGATGGCGGCTACGGGCTATGCGCTCGGCGAGACGAATTGGGCTTAGACTGGCGAGGATGACAAACAGGGGCTGACAAAAAAGATGTAGTTTGTATGAAAATAAAAAACTCATTGGCGTCTGCTTTTGATGACCAACATTGAACATGAGGAGCTGAGGCTGCGGGGGCCGATAACGGACGGTGAGAGAGTCACCCCTCGGCAGCACACGACAGGACCAGCTAGACTAATAGTTGTCTGCCGCCTACGTAGCTGAAATCAATAAGAACTGTCGCAATGACAAAGAAACAATACAATTAGTCAACAGGGGAAATAGAAAGAGGGGTTCTGGGATCGATCACGCATTCACCAGCCGAGTGACCGAGTCCAATGTCGATTGTCCATCAAGGTGCAGCAGCAGTTCCAACTATATATTCACAGCTTGCCTGTCCTCCTCTACTACTACTGCCCATACTGATTTACGCAAACGCCTTGTCGTAGCTCACCATGCACGACCTGTAGCGCACCGAGCTCTTCTCCAACTTGTCCATGGCCTGCCTCAGACCGTCGGCGGAGAGCGGGATCTCCTCGACCCACGACTCGATGCCCTTGTCGGCCGCCAGCTGGAGCATCTCGAGCATCTCCTTGCGGCTGCCCAGGTGCGTGCTGCCGATGAAGCAGCCGTTGCCCGCAAAGTCCTGGTTGTGCACCGTGATGCCCTCGCCAGGCATGCCGACCGAGTTCCAGCGGCCGTGCACGTTGAGCAGGGACAGGTACTTGCCGAGCTCGAAGCCATCAAAGGAGCTGGCCGTGTTGACAATGAGGTCGAACGTGTGCTCGTGCTCCTTCTCCCAGCCCGCCTCCTGGGTGGCGATGAAGCCGTCGGCACCCATCTTCCGGGCATCGGCCTCCTTGCTGCGCGAGCGGGAGATGGCCCAGGTCTCCGCGCCGAGGGCCTTGGCGAAGATGACAGCATAGTGGCCCAGACCACCGACGCCGACGATGCCGACCTTTTTGCCGGGCCCGGCGCCGAAGCGCTTGAGAGGGCTGTAGACGGTGATGCCGGCGCACAGCATGGGCGCGGCGTTCGGGCTGCTCAGCTTCTCGGGGATGGGGTACACCCAGTACTCGTGGATGCGCGTGTGGGAAGAGTAGCCACCCTGGGTGGTGTAGCCGGTGTCCAGGTACGGCGCGCCGTACGCGTCGATCTGGTGCTTGCAGTACGTTTCATTGTCGTTCTTGCAGAGGCGGCACTCGAGGCAGGAGTAGACCTGGGCACCGACACCGACGCGCTGGCCCACCTTGGCGAGGGTGACCTTGGGGCCGACCTGGAGGACCTTGCCGACGACCTCGTGGCCCACGGCGAGGGGGTAGGGGCAGTCACCCCAGTCGCCGCTGATGGTGTGCTTGTCGCTGGCGCAGACACCGCAGCACTCGATCTCAATGTCGACGTCGTAGTCGCCAAAGGGACGCGGCTTCCACGAGCCCTTCTTGAAGTCCAGCCAGTTGTCGGCGCTGGGGGCCTGGAAGCCAGAGAACTGCTCGGGGTACGACATGTCGATGGTCTGTGTTCAAGGTGATGTGGTATGGAGGGGAAGGGAAGTGATGATCAGAGGAGGAGGAAGAAGAAGAAGGAGGACGAAGCGAAGAGGGGAATAAAGGAGGAGCAAGACGCGACTGGACCTGGCTTACCTCGAGACGAGTCGATGACCCAGACCAGACGCAGAAAAGACGGCCGTACCGCAAGCAACCCCCACCATCGCGATGAGCCTGGCCGGGGTATGACGCCCCGGACGTCAACGAGGGTCAAGGGAATGAGGGGCAGCGAGGGGTCGGACAGCTGCTCAACTCATGGCAGGGAGAAGAAATTGTCCGTCTGCCATGCGACGCATTGCATGGATGCTTGTTAGCCGTCGGCATGTACGTAAAAGTGCTTGCGACCAGCATCGCGCCCACCATCTCCTGCGAGACCCCGCCGGTACTTTTTGATGCAGCATGGCCCAGTCAGTCCTCTGCTTCCCAACGGAAACCTCCTGTTGCCCATCTCAGCCGGCAATGCCTCGACAACCCCATAGTCGCGTTGCTCACTTGCTCGCCAAGCAGCAGAATTTGCTCGTCTTTCGTCGCAATGGCAGGCGATAGGAGGTGGTGACCCGCCCACTACCTACCCCGATATCATCAAACTGAGGGTCTCGTCGGGGTATCCATCAACCGACGTCTCCAAATCTGGACAACCGACGGGATTCAAGCCATTTTCCCACCAACGACGGGCGATTGGCGACCGACGCGACAGCACGTGATCCGCAATTGGTCGGGTGTCGGGTAACGAGTGAGCAGACGACGAGACAGAACATGGCATGGCTTGGTCCCAAATAATGTTAATGAGCCGAACAGATTTGTTGATGAGCCAGCCAGGTGCCAAGCAGCCTTTTTGGCTTTTCTCTCCCCTATTTCTTCTTCTTCTCCAGTGTCTTCCAAGTCCCTAGCCCAACACCTCTGAGGAAGCAGATCCTCATGAGTGCTCCCAAGTACACAAAGGGCACATTGCCCCAGTCGCCCGCGCTCCAATTCCACACATCGTAGTAGACCTGCGGTCCCAGCGCCTTGAGTGCGTACAGATGCGCAAAGTCGGCAATCAATAGCACGAGCAGCACGGCGCGCCAGACCTGAATGTCGGACGTCGCCCGCAGGATGAGCGCCTCGTTCAGCGCGAAGAAGAGATACATGCTGGCGAGCTGCGACATGGCGACGCTCACAGGCGTCGAGAGCTGTGCATCGGCCGAGGAGGCCGAGGGCGCCGATGCCGAGAGCAGGGAGAGGTAGTATGGTTGATGGACGTGCGTGAAGTAGGCGCCCGTCAGCGCGCCGAGGGGCTCGATGAAGAGGAAGAAGAGGGAGTAGGTGAAGGGAAGGCTGAAGCCAGCCTGAGCCTCGCGGTACCCCATGGCGATGGTGATGGTCACGTATGTTGATGTTGAGACAAAGTTTGAGGCGCTGATCGTCATTGAAGAAATTGTCGGTCACAAATGGGGTAGCTTTCAAACGGGGCTGACCTACCCTAGACCCAGACCCGTAGCCACTATGACATGAACGTAACAAGTGAAACTATCAGCAGTATCTATTCTTGCCTTTCAAAAGATGATGAGTTTCAACTAGAAACTGCATTAAGTCGGGTTTGTCTCATAAATGCGATTACTGCCGTATAGTGGTTCCAAACAGAGATGATAAGTATAGCCCGCTGCCCCTTTTGTATCACCACACCGTGTTTTATCCGTCTCTTTGTTGCTCATTGTGCATTTTGAAAATGTGCAGTCTTTGTTTTTTTGGGAGCCTGTTTTGTTGGAGGCCGGGGAACTGCATCAAATTGTCTCTCCGGAATCTTATTAGACCACACCCCATGGCCGATTAGTAGCTTCATAATCGACTCGCGATCAATGCCTTGCCGCAAAACATCTCTCTCTGTCACGGATCCATTCACTCTAGGACGATCAGTGGAGCCCTTTCTCCTCTGGCAACACCTAGGGCACAGCGAGGGTATTCTTGCCTATGTAGTCTGTGGGATCGATCGCGAAAGGGAGGTACTCGTTCGCGTACTCTCCCCCGTCTGCTTCAATCTTACCAAATGTTTATCTTCGGGCTTGAGCGAACCAAGCATAGACTCACTTCTTGTGGTGTATCCAGCCTAGATACTCACCTCTCACGACTAGACGACTTTCGGCATCAGGCAAAGCGCCGTCATGACATCTACGTGCCATGGCGCGTTCGGAAGCAGCTTCTGGATCGAAACCAGCGGGCCCTCAATTTGGATCCTAAGCGGCTGATCCACTGGCGGCGGATGATGACAATGAGCGGGATCTTGGAGACATTTGGGTATATAGAGAGAATGGGCCACTGCTGTTGGGAAATGGGTTTCACTTGGACTTGAGGCGCGGGAGTTGTGAGAGGAGTTGAGGAGAGACCGCGACATCAAACATGAAGCAGCCAACAGCATACGAAGCAGGCAGCATGTTCACGCGCCATGCGGCCAATCCCCGCGCCGCACAAGGATGCCGTCTTGACCATGACTGTCTTTGAGTAAACACGTAGCAGTGTCTCTAGAGTCGCTAGTTTGGATTTAAAAGAGAAGTTCCCGGTCAGGAATCGCTTTGCAGACATCAATCAATATATGTGTAACAAACAACGTGGGCTGGAGATTGAGAGTCTTTGGCAGCCCAACTCGGTCGGGATCCAAGGAGGAACCCCCCCTGCTCGCAATGAGATCATCACTGCAGTTTCTCAAATAGGCAGCGCAAATCCCGGGGCAACGAAACAAACACCGTGACATGGATCGAGAACTGTGATCTCCGTCAAGAGGGCCACTACATATTACAAGAAGTCAGAGGCTCAGAAGAGAGGCAGACGACTACTCTGCACAGCCTTTGGTCCTATGCCTCAAATGGATTGATGCAACCACCTACCTGGCTATGTCAGCGAATGTCGCCAGCGGAGGCACCTCTGGCTGGGGTCTGGAGAAAAATTGGGTTCCTCGAATCCCGCCCCAAAGAGCCGACGTAGGATATAAATCGTGTGATGGTACGGATACACCGTAACATAGAGAGTCTAACAAAACGCACGCATCAGAGATTAGCATCTAGGTACCAAGTCTCATTTCGGTGCTTTTCACTCACCAACTCGTACCTTGAGTGAAGAGTCCATCTCTCTTCCATGCCACCAGTCCAAACGGAACAAAAGAGCGGGTCCTACCCACATGTAGCCTATGGGGAAGCGCACTGCCCTCTGCCCCTTGTGATGGCAATCAACCCCCTCCGATCCCTCCCTCCATCATACCATCTCCAACCTCTGTTCGCCGCCAAAACTTTAATTTTTTCTTCCAACCATCCCTTTCCTCGGCATCGCCGTCGTAGCGTGCTTGAGCCATCTTTTTTTTCACTCTTCCCGAACGAAATTTCATTTCTTAGTGTCCTTTGCCCCGTGTCTGTGCCTGATCGCCACATTGAGTGGCTGTAACACTCGTTGAACGCAAGGGGTTCGTTCTTGTTTACTGTATGACTTGGATCTCCCCGAATCTACACACGCATCTTCTGTGTCTTTGCTGCATTTCGAATCCTTATTCCGGTGCCCCTTTACGGCAACCTCAGCACGCATCCCTTCGCCTGAACGACGGCTCATTCTCCGATATTCTTGCTGGACGTCTATCCGGCAGAGCGTGAGCCAAGCCGACCCTTGTCCATCCAATTACGAACGAGTCGATTCGTAGATTGGCACAATGTCCAACAACCACCTCTCGCCGCGCGACCCAGCGCCCAGCGAATCCATTTTCGGCGCGATCCCTCACCGCGAGCCCCAGCCGACCTCGTCGTATCCATCCCATCCTCGTATGCGAAGCCTTAGCATGTCTCTGCCGTGGAAGCGACCCAAGACTCCCAGAATAACACTCGATGGCTTGCCGCAGCAAGTGGGCGACCTGGCTATCGACGATGAGACGAGCGAGATGAGGGGCGCGATGGGGCGTCCTCGTGGGCTCAGCCATGGCCACAACCCAGTACACAACCACGGCTTCAAGGGGATGATTCGTCGGGCGTCAACGTCTCTGCGCGGGATTGTCCATCGTCGACCATCCATCGCAGCAGCGGAAGGCGCGATCTGGGAAGAGAAGGAGCAGGTGCCAGGGCCCTCGAGACCAACAACCTCGCATCTGATCGGCCCGCGCTCGAAACATCAGCATGGCGTTCGTCCGGTCCGATCTTTCTACGGCCTCAACACCACGCACGAGTCATCTGCGAACGACGAGCGCCCAGTGTACACCTCGTACCACACTCGTCCAGGCATGGGCGCCGAGCCTCCCTTCATCCCTTATCACTCTGGCGCCGCGGCTAAGGCCTCTGCTGCCATGCACAACGAATATCTTGCCCGATCCGGAGGGCTCTACCACAGCCCGGGCTGGCTGATACCGTATACCAGCGAGGGTAACCACGACGACGAAAGTGGTGTCGGCATCGCTGCGACGATTCCCGAGGCGAAAGAGGCGTACATTGAGCGCGTGAATCCCGTCGCCCGTCTCCCTACCGAGTTGGCCATCCACATCTTTGCTCTGCTGGACGCGTCGACTTTGAGCAAGGCTTGCTTAGTGACATCCGAATGGAACGACTTGATCAAGAATCAACACATCTGGCGGGAGTCGTGCCTGCGCGAAACAACAGGCACATACGCCTTGGGCAGGCCGATAGCTATGAACGCTGGCCTGGGTCTTCCCAAGAACACTCCCGACAAGGACTGGCGCACGATCTACAAGGTCAGGATGGATCTGGAGAGGCATTGGAAGGAGGGCAAAGCCCGCCCAACGTACTTGACAGGGCACACGGACAGTATCTACTGCCACCAATTCGACGAGTAAGTGCACGCACGCCCATGAGACTTGGGAGTCTGGGTACTAACTACGCTTCGTAGGCACAAGATCATCACTGGGTCGCGCGACCGAACCATCCGTGTATGGGATGTCCAGACTCACGAATGTCGCTTTATCATTGGCGCCAGCGAGTTTGTGCAACAACAAGGGGTGCTTCTGGACCAAGATGGCGAGCCGACTCACTGCGCGACGGATTCCGATGGCAAGGTTTCGTCCATGTCCATGCCGCAGCGCCTCTCCTACGACATGCATCACAAGGCCTCGATTCTTTGTCTCCAATATGACGACAGGATGCTCGCGACCGGCTCGTCCGACTCCACTTGTATACTATACGACATCAAGGATAGCTTCCGCCCCTTTCGTCGTTTGCAGCACCATACTGCCGCCGTCCTCGATCTCGCCTTTGACGACAAGCACATTGTCACGTGCAGCAAAGACATCACCATCTGTGTCTGGGATCGAGAGACCGGTACGCTCCTCCGCCAGCTCCAGGGTCATACGGGACCTGTGAACGCTGTGCAGATGCGAGGGAACACGATTGTGTCTTGTTCGGGTGACTTTAAAGTCAAGCTGTGGAACATTGACACGGGCAAGAATATTCGCGAATTCGTTGGCCACACCAAGGGTCTCGCGTGCTCTCAGTTCTCCGAGGATGGACGGTACATTGCGTCCGCAGGCAACGACCAGAAGATTCGCATCTGGGATGCGAACACTGGCGAATGTCTCCGCGTGATGCGTGCCCACCACACGCTGGTCCGCAGTCTACACATCGATTCTGTCAGCGGGCGCCTCGTCAGTGGTAGTTATGATACGGACATCAAGGTCTGGGACATGGACTCGGGGCGGCAGCTCCTTGACTTCCCTCACTGGCACTCCAGCTGGGTACTGAGTGCCAAGAGCGACTATCGCCGCATCGTCAGCACAGGTCCCGATCCCAAGGTTCTGCTGATGGACTTTGGTGCGGGCATAGACGGCATCGATCTTTTGAACAGTGAAGGGCCAGAGACTCAAGGCGGGCAAGGCGGGCTCATTTGATCCGGGGGATCTTTTGCATGCAAGGCGCTTTTTCACCTATAGATTGACTTCTCACTGCGCCGGCAACTTTTGATTGAGCGAGCTTTTCGGTTTGGTTTATCTTTCTTGGCTTTCATCATTGCAGATAGACTGCGTTTACTTGGCGGACCAGCAGAGCTGGATTCTCCGTGGACGCCAATAGGACATACAATTGCCACCGCTGCCCAAATACTGTACCCCAAAACCACTGTAGGATGCCAGGGGAGCTTCAAGCCTACCAAGCTCCGACGGCCCAGAAGGGTAGGAGAGTAGGGTAGCATTCGATGGGGATGCGAACAAAGGGCCGACTTGGGCAGAGCTAGTCGGGGCCAAGATGCTGTTCTTGTTGTTAGGAAGGCTTTTGCTTTTACCGCCGCTAGAGTTCAACACGGCTTGAATGTGTTGCGCTAATGAACCGCGGCCGAGCCTAGGTACCAGTGAGCCTTTCAAGATGGTGTCGACTGTGCATGGTGAGAATGACCACATCGGCAGATGCAGCTGGTCAGGAGGACTGGGCCCTGTGGCACAAGGTGCGAGTGTGTGAATACGTACCAGTTTCCAGAACCTGTTCATTTGGTCACTCACTCCCTCAGACCGGCATTATTAATCATCAGCCATCTGGCCTTTGTTTGGACAATGCGACAGACAGCAAGACGAGATGGCGATCGGCCCGCTGCATCGGTAACTCGGATCACTTTCTTACCAAGGGGGAAGCTGCGAGTCAGCGACCTGGATTCTATGCCGAGAAAGGAAGAAAAGCCGGCAGAAGCGACTAATTAGGAGGAGTGCATGGTCGGCGTCGAAACTCGAAAAGTCGAAACTTGGAATAGTAGGAGGCATCTCGCCGATTCACGACTGCGGAGCAGCCCAGCTGCAGTTCAGGGTTGAAGATCCCCCGCATCGCGCATTAATGCCGCCGCCGCCGGTTGATGGTGGGCCACCCGCCCACTGGGCGATCTCTGAAGAGCGTGACCCTTTCCTTCAGTTTCAGCTTGGGGTGCCAAGCTGTGTCAACTCCTCGAGAGGATCGACCATGGGGAGAGAAAGGATCCTTGAGAGAGACCATGGGGTCGTGTGCGCGGGCTTGTCGTCGGCGCTTCTTAACTCCATGTTCCCTGTGCCTTGTCCGTTTGGCAGCCACTGGCCAGGCTACTGCAAGTGCCGTTTCGATGTCTCAACCATCGCCGCCACGAGATCTCTAGACTCTGCTACCCGTGACCCTACCCGCCGGGCGATGCAAGCAGGTCTTGTGGAATGTTGCTCAAACTCGTCAGCCCCGCCTGGCGCGTGCTAAAGAGGAGATCAAGGGAGTGGCCAGCCACCTGGCAAGTCCATCACGGCTTGTGTCATGCAGCAAGCCTATATGTACGTATAGTCCATACCGCAGGCGTTTGTTCCAGAAGCCGACTCGCGGTGAAGGCAGGCAGACCGCGACTGGCGATGCGCGGAAGATTGGATCTGGCCCTAGTCCATCCATGGCCATGTGCGCTGGTCAAGTGCGCGCGTCGGTCTACTAATCGGGATTAAGCTACGCCATGGTGCGGTATATGGGAGGTTGCTGCAAGGTACGCGACGAAGCTGTTTGGCGAACGATTGGACGGGGGGCGTCTCTATTGAAACAGCACTAGCCGCTCATAAAGGGGTGCCGACGCAGAGTCTCCACTCCCAACGACACCGCAGGGCTCTGCTCACTGCTCACGTCGTCCGTCCACGGGTCCAGTTCGGGTTGACTGAGATTTCCCGGTCCCTCATCGCGCGTCATGTCTTGCGTCCATGCATTCGCGCACTTGGCTGCGCTTCTGTCGTAGAAGTCGCACAGCAGCCAGGATCACCAGCAGCGTCTCCTCTGCCACCGCTTGGCGCTGCCTAGTAGTAGAAGGCGTTTGAGCACCATCGAAGGAGAAAGGAGTCCAACCTCCACTCTTGGCCAAGAGCGCCGGCGGCAACAGTTGAACGATCAGGGCCAAGCGGATTCATGCGAATTGGCGCTGCGCGTACTACATGGCATTCTAGGCGGATGAGTGGACGTGCGGGAGCCGCTCATCGCATTGTGTGTCGGGTCTGTTTGAAACGCCCTTTGCTGCGGCAGCCAATTGTTTCACACTGTTTGCCTCTGCAGGGCTGGCACTGAAGCTGCAAGCATGGCGCAAATGCCAGTAGACGCGACAGCGTCCGATTTTCAGCGCAAAAAAGTAAATGTGAGTCCTCGAGTGGCCTGGCGTTCCGAGTCAGTACGTATCCTATTTTAGGCGGGATGAAACCTGGCAAGGCAAGTGCCGTCGTATATCAACTGCCAATATCAGTGCCGCCTGCCACTCACTTGCTGCTCACCTGCTACTGCCTTTTGTCAAAGTCGACGCATCTTTCCTTCCTTCACTGTTGTGCCTTTTCGCTTCTCGCGATACCCCTTTGGAAGCTCGTTCTAGGCTTCATTTCACTTCTTTTCACTTCACTTCACTGCACTGCACTTCACGACCAACGATCCGCGATCCCTGGCTTTGACACCTTCGCTACGCTGCCGACCTCCCCTGCCTCGGCGGTCTTCATTCTTTTCGGGTTCTATTTCGATTGCCGGCGTGACTGGTTCCCGCCGAGTACTGGCACCAACAAAGCTAGTGGGTGCATTTCTTGATTCTTCTCCATCATCTCACATGCCATGCGCGTGCTCTCTGCGCGTGCAACGTTGTGTCCCCTCTCCGCAGCGCGTCTACTCATCACTAGCACTTGTTCATCTTATTGAGCGGCGCTGCGATCTTTCGGCCCTGGAGGGAGCAAGTGCTTGTTCCAGCTGATCCTCAATGCGACGCTGTAGAGATGACCTTGCGCGGATGCGCGGGCGCAGTAGCCCAAAGGAGAAGCTGCAGGGTTCCTCGGTCGACCCTCGCTCAAATCTTGCCGTCACTTGCCAGAGACGACTGGAGCCCCCATGGGGACGCGTTCTACGAACACACCCTCGGCTGCCAGTGATGGACAGCTGCTGCATCTGATGAGTTCTGTGTTCCTGCGCGTGACGCCTGGCAGCATATGTTCATGCACCGTTCGGACATCATCTGGCGTCACGTCGCTCAACGACTGGCGACTGGACCGACCCCCTATGCTTGTTCACCACCGTCTCCCCAGAACTCCTATTCACTGTCGGTTGTTCTATTAAAGACCACTCAACCTCCTCTCACTCTTCTCTTTCCATCATTGTTCTCAACCGCATCATTCACTCACTGTTCTGCTTCGAAGAACAAGGAGACGGTCTGCATTCCCTCGTCCTCTCCTTTTTATTTCTTACATATCCCTTGCCGTGTACTTTTGGAAACATCAACAACTTCAGCACTTACAGTGGCCTGACCTTTTCAGCATCAACGTTATACTCAAATTCCCTGGTGGAAAACTTATACCTGGCTCTACATCATGATGGGCCTTTCGACCTTTCTCAGCGCTTCGCTGCTGGCCCTGCGTCTCTTCAGTCTCGAGGCCGCAGCGAGCCCTGCGCCGTCTCCGCAAGCCCAGGATGGCTCCGACAGCAGCGTTGCTGCTTCCGACTGGTGGTTCGCCAACATTGAGCGCACTGGCGCCGTTCCCTTTGGCTCAGCTGGCGCGGACTACCCCGTCTTCCGCAACGTCAAGGACTACGGTGCTCTTGGTGACGGCACGACCGATGACACCGTGGCTATCAACGCTGCCATCACTGACGGCGGCAACCGTTGTGGCCTTGGCTGCGACTCTAGCACCACCACACCCGCCCTTGTTTACTTCCCTCCCGGAACCTATGTTGTCTCGAGCCCCATTGTCCAATATTACTACACCCACATGATCGGCGATCTCCAGGATATTCCGACCATCAAGTCGACCCCCGATTTTGCTGGCATGGCCGTCATTGACGCGAACCCATACAGTGATCAAGGCACCAACTGGTTCACCAACCAGAATAACTTTTTCCGTCAGATTCGCAACTTCAAGATCGATATCACTGCGCAGCCCATGACTACTGGCACTGGTATCCACTGGCAAGTCGCTCAAGCGACTTCGCTTCAGAACATTGAATTCTTCATGGTCGAGGACTCAAGCGAGGCGAATGTGCAGCAGGGTATCTTCATGGAGAACGGTTCCGGTGGCTTCATGACCGACCTGATCTTCCACGGCGGTAACTATGGTGCCTTCTTCGGCAGCCAGCAATTCACTGCCCGCAACCTCGAGTTCAACAACTGCAAGACCGCCATCTACCAGATCTGGAACTGGATCTGGAACTACCATGGCCTCGTGGTCAAGAACTGTGGTGTCGGAATCGACCTTACATCCGGCGGCAACTCTCAAACTGTTGGCTCTGTCATTGTCCAGGACGCGACCTTTTCCGATACGCCTGTTGGCATCTCTACCCTCTACGACCCAGGCCAGACCGGCACCAATGGCACCCTGGTCATCGACAACGTCGACTTCTCCTCCAACGTCCCCGCTGCAGTGAAGAATGGTGGAACCGGGGCCACCATCCTCGAGGGAAACCAGGTGGTCGAGTCGTGGATCCAGGGCCGCGCCTACACTGGTTCCCAAGGCGAGGCTGTTCAGGGACCCAAGCCTGGACCTAGCAAGCCTGCCGCCCTTCTTGACGACTCTGGCAAGATGTTCACTCGCAGCAAGCCCCAATACCTCGACGTCCCTGCTTCCAAGTTTGTATCTGTCAAGGCTGCCGGCGCGGTTGGCGACGGTCAGAACGACGATACCGCTGCGATCCAGAAGACCCTTGACAACCTCGCCGAGGACGAGATCGCCTTCTTCCCTCATGGTGCATACATCATCACCGACACTGTCCGCGTCCCTGCCAACATCAAGATCGTCGGTGAGATTTGGCCCATGCTGATGGCTGGTGGCAATACCAACTTCCAGGACCAGGCCAACCCCAAGCCCATGCTTCAGGTCGGCCAGCCCGGCGATGTCGGCAACGTTGAGATTTCCGATTTTATGATTGAGACCAAGGGGCCCCAGCCTGGTGCTATACTCATGGAGTGGAACGTCGAGGGCGCCTCCAAGGGCTCCGCTGGCTTGTGGGATGTCCACTTCCGCGTCGGCGGTTCAGCTGGCACTGACCTCCAGTCGGACAAGTGCTCCAAGACGCCCGAGCAAACGACCCCCGCCAACCCGGAGTGCATTGGCGCGTTCATGCTCATGCATGTGACCAAGTCCTCCAGCATCTACATGGAGAACACGTGGTTGTGGGTGTCTGACCACGAGCTCGACCGCAGTGACTTCAACCAGATCAACATCTACAACGGCCGCGGTATCCTGATCGAGTCGACCAAGGGCGCATGGCTGTGGGGAACTGCATCCGAGCACAACGTTCTGTACAACTACCATTTGCAGGGCGCTCAGAATGTGTACATGACCGTCATCCAGACTGAGACTGCCTACTTCCAGGGCAACCCCGACGCGACCGTCCCCTTTGATACCAACCCTGACTTCTACGACCCCGACTGGGCGCACTGCGACAGCGACCGCTGCCGCAAGACGTGGGGCCTGCGCGTGGTCGACTCGAAGGACATTCTCTTCTACGGTGGAGGCATGTACAGCTTCTTTGAGAACTACACTCAAGAATGTCTCGACACGGAGGATTGCCAGGAGAACATGGTCGACATTGTGAACTCGGACATCAAGATGTACGGTGTCAGCACCAAGGCTAGTGTCAACATCATCTCTTCCAATGGCGAGGGTCTCATGACGCACCTGCCCGACAATGAGAGCATGTTCTGCGCTACCCTGGCGTTCTTCGAGATGTCTGGGTCGACATGAATAGCACACCCTTTCCAAGCGAATAGGGACGGCACATGAGCCCAAGCGCTCACTGGCTGTTGGGAGGGGAAACGACTGCCACTGTGACGGCGAAATAGCAGTACAGGATTCACCAGTACTGGTATACAGAACATCGACACAGTAGCAGAATTGTACATACTTATGCGAAAGCGAAATATACATATGGAGTTCAACTCTGCCTCTCTCACTCATCGTTCCGTGACTTGAGATGCCCTTCGACAGCCGTCAGCCTGTCGTGAGGTAGTGATTTCCCTCCCTAGACTAATGAGGCTAGGACAGCAAACACATTTCCGTCTCAGCGGCATGGACTCTGACCAAGTGCAAAAGCTCAAAAATTGGATGCAGCAAATCCTGATGCTTGCATGACTGTCGGTACAAGTAAGCCAGTTCGCGAACAGAATGTGGTGACTCCTCCCCCTATTCCAAGGGCCGTGCGAGTGGTTTGTAGTCGATGTCAAGCATCGATCATCACCGTGTCGTCAATTGCGCGGGAAGAATCCGTACTCGGGCGTGAGTGGCGCAGGGGTAATCAAGAAGGCCAGCGCTAATAAAGTAGTACCTATCTTTGGGCATATGTCATTATGCCGTCGACGGGCATGCAATTGCATGCACACGCACTTGATCAGCGATCCAGTGATTGAGTGGGTACAAAGTTCATAACTTGCATGCTTGCTTCACCGAGATAGCCTTGGCCCAAGCCAGAGCTTATTCAGAAAATTGAACAAGAGGCCTCTGAAAATTGCTGAGCTGAAGTATCCGGAAAATTCCCTTGGGGACTCGTCCATGACGGACTGCAGCATTGAAGCAGTGGCCGCACCGGGAAGAGCCAAGACTCGGTACGTACCTTTCTTTATGTACTGTTGGCATATCCAGTCCCATATTAACGCGAACGACAGGCGACATCTCCTGGACGGCCCCTTGAAGTTTTGCCGACCCCCCTTCATCGTGATTCTGATCGATCTTCACTCTTCTCTCGCTTCTTGCCCCAACGCCGGGATGTTGGTCGAGCTCAGCCGTGCCGCGTACACGGTATTGATCTTCAGCGCGAGCTACTCCATGTGTCGAATCAGGCCCGTCATCGTGATTTGCTCGTCCTAGGAAGGCCTCAACATCTGGAACGGCAAATTGATAGAAACCCGTCACAGGTGAATGTGCGATTCCAAGTAGTCGGGGATGCACGCACTTTCATCATCTCTGCCGACACAGCTTCCATAACGTAGCGGCACACAGTGTGTTTCAAATAGGCTCGCCCTGCCCGTCGAAATTCAAGAGTCGACACGACAGCCAAGGCCCCGTTTCTCCTCTCGAGAGCCATGGGTAAGAATAAGTCGTCGTACAGTGCCTGTCGCTTTTGTCGACAAAAGCGAGCTCGGGTGAGTTCTTTCCTATGACACGGACAGACATCGCCCATATGCCCAGCCGGGGGCTTTCCAGTGTCGAGAATGCTGGCTTCGCACACACTTGCGCTCACACCATCGCCTCGCTTCCGCATTAACACACCCAGTGCAACGGCTTGCAACCATGCCAACGCTGCGAACAAAGTCAACGAGATTGTGTATACGACGAGAGACCTGGAGAGACCAAGGAGAAGTTGCGAAGCGAACGAAGAGTTCTCCAGGAGCGAGTGCATGCAGCCGATACGGTGTTCCAAGCTGTCGCGCAGGGTTTGGATCGAGACTTTGCCCTCAGAAGCCTCCAGCAACATGTTCCAGTAGAGGAGGTCGCCGCCAAACTCGAAGAGAGGCTCCGTCGCAATGAGCATGAAAACAGCTTGTTGACCGACACAACGCACACGGAGGACAATAGACGCAACTCAAGAATGACCTCCCAAACGCTGCCCACCGTGAATGCGTCCCCTTGGACCATGGGAGCGTCTTTTGATGTGCAACGCCAGGAACATCTGTGGTCCCAGGTACAATCTGGGATCAACAGCACGCCCACCAGCATCCCCAGCATTGAGGCATCGCAGAGCCAGGGAGATTATAGCAGTACCCTTGCATCTCCATTCTCCGTGCAGTCGATGTTGACTGGGTCTCCCAACAGCTCTCAGTCTCCCACAAGTGGCCGACAACCTGAGCAACCAAAAGCAGAAACCGCAGGATACGCGAAGGCGGAGGAACGCGAAAATAACTTCGCAAACTTTGGCCTAATGACGATGCCAGCACCCCAGGTTCGCGAGTTGGTCGACACATTCTTTGAAAGGCAGTATATCCCATTCCCTCTGGTGCAACGGAACCTCTTCATGCGCGACTTTTGTGAACAGGGGCAAACGTACTGTTCGCCGGCTTTGGTCCGTGCGATGTGCTGCTTAGTATGTCGCAACCGTAGTGGGATGACAATGAGTGAACATACAGACGAAGTATTGAGAGACCTCTTCTTCACCGAGGCGTCTCGCTCTGTCAATGTGGACACCTTGTCGCATTGTTCTCTTCCAGATGCACAAGCCCTTGCGCTGCTGGCGCTGTACGAGTTGGAACGAGGCAGTCTGGATTCCGCTTGCCACCGCAGCAATCAAGCAGTCCATCACTTGTACGCCGCCCATGTTGCAATGGGACCAGGGGCCAGTAACGAAAATGCGGTGCTGAGTGCCGTCCGGAGGGACGTCCTCTATGCCGCCATCTCACTCGCACGGTATGTCGTATTTTTCAGGCGTCGTTGCTTTTACTAATCTTGCCCCCAGGATGATTCGACTCGCTATTTCGCATGTAAAAGACGCGGCCAGTTACTGTGTCAAGCGTCAATGGTCCATCGGCATGGACATGATCAACTCGATTGGGTTCCACGTTAATGCCCAAATTGAGCAGCGTGAGTCAGCCCTGTTTCGGTCGCAAGTTCGTCTTCTACCAAACGTGAGATTGACGTCGATGTAGTGCTCAGCTGGACAGAGCCCCGGCCATTTGAATTCTCGTCCGCGTCGTTGAGCATAGGACCGGCATTGAGCCAGCTCACGAGCTGGGTGTACTGCTTTTCGGTGCGAGCCCAGATATTCGTCGATGACGTGCTTCCCGAATCGCTTCTGGATACATATTCCGCGTGTCTAGCCTGGTACGCATCCAAGCTGCAGGCCATCAAGGTCCCAGAAGGCGGCTCAGGGCCTTTCGATCAGTGAGCACCTTGCCTGCTACCCGGAGAAGCTCCACTAACCCAGACGCAGTATGTATTATCACTTCTGTGTACTGGCACTGTTCCGGCCGTTTTGCCATCTGCAATGCGTCACGATGCCCGTGTCTCCGCGACAGGTCTGCCAGGAGTCAGCCGAGGCGGTCCTTGCCATGGGGAAGGCGTGCAAGGATGCCAAGGTCGAGAAATTCGATCTGCCATGTTTCGCGCCATTCTTTCTGCATGGGGCAGGTCTGATAGAAATAGATATTGTCGAGGGTGGGGCTAGAGACGAAGGGGTAGATATGTCGACGATAACGCTGCCGTCGCAGAGCGACCCCTGGCTGTGGCTGGGAGATGCCGTCGAACCTTGGTCCTTGGGCAACAAGGCGTTGAAACAGCTCACGGAACTGTCTGGCCGTTTCGAAGCTGCGCGGAAGTCGCAAGCGGCCTTGAGAGCAGCTTTGCAGGATAGGAGTGGGTTGGTAGAAGACGCGGTGAGGTGACGTGGTCGTTCGGCAAGCGGTTCTGGCTCGGTGACTTGGCTTGGTGCTGTAAAAGCGCAGAAATCGTAAATGAACTGAAGTGTAGCCGGATGTTAGTATCTCGATATGTGATGTTGGAGGAAAGAGGTAGAAGTCTGTGATGATGATGACTGGGTACTACCTAAGGTATGGGTAAACCAAGGCAATCCTCTTGTTTATCCGTAGGTACCTTAAGGTAGGAAAGAAACGCTCACAGGGGCAGGAAGGTGCCACTTAATTACCTGGTCATCTGCAAAGGGTGGAGAAGACACACTCTGATAACCAAGGAAAGAGCCTTTCTCGATACTAATTATCTGACAAGTAAGACAGGTTTGACTGGAAGATGACGGAATTATAACCAACAGGCCGGAGAACAGGAACACTGGTTGACTGACTGACCGATCAGTCCCGCGCTGAGAATCACGCGAGTCCTTCCTTCAGGCAAGGGATTTGCGCGGTGGCGGCATGATACCTACTTAAGTAGTAGATGACTAGGCCGACTGTGTGAGGGTACCCCCAACCACTGGCGCGCGATGTCCGGATCTCGATCAATAAAGTACTTTTTATATCACTCCCCCAGTCTTCTGGGTCCCAATAGTTTCCAGGATAAATATTCGCCACACAGGCTGGTACGTGGAGAGGTCCCTGACCTTGTCACAGACTCACAGTCGTTGCATGTGTTACACACGTTGATTTTGACGTGACCAGACCGACTTACGTGTGGACTGTCAGCACTCGGCAGTTAATTAGTTCGGAATTCAATGACTCTTCTTATCCCTTGCTGACAGACTTAATAGGGCGCCTAGGTAACTACCCGATAGGCTACCAGTATGTTGTGACTGTGGCCCCCTGGCCCCTTCGGCCAGAGTGGAAAGGGGTTGACGCACTAATTACTAGTACACGGCAAAACGCCACGTAACTCACAGCAACGATGAGTAGGAAATACAACATGAATTCAATGGACTGACAAATGTACAGTGATTTTTAAATAAAGGCCGCTCGTGGTAATGCTCATAATGTCCCAACCCTCTCTCCCTTTCTCTTATACACAGTTGCCGTGCAAATACGCTAGACTAGAGCCAACCGATATCATTGTGTGTAGTTTTGTAATGTTGCGCCGGACCGTGTATCAATCATGCCGTGAGTTATTGCTGTCACCCATTAGGTTCATGTGCATGATCGCGTCCTGCTCCCACGAGTGTCGGGAAGCGGTGTCGTCCCCTCCCCAGAAATCCATGCCTTCGCGCCCGTCTACACCAGGCAATCGGATCTGTGGTGGTACGTGGCCATCCCCAGATCTCGATTGCGGCTTCGGTCCGACCGTTGGTGGCGGGCCATGCTCATCGTAGCGCCGGGATTCTGTGTGGTTGTCTTCACGACCGCCGTGTGGCCGTTGTTGCGGCCCTTGCGAGCCGCCGTCAGCAAAGAAGCCCTCGAAATCCCGAGACGGCTGCAGGCTCGTTGGTGTCTTGTCGGCGTCGTCTGGCAGCATGCCCATGGGGTGTGGCGCCTGGGGCATGTCGGCAATCCTGTCCATCTGCTGCTCAAACTCCTCTTGCTCCATGATCCGCGGAGCTTGCTCCACTTGACGTAGGCTTGACGCACCGGCAGCGCCTCCAGAGCTGCGGGCACTCATGGTCGAGTGTCGCTGCGTTGCACCCGCTGCATCCTCGCCCATGGCAGAGGGGTCCACGTCACGGATGGCAAACTGAGCCAACGTCCGCATCTTGCGCGACACCCAGTTGCCCAGAAGCTTGCCACGCTGCTTCTCGCCGAGACGCGATCGGTAGAACTCACCCTTGCTGACAAAGGCAACAATGTCCACGATTATCTGGTGTTCGCTGAGAATGGCGTTGACGATGACGGGCACCAGCGAAGCCAGATACGACCGTCGCGACACTTCCACCAAGACAACGACGAGTCCGCCGGCCTGGAATACGGCACTGTTCTTTTGTTAGCGATATTTCCGCCCCAGTCAGTTCACCGTAGACTTACCATCCACCCGGGACGATCTGGCGGTGGCAACGCTCTACAGAATATTCAATGTCCAACGGGAAGTGGCTGAGACCGTTGATCTCAAAGGTTTCGCCAATGCTACCAATGACAAAGAGAACCTGCATGTCGACGAGCGCACCGCCAGGACCAATTGGCCGACTGATGTTATGCAGGAAACCAAGGTCACCTGTGCGGATATACTGCGCGTTGGGATTGCCATCCACCGTCCGACCGTCGAATCGCTCTGCGTCAAACGCGTCCTTCGACCCATAGAACGACTTGACGCAAGCTTCAGAGTCCACCCAGATCTCTCCATACTCACCCTCGTGACAATGCTCCCTGCTCTCCGGGTTCACAATCGCAATCTGCGTGGAAACCGGGACCATGCCCGAGTCCTGGATGAGAAGGGCATTCGGGTCCGATTCAGGGTCCACGGGCATAATCAGTCCCCGGCGGAGCGCCTTCATATCCAGCCAAAGCTCAATGGGCTCGATACACATGTACGACCGGGACGCCACCATCGGGTTCAGGACATGGGAGTAGATGGTGTTGATAGCGGTCCTGTCCAGCCCGGCGGCGGCAAAGTGTAGTCGGACCTTTTGGAACACATCGACGCGTGGACGACCGTCGGCGGTGATCATCAAGTTCTTGAGCTCGTGCAGGGTGAAGCCCTTGGCCTGCATCGTGGCCATGGCGTGATCCAGCATCTGTGGCGTCGCATATGTGTCCTTGATCTTATAGCGCGACAATGTGACAAAGAGCGACATTGGGTTCTGCGCAAACTCGACAGGCGACAGGAGGTAGGTGGGCGTACCAATGTAAATACCCATGAGACATGAGTGTATGAAGCCCAGTCCAGTAGTACTCCGGACACATCCCAGCACGGGACGGGAGCTCGTCATCTGACAGGTTTCCTTCTGCACCTTGCACATTCCCATGATTGTGTCATGACCAAGCTGCACGGCAATGCGGCGTTGGTCTGGTGTCCAGTACGTCCAGACGATGACGGGGTATCCTGGACGAATCCATGCTGGATCGATAGTGAACCCCAGATCGCGGAGACCGCTGCTCTGCTTTGGCGGCTTCGTGGTATTGTACGTGGGCGGGATATTGATCTTGAGCACTTGTGCTGACTGCTTGATGTGGTTGGCGACTGGCTTGCTTCTAAGAAGATGGTCGACGTCCTGGTTGACAAGAACAGCCTTGATCTTGTAATCCGAGATGATGTGCAGGTACGCTGGGACGTCCTCGTTCAACCTATTTTGATCCAGCGGTGCCATGGGGATGATAACCGCTCCAAGGTTGATGCACGCATGTACAGCAAAGACGAAATCTTCCGAGTGGGTGTACATGAGGACCAAATGGTCTCCTGGTCGGACCTTGACCTTGTTTTTGAGATACATGGCCACCGAGGCCACTCTGATGTCGAACTTTTTCCAATTCAGCCCTTTACCCTCGCGACCGCGGCCATCGATCGTGCAGTAGGATAGTTCCTCGGGCTGGCGAGCCACTCGCCACTGGATCAGATCGGTGATGCAGGAGAAGTTATTGAGGGGCGTGGACGTGCGATCATCAATGACAACCTCGCGGCGGTCGATACCCGAGTATTGCTTGTCGGCTGGGTGCAGAACGGCGGCACGAGAATCGGAGGCCAGTTGCGACCAGATGCCTCCGATAGGGTCAACACCCACTGGCAAGTTAAGCACAGCGTGTTCGACGCCGAACTTTGTGTGCACGCAGGGCAGGTTGCCCAGGTCGAACTCACGACGGCACAGCATGTTGCCAATCTCCCGACGTCCGTTTTTGATGACCCGGGGGAGCGAGTTGGGCGCTGTGATGAGCACGCAGTACAGTCGAAGGTGGTGCTCTTGCATGAGCACTTCCATGCAGCGCTCGGCAATGGAGTCTAGCATAGCCGTGTCGATCTGCCTGGGAGGCCCTCCTGATGTGGCTGGCGCCGTTGAGGCCGCGGACGTCTCGACCACGACCACGGGAAGATGCTCATCGTTGACAAAGACATCGAATGCGGAGCAATCAAAAATCTTGGACACCTTCTTCACGATACTGACTACAATGTGCTGTACGAAGAAGTGCCTGTACTCGGCAACCTCGTGTCCGTGCTCGGTCCACTCGACCTTTTGTCGGATGCGGTCTTCGTACAAGCCAAGGATGAAGATCTTGCCTTGAATCACGGTGCCGAGAAGACCAGTTCGCAGGAACTCTGGTTCGACGGGCGTTGGCGTTGGCTCCCCGGGTTCAAACTTGTAGGGTCTCGCATGGAAAATGGCCTCAGTGTTCTTAGGCTGTGCCCAGAAACCACCGGAGAGGGATGGTGAGTCCACCCAGATTTCACCCACAGAATGCGCGGAGGCCAGGAGGCCAGTTTCGGGGTCCACGACTGCCAGGGTCGCGTCTGGAATCGGATAGCCGAAAGCACCCACGCGAACAGCACCGGGATCGTTCTCGGCCTTCTTCCTTGCCTCTTCCCCAACAGCCAGGACAACAACCTCGTTGGTCTTGAGAGCCTCGCGATCAAGCAGTACCTCATTGACCTCCGTATTCGATCGTTGCTCGGTCTTCTTTGTTGTGTTGCCAACCAGAAGACTGCCGAACCCGGTAGACGGCGCGGCCGTGTCTTCTCGCTTCTCGTCGTCGACTTCCTCCACGCCAGAGTCCTCCTCGGACCCCAGCTCGAGGTTCAATGGCACTCCCATGCGCTGCTCGCCACCTAGCCAGTCTCGCATGCTGATAATCATACCACCGTGCTCGGGCAAGCAGAGCATTGGCGCCACGGCATCCCTGGCTCTGGCGTTCCTGAGTGGACGCAGCCACCGGTCGGCCAGCACTTCGTGGAACTCGCTATCCACAGTCAATGTGTCAATCAGACACAGTTTTATAGCTTGGAAATTCGGCTCCACCCCCTTTTTGAAGTTCCTCGTCGTCATGGGGTCTTGCAGGTAGTTGTAGACCGCACGCTTCAACCCCGGATAGTCGGCAACCAGCACAGTCGCTCGGTACTTTGTGATCAGGTATGCGTAGAGACCAGGCGAGTCTACCGCCTTGTTGTCGAACCAGACATGAGTGTGGCCACCGTAAATGTTCAGGAGGACGCCGAGGATCATGCCAATGCCCTGTCGGGGATCCAGGTACGAAAGCATACGCTCACTTCCACCTCCGCCGCCTATCAATTTGCCGTTCTTATCTCGCAACGATGGGTTGAAGGTGTCGCCCTGTCCGTTTCGAGGGATCGTAGAGACCATGGCGCTGAGGCAGGCCATCTGATGCATGATAGTCCTGTGACTGAGCACAACGCCACGTAGATCGCCCGTAGGAGCTCTAGAAAACTCAATGTACGCCAGGTCCGGGACCGTCAAGGGAGGTACCTCATCCTTTCGTTTGGGGTGATAACTGCCAAATTCGTTCGTTTTCCACCACTCGACACCTTTGGGCCACGTGAGTTTCTGGGTGGTGATATCGCGCTGAAAGGCCTTGAGGTTGTTATCCGTCGTGAGAGCCAGGTGCGCTTGCGTCGATGTCAGAATGTAGTTGAGTCGCTGGTAGTCTTGCAGATCGTTTATGGGCACCGCTACGACGCCAGCAATAAAACAGCCCATGAGTGCAATGGCAAAATCAATAATCTCGCTGTCCCGGTACACGAGAGCGACGCGATCACCTCGGTATAGCGAGCTCTTGTCTCTGATGACTTGCGCGACCTTTTCCGCGCGCGACGCGAGCTTATCCCAAGTGATGGATGCAGTCTCTTTTCCTTTGCTGTCCAAGACCCAATATGCCGGAACCTTGGGGGTTGTTCTGGCCCTGTGGCGGAGGATGGCCGCCATGTTGTCAAACTTTGACATGGGCGTATTGGGATCATGAGGGTCGTGAATCGCAAACGGTACCTCGCGAGGTTCGAGAGGGAGCTGGTATTCAAGGGCCTCTGGCCCGGGCAGATCGTTGGCTGTAAGCATTGGAGGCGCCATGGCGGCCGTAGGCGAGAATGGGTCGTTCAAGGAGTACCGCTGCTGGCCGCCATACTCGCCGTGGTCGGTCGACTGATTCTGATCATAGTGCTGCTGACCTGCAAAGTCGGAAAAGAATCCCTGCGAGTCGAGCAATGTGCCGGTTCGCCCATCGTATTGTTGTGCTGCTTGATAGTCTTGTGGCGGGTAATCATGGTATGCGCCATGTTGTTCCGGGTTGAAAGCATAGTCGCCTGAGACCATGGTACCACTTCTTGAGTGCGCATCGGTGGCGCCCGCGCCAGCCGTCAGGAATAGAGAGTCTCGCTGCGAGATTCCGGGTCGGTCGTTGATCGGGCCGGCTCCTGGGCGCAGGAGGGCTGGAGTCGCTGATGGCGATGTATGAAATGCAGGACTTGCGCCGCCGTAGGAGGACTCGGGTCGGTATACTGGAGAGCCCTGCTCGGAATCCAGCTGACTAGCGCCCATGGAAGCCCGGGCCGCCGCTCTGTGACCATCGGATGGCTGATACGCCGAGGCATCGGGGTCGTGAAGTCGCAGGCCACCTCGGGGTGGTTGCGGTTGTTCGGGCTGTTGCTGATGCGGGGCGAAGTTGTATTGCGACAGGAGCTGTGCTCGTCGTTTCTGGTACCTGGGGGCTAGTCAGTGTGTGAAAAGAAGACTGTCTGCTCAGATTTTCGACTGCTGACCCCTTTTCTGTGATGTCTCCTTCCTGGAACGAGATTGGTTAGCCATTGCAGTGCCGAGGGCAGAGACAGAGGTGGGATGGGTGAATAGGCGCCAGACATACCTCGAGGTCTCGCTGAAGCTCGTCGAGCCTGGCTTGCAGCTCGGGATCCATTTCAGCCATGGCGTACAAAGTCCTCGAGTGCAATTGCGAGGCACGGCCTTTGGGTGGTCAAAACAGCAAAGCACGTGCTGAAGCGAGCGGCAGCACAATGAACAGCGGGTGGTGATGGATGGACGGGTGTTGGATGGGACTGGAGGCGGACGTCGGGAACTGGGTCCACCGACGTACTACATTCGGTTTAGTGGCACCTGACATCAAGTACCGATACGAGGACTGGAGCTGTCGACTTGGGCTGGCCAGATGCTCATCCAAGAGCCTCAGTCCAATATAGGTAATTTTTATATGCTTGCTAGGCAATTTCGAGCAAGCAATAGAACGATTCCAAACTTAGATTCTCGATTCCCCGAGCTCTGAACCTCCGTCCCATTCACAGCTCACCTTGACAGTGACATTGGCCAACAGGCGAATTTTCTAGTGGCGCAGGGACGAACAGTGGGGTCTTTTCTCCCAGTGTGACGTATTTCTCCAGGCCTGGCTGGACTAGCTTCAGGGATCTCCTGTCTTCACTCCTCAACTCCCAACGGCTTTCCTGCGCAAGCTTCATTTCGGTGACGTTCGCTGTGTGCTGTTGGCGACAGGGCCATTGCAATCACAGTGGAAAGCAAGTCGCCAGCGGACAGCAGTCCACGCCCAACCTGTCAACATGTTTGCCCGCTCGAGTCGTTCGTTTGCTCTGCTGCTCGCCAGAGAACACAAAGCCTGCCTTTGTCCAGCGTTCTCACAAGACTCGACCGACTGTCGCTCTCCAATCAGAAGAGAAGACTGAACTACACTCTCTTTGTCTCTTCATCTTTCTTCACCCCACTCCTTCTCATTGCTTCGAGCTGAGACAAGACCTCGAGCTTGTTTCATACTGAGTGAAACCGTGAGACCAGTACTGACATGCCTCACAAGCAGACAATGACATGAACAATGACCGCGACTGTCGAAGTGCCCCGAAGGCGTAGGTGCGGCCTCAGCCTACCAGACCTTCAAAACGAAGCCCCGAGGCCTATTGTCCCTGTCTATGACTTTCTCTTGTGAAAGTGTTCTGTAATTGTTCGACAGCTTCAAGGTCCAGGAGACAAGGGCCATGTCGTCGAACTCTTGTCACTTGCTCCTTTCAAGGCCCAATGCGACTTGTCCGTCTCCTTGTTCCTCGTGAGTTCGAAGATGAGGCTCTTGTACGTGGGCGTTCCGCCACAGACGAATACATATATCAAGGCTCTGCGAACAGAAAGTTCTCGGTATGAAGTCTTAGAACGACTCATACATCAGACAACTCATCGCAACGACTTGCCCACCCAGCAGTCCAAACACAGCGTAAGAAAATGAATGCACAGTATTCTGGCACAGACATGCAGGGGGTTGGTGAGGCGTCGTGGAACGGCACCATGAACCCCCGGGATATGTATGGTGGCGACTGCAGTACGACTATCGACGGCTTCAGCAACTCGGCCGATCTCAGCAGTGATTACGCGCCCCCGGATCTTCCCAAAGACCCTTATTGTTACCCAAATGACTCTTGGCCTATCCCTAATCTCGACCTCGGTACTTGGAACGCTCCTCAGCTCACGGATGCGACCAAGCCCATGACTCTTGCTCAGCCGGCCCCCCAGGCAGCATGGAAAACGAACGGGCGTTGTCTAACAAGAAGCAAACCGACAGATATGACCTTGAGTCTACCCCAACAAGGGCTCGAAAACGATTACAGATTAGCAGCGACCACCAAGGCTTTCACGGTCTACAAGAACAGCCCAAGAACATCTGCTGACTGCAGTTCCAAGGCGACCGCTCTCCCGGCTGTGTATGACGAGGAGCGCCAGATGTACTACGTCCGCATAGACAACAACTTGCAGTCGTCACCGCGCAAGGGTGACATTGCGTGGATCTCGAGCCTTTCGGCACATTCGACCGCAACAAAAGCGCGTGTCGAGGAGCAGGCCGGCCCCGCCAGGAGGAGTCGCAAGAGACGCTTCAGTCAATCCGCCTCAGGCGAAGACGAAGACGATAAAACGAAGGAGTGTATTGATTATAGCCGCAACGCCAAGAAGAAGCGCCTGTCAGCCGCAGACCCCGCGCGTGTCTATGGAAAGTACCAGGGGCCCCCGCCTCCGTGGACGATTGCCCAGGAGAACGGCGAGACCTGCAAGATTGAGTACAACAAGGAAGGACGAATCATGCCAGGGACATATCTGAGCGCCAACCAGATCAAGGGCTACATTGAGCAGAATCCGCGCAAGGACATCACCATGTGGTTGCAGAATTTCCCTGCCCAATGTAAGCAACGCACCCTGGGCGATGTGCAATGTCTGTGGCGCGAGTGCCCCAGCAGAAACCAGAAGATTCGCCAGGGATGGCATCAGATTGCGTTTGACGAGTATCCTCAGGAGACGACGAGTGGTGAGCGAGATCCCTTTAGGGTGGCTGCGCACATGCATCTCTGGTGCTTTGAGCAGTGCTTTGACCCACTTCCCTTGTTCGAAGCCCAAGTCCTCAAGCCCGATGCTCGCGTGCTTGAAAAGGAGGGGCGCCAGCCATTCTCAATCACCCGCGACTACAAGATGATTGTGCAGGAGGCCATCGAGCCATGGCGCAAGACACATGCCGCTGACGGGCCAACTTCCCTCCCTCGGGCTCACGAGCAGACATTGGCTTACCAGCTTGTGCAATACCATCTGGAGAACCAAATCACGGCGCGCTCGGAGCTCAGGGAGGCCCGCAACCTTAAGAAGCAAGACAAGGGCGCGCCCGCTCGGACCATTGAGACGCACAAGGGGAGTTTGATCGTGTACTGCGAAAAGGAGCTGTCTCCCTCGCGCAACGCCCAGAACCCATACCCAAGGACCGGCGATGATGCCCTGCAGACCTTCCCACAAGAGTGGCTCGCGGATCCTCGAGGGCTGATCAACTATCACACGGATGAGTTCAATCTTGAGTATACTGACTATGAAGCGGATGCTGCAATTATGGCGGATGACCCCACAAAGCTCTTCGAGCTAGGCGCCTGGCCCGAGACGGACGCCAACACGACGGACGCCAACATTCATCCTTCGCTGCGTGATGACGGTGACAGTTTTTGGGATCAAGGCCAAGTGGCCCTGCCTCCTGTCAGCCTTGAGCCGGCTCCTGATGGGTACGCGCCGGCTCCTCCTATGTATGAGCCGCTTACTGAATTGTGTCCGCCGCCTCTAGGCCTGGACGATGGTAGCGCGGCGCTTGCTGCCGACGGTTTGAGCGTGGAAGAACAAGTCGCAACGTTCCTGGCAGGTGCAACTTATGGAGAACTTGGGTTCGCTGCATAAGTAGTCTGGCAGGCACGGCCCTTATGAGCGAGTGCTCGTGTGAAGGGGCCCGAAACTGTCCGGTTTGTACTATATGTATTCTCTGAAGCTGTGTGCAGGTTACAAATAGATTCACGGTAAAGAATTGGAATATGATACTCGCTATTCGTCGTTACATGTCGGGTCTCCTTGGCACTACTCTCAGTGATTTGCAATTCTGGAGCAAGAAAGAACATCCCGAGTCACGTTATGTTTGTCGTCGTATGATTGTGTCGCCCTACCTTTTGGATGTACGGAGTAACTAGTTGGGCGCAGGTTCCGCAAACCCTGCAGGACTCGACGGCATCGCCGAAAGGGAGGGTGGAGCTCGGGTCCGTCACGTCTCCGCGCGCGCATAAGAAAGAGAGATCCCTGATTAGTCCTCAAAGAACGGTCGTGGACAAAGACAAGTTATAATTATTCTCATGTGAACCAGCGCCAACTAGCGATTGAGCACCTGTTGTTCAATGTTTCGCATAAGTAGGCGCCTATGTCCGCCATTTCAAGCATAAGCACTTACTACCATTGGTTTCTCAAGCGTTCCCACTAGTCACAGTGAATCGCCGCAACTTGCATGCAAGCCTTGCTACTCTACTTGAACACACATCTTCCTCCATTCCATTCGCTGGCGAGGTCACACAGGCCAAACAATTCTCTGCTTGCTTGCATCAACGCCTGCGCCGACAGAAAGTCACGTGGCACCTGTACCGTCACAGCAGCGGGCTGCACCTGCCAGAGACCAGACCAGACGGCCGACGGTCGGTCACTTCTTCCCTCGCCCAGCCGGCAGGCAGGCGCGTCATTCCTTCGAGGCTTCAAGTTGCTGCCTTGCTGTTTGGGCTAATTCAGTCGCTCCCTCGTCCCCAATTTCAATTCTCTCAATTGTAGCCTTTCGTTCTTTGCTCCCTTTGGCGCAGAGAACAGTCAACTCGGGGACTCGGCGCGGCTAGGCGCATATTGACGAGCATCAACACCGGGGCTTGGCAACATCGCTCCCCGTACTCCGTACACGACAACACGCATCAAAATGCTAGCAGATGCGAATGCAAAGGACTCGGCTCTGCAGGTCATTGTTCTGGTGAGTTTGGTCCGTTGTGTTTTATTTCCATCCTTTCCGGCGGCCTTCAAGGCAAGGTGGGCTACCTGTTCTGTTCGAAGCACAATGTGACAGGTCACGCATTTTGATATCCTCGACCGAGCTCATCGTACCACGTGCGGGCTACCTGGCTTCAAGCCTCGAAAATGCTCTTACCAGGACTGCGTACTATGACTGCACGCAGTCATGTATACAATGCCCTTTACTTGCTTGAAGATGAGCCTCCCTCACAACAGGGACTAACAGTGATCAGGGTTCCAGTGGTGGACCTATTGAGTCAAATACGACATCCTTCCTCGTTCGCTCCGTATCGCAAGACTGGCGCAAGGGTTCGGTCATTGGCGTCGACGCAGGCGTGCACCTTTCCGTCATCATTCGCATTCTAAGGGAGACCTTGCCTTCACCACTGCCATCACAACCGTACACCGTCACAAAGGGTCCCTTTGCCGGTCTCTCGCTGCCTCACAAGACGCCCGAAGCCAACGCGGCATACATTACAAGCTCACTCGTGGAGGCCTATCTCATCACCCACCCCCATCTCGACCACATTGCCGGTTTTGTTGTGAACACGGCTGGGCCCCCAGGCGTGCGACCCAAGAAGCTCGCTGGACTGCCCAGCACCATCAATGCTTTCAAAAACCACATCTTCAACAACGTCATCTGGCCGAACCTAAGCGACGAAAGCAACGGGGCCGGACTGGTCACGTACTTGCGACTGGTGGAAGGTGGATCGCCCGCGTTAGGGGATGGCGAAGGCAGGGGGTACTCTGAAATCTGCGATGGTCTGCTCGTCAAGATTTGGGGCGTGAGTCACGGGCATTGCATAGAGAAGCACAGTCACCGTGGTTCGGTGTCGAGTGCCTCGGGTCACGAAACCACGACTTTCGCGACACCGCGGAGAGAAACGCGCGGCTCGCATTCGACACAGAGACGGCAAAGCCTGCTCAGTCACTCAAGCTTGAGCGGTGGCTCCCCTGGTGTCGAATCTGAGCAGTACTGCGTGTATGACTCCAGCGCATACTTCATTCAAGACGAGGCGCGACGGCGAGAGGTCCTGATATTTGGCGATGTCGAGCCGGACAGCATCTCTCTGTCGCCGAGGAATCTGCATATATGGCAGGAAGCTGCACCTAGGATCGTGTCGGGAAGCCTGGCGGCGGTCTTTATTGAGTGCAGCTTTGACGACAGCCGAAGCAATGACCGCCTCTTTGGCCATCTTAAGCCCGTCTTCGTGATGGAGGAGCTCCGGGTGCTGGCTGCTGAGGTCGCGGCGGCGCGAAGAACGCAACACATCCAGCAAGAGCCAAATAAGAAGCGCAAACGTATCGGCCACGAAGGACCCGTGTCACGGCTTGTGCCCAGAAATGCTTCGGGCGGCGAGTCAACTTCGCCAAAGTCTTTGAGGGAGCTTGCAGGCGACAATGGGCAGCAGGCTGTGCGGAGCAGCAGCAGGAAGCGAAGGTTGGTAAACGGCGAGCAGCCGGAGCTCGTGCATCCACTTGCGGCGCAAGAAAACATGATGTGTCCGCCCTATCCCGTCCATGAGTCGATAAGGCAGTTAGCGGGGCTCAAGGTCGTCATCATCCACGTGAAGGAGAAGATGACAGACGAGCCTGACGTCGGTGAAACGATACTTGAAGAGCTGCTGGCACACGAGAAGGAGACGCAACTGGGTTGCGAGTTCCACATTGCGACATCGGGTCAGAGCTTCTATTTCTGAAGTAGTTGATGATGTGTGTCAGCCTTTATGTTGGAGTTTTTGGCGCGAATCGGTATGTGGACGCGGGTCCTTGGGTAAGGTCTGGTTTTCTATATGATCTTCCGTCTCTCTATGCTATATATATCCTTCTGGTTATGATTGAAGCACGCTCTGAATCGATTGATCGGTTTACTTGCTTTCCGTCTTCTTGAGCTTGTCGTAGCCTTCTTGGCCGCCGAGGTTCTTCTCCCAATCCGGCCGAGGAAGCTCAAAAGCCTGCGTCGTACGGCCATACGTGATACCCCCGAGGCGACTGATGGGACGTAGTACCTGTTTGATCTGTCAGTTTCTCTCCGCATGCCAAAGGAGACTGGGGAGTGACGTACATCTGGGTCAATGAGGTTCCTCTCCTCGTTGATGGCGTCTTCCCGCACCCAGAACCTGGTGCCCTCGAAGATGCCTACCGTGCCGCTCTTCTTGCCCTCCGTCTTGCGGCTGTCATACTCCTTCACAAAGTCCAACTTGGCCTCAATGCTGAACACAGCCTCCTTGACACGTGCACACTTGACATTCTCGCAGTCGTACACGGGTGTCAGGCCACTCACGTCCCACTCGGAAGCACCGTAGGGCGCGTTGATGCTGGTGGCGTTGGCAGCCTCGACAAAGGGCTCGGAGATGATGTTGACGACGCACTCCTCTGTCTCGAGGATGTTCTTGAGCGTGTCCTTGGCATTGCCGATGCCCGAGGCGAAGCCGACGACGAAGAGCGGGGGGTCATGGTTGACAAAGTTGAAGTAGCTAAAGGGGGCCAGATTTGTCGTCTTGCCGTCTTTGCTCCTCGTGCTGACAAACGCAATGGGCCGAGGCACAATGGCAGAGATGAGCAGCTTGTAGTTGAAGGGACCCGGGCGGTCCTCCGCTTGGGGATCAATGGCAATGTGCTTCTTTTGCTTATCCTCCTCGGTGAGCAGCTGGTTCGCGCCGGCGCCGTACGACCAGTCTGGCTGCGGTGTCTTGGTGTAGTGGAAGGATGTGTTGACCTCCCACTCGGCTCGTGAAGATTCCACGCTCTTGAAGTCGGGATGGGGGTTGCGGTTGATCTTGTCGGACATGGTGAAGGACCTTGCGTGATTTCTGGAAAGAGGGTTTGTGCGCAACGCAAATGCTAGTGAGCGAGAGAAGTGAGTGAGTGTTGTGAGTCTGTACATGAGTGGTTTTGTAAGTCTAGGAGGTATGGTCGATGATGACACCAAGATAGTGGGGAGCGTTGCGGGTAGTTGATGCCGGGAGAACTACTAGTCTTGGGGGGCAATGACGAAATGACTTGGCAGTGTAATACATGACCATGCGGCTACTATGCACAGTAGGGCGGAGCTATCAGGAGTCGAAAGCAAGACATTATTGGATCTTGTCCAAGTATCCGGCCGAAACTTCTTCATATTCACCACGTCCAGTCATGTATATGGTACAGGGTACGCAGACAGCAGTGACCAAATACGGCTGGCAGCCCCTCCATTAGTGGCACGTCACGGTATGACCGTATGAGACTAGATAGGCGGACCCACTAAAACTTTCCAGCATCAATTTGACCCGCGACAGCTTCTCTCCATCTTCATGTCTCCACGCTGGGAGCTTCCATTCTTCTCGTCCCTCGCTCATGGCATCATGGGTCGCACGCCGCTGTATATCCGAAATCCATCCCCTTCTCCCTAGAATCCCCCGTACCTCACTCGGTCGCATCCGCTATCCACTACTCCAAACAAGAAGATCAAGCACCGACAAGCATCCAAGGCCAGGTCGACGCAGGTCGCAACCCAAGAAAGACCGGCCGCACCCTCCAGCCGAAATACTAGACGTATACAAAACGCATCCCAGCACCATGACGACCAATATCCAGCTGGCCATCGCGCCCTCGGCCGATACAAGCTCTGCGTGCGTGTACCTGCGCAGCGACCGCTGCCACTATGTCTTTGGGCGGGTCCCAGAGGGCTCTCAGCGCACCATGGGCAGTCGCAAGGTTGCCTTTGCTGGCGTCACGCAGATCTTCCTCTCTGGTGCCACTGGCTGGGACCAAGTAGGCGGGCTGATGGGATTCATGCTCACAATTGCCGGCGCCGCCAACTCGTCCAAGGAGGGCTACAGAATCGACAACCTCGTGCGACAGGGACAGGGCAAGAGGCTGCTGGAGGCGGCCCGGCATCAGGGCGTCGATGTGCATGGAGGCGACAATCTATCCCATCTGATGGCGTCGCAACGGTCAGTCCTGTTGCGGCAGTCGATCAATGCCCGCATTCACGAGCAAAGGACAGACACAAGGGAAAGTAACAAGCCGTTGACGGAACCAGACTGGCATGACGATGTCGTTCGCGTCTGGAAGGTCCCCGTCACACGCGAGCGATCCAGCAGCCCGCGAAAACGACGTAGGACGAACGGCCCAGAATCTGACGACAAGGCCGACGTGACGGATGCCGACATGGAGAAGTTGGAGGCAGAAAACGCGAACAGTGCCGAGGTCGCGCGTTACATTGTCGAGAAGCAAATATGGAATGGCGACGTACGATTCAACCCCCTCGAAGCTTGCCGGATCCGCGATCTCACCCCGTCGGACGATGCCTGCGTGATAGAGAACGGGATGCCGCGACTGTACAAGGGACCTTATACCACGGACGGCATGGAACCCCCCAAGGCTGGGGACAAGGCTTGGATATGGCGCCACGGTGACATTGGTCCCCGCCGCAGCAACGTGGAGACCATGTCCTCAGACAGAATCCCTCTCCGGACGTCGTACAGCCAAATATCCATGAGCTACATTGTCAAGATGCGCGACCGCAGAGGCAAATTCGATCCAAAGGCTGCCAAGGCCTTGGGCGTCCAGGTCACCGACTTCAAGCGGCTCACGGCTGGTCAGACGGTGACGACGGCCGACGGCAAAGAGGTCACGCCAGACATGGTCATGGGCGAGCCCATCCGCGGACGAGGACTCATCGTGGCCGACATTGAGAGCCCCGACTTTGTCGAGTCCTTTATGCAGCGGCCCGAATGGGAGGACCAGGAGCTCATGTCGCACATCTCGGTCATGTACTGGTTACTCGGCGCAGACCTCTCCACGCACCCCCGGATCCGCAAATTCATGGACGACAGACCCCAGATACGACATGTCGTATGTGCCCCGGACACATGCCCCAACATGATCTGCAACCCGGGCCCGGCGGAGCTGCAGATGCGTCTCCGACGTCTCGACCCCGACCGCTTCGCCGTTCTCAAGTACGACAATGCTGTCAAGACGCAGGCGCCGCCACCGAAATCCAACATTGAGTTCGGCAGGATCGGCAGATCTGCGCAGCTGATGCCCAAACTGCTATTCGAGGACGACAAGGCGGCTCCCTTTGCGGACCTCATGGGTGCCTACAACTCCGTCGCAGACAACGTCCTCGCTCTAGCCAGGAAATGCAAGGCTCAAGCAACAGACCCGGACTTCCTGGCCAAGATTGAAAAAGAAGAGAAGGACATTCCGGGTCGCGATACAGAGATTACATGCCTTGGCACCGGATCTTCCGTGCCCTCAAAGTACCGCAACGTGTCGGGCACGCTGGTCCGCGTCCCTGGCAAGGCAGCCTTCCTGCTCGACTGCGGTGAAGGCACGCTTGGCCAGATCAACCGCCTATGGGGCTACGATGGCGCTGCCGAGGTCCTGCGTGACCTGCGGTGCATCCTCATCAGTCACCTACACGCAGATCACCATCTGGGCACCACCTCTATAATCAAGGCGTGGTACGAACAGACCTTGCGGGATGGTTCCAACGCCAAGCTCGCCATCTCATGTGTCCCCAAATTCAGGTCCATCCTGCAAGACTACGCCCAGGTGGAAGATTTTGGCTTCCACCGGCTGGTCTTCCCCAACTGCGAGGACGAAGCCTCCTTCACCTACGCACAGGCAGGCCTGCACTTCTCCCACGACCACGGCCTCAAGGCCATCCGCCGCGTCCCCGTGCCGCACTGCCCGCGCTCCGAGGCCGTCGAGATTGAGCTCGCGTCGGGTCTCCGGGTGGCCTACTCTGGTGACTGCCGTCCCTCGCAGGCGTTCGCCAAGGCATGCCGCGGCACGCACCTCCTGATTCACGAAAGCACCTTTGGCGACGACAAGGCCGACCACGCCAAGCAGAAGATGCACAGCACCATGGGCGAGGCCCTCCAGGTCGCCAAGGACATGCAGGCGCGCAGGACGCTGCTCACGCACTTCTCGCAGCGCTACGTGAAGCGGGAGGCGTTGAAGTGGGAGGGCGAGGCCGGCGCCGGGTCCGTCCTGCTGGGCTTTGACTACATGACCGTCAGGGTGGGCGACTGGCAAAAGGCAGCCTGCTACATGCCGGCATTGGAGAAGCTTTTCCAGGAAGACGGGGAAGAGCCTGACGACAGCACTGAGTCATGATCAAATGTACACTATGGATCATTTTTGTATAGTAGAGTAGCAGATTAGACTCATGTGGCAGCAATGTGTAGGACCTAATGACGCCTTGGCTGGCTCTGGGGTCTTCTAATAGGTGTTACGCAATCATGGGGAGGCTGTTTGCGCATTCCATGGGTGTTGTCATAACCAGATCAAGGTGTCTGGCCTGCTCATTTCCATTCATGCTTCCGCAATGTGCGCGCCCCTTGAGTCTCAGCAAGAGTTATCGTGACTATCAACCGAAACGCCGAATCCACTGCGCACTGTAGACATAGGAACAAACAGCATATACAAGCCGATATACTCCGCGAGGTGACATGACAGATGTGCAACCCTCATCCAGATATCCCCCCCAACCAACGAAATCAGAAACTCCATCTTTATGCTATGTCGTACTCGGGTCGTGACAATGACCTGTCGTTGATGGACTTGGCCTGCGAACTACCAGGTCTGTTGCTCTGCATACCTCCCTTCGTTGAGTCTCTGCGCTCGTGAAGTTAAACGCTGCACGCGAAGCCGCGCCGCTTCTGTGCCATCGTCGCTGTGTGCCATCTCCTTGAACCATTCGTGCTGCAAGGCTTGATGGGCCGTGATGCGTTGACTTGGATCATAGACGAAGATCTTTCGCAGAAGATCTTTAAAGTTCCTCATAAATGGCGTCGTGGTGGGTATCACATCCTGCCGTAGTTCGTTAGTCATGTCATGCGGCTGAAGTTGCGGCTTGCTTACGTCAAGATTCCTCATCGCCTTCACAAATCGACGGGAGCCTCGGGTTGTTTCGGCATTGGGGTAGTCCAGCTTCAAGCGTTTGAAGTATCTGTACGCGACATTAGCAACATCATTAGCCAGAGGGACAGCTGAGGAGCTTACTTTGCAGCGCTGTTAGCGCCGTGCCGGCTGGAACCCTTGTTGACCTGCTGTACCAAGTGCGAATCAATTTTGCGCCCTACAACTGCCTCCATCATCGCAAGGTGCTCCAGGTTGTCGTGCGTCTGGAACAGGGCGTCTCCTGTGTAGAACTCGACTAGGATGCATCCGATGCTCCAGACATCGCAAGGATATGACCAGCCCAGGCCGAGAATGATCTCCGGGGCACGGTAATGCCGCGTTGACACGACCGAGGAATGGTACTCGTCTTGAAAGGTGGCAGATCCAAAATCGATGAGTCGAATCTCTGTGTCCAGCAGCACTCGCCTTTGTGCAGCCGTGCGGTTGATGTTTGTCGATGAGGACGGAATTCGCCGGTTGTATGTGAACGTCTGATATTGAGCGTCACAAAGCAAGATGTTCTCGGGCTTCAGATCCGTGTGGATCAGATTCAAATCATGGAGGACTAGGACTTGTCAGCGCTGTGTGCCGCAATGCTCAAAAGGGTTGATCGTACAGGCAACGCTAGTGAATAGCTGTCGAGCGAAGCTCTGGATCTGACTGTTGGGGAACGGAACAAATCCATTGCCTTTGAGAAAGTCAAAGACGCTCTGACTGAGAAGGTCCATGACGATGCAGATGTGCCCACAAAAATCGAAGCAATCTCGGAGATGTATGCATCGGTTGCGGTTCTCGTCGTCATTTGCCTTGAGAGTCGCAAGAACCCTCAACTCGATCTTGGAAGCATCGCGGTATTTCTGGACAGACCGGATGATTTTGATGGCAACGTCCTTTTTGCGGTTGACATCATGCGCGAGGACGACTTTGCCAAAGGTTCCCTGTCCTAGTAACCGTTTGATGTAGTCTACGTGATGTCAGCATCGAGCGTTGAGAGTAGGTGGTCTGAGCTACGCACATCGGTCGGTTAGAGGAGCCTCTGGAACAATAATGTAATGGCCGTCGTCATCGTCGACCTTGGTGCCCTTGAGGCGGGTCTGCATGAAGCGTCAGATAAGGCATGCCGGGTAGGGAGCGGAGGACGGCCACTTACATCGGGAACCGCACGCACTCGTACATCAGGTGCTTTCTTCACAGGCTGTGCCGGAGGCTTGTAGGTAAGCATGCGGCTGCCGAGAACATCCGTATCCCTGCGCTTAGCTTCGTTGGCGACCTGCTGCCGCGTCCTCTTCCGCTTTTGTGGTAACGACATGTCGTCCAGGTATCCGTTCGAAGATAACGAAGTGGCAGCCGTGGTGTTGAGGGCGGAAGTTGTGCCATCACTCGATATGCTAGCCCCCGCCGGGGTGTTGCCATGGGAGCTAGGGTGCTGAAGGCGATACTTTTGGCTCTGCGTCTTGTCGACCTCGTCCTCTTTGCGGCGCTTCTTGGCGGGCTGTCGTACGGCCGATGTATTGGCGGTTCCACTTGAGTGAGAAGACGTCACATCAATGTGGCCATTGGTCCGACTCGAATTGCCGTTGGCGAGCTTCCGGGTAGTGTTCTGTTCTGGCTCTGGGGTGTCATCGGGGATGACAATGACTTCCTTGGGGAGGCCATTTTGGTAGAACGTGTCCCAGTCGGGGCCCTGAGATCGTCGACGCTTCTTGGATGGTGGGTCGGCCATTTCTGGTGCGCCGTAACCGTTGAATTGGGCAGGTTGATTCCTCGAAGAACCAACAGCTACGCCAGCAGTGGAATATGTGTACTCGGTATTTCGATAGGAAGCGTGGGGTGGTGGACGGGGGGCAGAAGGTTGATGGTTCACGCCATCCACAGTCAGAGGATAGCCTCCCAACGAGGACTGTAGATGGGGTGCAACGGAGGCACCACCGTTATTAGGGACGACCGTGAGCGGCTGGGGGTTTGTCGAGGAGCCGCTGGAAACTGACGGGGCCGTTGCAGTCGTTATCGTCGCCGATGAGGGCGAGTTGTGGTTGGCAACGTAGCGATAGTTTGCGGAGACGCCGGACCGGTGGTTCGAGTGCGGGTGCGCGTACTGGTGATGCGGACTGTGGTGAGCGTAATAATTAGACGGGGGAAGCGTGGCCACGGCCGTCGTAGGCGTCGACATTCTCTACAGAGGAGTCCTCGGGTGCGTGAGGGGACTGGACTCTGCTGAAGAGGATGGACTCGCGAAGACTGGAAAGGCTCAACGAGGCGAGGGCCTGGTGGGCAGGTATGACGGGCAAGAGGCTTGGGGCCCGTATGGGGTCGAGACGACTGGACTGGACTGGACTGGACGTGATGTGCAGCGCACTTCAGGGCTGCGCGGGCTCTGGGTCAGCGCTGTGAAAATCTGTGGGGACAGTGCGTTCCGTCGTAAGATTCGCCTGCCGTCGTCGGACTGGCTGGAGTCGACGGCCTGTGAACGTGATCGAGTCTAACGCGGTGCCCTCGCGGGATTGCTGAAGACAAGACACAAACAGGACAGTGTTCACATTTATCAGGTTGGTCGCCGCAACATCTGGATAAAGTTTGCATGCAACTGGGGGACACCGTTGGGCTGGCCTGGCCTGCTTGGCTCTGAATCAACAATGCCGTGGAGGGTAGGCACGACCCGAGGTGCTGCGCCGCAACATCCAGTCCCCTGCCCGGTCGCTATCTGTGCTGCTCCAGGCTCATTGCTTTCCCTATTATTGACGTGCCAGAGGTCTAGTCCCTTGAGTGTGCGGCGTGGTGCCTCAGGCCATCAAACTTTCTCCAATCCAGTCGGCCGTGACCGTCAGTGGAGCCCGTCTGCGGAGGTGGCGCTCTTCCTCTTTAGGACTAGCCTCTCAACACACATCGCGTCAGGCGATGAGGTGACCCTCGGTCACGAACTCAAGATCGACCTTCAGAAGTTCAGAGCACTGTTGTTGTTGCTGTTAATGAAGATGCGAATGACGCTTGTGTCTCTTCATCGCCACTAAGACTGTGATGCTACATGTAAATTTTTGGGTGCGCATTGATACTATAATATTAGGCTGTTGATGCAATTATGCAACTTTGTGAAACAACGTGACAGCCAACACTACGCCGTGCGCCGCGCGCTGTCTCTCCAAACAAACCATCGCCCATTTGGCTTCGCCCTTATTAATCCGAGGGATTCCTGGTCGAATCCTAAGTACAATTTGAGTTCAAAACACTCACCGCCCCCGTACCGAGACACGCTGGCGTAAGTGATACAGGGTAAGTAGAGCCGTTGAGCGTCAAGCCACCGGCGTTAAATATCACGCTGTGTCAATTTGCTCATCCTGCGACTGGAAAAAGGAAAGAAAGCGAATTGCTCGCACAGCCCGCAATCTCAAGTCAAGCGGAAATCCAGCAGCTAATTGGTGAACCACGAGTCCTCGTTAGGCTTTCAGTTTGAGCGATGCAGGTCAAAAATCCAGGGTCCTCCTGCAGTGCAAAGTACATTCCGAAGTCGCATTGCCTAATGCGGTATAGAGTCCACACGGTCTCCCGGCAACGAAACTAGTTCCCGTCATTGTTGACCATATATGTGCGCACGGCTTGAATCATCGTAGATTCAGGTCATCTTGTACTAATCAAGGACCTGGCCCAACCACATGCACGATGTCGCACAATCGAGTCGCGTAAGAGGCGCAGTATATGGCCCCGCGTTGCCCCGAAACAAGAAGTCGAGTTCAAAGAAACATATATCGAAATACTGTTAGTAGTCTAGGAGATCACTCAAGCTCAAAGTCTCTTCGGCCACCCGTCCCTGCTGGAGCCGTAACACTAAATGCACGCAGTTCTGTGCATCAACGGACAATATACTTCAAGCTAGGTTTAAGGTAGATAATATGGTACCTTAGTCGAAATACACAGTTTCACTATAAAACCTTAATCGAGTAAACCCCAGGGGAAGCATTCTGTATCATTTTGGACTATCATCGTAAGGGTTAGTACCCAGCAACAGACGCCAAGCTAAGACGGTTTCGTAATTCTCTTGATTGACTTGCCTAGACCTCAAGGCAGACCAAACAGCCTCCTGTCTTTGCTAAAATACTCCATGATGCTGCAGCGCCTTCAGGCAAGCCGATGCAGACTCGATGTGGCGGCAAACCACCTGCAATGAGAGGGCTTCACCTTGCAAACCCATATTCAACACCTCAAATCCATTAGAGCCAGACAACTGCCGCTCAAAGATCACTCAATTATCGAAAGTGGCCTTGGAGATGAGACAGTAGCCAGAATCAATGGCGTCGCTGTCCTCGCTCTCTCCGTTGCAGGCTTTGTCGCGGACCTTTGGGGGAACAAAGTCACCAGAGACAGCCACTCGACGTCGACTCTGAGAAAAATTGTCGCAGCCATAGTCAAGGAACTCTGGCTGAAAGAGCGTGTCTTCCATACTTGTGTGCGCCGGAGAAAAGTACAGGTGCCTGTAGCCACCATTCGAGGACACCGGCTGCGGCAGCCATGTTGGATCAAGCTGCCCGCCAGTGTTGCCTTTCGCAGAAGGCTTCTCCGGCTTGGGTTGAGGTTCGGGGTGGCCTGGCCGTTTCTTGGAATCGCCTTTCTGCTGACGACCCCTGTTGACCAAAGACTTGCGCTGAGCGACGGCAACGCCGGTTTTGGCGACCCTCTTGCACAGAGCAGCGAGATCTTCCTCAAGATCGTACACACGACAGATCAGGGGGTAATCAGTGCTTTTGAAGCTGTTGATTTCTTTCTGCAGGGCTGTGCAGCGCGACTCGAGTCGTTTCATGGCTCTAAAGAGATCGTCATCGTTCTGCTCGGAAGGAAGTGGGCGTTCGCGAGCAGGGGGGTTCGGAAAGCAACCCATCAGATAAGAAAATTCCCTCGCATCGTCTAGATCGGTGAACTTGTCCTCCGCGGTCGACATGTTGACCTAATCCAGTTGTGTTGTAGGGGGAGGGGGGATGCAATGTAGAACTGAGTTGACGGTCGTTGTGGTGATGCGTTTGAAGGCCAAGGAAGAAAGGAGAGAGGTCAGAGTCTGTTCTGATGATTGTAGAATAAATAGAGGTGATCTGAGGGCAAAGTGACTGGGTGTGGCAGCGAGGCCGCCAGTGACTGGACCGTCTCATGTTAACGCCCTGCTTGGAACATGGAACAAGCAAACGACAGCGTACAGTGAATGAGCATCACCTGTGTGAAAGGAGCGTCTAGACGGTATAATAATTTTATGGATATAAAACAAGATGCCCTGCCCCTTGTGTACATGCAGCCCCGCCAGCGCCAATGCTTTAGCCACCGCCCCTAAATACATACATCCATCCAACATGAGCCTCATATAAAACTTTGTCACATCCGTGCACATACAGACGCACTCACTCATTGAGTGCCTGCAACGCCTGCGTCAGGGGTACAACCCTCAGACTCCTCCCTCTGCGCAACCCGCCAGTCTCTTTCGTCACAGTCGGGCTGCGGTCATCTTCCCACTTGCGGAAAACCCTCTTCAAGTCTCGCGGCACACCCTCCAGCACCACCGTGCTGATGGGCACAAAGGGCCTGTCCTCCATGCCGGCGGCAAGGATCGCGTATTCTTGTGCAAACTCGAGAGCGTTGCGGAATGACGGGAAGTTTGACCCTGCGCGGGAGCCAACTATAACGTACATCTCGAAAAACGCGTCGAGCACATAGATGTTGGTAGACAGCAAATCGGCCTGGCTGAACGGCGAAATTTCGTAGATCTATCAGGTCGAGTTAGCACAGAACATTACCGTGGGTCAAAGTGCCTTACCTGCTGGGGTGAATCGGCATCAGAGCAGAACAGTCTGCCGCCGTACTTATCATACTTGGGCTTCAGTCTCCAGTGATCAGCCGAATGAGGCTTCGTGCCGGGGGCAAACAGGTTCCAGAAAGCGTCTGGTTCGGACTCTTCTTCGCACTCGACGAGCTCGCCCGAGGGCGAGAGCTCCATGCCAATGAGTCGTGCGCAACTGAGTTCATCGACAGTGCTTCCCTTGCCCTTCCATAAGAAGCTTTTGCCAGCCTCAGTAATCAGGTAAGGAAACCCAGCACAGAGGCTGCTCTGGAGGAAGTCGACCTCGTCAAAGACGACCTCCCCCAAATGACGTCGACCGCATAGCATCCTCTTGGCAGTGGGTTCAAACTTGCTGCTCGAGCCTCGTAGAACGACAATGGCTCCGCCCAAGGCCTGCAGGAACTCTGAAGTCTCGCTTCCTTGTCCGAGTCTGATCATCTTTCCGCCCCTTGACTTTGCCTCTCTTTGCGCAAAGAGCTGTGCGTCATCGGCTGTCGCGCGAGAAACTCCGTCGCCCACCCAGAAATAGACGTTGAGGGCCTGAGCCCCCGACTCACTCATAAACTCATGTGTGCAGATGTACATCTCGTCTTCGAACAGCGTTCGTTCAAACTGCTGCTGTATATCCAACGTCTTGCCACCCCCTGAGAGCTGGGCCATTCGTACATCCAAGGTCTTGACTTTACCATGGCCATTGGGCTTCGAGGCCAGAAGCTCAGCTGCATCGAATCTGCAGTCCTGTTTGGGGCGGCCAGGCCCGAAGAACTGTGTCAACAAGGTCGACAGTTCGCTGCTAGCCTTGGTGGGCGAGCGAATTGGCGATCTGCTGAGAGGAGGAGAACGCACGCTCGCAGACGGTGGAGTAGGCAGTGCTCGCGTGGGTGATCCCGGCGATCTCGACATGCTAGGCAGCAAGTCTCGATCAAAGGTCTCAGGGGGAGACTCATGGGTGCTAGAGGGCGACTTGACACCGCCACCAAATCGCGAAGCGGCACTTCGCACAGGAACCGTGTGCTCGCGGTCCACCTTGGTGGGCGACAGCGGTTGCGGCTCCAGCGGCCGCTCAAACTTGGTCGGTGACCTCGAGCCAGTACGCTGGTGAGTCATTCTGATCGGCTGGGGAAGGGAGTCGGCACGGCTGCGGACAGCAGAGTCGTCTAGGAACCTGGACATGCGATTCATATCGAGCTTACGCGGCGATCCTGGCTGCGACACATCCCCTCCCGTCTTATGGGGTTTGATGGGCGACACAGGCGCAGCTGTAGGCTTGTCGCCTCCGGTGGGTTGGCCGCGGATTGGAAGTACGCGAATTGGTCCTGCATCAGGGGTCCTGGTGCCGATGGTCAGAGGCGTCGGGCGACTGTGAGGCGAGCCTTTCTCCGGTGTCCCGTTGACAGAAGGTTTAGTGAAAGGCTTCGGTGCTACTTTTGGCGATATTGGTTTTGTCCCGTGGCTTTGTGGGGGAACTGGCAGAGCCCGTACGGGTGTGTGAGCTTCCTCAGAGTCAGGCTCAGAATAGCCTTGCTGATGCGACTTGACCTCCGGTGCCTTTTGCGGCTGAGTAGACGCTGCGGTCGTGGGTGCTTTCCTCTTAGGGCCGCGCGCACGACCCTTAGTCATGTGTGTCAGCTGAGGTCCAGGCTTTGATGGTTCATCAGGACCACTGGCCGGTGTCGCCTCATTTGCGTTCCGAGACTCTCGGGATCCTTCAGAGGACGCGGGAGGTGGCCCTCTCGCGAGTATACCCGCCAGTGCAGGGTTAAATCGATCGGCCAACTTGCCGCCTCCGACGCGGCTTTGAAGTGATGAAGGCGCGCTGGTCTCTTTTGGAAGGCTTGGTAACCGGCGGGTGGCTGGGTCAGAGGGGCTTGCAGCAGGTTCCGTAGAGACCCTTGTGAGACGCTCGGGAGAAGGGCTTAGCACATGTTGCGCCTGAGGTGACGAGGCCCCTGGTGACGATACTGACGATGGCTTCGGTGCAGGTGAGGGTTTGAGAACATCGGAGGTCCCCGACCCTGCGGTGTTGCCTCTAGCATTTGGAAGCTTACCAAGCTCGCTTCGACGTGCTAGCCCTTCTGGCAGGGGTTTATCAGCATCGGTCACAGGGGTTCGGGTAACACCCTTCCCCTCATGCTGTGCCTTGTTGAAGTCCTCCTTCTTCTTGAGAATTGCATCCTTGAATTCATCCTTGCGCACCGACTTTTGTGGTCCATCTGTTACGTTGAGCGCGTTCTTGCCTCGAAGGATGTTACCCTTGAGCTCATCCGGAGCCACGTAATTCTGGGTTTTGGTTCGGCGCAAGTTGCCAAGCGCATTTTTGAACTCTGGCTCGGCAGCTTGGGAAGGGCCAGAATCTGCAGGCCGCTGTCGTAGATTTGCTCGAAAGTCCTTCTTTGGGGGAGTCTGGGGTTTCGGCTTTGGAGCAGGTGGTTTAGCCACAGCAGCGGGCATGGATTCTTCTGCTGCTAGAGGCTCGGCAGAATCATCGTCGCCGCTAGCCGCAGCCTGTGGCTCCTTCTTAGCTTCAATATTAATGTGTGAGGGCTTCGAGGGGACTCTGGGGCCCAACGATGGCCTATTGCCTCTAGCTGGTGGCGAATAGATGCCTCCAAGGTCAGTCGTGTTGGACTTGATTCCAGTTCCCATGGGGGAGGACCTCAGGAGACCGCCAATGCTGACCTGATGGCGATGAGACACTGATGCAGGGCGCCCGGTGTCACTCTCTGCGGGACCGGCAGCCTTTCGGTTCAAGGCTTCCTTCCAGGCTGGTTGGCTCGGCGTCTGTGGCTTGGGCTGAGGCTTTGGCGACTCGGGCCTGTTGAGGGCCGTCTCTAGCCAGCTCGATTTTGTCGGACTCCACCTCCTCGTGTCCATGGTCTTGGAGGGGCTTACGGGTAGCGCAGTATCGATGGTGTGGGACTGGCCCTCGGTCTCCGCTGGCGAGGTCGCCTCTGACGCTGTAGTAGTGTCTCCGTTACTCGCTTGTCGCTCGCCGTGTCGCGAGGTTGGTCGACTCGAGCTCGGGGTCTTGGAATGGCTGCGGGGAAAGGCAGGTCGATCACGACCGATGCCATTGCGGCTTGGGGTGACAGTGTCTGCTCTCGTAAGGCCAGACGTTTGTACACTCCATCGTTTCACGCTGTCAGACCTTTTCATCATGGCGCTCTGAACGAATCCACCCATTCCTTTGGTAGGTGAAGTGGGTCGGCTTGAGGACAACCCGGTCGGCGATTTGAGTAGAGTCTCATCGGAAGACGGCTCGAAAGATTTGTCGAAACTAGACTCGGATATAGGGAGGGGCGAAGCCAGCCCACCGCGAGCGGTCACAGTTGTCGTCGAGCTGGTGGCCGACGTCGATCGCTCTCTGGTATTGTCAGACATACCAGGCAGCTGAGCCCTGCCTGAGCTCACATCTGAGCGATCGTCGTCCTCCACCTGATTGCGCCTGTATGCTGCTGAGCCCTGTCCCCTTTCAGAGGTCTGGCGAAACCAAGACGGGTCCTTGGCCAGGAGGTTTTGCGCAATCTGGTCCCTCGAGAAGCTGGGTTCGGTTGCTGAGAGCGGCGCGGGTTCTGGCGATCCTACAAGGGACCTCTGGGTTGCGTTTTGGGCCGCAACCATGCTCAAGGGCCTCGTACCGCCTCGTGACGTCGGTCTTCTCTGCCACGACATTGTGTTGGTGCGCGTAGGTGGCGTGCTTCGCTTCTCGGCATCCGCAGGTGACTCGTTCTCCTTTGTAGGGGAAGAAAAGGTCATGTTTTCCGAATCGCCTTCTGTGTAGGCGAAGGATAGCTCTGCCGAGTCCTCGAGAGCGGCTGGCAAGTCTACTCGTGGCGGTTCCCCAAGTCGTGAGGTTTGGCGACTCGATCGTGGTGACGGCGTGTTTGCTGGCGAGGATTTCTGTGGAGATATCGACCTGGCGCGTTCTGCGCGTCAAGAGCATTAGCTTCGCTCTGGTGGTATAAACAATGACGCTGAGAGTCCGGACGAAAAACTGGCCAAGAAAGTGGGCGCACAAGTCGCACGGCTGTGAATGCGCAACAACAAGTCAGGCTGGCAGAAGACTGGAGGGCCGCCGACATGAGCACGCCACCCCAGCAACTAGGCATAGGCTATGCCATGCCATGCCATGCCATGCGGTGGATATGGGTATGAATGAGATGATTACGCACCTTCTCTTCGGGCCTGACGCTCTCGCTTGGCAGCCAGATATTGCTCCAGTTCACGGGCGCGGACCTCGTCTTCTTCAATTTGCTGGCCTCGAAGGCGCTCGACCGATTCGAGGAATTGGGAAACTTCGTCTGACATCGCAATGGCTGCAGCTCCGGCTCGGCATGACAAGGACCGTGTGTGTGCTTAAGATGGCCGGCAGAGGTCGTGATTTAGCACTGTAAATCAAATCGTTGACCGTCCAGGAGAGGGAAAGCGAAGGATAATGGTATAAAGAGTACAGAAAATGTTCGTACGTGGGTGAGACAGGCCAGCCTGCAATGTTCAGGCACATCCGCCTTTTTCTTCTGGTGACGTCCGGCGGCTGGAGGTGGCCGCTCCAGTCCAGTCCAGTCCTCCCCAGGCACAGGACGCTAACTACCTGAATTAACCCGCCCACCACGCTCAATCAGGGCCGCTGAACATGCGACCGGCCTGGATTGAATCAAGACATATGTAATACTGTGCATGAAATGAGTTCATGTGCTCCTTGCCGTCATTCAATGCATCATTGTCTCTTGCATCTATTCACGCCAGTACGTCCAATACTGCGAATTTGCTCCATTCGGAGACAGTTCCCCAAGACCAGTCGGTTGGAACCGGCTGGCCCCCGTGGCGTTTTGTTTACTTGAGTTGCGCAGAGTAAACACAGCCAACAAACCCCGCGTCGCGATCGTTGCCCCGATGTCGTCGTCAATATCCGACCATCGAAGTCTAACATGTCCCAATTATTCGTCATAATTGGCCCAAACAATGGAAGAGATACTCCTAGTTCCACTCATGCTCGCCTAGCAACTTTCAAGTTTGCCACGGTTTTGCGTCAATCAGTGAAAACCCCTCAACCTCATGGCGACCACCGCGAAGGCCAGACCACAATCAGACTAGCTGGACGTGAGACAACAAGAAAGTCAGGGGGAGCCTCAGTAGAGGAAGAGCCTCTTTTTGGCATCCGCAACAACCCACGCAAGCCCTTCCTTGAGATTCCTCCCTGTCATGGCGCTGCACTGCTTGATCTCCCACCCATGTGTCCGTATCGACCCTAGATCGAGTGCCTGCATCGTCAGCTACTTGTCCAACAAACTGGAACATTACGACGACGATGCTCACAGTGATGATCTCTCTCTCGTCCATACAACCGGCGACGTCTGTCTTGTTGGCAAAGACCAGTAGACTTGCTCCCGCCAGACGCTGTGGTTGTCAGCCCAGCGTACATCAACTTCCGCCTGCAGACCTACCTCCTCTTGGAGCAGACCGTGAAGCTCCTCGCGACAATCCTCCGTCCTGAATCGATCCGTTGCATCTACCACCCAGATCAACGCATCCGTCTTTTCAAAATAGTTTCGCCAGTACGACCGCAGCGTTTTCTGTCCGCCGACATCCCCTGCTAGAGTGAGACGCTGTACATCCGCTAGTCTTGGTGGGCCCTCACATATGTTCAGCTTGTACCCGTCGTAGTCGATGGTCTTGATGATGAAGCCCAGGGTTGGACTGACTGTATTCACGTCTTCCCCCATGATCTTCTTGACAATTGTAGTCTTGCCGGCATTGTCGAGGCCACTGACGCCCAGGTCAGTCGGGCACTAGAGCGGGTGGGCTCGATGTGTGACTTTACAGCATGAGGATACGCATCTCCTTGTCCTTCAGTCGCGCTTTTCTTAGAATCGACAGCATCCTGCTTCACTGGAACGATGCGCGGGACAACCGGTACTTCAGCGCGCGGGCAGCTGCGATATCTACGAATGGAGGAGTGATTGTAAATTGATGTGAAGTTGGCCGGACGTTTTGTGATATGCGTGATTGATGACTGCACTGGCCAATGCCTTTTCCGCCGTAGTAGAGACTGGCCGTAATTAATGAGCAGGCTGAAGGTGTTCCGCATCAGGCTACCATACCTTACCCTGTACCTCGACCTGCAGGCCATCAATGCTACGGACCAACAAACCGAACAGGCGGATTAATAGCTGAATTTACAGAGAGTCATGAAGAAGATTCGATTCTCTGTTAGTATTATTGATGACATGTATCAACAAGGTATTGGGTGTGGGGACTCGTTTTGAATTAGAAGGTGGCACGACTGTCAAGAGCCAAGTGTTTTCAATTGTTCAGAAATCTCAAACAATAACCCCTAGGGTGTATTTTCCATAGTCTCACACGGGTGAGCAATTCTCACTCCCGAGTCCTCAGTCTCACCTTCATGTTAATCCTCAAACACAGATCAGCGTACATACATGTACTCTTCCCACCACGTCCAACCCTCCAACCCCCATCGTACAGGCGATCACACATCTTCCAAATAAGCCCCAGGAGCCTTGTCGCGCACAACTACACCCGTATTCAACTGCCACAGCTGCAGATCGAGCCAGGCACTGTCGCTCCCACGGTCGGTTCGTACAGCCATGTCGAGGTGAGCGACCTGTTCAAAGTCGAGCTTCTCCAGCAGCCCAGACTGCCAGGCACCATCTGCCTTCTCCCCGCGTTGCACAAGTACTTCCACAAAGAGGTGGGCATAGTCGCGGACGTTGAAGTTCCGCATCCGCGAATAGATGGACATCTCATCCGCACACTCCCACTTGTAGTCGATTTGGCTCTGGTACCCTGTGATGATCCGCGTCAGGACACAGTCCAGCAAGCTCTGGCCAATCTTCTGACGGCGATATTCTGGGTGCACCACGACACGAATCTGACCCGAGTGGCGGGACCCAGGGCATGCTGTTTGCAAAAAGCCTACGCGAGCCTCATCGACGAAAGCAAATCCTACCACCTTTTCGGCCTCGCATGGCTGGGCAGCTCGAAACTTGACATATTCTTCATGGGCCTTCTCGCTACCCTTGGGCCAGCTGTGGAGATGCAGCAAGACGTCCTCCTGGAAAGCGACAACAAAAGGCCGATAATTGCTGATGCTCCTGTCGAAGATGTAGCGGACGTCCTCCGCAGTGATTGGAGCCGATGCGATGATCTGGGGCGCCTTCTCAGCCTGGCTCTCCATTGTCATGATCTCTGCAATCTTCGCCATGTCTCCGATGACAGCCGGCCGAATAGGATAGTCTGACTGTGGCCACGTCGGAGAAGGGGTGCGCTCAGCTTCGCGTCGTGCCCATTCTTGGTCAATCTCTCTCTGTTGTTTCTGGTAGGCCACTCTTCTTCTGAGGTCCAGATCTTCTCTGATGTGAAGGGCCGGTGTCATGTTTTGGCGCTTCCACTGCATTCCAGCATCCTCATCCAAGTCAGGGAACGGCACCGTGCTGGGGTGCTGACACGGTTGAAGAAATTCGCCTGATTCGGTGTCGATGTCCTGATGCTGCCTGTCTGGGTCGCTAAGCCTGGCAGTGAGATCAGTGCACTTCGAGACGCGAATCGCCTGGAGCCATGCGTGTACAAAATGTGCAGACTTTGGTTGAGATCCATCGCTCTCCCATGAATCAAGTCCGTCAGCTCTCAGAGAACACTCATCGTGTCCATTGTCGCTGTTCAACGACAATTCTGCTGGACTTCCCTTGGAGTCTTGCCCAAACAAAGTCCGATCATCTTTATGGGAGAATGCAGCTGTAGAGGATTTCGCCTTGAGTTGCAAACTTTGTGCTTCGTTTGACGCATCATGTATATGGTCATCCGAGGATTGATCACCAATGTCCGAATGGGCTGAGCTAACGATAACAGATTGCGCAGTCGTAGGCATGGAGGGATGCTTGCTTGTGCACTGGTCATCGCCAAAGCGGCCACCATCAGGGGTTTCTGGCGAAAGCCCCAGTTGGAGAGTCAGTCCCTTCTGTTGCTCTTTCAAGATTGGCGTTGTGTGTATGTGCACCGTGCTCGATGTAGCTGCCACCTTGGTCGGCGTACATGTAGCTAGCCATTCGCTTGCGCCGTTAATGGCAGCACTGACTGCCAGTCGGGGGGTTGGCTTCGACTCTTTCGGCATTCTGGCTTCTGGAGTGCTCTGCGGGCAGGTTAGCGTTGAAGAGATAAGTGAAGCAAGGAGGCATGCTTTTTCGGTAGGAGACATTTGAGTGAGCGTGGTGCGAGGCCTTGCACGCCGGTAAAAAGAGCGACAGATGCTCTTTATGCCTTCGGAGCTACCAGTGTTCAAGCTTCTGACAGTTGTGAAAGTGGGCCAAGGTCAAGGTGAGATGGGTTTGTGAGAAGGCAGTTTTGACGCAGAGGACCTAGGTAGCTGAAAGAAAGAGGGGAATAGGCGCCTATCGGTCTGTTATCCCACTGCAAGTAGTTTGTAAGGGCTGATTACAAACCTCGGACGAAACAGAGGGACCGTGGGCGGAAATCAACCCATGTTTGTTTAGCATCGCATCAATCAAAAGCATAAGGTATTAATGATACATACGCCGCAGACCTACCCTGCAAAGTCCTGCCTTCAAGAGAGACTTGAGAGATGTCTACTATTGAGCCTCGAATCTAGAATATACTCGAGATGGATTTCATGAAGCTGAGTTCACGTTAACACTGGTAGAGCAAAGTGACGAGTATCTCGGTTACGAAGCTAGAGTGATCAACAGTGTGATCTAATAAGCGATGAGGAGTAACAGCATAGTCAGCGCGGTACACCTGAATAGTAGGAATAGCAGTGGTTATTAGTTGTTGCTGCTGTGATTGCTGCGGCGAGTCCACACCCCTTTTCTCCTTGATTGTTGATATCATACATACTGGACTGAACGACAGATGCAAAAAGTTAGAAGTATAGGCTGCAACGTCAAAATCAGAATCAAAACGACAAGCCCTCGAGGTCCTCGAGCTCTTTTAGTTGTACGTTGCGTTGCACAGGATGAAATACTGACAATATCTTAATGATTAGCATTGTCATTGCTGTGGTTGTCCGTCTAGGGACGTTGAAAGGGGCTAGCGCTAGTCCAGTCACCGCCGAAGTCGGTGTGGGGTCCGCTTATCGTCCGTCGCCTTTGACAATCTTTTGGCGGCACAGCGTCCAGTCGTCGCACACTTCACCGCTCGCTTCTTTTGCCCATTGCCAGCCACTCGCTGCTGTCGCGCTCTCGACAAGCCGGCGACGTCTTTGCGTTAGACTGTCCTTCATTAATTTTCGCCGGCGAAATCCACAGACGTTCACTTCGAACCTCCGACGCGCCTCCGCTCGCCAAACAGACCGACCAGCGAGATGTCGGCGTCCTTGCCAGGTAGCCGCGAGCTGCCGCAGTCGCAGTATGATCTGAAGACGTACATGGGCCGAGTGAGGCATTCGGTCGGCATGACGGATCCCAGGTGAGAGACAGCACTGGTCCGGCGGCTGTGATGATCAACCGGCGCGCGCGACAACCATTTGCGACAAGGAGCTAACACGATCAAGCACACTCTTTGCTGGCTCCTCTGGCTTGGAAAAGGCGAAGCGATTGGTGACGGAGTACAAGACTGGCAAGACCGAAAACATGTCGCCGGAGCTCTGGCACGCCAAAAAGGTCGTTGACTCGACTCTTCACCCCGGTACGAGCGCAGCGCAAACGGGCCAAGTCGAGCCTCTACTGATCTTCGCGTGTGGCAGATACCGGCGAGCCCGTCCTTCTGCCCTTCCGAATGTCGTCCTTTGTCTTGTCCAACCTCGTCGTCACTGCGGGCATGCTGCAGCCTGGGCTCTCGACCTTGGGCACCGTCGGCTGGCAAGTCGCTAACCAGAGTCTCAATGTCGCCATCAACACTGCCAATGCCAACAAGTCCTCGCCAATGACCACGGCAGATATGGCCAAGTCGTACGCCGTTGCGGTCAGCGCGTCCTGCTCCGTGGCCCTGGGTCTGAACGCCGTCGTGCCGCGACTCAAGGTGTCGCCGAGTGCGCGCAACATCCTGAAGAGACTGGTTCCCTTCGCTGCGGTCGCGTCAGCTGGTGCTTTGAATGCGTACCTCATGCGCCGCGGAGAAATCGTCACTGGCATCGACGTGAAGCCGGTGCTGTCCGACGCCGAGAAGAAGAAGCTGCAGGAGGAGGGCAAGTCAGAGCGCGATGTCCCATCGCTGGGCAGGAGTCACAAGGCTGCGAAGCTGGCTGTGTACGAGACGGCCGCCAGTCGTGTCTTTAACAACAGCCCCATCATGATCCTGCCAGCCATGGGTCTCTACTATATCGAGTCCAAGGCAAACTGGTACAAGAACATCCTGGAGAAGGAATTCTTCAAGGCGCGACCTAGGGCCAGAGCTGCGCTCCCAATAGGCATCAACCTGGGTCTGATTGCCGCGACTTCGTTCTGCGCGTTGCCCTTGGCCCTGGCTGTCTTCCCTCAGCAGCAGGAGATCAGCGCAGACAAACTGGAGCCCGAATTCCACGGCAAGGGCGGCGTGGACGGCAAGGTCATCTTCAATCGCGGTTTATAGAGCACCGACGGCAAAATAGAATCGAGTGAATGCCCCAACGACATGTTGAACTGCATGATGTCTTCGAAGCTTGGGCTTTGCTCTGAGTGACTGGCCACTGTCTCCAGGCCAAACACGACACAGCAACCGCCACCAGGTGGATCGACAATGTGAAATACTTCGCAGCACTATATGTAAAAGGTAAATAATGACAAATGCCGCCGCTCTATGGGGTATCGCATGAGTTTACCCGTCAAAAGAACCAACTCCTCCCATTCGTGAACCACCCGCCGTTTTCCCTCATACCGTACATACGTCATTCGTTGGCAGATGCGACGGCCTCTCTGGTCTCCACGATCTACAGAGAACCAACCGTCGTGTCAATGCCAGAGGCAACCGCCTTGGACCCTGAATCGATCGTCGCGGGGACGGCCATGGGACGACCCTGGGCTTTTTCGGACAGCGCGACGAGTTCATGAAGCATCTTCTCCCGGGTGGTACGGGTCAGCTCGTCGACGTCGGCAGCGGTAAGGCCAGTGGTGGGGATAGGGTCGAGAACTATGGCATGTCAGTTTTCTGAGCTGCTGTTCAGAGCAAACCCAACGACTCACCTTTGATAGGAATCTTGCCCGATCTGAAGACCAAATTCTTGACGAAGAGTACATGGCTGTAGTTGGCGACCACCACAGGCACAATCGGTACACCAGCCTGGACTGCCAAGTTGAAAGCCCCCTTCTTGAAGGGCAGCAGCGTGGGGTCCTTGGCATAGCTTCTTGTGCCTTCAGGGAACATGTACACACTCTGTTTCTTGGCGCGAATCTCTTCTGCGGCGCCCTTCATGGCCTCGCGGGCATCCTTGGCGTTCTTACGGTCAATGAAGATGCTGCCGCTCAAGGTCATGAACCATCCCAAGAAGGGCGTCTTCTTGAGCGAGGACTTGGCTGTTACGCTGCAGTACTTGGGGAACATAGCCCCGAGCATGAGCACATCCAGCTCCGTCTGGTGGTTCCCAATAAAGACGGCGGGACGGGTCGTGCCGAGGATGTCTTTGGGATCCTCGACCGTGAAGCATACGCCCGTCGACCAGTACATTGTAAAGTGGAAGAATCGCGCCGTCGCCCATTGCGAGATCTGCTGGTAGCCAAGGAGGGTGAGGACGATCGAGGACAGCACGCCGAACACGGCGGCGACGATGAGGTTCGCATACGAAGCCAGGACACGGGCGGCGAAGCCAGCTTTCGGGATGACGAAGGAGAGCGCATACATAGCGACTGTGAGGGCGAGGTAGCCCAGAAGGCCCGTCGAAAGAGCGCTGGTGAAGGACATGGCCGTAGCTGGTCCGACTTCGGGGGGGCGACACGCGCGCGCGCCGTCTTACTGCTTCACAGATGAAGTCGAGTTCGTCAAGACAAAGGCATGTCCTGGTCAAAGGAACGACTGTGAGGAAGCAATGACAGCTGGACTCGAGAGAGGGAAACAGCCGCGCGACGTCGTAAATGGTGGGGTCGATGGAGGACGTACGTCTTGGTCCAGCCTCCAGTCCCAGGTCATTTGCGCGCGGGCGGGCGGTGAGAGTGACCCCACCAAACAGCCCGCCGCCGCCAGACGTCACTGACACATGTCATTCAAGGCCCACACCCTAGGTAATCAACTTACACCGAGCATCGGCATTCATGCGTAAGTAAACAATGCTGGTTATTGGAGTGGATGTGTCACTTGTACCATCCGGACCTCAGGAGTCGCGAATTTAGAAGACCGTCTCATTCGGGGCGCGATTAGTCAAAGTCACACCTGACGAAGAAACGCCCATACCTTAATTAGTGCCGCTCATGGTGCCTGACTAAGGTATCACGTGTAAGCTAAGATGATGGCGGGTGCGCCGCCCGATAAGATAGTGGACTGAGCAGGGGAATTATCAGGGTCGTCTGCTACCCCCATCCAGAGAGCAGCTCACCATCAAAGAAACAATCGGTTTGAGGGTTAATCTGCTCACTGCATGACGAAGCCGCCTTACGATATTGTTCATTTCATCTGCACGGTCACACCCATTCTCTACGAGGACAGATCAATCAGCCAGCGCGCCTGACCTGAATGACCCCGTAATCCGACGATACCCTCCATCATAGTATACGCCGCCAGATCATGCGCCTCGACATCTAGCTAGCTCGCCATCATGACTTCGAGTCGCCGAGGGCAGTCCCCCCTTACTATATCTCTCCCGCCAGCCGGGAGTTCCAGCCACCTGCCCGAACTCCCCCCAATCGACGCTCTGTTTCTCATAGACTTTGATGTGAAGAAAGGCTACACGATCGCCTGGCAGCAGACTGCGCCAGGTGTCAATGTCGATGGACGAGTCGAATACAAATCTCTTCCTTCGGGGCTACATACTGTCTCGGAGGACCTCATCTACTTTGTGCACGAGGGCGCGCATGCAGGTCTCAGCGCCTTTGTCAATGTGCCCTGTGAAGAGGAAGAGTCGAGGCATGCGCGCATGATTGCCGTTGGAGTGCTGGTGCCCTTGAGTTACGGACGATTGGGACGCGCTTGGAGACATGCACAAGGACTGAAGGATCTGGCCAAGTAAGCACAGCAGCCTCCCCGTGTGACACTCAACCGAGCTTTAGCTAAGTCAGTACAGCGAGTTGGCCAAGGATCGCACCAACACAGAATTGCTCGACACCTACTGGAAATCGAACAAGCTTGACAAAGACGACCCGAAGCCCCCGGCCACATCTGGGGAGACGCCAGTCGTGACACCCGCTGTTACATTCTCCGAACCTAACGAGCAACCCCAGAGGAAGGGTCACTACAGAAACCGCTCAGGCTCAGATAGAACGTCTCTCGCCCCAGCGGAGCACAGGCTATCGCCGTATCACCCAGCCTGGAGACTGACGAGCTTGTTAGACAAGTTTGGGCCGTTGATCTTCCCAATTCACAGAGCCGCGTTGCTAAGGCAGCGCATTCTCATTTCTTGCCATACACCTGTTCAAGAGATCTGCGACTTTGGTGAGCCCCTCACTCTCCGGGCGTTGACCCCTTGACTGACCGACATAGTGTACAATCTGTCCATTCTCTCCAACGTCCCGCTATCTCTCACTAATATCCTCCCCGAGCACTCGCCTACGCAACGATTGAGGCCTCTTTTCACCATTGGCGTGCACGATATCCCTTTCCTGACAGAAGATTATGAAGCTTTGAAACGACGAGGGCAACGTGAGAATGCCATTGACGATGACTTGGACGACGAGACTGGAACTGGCTGGGTAGCCTGCACGACCGACTCTATCCTAGCGATGAAAGACACGCTCTGGGACATGCTCATCACCATGCCCCCCGAACACTCGAGCCACGCCAAGGATAAGGTGTGGCCTACAGTCGAGTGCCCTAAGGGGGTGCCCATTCGCGCCACCCAGCGTGATCTACGTCGCTTCAACACCCTACGTGCCGGCCTCTTCCAGCTCGCCGACACCCCATCGTCCCCCAACGGAGTGCGTGCGTCGACGAGCCACTCCAACCGCTCAGCTTGGCACTTTGACCACGCCGACGACTCGTTCGACAAGGTCATTGAACCACTCAGCTGGGCTGCTCTCGCCTACAACGGCTACATGTGGTGGGCTTCGGCCGGCGAGCAACTCCATTCCGAGGAGCAGGAAGAGACCTCCCGCGACACCGCACTACTCGCCGACCTCACGCCGCACACGCCCACTATGACGATGCCCACGTCTCGCTCAGATCCCACGTACGAGTCACTAGCCTCCCTGGCTGCCCTGCGTCACCAGAAGTCGACGCTGTCCGCTGAGGCGGACGAAGCTCGTGTGGAGCTGGCCATCGTTGCCTATTTTCACCGCCTCACAACGCAGATGCTCTCCGTCATGTCTGACATTATTGAAGACGTGGACGAGGCGTACCCCGACAACGAGCACAACGGCACTCCTACAGAGGAGGGCGACGCGCTCCTCGATGACAGTCATCCGCAGCCCCGTGCTGTCATGGTGGACAGTCGATCAGTCGAAAACATGGGATTGGATGTGTGGAGTGATGCTGATGCGGCGTTTGTCAAGGACTTGATGAGGGTGTATTTCGACCGGCTGGCCAAAGTGGAAGGCAAGGGTGTCGAGGTGTGTGGAGTGCGGGTGTGCTAGATGCATGCTTTATATACAGCCCTCGTGCATACGTCGTCTCTGTTGCGAGGGTAATGTGGTGGTAATAGGCCGTCTACGAGCGAGGTTTATCAGTGTACATACGGCATAGAAAATGTGATCATCAAGCATGGTCATCATTTCCACGAGAATGGAGTAAATATGTACTTGACCAAAATTCCATTACCCTTAAACTCCCAGCCAGCCAGCCACGCACGCATGTCCTCGACAGCGGGGGCTCGCTCAATTCTTTTGCTCTTCCCTAGCAGAAACCACAATGCCATGATGTATCCATCCCAGTGCAAAAGTCCTTTCACTCCGGCGCCGGCCTTTCCTTCTTCAATGCTCATCCTACGACTCATCCTCCGTATCCGTGTTGGTTGCGCTGGTGTCGTCATCCTCTTCCTCACTATCACTGTCTTCTTCCTCAGAGTCGTCGACGGCCTTCTTCTTACGAGGCTTGGGCGCCGCTTGTCCGCCCTTGAGGGCCTGCATCTGGCCAGCGAGAGAATCTGTCGAATGTCAGTCACCATACTACATAGCTCTTCTGGGATTGGCTTACCCTCATCCGGTTCGCTGATCTCGTCGTCGTCGGAAACCTTATTAGCCTTGGCAGCATCTTCCACATGCATCGTGATGTCGACACGGGTGTCGAAACCAACATAGGAGTCGCAAATCAGATGCAAGACGAATGTGTACTGGCCAGCCTGAGGTGGCGCAGCGAACTGGGCTTTCAGGGTCTGCACAGCGAACGTGGGCTTGCCCTGTTCGTCAAACGCCGGCTGGTCAAAGTGTGTAAAGGTGAATGGAGGTACGGCCATTTTGCCCTGCTTGGAGTCGCTCAAGAAAGCGTGCCATTTCGGAGGAGTGTCGCGAGGGTAGTATGGCGCAAACGTCAACGGCGGCAGAACCTTATTCTCCTCGACTGTGATAGGCTTCCCGTCGGGGCCCTTGACTGTCTTTTTGCGACCGGTGATCGCGTCGAGATCATCCTCGGCCGGGTCAACATCCTCGAGGTCCAGTTCGTTGACCTCTGGCACATTTTGAGTGCCTGGAGGAACAACACGGCCCTTCAGGACAAGACTAACCAAGGAGCTGGGAAGGACGCAGCGTTCTCCAGTAACCTTGAAGAATGCTTTCTCGAGGTGCAGTAGGGGAAGTTGGCTGCCAATGTTGAGGACAGTCTTGTACTGGTCGTCTGACAAGAGACCCTTGCCCACGGCCCGTCGCCTACGTTCCGCATCTGGCAATCCCAGAAATTGCTGAACGCTAAAGTGGCTTCGCGAGTCGCCTTCGATGGCGGCGGCGATTTTGTTATCCATGTGCGGTAGTTGCAAGAGCGGCGAAGCGCCAGGCGCAAGAGCCTGGACGATGTACTGATTGGCCTCGAATGACGCGATGATGGGCTTGACATTGCCGTAGGCCAGTGAAATAGCCGAGAAGGCGTCCCGTAGCGCGCGAGCAGTAGGAGCGACCTCGAACTTGGCCTTTGTCAGAGCAGCGTCGTCGAGCTGGATGCGGCCCAGGTATGCCCACAGAAGCGCCAGCGCCTTCCGCCTCGGTCCCTCGGAAAGGTCCTCAAGCGCCTGCTTGTCCTTTGCACTGAAGCCGCAAGCAAAACGAGACTTGGTCGCGTCACTGTCGGCAGAGATCCTAGACTCTATTCTCGACAGGCCCGAGTCTGCCTGATCGCCAGCGAACACCGTCTCGAACTCCCTGCCCGAGCTCAGGCTGTAGATGACATCAGAGAGCTGTGCCTCCTCGCGATATTCACGGAACAGGCGGTTGGCACTCTCCATGAGGACGCCCTCCTTGGACTTGCGCAGTGTGCCGTACCACCACGTGCCTACCAAGTACGGGAGGAGAACACCGAGGAGCATGGCATACACCAAGACGACATATTTGCCGTTGCCGTCTGAGATAATCCAAGTGGGAAGGGCCACTCCAATGCTGTAGCTCTGCTTGCCGTCCGGGTGGCCATACTGAATGTAGTTGTTGCGCACCTCCTCATCCGTGAGAGCTTGGTAGGCCTTGGTGAGTTCGACGTAGTAATCGTTGAGCGTTTCAACGGTTTCGTTCTTGGCAGCATCGGGCCTCACTTTGTCGGGGTGGAACTTGAGCGAAAGGCGCTTGTAGTGCGACTTGATCTGCTTCTCCGTAGCGGACTGAATCGGTCAGAAGGGAGGGACGAGTTGATCTGGAGGGGATGGGTACTCACGTCTGCGATGCCCAAGATGTCATATGGGTTCCAAATCTTGCTGGCCGTGCGCGCGGTTGTCATGATCAGGTACACCATGGCACCCATGATCGCCCAACCCAGCAGGGTTACCAGCGCCCTCGTGACCTTCCTTTGCCTCCTCTTGTGGGCGGAGCGAAGTTTCTGGGCAGCATCGCCATCTTGAGGTTTGTAGTCGGTCTTTATGCGCGGCGCGAGCCTCTCGTCGTCTGTCGATTTTCGCAGCAGCGTATACGTTAATGGCAGGGTCACAAGGCCGGTGACTGTGAGGACGAAGAACGGGAAGAACTGGCCCTATGTGTATGTTAGTTGAGGGGGTGGTTCCGGTTGAATCTAGCTTCTGGGCAACGGCGCGAACCTGTTCATCGTACGAGTAGTCTGAGCTCATGTTTGCGGTAGAGCAGCTCAGTCCTAGCTCGCAATTATATGATGGGAAATCGAGAAAGTTGGTGAGTTGTCAAGATGCGGCAGGGAGAGTCGCCAGAGCCGTTGGAGCAGATCAAAGGTGTCCTGAAAGTCAATCGAGGACATTTGTGATTGGACACGCTAGGAGCCCCGGGACCCACACCCCACCGACGTCAGGGCGCCTTCCAGCTCGCGACACCGTGTCAAAACGCCTCGTCCTGGCATTATAACTGAAGGTCTTCTAATTGATTCCAGTCTCCAGGTTGAACCATTGCCAGGCTAAGATTGCTGCCAGCTCACATGGTTCGCGTGTATCTACTTGTTTCTACGTGCAGTAAAGTCCCATCAATCAACCCCCCTGCGCTACCTTAGCATCGGCGTCGCTATCGTCTTCCTCAAGCACTGTCATCTCTAGCCCCTTTGCGTTCTCCTTTATCAAACCAGTATCCTCAACATCGGTGTCTTCCTCCGTCGTCATACCTGTGCCGTTGTCGTCCACCAGGAGACTCCTCAAATCTTCCTCACTCATAATGTTGTGTAATGTACGGTCTCTGATCCACGGACGAGTCTCTCGTCGTCCTTGCTCCACAAGCCTCTCCTGCTTGAGTCTGTTCGCAATGAACTTAAGTTTTGGGAATGCACTCTGCTTTCCTTCGTGTATCATACGCGCAAGACGTGGCGGGTCGGGATCTGTCAAGAGGTGGATGAAGTCTGAAGGAATCGACTTGGGCCAAATCGTAATCGTACCGCTGAACTGCTGCAACCACAACTGACTCCAGTCCTGGCCCAGAGGACGTGGAAGGAGCTCAGCATGCCGGATGAACTTGAGCCACTTGTTCATGTCGAGCTTCAAATAATGCTCGAAGGCTGACATGATATACCCGCCCCGCCAGCCTCGACCCTTGCGATGGGTGACAGGATGGCCCACAGAGCCCCTGGAAGAGAAGAAGAAGAGGTTGATGTGTGGGTTCACCTGGCTAACAATGGTGAAGTTGACGTTAAAGTGAGTGTTGAGAGCCTTGATCGGGATGTCTGTCCGGAGGCTCCCGTCCTTCCACTTATGGCCAAATGAGTAGGGCACAAGCGTTCCATCGCGAGTCTTCATCATGAGAACGACGGGGTTGAGGATGCCGGGTACAGCGGCTGAAGCCAGCACAGCTGACCAGATAACACAGTCCGGGCTTGTCAGATAGTTACATAGAATCGTTGGCGAATGGGGATCGGCTGGCACGCAGCTGACGTTGAGAATGCGACCCGTGCGTTCGTATGCCTCGCGAAACGTTGTCGACCCTCGAGACCACCAGCTGCAACGGTCCGCCCAGTCTACAGAGTCAAACCGAGCGCCAGTTTTCCACCATCGAGGAAACCACGTTGTGATACCTTCGCCGCAGGCATTGATCTTGAATGCAAGGGCAGGTACTAGCAGTTTGTCGAGTTCCTCGTTCGTTCGGGTTGCGATAAGGGCCGAAACCAAGGCCCCGCCACTGGTCCCTGTAATGATGTCGGGCAGGAGGTCGGCATCTAGGAGTGCTCGGGCTACTCCAATGTGGTAGTAGGCGAAGGCGGCGCCTCCAGACAGGCAGAGCGCAGTGCGGCCAAAATTGGCGTTGACGTGTTTGAAGAGGTCTCTCTTCTCGTCCTGGGTCAGTTGTTTCGTTTTGAGCATGAACTTCAGGCTCTTCTCAGCTACGAAGGTCAGCGTTCCACCTCCCAGGCAAAGGCTCGGAGCGACTTACTCTCGTCCACAAAGTTCTGGACCAGATTCTTCGTGCCGTAGTATGTCTGGCTGTAAAGTCGAGCATTCTCAACGCCAACAAAATTATTCTTGACGCAGGCCTCGATCAAAACTCTAAGCTCATCAACCGTTTTACCACCATCACCCTTCCCCATCTCGAGCCCCTCTGCCTTGGCTCTCATCTTTCGCATCTGCTCCCAGACCTTTCGCACGCTCTTGTGGTCGTAGTAGGCATACGAGTTCTCCTCCTTCCATGCTTGCCGTCCCAAGTAGCCGTCCAACTCCTTCGCAGCGGCTACCCAGTCCTTGTAGTTGGCTGTCCGACGCATATTGCTCCGGAGCTGTTGTCGCTTCCCTCGCCATGTGAAGAAGTGTTCGTAGACCCAAATGTACAACCTTGTTGACAGGTAGGCCAGGCCGAGACCTGCAAGCCAGGCAACGACAAACAAGAGCAACGGCCACTTCAGTACTTGATAAAAGTAGCCCTCTCTTGTTTCATCTTTCGTCCGCGTCCCCAACAGACCTTCGACGGCCCCCTTTGCAGCACCATTCCGCCTCCGCTTGGAACCTCGCTTGTTTTTGTAGATCTTTGAGTTGACAGGGGCCCAGTCGTTCTGGGCGGTAATGAAAGTAGGTGCTATGGCCGGCTGGGCTCCATCGTGTCCAAAGCCGCCTGGTGCGACAGCCCCAACATCCTCCTCGAGTCCGCTACCGGCCTGGCTATTGCGCTTCGTGATGGCCGGGGATGGACTGCGCAGTGACGAGCGCAAGCTCCCAGTCTCGTCTACGGGGCTTTGCAGAGGGTCAGGTGCCTGCAGTGCACGCTCGAATGCGCGAATGTCCTCCTGATCCAAAAATTCAACGTCGACATCGGGCAGAAGAGAGGTGTCGAAAGCCTCGGGCGGGAAGCCGTAGTTCGGGGTGTCGAAGAGACGGAAGGGCTCTTGTTGGAATGACATGGTCGCGATAGTCGAACCGCCTTTGTAGCCCACTAGCTAGAGAGCGCTCATCATTGTCGCCCAAGCGCTCAATCTTTTACACGAAGTCGGTTCGGTTCAAGTTGGGTTTGCGCGGTGGGTGGTTCACGTGTAGAGGGTGATGACGTACGTGGTAGACGGTACATGTATGGCGCTCTTTCGTTGGGGTCGCCGCCGACTGGATTCCATGTCATCCACTACTGCTAAGACTGAGAGATGGAGCTCCATGCAAATGCATCATGCAGCCCTAATCATCTTCGAGGCGGTATAAACTCGAATTGACCAAACGAAATCAGTTATTTGGCAGGCCCAAGCTGATACTTCTTACGCCCTATGGATTTTGGTCTATTCCTACAGCTCTTGCGTCAGGCTGTTCTAGCTTCTGGGTGAGCTCCTGCGAAGGCGCTATCTACTTGGAGAGGTCGTGGCCCCATGGCGGTCTGGTTGAGGTCGCGTAGGACGCCTACGATGGCCTTTGTCATATTCTCCGTAGCTGCTGTCTGAGCCTCTGCACCTACTTATCTTGGTGGCTTCCTCCAAGGCGGCCAAGCCCGTCATGAAAGTGACTGCGTGGCCTTGCGCAACAACAGCTTTCTGACTTGCGGCCTACAGCCCGGCCTCCTGAAGTTCTGGATCGACATGGCCATTGGCTTTAAATAAGATGGCTAGCAATTCCCCGAGTAACGCACTAGATTCGCCGTCATAAGGTCACTGGCCTGCTATGCCCTCAGAGCCTTCCTCTGCTGTCTGCGCCTGCGACAGCATCTCTGACGCTCCTTTTGGGCGGCAACCGAGGGATTGGGCTGCCAATCAAGAGCCTCAACCTGCTACCAAGCTCTTCAGACCTCGCGAGATTTGTGACATACAGTGCTGGCCCGAGGCTTCGTGTCCTTGCCCGGGATGGTTGTTCGTGGGCCAGGCTCGGCGAAACACCTACCTGATGTTGACCCCAATTGAAGGCCTTAGTCTATCAATTCCTCTTGCCGGCGATGAACAACACCAGCGGGCATCTTGCCTTAGCGCTTCGCGTGCCACATGATCGATGATCACAGGAGCCCTTATTGTCTGCACAGATGCGATTATCCAGGGAGGCATCATGGCCCCGAAGTGATGATGTGCCCCGGGCTGTAGGGATGGGGATCGTAGTTAATGAGGGAGCTATTGCGCGACCTTTAACGAATGTACTGTAGAATATTATCCATGTGAGACTACCGGGCAGGATTGCTTCAGGCCCGAGGATAAGTGTCGATATGAGCAAGAAGATATCCTACCCTTTGAAGAACGTCGGAGCCTGGATTTGGTGGATATCGCGTTCGTGAGGTAAACGCAAAGCGCAGCTGATGGTCAGTATAGCATGGCCGGACACTTGTGGGCTGGCCCGCTGGAGGTGAAAAGACTCGCGTGGCTAGCAGTTGGAGCCGGTGAATCAAGGGTTTTGGGACAACCCACGCAAATCTCACGCAAAACAATTCTTTGACAGGAAAGTGTACAATGTCGTAGACATCTATCAATTGTCCTGACAAGAGGATGCTAAAAAGATAGATAGGAAAGTTGATGTACAAAGGAGCGCATCGCTTCAATCACCACGCTTATTTCACGTGAGCAGCAAGAGTCTCGAGAACCTGGGCACGTTAGTCATCTGCTCCGGAAGCCCAGCCAGACTACGCACCTCCAACTCAATCTTCGCCTCAGCAATGTCCTGCTCGCTTCCGCTGCCATTGGCCACCTTCTGAGCCTCGGCAATCTGGTTCCTGATGGCATCGGCGCTGAAGTCCTCGATAGCGTAGCCCTCGGGCGCGTTGATGCTCATAGTCGAGTTGGGCTGGACGGTCGCGAATCCACCAGACACTGCTACCGGTTAGAACTGATCATATGCACCCATCCTGACGTGGACATACGGAAGAACTGCTTGGCGCCTCCGCTCTCCTCGACAACCTCGACCAGACCGGGCTTGAGCTGCTCAATGGAGGGGACGTGGTTGGCGAGGACACCCATCTCGCCGGACTCGGCAGGGATGTTGACCTGAACAACGTTCTTGGACTTGTAGATGGACTGTGTGCGGCAATTAGCTCAGATGGCTCGATTGTTGCGTATCGCCTCAATGGGGTCGCGCAGGACTCGTCTTCGCTTCGCATGTCGGGATCAGTCGCATACCTGGTGGGGGAGGGACAGGCTGAGCTTGATCTATCAATTGATTAGCTGCGTTTCTCCAGTCGCGGCCAGTTCTCGAGGAAGCTTACGTGCTCGGGAACAGCCTCAGCGTAGGTCCTTCGCTGGGCGGGCATGCGCATGGCAGGGGCACGGGCACGGAGAGCCGCGCGGGCGAAGCGGAAGGAGGCGTTCATGGTGGATGGGCGACGGGTGGTGGACGGTCGTGACGATGAAGCTCGAATTGAAGTCGTCTGGCACGATCTTTGCCGACCAGCGAACGGCCATGCGGCTAGCGGGAAAATCCGCTGGGTCACGTGGATATCACGTGCATTGCTCGCACTGGACCGAAGTGCCAACAACATCAACAGCATCAACAGCACCCAGATGCTCAGAAGCTCAATCAAAGTCGCAATTTTTCAGTGACTCTAAAGTCACCTTCGAACGCGCTACACACTGGGCTCGACGTACATCCTTTTGGCCCGCTTCGAAGCTGTCGGGGTTCATGATAGTAGATCGACTTTCTCGCAGCGGGACCTCCTCCTCGGTCGGGAGTCGGGATGTATCAATAAAAGGCCTGCGACAGTGACTGAGGAACATTTTGTCTGCCTGGACCATGCCGAACACCGGTCACAACACGGACAGTCATACCAAGTACTGCCTTTCGCCTGCCCTTGCGTGCATTCCCTCGCCACTTCTTTCCTGTACGGAGGACTTGTGCCACCCATGGAGAGGCCTCTCGAAGATGCACCACCCCGTGATAACATTGCAGCATCCAGCTAATCACCGCATACGCGTTATCTCGAGGAGTGCGCAGTCCTCGGTGCCCACCCTTCGGACTTGCCAACTACTGTACTGAGATTGATCATCATTTGTCCAGGGAAAGTGATCGTCTAGATCATCTGATGGTGCTGGCAGAACGTCAGCAAATCACCACTCACCAACGCATCGTCTTTGGACCATCTCCACGGGGTTAGCAGAGCGCTAACTGATAGTCTGGCAAGTCGCGTAGCTGGATACAGGTCGAAGATCTTCGCGATATACGTAGTACACTGCGAGGTGAAGTGATCAACACCAACGGCGTGGAAATGTCAACCAGTGAGGGCAATTAACAGGCCACCCTAGACCCTGGCCATGAGATCTGATACAAGGTGCGGCCTGGACCGCCTGGTTGTGATGAGGGTCTATGAGGATGCATGAGGCGGAATACCTGTTAGCTCTAACTAATTATTAGCCTCTGTCGTTTTGCATAAACGCTGGATCGCATTGAAGAGCGGTGAGATTCTACTATGTACGGATACTGTGTTGCTACGACTCGTCTGGGGGCTCTGCTCCGCCCTTTACCCGTGCGAAATGCATCATAAGGTACATGGAACCGCTGCGTAAGACAACCTTGAAGAGCAAGTAATCACGATAATATTGAAGAGCAATTAGAAATAAAACCTTGAGTGCCAGCGCGTAAGATGCTCTTGGTATACGACACCTCAATCAGCCCGCCTACAGCCTGCGCTGTGGATAAAGTCGTCCAGATGGCAATGGACTTGTGGGAGCACTCGTGCATTCTTGTTCCCCTCCTGGTGGGTTTGCAACCATCACGCTGAGGCTTGGTGTGATTGATGAGATTACTACATGTGCTCGTTCTCCTCTGTTGTGATATCCCGCACGTTGTGTCACCAAAAGTGACCTGCATTCACCAGGGCGCGGGCAGCCTCCATCTTTCTCGACCTTTGATGGGTTCTGGATGTTATCCCGTCGACACAGTTTCAACGCTCTAACCGGTATCACATGTACGATGCGCTCATCCTTGCTTCTTGCGTGAAACAGAGCTGTTCATGTCCACGAGCAACATGTGCCTCGCGCCGCCGTGTTTGCCGTGCCAGCACACCCCGAATCCATTTTACCTCATCGTACAGCATGGTCGATTGAAACAATGCGGGGTCTATGCGATTGTCAACATTGAGGGGGTTGGTTACGGGGTCGGCATTGTATCGTCAGGGTCTACGGATACTACGTGTCGACATGCAGGACTCTTGCTCGCTTGGTAGCTTTGTGGGCGACGTCAAGCTGTCTTGGCGGCGCATGATTTGAGACAAAGTGCCATCCATGGGATAGACACGCTGTACCGTATCTCGTGGTCGCGCCCGGTAATTGATTGAAGCATCGCCGACGATGGACATTCCAATTCTAGGTTCCGTCTGTCGCCGCGAGCACAGGTGCCGGAGAGTTGACCTGTACGTAGTGAATAAAGCCGATGTAGCTGAAACTGGGAAAGTGACAGGATTCGTGGATTCAATGTTGCTGACGATAAAAGCAGCGCCCCTTGGGCAGGCATTTGATAGACGCAATGGTAGCCGTCAACGAGCTTCATGCATGAATATCGTCACTATCATCAGGTGCACAGCTTTGCCAAGGCGGAGAATACGTCGGTTTGGCGAACCATTCAGAGTCGCTGCATCGATGGCACCTTGGCTCAAGAGCTCTTGTTTGTGTTGATAATTCCCAAACCAACAAGCTGTTGTTGACGCCGGGACCTTCACGCTTTAGGGTAGGTACTATTGCTATTGACGCGTCGAGTTTTGCTGACTACCTTAGTAGGTGGTATAATTTTAGCTTGCGACAATAATAAGATGCCTGCTGAAAGATAGCAGTGTTCTGTTGCTGGCCTGCACTTCACATGTTTCCCCAAGCCGACCAGATTGACGGCAACACCACAATTCCGCTCCATCTGTGTCTGTGTCCAGTCTCCAGGGACGCCTGTGCCATGTGACAATTATAATACTAATCGCCAAGTACGTACGCCCTTCTTAGATATGAGGGGTTTGTCTGCCACAAATGGTCATTGGGATGCACTTCAACTTCGTGGAGGCTGCAGCCAGCCAGCATGTGGGGGTATTTTCATTGTCACTTTCACTACTACGGAGTAGTACGGAGTAGATTCTCTTCAACTTCAGTCGATCAACAAGGCCAAAGTATAGCATCAAGCGCAACTCGGCAGACGCGTTTGTTCGAAAGCAACGCACCTACGAACTTTGTGATGATGATTCAGTGTTCATGAGTCGCGAGGATCGACGCGGGTGGGCTTATTAGGTGACGGTCTTCATTTGACTGTCAATTTCGATGTTGTTTCCTGCAGGAGACGCCAAGGACTCAGGGAGGACTCAAGTCGTCGGTGCACAGTGCAGGGCCGCATCGGCCGCTAATTAGCGGAGACAGTCAGGCGTTTTGGCGGCTTTGAATGGCATTTCTGCCAAGAAGGGTCTGCTGACGGGTAAGACGCACAGTGCCATTCAAAGTCTTCCTGGCTGCACACAGTGTCCTGACCTCCAGTATTGTTATTAGCGGCATGCACGTTTCCCGAATCTGTTTCGCGAGTCTCGGAAGCGCGAGAAAAATCATCAAGAAGTGGTCTGACCAATGAGGGCGGCCTGAATGCAAAGAAACGCCCCATCCGCCTTGGTGACGACGAAACAGTGACGGCGAAGCCTTCAGGACAGGCAACGCGGTGCCAAGCCTAGACCAGCCCATTCATTGCCCCAGCGGCCACAGGCCAGCCGCCAGCGGCCTCCACAATGCGCCTTTTGTGGTTGTTGCTCATGAACTCGAGCAAGGCATCTTGGGCCAGTTGAAGCTTTTTTTCTTCTCCTCTGTACAAAAGTGGATTAGTTCAGCGAGAATGGAAGGTACGTACTCCCCTCAAAGCACCACCTTGACCTGCAGAATTATCCACCTGGTACCTTCGCCCAGCCCTGCCCTGTCTGTGTCTGCACTTGCACTCGCGACCGCTCGGCTCCCCAGTTTTGGACGTGTATAACCACCGGCCCTCATCTCCTCCTCTTCTCACCCTTTTCGCGTACTCATTCTTAATTACTGTTCTGTCAACGTCTTTTTCTATCATCGGGTCAGTTGCTGCAAAGCAAGGCGAGTTCTGCTCGTCTGGGTCATCGCACCCACTGACTTTATCCGTCCGTTCCATCACCTTGTCGGTCGCAGTGCTGCCCTGCGCTTGTTGGCGGAGTTGCGAGCCTTTTGACACCGTTATTTTAAGGTGCTTTTCGCAGCGAGACAAAGGGTACCCATCAGCAAGGCCATTTAACAGAACGTGCCTTGGTGACTCGGTTTCGCCACTCCAGTCGGCTACCCAGTCACTCCGGGACCGCATTGCACGTCATCAACGCCAAGCGCTCTGCCTCACGACCTCCACGCATTCCGCGGCACAGCAGATCGCCCTTCCTTGGACACTGGGACCTGCGCCAGCGCCCGCTTTCAACGCCAGATTTGAGACCCTAATTAAAGCACTGCCCTTTCTGCGACTCAAGGTCACATCATCAAACATTGTCGACGGCAACCAGCATTTACACTCTCCCTCCGACACCTGTCTCACCCCTATTAACCTAATATCACCTTTCGAACAACCATTTCAGGCCACGACAATGCTGGCCTCAGAGTTATAGCAAAAGAGTCCCCACGGGACGACAACGCTGTGATACTATAATCGCGACGCCGACCTAGGCAAACACCTCTTTCAAAACAACCGAACATACGGATACGCCGGCCGAAGGCAAATCCTTCTACTCAATTTCTATACATTCCCTCCAGGCATCTCAATATGGTTGGCCTCTCCTCGATATCGTGGCGCCTGCCTGCCTGGGCTACGTCTAGTACCGATGAGGTCGAGGACGTGGACGAGCCTCCTGAACCAGAATGTTCGCGGACTAGTCCCCAACAATTTCGAAGAGCACCTGTGCAGCAACCCAGCGACAAAACATCGCTTTTGACGAAAGCTATCATGGGTTTTCCAGAGCACGAAGTCCACGACGAATACCGCGCGATCCCCGACTTGAATCGTCGACGTTCCATGGCAAGCAATGTCAGCATTGCCTCAACTGCCGACTTGACGAGTGACACAGGCCTCACCAGCCCCGCTCGCACCAATACGCCTAGTCCACCTCCACCCAGCATCGTCGTATCGCAACTGCGCACAGGACCTGTCCCGACGAAACGTATCTCATTCGTCGGCCACGGCAACACGGCGCAGACGAAACAAGGAGCTTGCCTGCCTTCCAACACCAGCTCGAATGATGAAGCTCCTCGAAAGCGGTCCATTCAGTTTGCTTGCAATGCGAGGCCGACCACATCAGAGCGTCCCGCGCCGGCAAGGGTACCATCAGCCCAAGAGGCCCCTCGTCGACCTTGCATCAAATTCGCCTGCCAAGCGAAGCCCACTTCGCAAACCACACTGGCTCGCAAGGCAACACCTCCTCCCTCGCCGCAAGCCCGCAAATCCCGGTCCCCTTCGACTCCTCGCAAGTCGTCCGTCACGTCAGCCGGCATGGCCACGCCCAGGCCGTCCAGCAGCCATCGCAAGTCTTCCAGCGGAACCAAGACGTCACGCCCGAAGTTTATCAATGCCAAGCCCGTTGAATTGGCAGATGATGGCTCGCACTTTCACGAATTCGCTTGTGAGAAGACTCGCGATGACGATTGGATCCGACATGATACCTCTGGTGCCAAGTGCAAGCTCACGATCAATGACACTTTAACCAAGGAGAACCACATCCGCCTTATCGCCAAGGAGGCCGAGGAAGAAGACGATCTGGAAGCTGGCAGCGCTGATGACGCCTCCGGCAGCCAAGGCGAGGACGAGGACGACTCGGGCGAGGAGAATGAAGACGATGGGGACGATGACGCTTCTGACGTTGACTCCGAATCCGACGAGGACGATCTTGCAGAGGAGGAAGATGATTTCGATCTGTCTGAGGGCTATCACACCGATGAGGAGACGGGATTTGCCTCGTCCGACGACTCTGACGCGGAGGAGGATGGTAACATGGTCATGTGGACACTGAGCAAGAGTCCGGCCATTCGGCCTACACCTCCCATTGCTCTCGCTAGACGTCCCTCACTGCAGGATCACCCGTCTGATTCTTCCACTACGACTGGCAGCCCGCGCACCCGCCGTTCAAAGAGGCAGCGTATCAAGCCCCAGCAGCCCACCGTCGACCTCCCCGACAGCACCGACTTCGTATGTGGTACTCTCGACGAAGATCGTCCCCTCGAGGAGGCGTATTTGTCTTGCATGGCTGCGCGTCGCAACGAAAAGCTTCGCGTCATTCCCCAGGACATTGACCCAAGCTTCCCGGCCTCTGATCCTGAGGATGAGGACGAGGACTTGTACAACCCTGTGCACCACGACAGCGATGATGAGGAGTTTCTCCCTGGCGCGATGGAAGATATCCACCACGATCAAGACCGTTCCCGCCGCCCCCGCAAGAGCGGTGCCGCATCACCCAGAAAATGCCATACTCCTCCACCTAAGCGTCACGTCTCGCCGGCTCCCAAAGCCCGAGGCAGATCCCCCAAACTTCTGTTCGACGCACATTCACCACGGCGCATGCGCTCCCCTGCTCCTAAGGCGATGACCACACCCCAAGGATCCCCGCGTCTGGGCAATCATGTCAAGTTCAACCTTGCCGCCCGCCCCGGGTTAACGACCACCAAATCATTGCCCCGGCCTGGCGCTGGGTTTGGGAAGCAATTCCGCAACCACCCCAAACTTGCACAGGACGACGACATTCATGTTCGAGGAGCACTCGACATTGTCAAAGGCCTCGAGGGAAAGCGTCAGCGCCGCAAGGAGAAGTTTTACCAGAAATATTGCAACCGAGCCCGTCGTGGGCAAATTCCCGAGCGCAAACCGCAGAAGCCAGGCCATGGCGCGGAGCGTATGAAAGAACTTGGTCTGCTCATGGCTGGCAAGAAAGACCAAGGCAATTATGTGCTTTCTATTTAATTTCCTTTTGTCCAGCAAGGTTCCGGCGTTGGACCGAGATTCACAGCATGAATCGGCGCACAGGACAATTTGATGACTGCTGGATTTTTATCATTGTATATACCGGTGGCAGCTCATTTTACATATCGGATTATGTCACGGACCACCCGCAGTGGTGGCCGTCAGGTGCCAGTCAGCATTCGCTTGGATACCCCGGGAATATGGGATCCCTACAGGCGTTCACTTTACGATCAATCACTAGAGTTTTAGGGATACCAAATAGACCGATGATGACTCTGTACCACCTACATTAACTTGTGTCAGTGAATAAGTGAGCCCCATGGTCGGGCAAGCACGGCAGCCGCCTATCTGCCTTTTGTGATTGTCTGCGAAGACTATTAGTAAAGTGCCTTCACATGCAATTGTGTGGAACTTGGTGTTGGTCCTCAGCGTTCATGCTGTCTCGTGTGTTGAGGTGGTCGATCTTGTCAGTTGTGGATGCCCCATTTGTAAGGCACCCACCGAAGGTCGGGCCAGCTTTCGAGATGATCGCTAAGTAACCCTCCCGCATCCCACCTCGTGCCTAGCAACAAGAACCACCACAACGCTTTACAACGAACCACTGTGACGCAGCACATCAAATCGACATTCTATACGAGCACGCCGCCGTCATGTGGATTGTCAACTGGTGTAGGCACCACCCCAAGCCGACGGGCTGCATCGCGGGAAACGATGACGGACTGACATGGATCTGATAGTCTACGATGTTCTCTCCTCGCTTGGCCTGCTGAACAAGCATGCTAAGCTCCTCTTCCTCGGTCTCGACAACGCTGGCAAGACGACGCTACTACACATGCTCAAGGTGCGCTCCCGGGAAACCCTGCCGGGGTGTTGTTGGGGTAGACTCGCGTACTGACCTCGGACTACCAGAACGACCGTGTCGCCATTCTCCAGCCTACTCTCCACCCGAGTCGGTCCAGCCGCCGTCGAATCGATAGAGAACGACCATGCTGACTTTCGTTTAGCATCCGAGGAGCTCGCCATCGGCAATGTCCGCTTCACCACCTTTGACCTGGGAGGTCACCAGCAGGGTACGTCGTGATCAGCAACCAAAAGCGGTTAAGCAACGCAACTAAGCAAATACAGCCCGTCGTATCTGGCGTGATTACTTTCCCGAAGTCAACGGTGTCGTCTTCTTGATCGACGCCAAGGACCACGAGCGCTTCGCGGAAGCAAAGGCAGAACTCGACGCGCTCCTTTCGATGGAAGAGCTGGCAAAGGTCCCCTTTGTCATCCTGGGCAACAAGATTGACCACCCTGATGCGGTGTCCGAAGATATCCTCAGGCACGAGCTGGGGCTGTATCAAACAACAGGCAAAGGCAAGGTGCCTCTGGAGGGGATCAGGCCCTTGGAGGTCTTCATGTGCTCCGTAGTCATGAGGCAGGGCTACGGCGAGGCCATTAGATGGCTGTCACAATACGTTTAATCTGAGTTGTAGACGGAATCAGAACGATGGAGCGCCGTAGGCGGTTGGTAGGCGAACGGACGACATGATACTCAGGCAACGTTTAGGTGCAATTCATTACTCTACATTCTTGCTAAGACACTTGTCAGTGAATCTCAATGTGACAAATGTAACTGTTTTAATTCAGCTTGTAGAAAACTTTCGTTGGCGGCAGCACACGGCTGCTCGAAACAAACATTGTGGGAGAACGAATGTCGAATATTGGCTGTCACGTTCGCGTCCCGTTCATCCAAGACGACGATTTACCGCCTCTCCACAACTTTGTTTTGCTCTTCACTATACGGACCACGCATTAAACAACGTCTTTGCCATCGATGGTTATGAACTTGCAACTCTGCGATACATCATGCCGCCCTTGGCCCATCCTAGTAGTCACTGGCAAGTCCCCCGTCCTAATGCTCGTGCACGCAATCAACGGGGAAAAAGCCTTAAAAACAAATGCAATCTTCCAATGCCTTCAATAGCCCTTTCAAGCTATTTAAGAGTCACGCCTCTCGCGCAAAGCAAGCTACTGCTCTGTGGGTTGGTTCCGTGCAGTGACAGAAGCCCCTTTTTTCTTCTGGGCTGCCGGGGCAGGGGAGTGGACTCCAGTTCCCCTTCGCCGAACTGCCAGGAGTCAGGACTGCATCACTAAGTGCTGACTCACGAAGCTCATGCCCTCGCGACTTCTATCTTTCTCGAAGAGAGCAGAAGAGAGCAAAATATAGGCTAGTTGCCTCCAAAGTGTGAAAGGGAAGTGACTTGGACTGGGCAGGTTTGATATCTACAGCTGCAATTGCAAAGCATGTCACCTTATCAATCGGTCATGTGTTTTATCTCAACGGCCTCGCCCTTTGGAGCACTACAATACTGCCAGTTCACCAAGTCTCAATAATGTAAAGGTTGAGAGCTAGGCTATTCAAACTCTTCGCTCCATTGTCGTCTGAAGTCGCGCGTCTCACGGCTGGGAAAGCCGGCTCCACGTATGACCTGCTCGGCCTGTTGATGTGAAAACAAAGTGAAGTAGAAATTTATAGAATCTACATCACATAAATAGGGTGGTCCCATTGCATTCCCTTTCATACCTTACCTTACCTTACCTCTACATCGCCCACGTGAATAGTTTGCGGCCACACACACCAAAAGCGCGCACACCACGCCATTTTCTCCTCCGCGAGTGCAAACTTCAGAGCCAACAGTCTACAGGCCAGAAGTGAGTTTCGAAATGCTGCCATTTGAGATTTTACTGACTGTCGTGGTAGACTCGAATCCTCGACAAGGCGGATTGACGAGGCCCGTCCCAGTGACGAGCTTCCAAAATCTCAACGACCTTCGAGGAGAGCTCGGGTAGGTACTCAAAACTTGACGCTGTCTGTTACGTATATGTGCTGATTAGCCACATGCAGGGCATATTGTATTTCCCTTTTGGCCTGTTTGATACGCCAAGATGGCGCCCCAAGACAATAAGGGGGAAACTGTGGACTCCAGAAGCTTGTTTTTCTCAGCAGAGGAGTTGCTGGAGATGGTAGCACAATTCAGAGACAACAAGTCCAATGCCCAGTTGGGATCCAGCACCGCCGGCAACCAAGACCAACAACCCATCGTCGCCCGGGAGCCCGCCAGCTTCCGTCCCACCAGTACGCCATGGCCAGATCCTCCGAAGCAGGATGCTAGCCAGTTGACAATTCAAGTCTGGAACAACATCGTCGACAAGTTTGACCAGTTGTCTCCTCAGATGACCATAGCCGACAAGATCGAGTGGGCAAAGTACCTCCATGTTGCTCCATTGACACATCCGTCGGAGAAGCCCGCCTACCTTAGGACATGAGAGCGCACCCACTACTGGCCAAGCACAATCCGAGCGAGTCTTTTGCTCGGATACATATTCTCGAAGCTCAGTACGGCAGAGATAGGATTTTGGCCTCCCAGACTACACTGAAGGAGCTGATGGACAACCATGGGTGGAACTACCGGGAGGAGCCGATGCCCAGTTCTGAGATCCGTGAAGCTGCCCGAGGCTTACTGGCGAGTCGTGGCTATCAGATACCCAGTGAGGTTTTGATGGAGGTATCATGGCCTGAGAACCGAGCAGGGAATGCGGACATCGTATCTGCCGCTACGGATTCTACCGCCTCGGAACAGGCCCCTCTGTCCGACGGCAAGCGTCCGTACAGCGAAGCAGGAGATGAGTCTGGATCTCAGAATGCCAAGAAGCAGAGGACGGAGGAGGTCCAAACAGGGATTGCCATTCGAGATGATGACACGCAAGACAACACGCAAGAGCCGAATACTCCAGGTTCGTCGACCCCTGGAGAAGCCCAGCTCAAGACCACAAGCCAGGCAGTCGTTGGTACCCAGGCTGGACATGAGAGTCTGACGGCGGCCATGGTCGCAGTAACGGAAGCCATCAAGTCAGCTGGAGAGGCCCAGACGGCAGCCATTGGTCATCGGACAAAGACCATCCTGGGTGCTCTGGAAGCCCTACCCAAGACAGCAGCTGTAGAGGCTCAGACGGCTGCTTTGATAGAGGCTCAGACGGCTCATTCGGCTGCCATGCTGGGGGCTCTGGACAAGATCTCCAAGCAGATGGCAGAGATCCATGCGGTGCTGAAGGACCGGGCTAGCTCAAGCCGATACCCGTCCCAGGATCCGATGCACGAGGATTGGAGGAACACGGTCAAGCGGGAATCTTCAGCCCCAGGCTACCTAGGCCAGCAAACGCTGCCTCGTGCAGGCAGCCTTCCGTCTCTCTTGAATCAGGGTCATACCTTCGGCGGCATCCCTCCGGTCCCTACCTTCCCCGTCCGCAACCCGGGTCAGATGGACCAGCACACAGGGGCTTATCGTCACCCGACTCCAACCCATCAGAGCTCGCACTTGCTCCGACAGTCGACGGCGCTTCAGTTTGTACAGCAACCGGGCCAGGACCGCCAGCCGGGGCCACACCAACGGGCGGCCTATCCTCAGCACCCTGAGCAGTATCAACAGCCGGAGAGGAACCGGGAGCAGTGAGCTCACAGGAAGTGAGGAGACGTCACAAACGCAGCGGAGCGCTTCTGTCCCTATTAAGCACAGCCTGACAAGACAGGTAGCTTGCCTTTGCGCGAGAGGCGCGACGGACCAACGGTCGGATCATGGATCGCTGACAAAAGGTGTTGAGGATATCGGGAGAGGGATTCTTAATTTTTCAGACATTATCGTATGATTGCTCGTACATGCGCAGCAGGACAGGGCTTTGGCCAGGAGACCAGGCACCCGAGCGGAGTAGGAGGAGGTAGTTAACCCAGACGATATAATATTGCTTTCAGCTATACTTTGCGCCGCCGTGGCCGGTCTATCCGGCTGCTCTGGGCTGCCTCAAATCCCCAATACCGTAACGAAATCTTCCCCGACCGTGTACTGCTGTTACCCGTGGAGATACCCGAGGAGGATTTGCGGCTCTGACTCGTCGGAACAGATTTTTCGGCTCGGCATGAAGCACGCTCAAAGGCAATTGAGGACTTGTCTGCCTCAAAGCGAGACGTCTAAGAGCTTGAAGTGCTCGGTTCCCGCCAGTTTACCTTGTCAGCTATAACAGCGCCGCTTGGGCCTGAGTCCTGAACTTGAGTCATTGGAGCCCGAGCTTAGCGCCGACGATGCGTTTAGGCAGCAGACCGAAAGTAGGGGATTGTCATGTTGACCAGGCGCTATGTGTGACCAGAGACAACGACCCGATGAGCTATGTGCGAAGCTGGACGTGACAATCTCGATGTCGAAGGGTTGACGACATTGCTACCTATGGGGAGCAAGGACGGTCAGTGATGGTAAGACAAAGGAGGCCACCTGTGGGCATGATTGATGTGACTCCTCCTTCGCATACCTATTGCAGAGGGACACTGTTGGTCTGTTGGTAGGACAATGGTCTGGAGCGGCTGGAAATGAGCTGACGTGTCTTGGTGTGCTTCATTTCGAAAGACCCCTCATGTTGAATTAGAAGCACGGTGACACATACGGGAATCACAGAACGGTGTGCTCGACTTGTCCATGTGTGATTCCGTAGGCGAGAATGAGGCGGCCCGTGAAAAGGGGCCAACAACAGCCGTCAGTGGACTACCCTATACCATTTTGACACACCCATGTTGTTGATATTGCTAAGCATAATCAAAGATTCACCACGTATCGGGCAATTCAAGGCCGTTGAGTTCCTTGTGATTAGTTAGTCACATGAGTGTACTACCGGGGAAAGGTAATGAGGTTGGATCGGTTCACCAATCTTGTCAGCACTCCATGTCGTTGCCAGACAACCAATGTCTCCAACATAGCTCACGAAATCAAATATCTTGAGTCAAAAAATAGATAGTACTCCGTACTATATGTGGTTATGAGGATTCTACATTACCTCTTATCAAGGTAGGGTGCCCTCCCGATAGATACAGTCGCATCAAACCCGAAACTCAACTGCCACTCGAGGACAATTATTAGTGACGGCCACTATACATGTAGCTTATGGGACATCACCTGCAAACCTGCCACATCACAATTACCTTCCCATCCCATGAGCCATCCGCAGCGCTCACACCGTGCTCATCAACAGACGGTCTGTCACCAGACCGCTTGGAGAGCGCAAAGACGCATCCTCTGCCGCCGTTTAGTTCGAGTACCCGCGGATGCGGTCGAGGGACCCGAATTGGCGGAACGATGGAGGGTGGAACTTTCTTCGGCTCAGACTCTCAGCAACGCAGCCTGCGCCCGCGCCTGGGGTTCGGAACTTGGGAATGACAACTCTGTATTTCTGACAATGCGGTGAAAAAGACAGAAAGGCGCCCAATCTGATTTGGACAAGAACTCGCCGCTTGCTTGACAGGCAGTTGTGGGGCCTAACTTAGACTAGGATCCCCATCATCCCGGTCCTCGCGCTCGATCGTGACCCGCGAGGGTGCGTGCATCCAGTCGTTGTCAAAGACAACTTGCCAGGTCAGTGATCGTGGGAGCCAAGGATTTCTCATCTCCCACGTCAGGTAGCCATCCACGCCAATATTTGACATCCCTGTGCTGTGAACATGAATGGCGTGTGCTCACGAAATACTGTACTTGTACTCCATGTCCCATGGCAGCACAGCCCTGTTATTACGCTTGGGGGTGTTCGTCCGACAGCGGGTGATCTCAGCTATCTCCGCGCTATTATGCCATTGCCATGGTTCTCCCTTCTCAGCCTTATTGTTCAACTGTACGGAGTATGTTGGATCCACATATTGCCTGCCTGCTCCCACGGCTTGTGCTGGAAACGTGACCAGAAAAGAAAGTACCAGACGATGCGCCTGGCGGTGAGAGCTGCACCTGTCCGGTTCGCAGGCGGCAGACCGCCTCGATCCTGACCCGGCGCATGTAGCCTGGCTGAGCCGCTTGGGGTTCGCTCTCCGTCTCCAGTGATGCGGGCCCGGAAAGACATACAGCTCTGCTTGCAGCGACAGTAACACGATGCAATAAGTCGTCTGCGGCAGACGGAGGGAGTGAAAGTCAGCCCGACAAATAGTCAGTGTAAATTACTCGTATATCGACCTGCAGTGGCTGTGAGTGGGTGCTGTAGCATAGTCGCGCGTGCGCATCGCATATGCGGCGCGTGCAGCAGTGCATGTACGTGCATGTATACGTGCATCCATCCATGACCTTGGCATGCCATGCATGGTCGGCTTTTTTGTCGTGGACTCATGTACGTCGTGCGTTCATCGGAATTCCACCCATGCGTGCCGTGCACGGTGCAGTCGTTCACCGACTAAAACCTTTGCGTGGACAGAGAGGAATGACCAAACTGGCGGAGCGGTGAGCGAGCGGTGAGGAACCGGACCTTGTCTGGGTGGGAAGCGGAGTCCAACTCCAACACGCGACGGCTGACCACTGTCGCGTAGACATCATTGAAATGCGATCAATAATTGTCATACATTGACCGTCGGCCGAAGCAACACGCGATCAGCAACGGCCAAAGCGTTCGGAGCTCGGGCCATTCGCTTAAGAGCCTAGCTGCCTAGTCCACACTTTATGCTGGGGCTTTATTATAGGTAAATCAAACTTCCAAGGGCAAAATTCAAATGGAGACTGAGTCCACGGTAGGGGTGGTGTCACTTAGTGATCAGGGCGTGCAATATTGTTGACTTGGGGCTCCCCAGTTCAAAGTTGCAACGATGCAGATTGTCGTGCGATTGACAGCGATTGACAAGGGAGCATGCATGGTATCTGACAAGAGCTCATGGCTGAACCGATCTTGCTGAATGCAGTCGGGTCCGCACGCCACTTCTACACCCCCTTGAGAGTGCTCACAGAGACTCGTGCCCTTCCCATTGCACGAGTGCGGTACCGGACACCGACCCATACCCCATCGGCAAGAGAACAATATACTCGCGCGGGAGAATTGTCTTGTTTCCCCAAGGTATGCCGGCTAGAGCTTGAAATCAAAGAGGTCCAAGCCTTCAACGGTGACGTCAACCTTGAAGACGCCGCCACCATACGTCTTGCTCGTCTGGTCATCTCCCGAGTCGTCCGAGGCCGTAGTGATGACGAGCTCGGTACCTGCGAATTGGACACATGTAATGTTGCGCGTGGGGAGGATGACCTGGCCCACCAGCTTCCCCTGGGGGCTGATCTTCAGGACACGCCCTTCACCATACACAGCATGCCAAATGTTGCCTTGGACGTCAACTCTGAAGCCATCGGGATCAGCAGACCCGGGGTGATCATACAGCACGCGCTTGTTCGACACGTCTCCGGTCTCCAGGTCGTAGTCGAAAGCGTACACCTTGCCCTCGGACGAATGCGTAAAGTACATGGTCTTTTTGTCAGGCGACCAACCAACGCCATTTGGGATGGTCAAGTCCGTCATGAACACCTCTGGGCTCTTCTTCCCATCAAAGCGGTACAAGGAACCTGGTATTCTCGGTGAGCCACACGAACACCCATGGCGGTGGGGGGTTAAATGAAAGGCTCGTGCCACACACCTTCAGGCTGGCAATCACCACTCGGGAAGTCTGTCATATTGCCAAACCAGAAACGTCCATGGGGATCGGCGCCTCCGTCATTGCCTCGGAGGCGGTCATTCGGAGGCTCACTGAAGCTGCTGATCATCTCATACGATTCGGTCTCTAGATCCAATATGGCGATGCCCGTCTTCATACCAATGAGGATGCGCTGGCGCGGATCGACTCCAGCGATATTGCACGTAACGCCTACGGGTACATCCAGCTGAATTGTCCTCAGAGACGGTAGCCCCTCTGCGAGCGAGACGAGGTGTACCCGCTTCTGCTTGATGTCGACAAATCTCACTATGCCCGAAGCCTTGTCGTAGAATGGCCCCTCGCCTAGGGCACAGTGGAGGTCCAGCCAAGGCTCTGTCACGTTCCACTCCTGGAGCCCAGCCATGTTGAGAGTTGAGCGTCGTCGAATTGTGTGTGTTGTGATGAGGGGTAATTGGCGCGGGGTAACAATAGAATCGAGGAGCTCTGGTGGTTGCAGAAGCGAGAGGAATCAAAGTCAGAGGCAATTTGAATTGGCGACGAGACGTTGAAGGCAAGCACATATTAATATTTACTGCCATCCAGCGATTTTAATTTGATGGCTTGGTGGCCCCTCTCTGACGGAACGTTGGGCGAAGCTCTCGATGGAGACGCGGCCCTACACGCCGTAGCCATTATTATCCGGAGTACTGTATGCAATCACTATATATGGACAAGTCCGCCTGGGGCGATCCTGTCAATGACTGGGCTAAATCTCGTAATGCCTCGCCAGAAATGAATTGACATGTCTTCATTTCGAGGCAATTGAGGAATCGCAGGTCATTTTGAGGTGCGGGCGGGTATTACGCCGTACTACGTACACTAACAATTGAGGCGTTAGCTCTATCGCAACGAGAGGGTTTGGAGCATGGATCATTCTGCCTGTTATGGGCGTTCCTTAATCCCTGCTGCAGAGGCCCGACCCAAAGCAGAAACCGGTGAGCTAGGATGGCCGATGCGAGTGTTGTACGATGGAGACTGGGGGATCTGTCAGGCCGCAGCTTCGGCCGCAGATTGTGACCCTGGACTCGACTAGCAATACGGAGTATTTCCGACGTGTAGTCATACGATGTCGAGGCTCCTCAAGCGCAACCAACGTAAGGTAGGTGTCATACGACAGCTTTTCGATCTAGAAGACCTCAACAGTGAGTGAGTGACTGCGTTGTCAAGCAAAATACGCGTTCCGGCATCTAGAATCAACTGTTGCGTCTATTTGTGACAACGTGCTAATTACTGACGTCACTTTAAGGTTAATGTTGAACGATTGGAAGTTGACAGCCCTGAGCCAGTGTGCAACGTGCTGATATTACCTCTCATTTCAAATTTGACGAGAAGGGGTCCAGTCAGTAATAAAAGGTAGTAATGACTTCAGGTAAGTAATTAGTGGACGATGACGGCAATTACCATCCTACCCATTTGCGTCCACCCGCCTGTAGCGCGGTGGGTAGGAAGAAGGGCACTCTACGTGTAACCTAGAACTGCATTACATTGTCTTGAAGAGACGGGACTTTAAGCTCTTTTGTTGACACTACACGCGTAGCTCAAAGAGCGACATACTAATTACGTAGTGGAGTACTTCTTGTACGTACTTATGCAGATGGCGAACAGTTTGACCAATCATAAACATGTTCGTAGTAATTAACCTGGAGATTGATTGTCGCCAGGATGCGTGACGAACATGCGGGCGAGCTTTGCAGCTCCTTACCAAGAATCTGCTCATACTCACTGACATAGACTGTGCTCTAAGACGGGGCACGAAAGCCAATGCTCAGGCTCCATGAGGATTATTTTACGCACCGACGTCTGACTCTTTGTCCTTGGCTCACCGTCTAATACGGACACACAAATGCCGAGGCATGACGTTGCTTTTCCCAATCCTTAAGGCGAGTGCCTAATAATTACTGCCTACCGTAGTGCGACCGTAGGCCGATCTACTGAGTATCCGTTAATTAGCGTGCCGTTACATGGTGCTGAAACCTGACCCTGGCACGAGAACGGTAACCACCAGCCTTGCGTCAAGGCTGTGAGCCTGTGAGTAGTTCACGTCTTGAACATCATCTTCACGAGCCCCGGACCTAATTAGCACACAGCCAGAGCACCATACATTTACTTAGTCATTACGTACAGACTCAAGGAATACGCGACAGGGCGGACGCGCTGTTGTGTGACGACACTTTTCCACGGAAGACTTTTAGATGTTGGTGCCTGACGCGCTTCCTGCCGTGGTTGATTGACTTTCAACCAGCGTCACTCACACGTGATGAACCGAACCCGACCCAACTGCGGGCCGGCCGGTAACTTAGGCAAGGTCCTTCCCGTGCGCAACTGCTGACTGCCGCGATTTCCATCCCATCCTCCTTCCACTTGTAGTAGTGTGCCTGCCCAAACAGGTGGAGCTTCCACTGCCTGGCAAGTGCAGTGGCATGTCACTGCCAGGCAGCTTCCATACGGGTCCATCAGCCCTGATGCAGCCTTCACCGATCGAACCTTCAAGGGTGAGGCCGTTGTTCTTATTTACTTAAGGTAGACAGCTCTCGTCGCTGTCCGCGACCCGATCCCCATGTCAAACAACACGTCGATAAGTCTTCAATATCCTGGGTGTCGCCCGAATGAACCCATTTTGCGCCTCGAATCCTCATCGCGAACCCGCACGCCCCGCCAAGAACCATTGGTCGGGATCCCTGGATCCGGAAACCCGCCTGGCACCGAGCGGCCAGACTCTCTGGGCAGTAGGATTCCAACAGAATCTTGTCTCATTGCATCGTGGACCCAAAGCTGGTTTCGGCCGAGCAAGAAGCAACGTCAAAAGACCTGACCTCTACTACTGTTGGTGATGAAGTCGGCACAGAGTAATTACATCGTTTCTGCGCGCCTCAACTTGACGCAATGCAATGCAAGCCAGACCAACATGCGCGCGCAGATCACGCACCCTGGCGACTTGGGTAGCTACACATGAGCCCTCGACACGGCTGGCACGCTAGGGACATTTCCCCATCGGCCTGCAGGCCTTTTGACGACGACGAGTCTTGAATTGGTTAGTTATTATCATCTCTTCTCTCGTTTGTACCTACATGTCCGGTTCGACACGACTCACGAGTCACGACACACTTCGAATTGAGGCCCAGGGAGCTCCGCCACGGTCTATGCCGGTACCGAGGAGGACGGAGAGTGTCGTATGTGCCTAGCTTGACAGCTTTGGCACATCGATGCACGCAACGCTCAATTCCCGAACCTGGTCTGTCGGGCACTAATAAGCTAGGTCACTCACTTGTTACTGGCGAAGTTTCCTGTGTTCTGTTGACCAGTGTCCAATCGACAGCTCATGCCCGCACCGCCTCGTCAACCTTGAACCACTGGACGCCCCCTCCCCCCCTCCCCCCTCGGGTTGATCCCGCTGGCCCGGCCCCTGCGCAGGACCACGCGCCACTTGTTGCCCTGTCTGGCCTGCCGTCAACCGCGTCCAGGGCCATTATGATGAACCAATCTTACTTGGTACGCACTGCTGGCGTCAAGAGTACGGTAGACACGCCTCGAGGCAGGGCGGTTCTTCAGCCACACATGTCACACGCGTTGCGCACCACATACTGCACTACGACTTCCTTGTGCTCGGGGCTTGGATATTGCAATGTTGCGCATGCTCGCCTCGCGGCTGTTGATTGACTGTACCGTTTGAGCCCAATCAGCCACTGCTACCTACATAAAAATAGGCGGTAACGCCGTTCTGCATGCGCCGTGGGGTGAAAGATGCCAACGGGGACCGCCTGACCCAGTAGCCGGGGAGGCTCAGGTGCGAGCTACGTAGTCTGGCACTATTGATCCTTGCTTAGTGCTTGACCCTTGCTGCCATCCTGAACCCCAATCTACTCGCACGCCGATGACGAGGATAGCCATGCCACGCCACCAGGGAAGGTTCGTGTGATATCAATGGTGAGATTGGTCAAGGAGGGTCCATCACCCATCTTGCCCAAGAGACCGTCACTTTGAACGGGGCGAGCGGGTAAACGTGACCCCCAAACTCGAGATTTTCGTGTGTTCATCACATCGATATCACGTTGGCAGATCCCTTCGATACCGTGGAAAGCTTGAAGTTCTTTTTCCTTCGCGTCTCCAAAACTTGTACAGCTCGCGCAAACACACCACACTGTTGACCCTGGGGCGTGTTCCTTGTGTGTCGCTCTCGTCGAATTATTACTTTCTTGAATATTTTTCTGGTCTTGAAATTGGTTTACACCGTCTTTCAGGACATCTCCGTTTACTATTTTCTTGCCTTTCTTCCTGTTGTTTTCTTTTGGCTGCGCCCGTGTAGCGTTGCCTCACCATAAGAGTGCTTTTCCAGCCTGCCGGCCGCATTTGTACCGCTTCAAGGACTTTGGTTCCTTTCTTATATACGCGCAGGCTCTCGGTTCAAAGCTGGTCGTCAAGAGCCAGCACATTTTGCGCTGCTGGCTGTGCTGTCGCCAACTGGATACGGGCCACCACAAATACACGCGCAACAGAGGGACGGTTTGGGTACTCGAGGCTCGGGCCCGACGTGTCCCAAACGATCTTTCATTCACTCTGGCTTTAACAACGATAAGCCTGCAGCATCAGGCGTCCTCAAGACAAGGTAGTCCAGTGTCTGTCGTCACTGACACGACTCTCGCAACCGCCCAGAGTTCGCCTCGGACACCACCGACGCCCACTTGGGCACCACAGCAACAACTTCATCTGCACAACCAGCCGCAGACTGCCTCGTCCGCAACCAGACTTGAACGACACTTCCTCCTTGACTTTGGCAAAGAGAATCAATGTAGGCGGGCTCAAGAAGACTGCCGCGCAGGGGACATAAATTCAATGACGGGAAGGAGATCTGTGGCACCGAATGCCTCGATACAGCAGACCACTGGACCGCCACCCCAGGAAACAAACCAGCAGCCTCCCTCGCCTAGAACGTCTTCTCAGGAAGCACACGATGTCCGCTCGTATGGTCCGGCTGAGCCCGTTGGCAGGCAACTGTCGTCTACACCGCGAGGTCTTGGGGTTCAGAATATCCTCAATACGACCGAGGGTGACTATCGGGCCCCGGGAGTGAATACTTTATACGTACCAAAGACCAGAGGCGCCCGGGAATCGCCTCAAAACCAACCGACCCAGCAGTACCAAGCCCACAAACACTATCCGCCAGCGATGACCGGATCGATGACCGAATCCTTCTTCGAACGTCGCCCAGAGAATCGTGATTCTCCCCCAAACCAAACTCCCGCACCCTTACTGTCACCAAGACGGATCCTGAGTCCCCGGGGACCCCGATCATCGAGCATTCGACCCGGGCCACCTCCGCACGAGCTGGACAAGCGACTGCAAGCTCCAGTGGCGCAGGCCGCCCCGGCCAAGAGACCCTATGAGGATGTTTCCTCCAGCGACCACCTCTCCGGTCCAGCCTCTAGGCGTCTGCCCAACAGTCTACCTCACACGCCGAATCCTCCTGGTGCCTCCCCTGCGCGCGCAGCATCGCAGCCAGCAACGCAGCCTTTTGGTACACCGCATGTGCTAACCCCTAGCGTCAATCCATGGATGTCTCAAGAGCGAGGCCCTGTCTCTCCCCTGGAAACGCCGCATTTGCATACCTATGGCATCAACAGGTCTGCATCAACATCAGGAACGATTGCTCCGAGACCTGGACAGCATGGCCAGCCAGCAGGGGCTTCTGCCATGAGTCCACGTGCTCTGGGATTGGAGGGAAGCCAGGCCGCTTCGCTGATGCGTCTTCCAGGCTACGAGCACGAGCCCATCGAGGTGCATGTCGATACGTCGCAGGGCTCGCGGAAGGCGAGCGAGAAACGCGAGCGCAACGCCCAGGCTTCGAACAGACACCGAGCCAAGAGACGGCAGATGGCGCAGGATGACAAGAAGCACATTCAGCAGCTGCAGGAGGAGCAAGAAGAACTCGAGCGTCGCATCCGCGACTTGATGGCTTTAGCGGACCATTACCGAGCGGACCGGAACCGATTGCGAGACATTGTCCGTGCTACTCCAGCTATTTCCGATCATGCAGCAGGACCACCGAGTCCGCGGACTACAGAGTATAATAGCGGCGCAAGTCCAATGCTGCACCACGCACCGCATGGTCCGGGCGCATTGCGAGATTTCAGAGAGCACAGTAGCGAGGCTTCGTCGATGGATCGCACTGCGCAGAGGCCTATGGTGGAGGATCGACAAGAACCATATGCACACCGGCATGGATCCACGACGCCGAACTCCTCCACCGCTTCTCTGCCGCCTGGGGGAACGTACATGCCACTGCCCCGACCGACCTCCGCCTCGTCATCCACAGGCATGGGAGAAAGGCTCCCGTCGCTGAGGACGTTAGAAGGCCCGCCTCCACCTGTTGCTGATGGCCGCGTGTGGGAACGGGATTTGAGGACAGGACAATGGGTTCTGACACAGCCACGGCAGTACGAGATGGGGTGGGCGACAGGAGTCGCTGGGCCTCGTCGACCGCACGAAGGGCCACAGTGATGATTGCTGTGCCGTCTTTGCTGGTGTTGGCCGGCATATCGCGCTTCAAAACACGCGGCTAGTCCCCCTCCACGCGGAACCAGCGATGCTATAAGCAAGACATCTGTCGACCATATCACGGGGCAAGCAACTTGCGAATTCGAGCAGATGGTGTTTCGGATGACAAAAAGAATATGTATTTACTACGGGTGATTTGACAGGAGTCACGGCCAGGAGTCGGGCTATATCATTTCTTTTGGAAGATAGGGGATAGTAAGATTGGCAACATTACAGACGCTCATAGAGTGAGCACACAGACGGACCCTACTGCATCCTTGCAGACAGTACAGACTCAGGACGAGATCAACCATTATACCCATGAGAGCTCTTGGAGAGGCTCCAACAAACATTAATAGAAAGTTACAAGACTGCGACTTCACTTCCTTCAGCGTGCAGAGGGGCGAAACCGAAGTGCTATTGTCTGGGTGCAGGGTTTGAAGTCTAGAGAGCTGCTGCTTGGTCGGATGCATGGGCACTGGCCCTGCGATCCGACCCCTTTAAGTGCTAAAGTCAACAACACGGAAACTTTCTACTCACACCACCATCAAAAAACACTGGCGGATGCATTGTCTGTGGGACGAGACCTTGATTCGAGGTCACACTATTCAAATTGCCCATCAGAACGAGCCATGGGATGATTCCGACGACGACCTCTTCATGCAAGAGGAGATCCGTCCTCGGAATCGACGACCATGCCCATCTATCTGCCTACTTAGCCCCGACGGCGTAAAGCCACTCCAAAGTTCATAGTAAACATCCTGCTCAGCCTTGGTAACACCCTTAATTCATTGGCTTGTAATGATTGTAGCGGCAATCAAAGGGGGGTGGACAAACACGACCACGCACAATCCTCCAGACGTCTAGTCTTTGCTGGTACCTCAGTAACTAACGAGAGGTTCAACACATCTCGGTAGAAAAAGGAATCGGCCTTACTTGGTAATCGGGTCTGTAATTATGACTTGGTACATCCAGCTTTGCAAGGGCCATAGCCATCACATTGAGTGTCGATTAGGGTAGTATAGTGCCAGGGGCAAAGTCAAGTCGGCATAATACGTGGACGGCCACGTCTTCGGCATACACAAGCAGTGACGCACGCAATTAGCTGTGGCCAGCCAGCTTGCTGATAATTCGGATGCCTCAAGGCTGCCGAATAAAGAAACAGGCAGACATGAAAGCTGGCCGGCCAAGACAGGGGCCCGTACGTCAAACAGGCTGCTCCATTAACCCGCCTGCGATTGGTCCACATGCACCACGTAGGGCTGAGGTACCTGATGCATGGAACGTGGATTGATCGACCGAGGCTCGTTGCAAACTGGCAATTGAAGTCTGAAGATGGCCCGAAGGAAGGTTTTGTCAGACTTGCCTCTATTAGCTGACGTGCCTTTTTCGGCTTGCTGTCGATTACAAGCGCAAAATTTCCGAGGATGCGGACTACCTTGTTTGATCATTGATGAGAGGACAAGTCCGCAGATCTCCGCAGCAGAGGCACAACAAGACGCGGGACACCGTCTGTGGTGGCCTATCAGATTGACTGGTGTCGGTCTTTGTGAAACCATCACCCTGTATTAATACGTATAAATGTGGTTGTTGTGTCCTCAAACAAAAGTGCAGAAGCAAGCAAGCAGCGCACAGCCCCCTTGGCTCGATGTTGACGATCGGAGCCAGTGGATTTTGAGCCTTGGCTGGGAACAGGTGGGCTGCTACGGAGTACAGTCCGGGTAGTGGGAGCGTTTGAGCATGGAGAGCCGGACCAAGCGCTGTGATTGTTTAACTGTTTGAACGATTGACTCGAGGGGGCAACCAGGAAAAGCATATGACACCTCGCTCTGGCATTGGTCATCTCGCTGCCTTACAGGGCCGACGTGGAGGACGCACGTTTTCCATCCCAATTGAAGGACCGAGTCGTTTGGACGCGTTGGCTCTTGCCGGATGAGACGGGCGGGTCCAGGGACATTCAGGTCAAGCTGGAGGATGTCGACGATAGCGCGGATACGAGCACTGGTAGCAGAGGCCGCATCTGGAAAGCTGCCAACTCATTGACCGCCCTGTTAGTGCATCGAGTCGCTTACAAAGGCTGGGCTTAGCAAGCAAGTCTCGGTCAGATGAGCATCGTCCCGATCCACCCCCGTCAACAGCCCCGCACATTTACTTTGATTGGCTGGGTCACCAGGCAGCAGCGCCCTCTGGCTGAGCGTCTGCCTCATCCTGCTTGAGCGTTTCTCAGCGGCCTTTGAAATGGACGACGTCCTCTGCCTGACTGCGGCTTCCGTTTTCCCCATCTATCACATCACAACTTCACTGTACTGCCTAAGGTACTGCCTTTATCTGCCCCTCGTCGTTTCTGCCTCAGTCCTGTGTGAGCGTCGCCATTCTTGCCTCAGGTACATCTGCGAGCGAGTTCCCAGCCGACACCGCCTCCCCCGACACTGCCGCCGGCTGCTATCGATCCCGACTCTTCCTCTGCTATCTGACAAATCACGACAACAACCTCGTCGACGCTTGTCCCGCCGTCTTCCAGTCCCGGATTCGCTTCACAAGTCGCTGGTTTGCCTAGGATTGCCCAATTCGCAGTCGGCCGCAACGACGACATTTGGACAAGTCCAGCGTTGTGACTGACCCTCGCCACCCGTCAGCATCAGAGGCCATTGCGTCCACGCCCCGCCGTAGGACAACATCACCTGTGACAGACGGAACTGGAGACCAAACACGTCTTGGTGGATCGTGCCTTTGGCCGTCACAGTCCAATCTATTGATCGTACGGCCCTGGACGCATCCTCGAATGCAGGCTTACCATCCATTGTCGCATCGGCCGTGACTCATCATCCCACGAGTCCTTTTACTTTCCACATCAGGCGGAACAAGCCGTATCGATTGCGGCCTTGCACTCGCGAACAGACTCTTCGAACCTTCACGCTACAAGAATTCCCATCATGTCCGTCGCAAACCCCCGCCGCCGGTCGCCTGGCACTGCACTGCTTGGCGAAGATGCGGACAGCATCTCAACCCAACAAGCCTCCATTCTCCTGAAAGGCGCCACTTTCCATGCGCCAACGTCTCCCACACCAGCGGATGAACAGACCTTCTTGCCACCGTCGTTGCCCCGTGCCCAAACTCATCTTGATGACGCCGTCGGTGCGAATCAGCGTCGCATCGAGATGGCGCTCAATGATATCGAGGACGTGTTGGACCTCGACAAATTGACACTGTCCACCAAAGAGGACAATAAGTTCCTGGCACGCGACGAGAATATCCCCATCCGCCACGGATTCTTGCAGAACCCCATCGTCGACCCTGTTCTCGCCAAGCAGCAGCAGAGGACCATTGCTCGCCCACGATCGCCCCGCCGCACCAGTGACGATCAAGTTGACAGCGGCCTTGGCTCCTCCATCGCCTCTTCAGACGAAGAAGTCACAAAGAAGAACAAGAAGTCACTGTCTGCCGCAGCCATCACTCGCTCCGCGGCAAGCCCCAACCTAGTCCCGGCTCCTACGTTCAGCAAAAAGGCGATCAGCCGCATTCACGAGCACATTGTTCTCCCTCTCCTGGAACGCGAGTCCCTCAAGGACTTCCGCCCCATTGTCATTGACGTTCCCCGCCGCATCTCATCCAAGGAGATCATCTGCCTACGCGACCTCGAAAAGACGCTCTTATACAGGGCACCGGTAAGTCAATTATCTGTTGATTCAGGCGTTTGGGGAGTTGCTTATCAGAATTTGCTTGCAAAGGACAAGGCCAAGTCGGGCATTCACTACCTCGACTTTTGTTTGAGCTCGGTCCGATGCATTCAGGCTACTGTCGAATATCTTACCGACCGCGAACAAGTGCGACCCGGCGATCGACCTTTCACTAACGGCTACTTCCTCGACCTAAAGGACCAGATTCTGCAATACGGACGCGACCTCGCCGCCGCCAAGGGCGACAGCTCCATGGACATTGACCAGTATGTACCTCGATTTGTGCCGACTACCAAGCGCAAGGCTAACCCCATCCTCAGAGGCGAGGAAATCAAACTCTACGGTGGAATTGCCGAGAATGGCCGTCCTGCCGAGTTAGTCCGCGTCCGCCATGACGGTACTGCCGTGTCCATGGCCACTGGCAAGGAAATCGATATTGGCGAGGGCCCCGTCCAGTTCAAGCGCTCTGCTAGCCAGCAGCGCGAGGATGAGGAGGAGATCATGCGCTCCATGGCCCGCCGCAAGAAGAATGCTTCCCCGGAGGAGCTGGCCCCCAAGAGATGCCGCGAGCCTGGCTGCACCAAGGAATTCAAACGTCCCTGTGATCTGACCAAGCACGAGAAGACTCACTCGCGTCCCTGGAAGTGCCCCTTTTCCACTTGCAAGTACCATGAGTTTGGCTGGCCCACTGAGAAGGAGATGGACCGCCACGTAAACGACAAGCACTCGGACAAGCCCGCCATGTTCGAGTGCCAGTTCAAGCCATGCGCTTACAAGTCAAAGCGCGAGTCGAACTGCAAGCAGCACATGGAGAAGGCGCACGGCTGGACATATGTGCGCACCAAGACGAATGGCACCAAGAAGGCTGGAGGAGGTATACCGGCTCAAGCCATGGTCCAGACGCCAAGCTCCATGCAGCAGACGCCCCCGCTGGCCAATGCGTCGACTCCTTCGGACGCATACAGCGTGGCCACGCCTCCTCAGGATCCCTTCGTAGGCCACCCTGGTCAGAACGACTTGACGTCGCTGCACCCTCAGTCCGATGCGGACTGGATGGCCTCCTATGGGATTCAAACTGAGGCCCTCGATGGGATGGATCATTTCGACCAGCAGCTCTCTCCGTCATCGGCTGCTTCGTATGAGCAGTTCCCCCCCTATCAAAACGGGGCTCAGTTTCTCACAGAAGAGGAGATCTACGCAGCCACGGCTCGCATGCCGCACCATCAGGTGCCCGTGGACGGATCGCTGTTTTACGGCGGGAAACTGATGCCGCATGGAGGGTTCCAGGTCCACCAGCCCCATATAATCCCGCAAATGCCTATGCCGTCTCAACACCACCACCAGCAAGTGCAGACTTATAGCAACGGGCAGCCATTCCACGCAATGGCCCCAAGTGCGCCGGCACCACACTTTTCCCCCAATGCGAAGCAGAACCCAATGTTCTGCAGCCCGCCCAACCCTGTAGACGATGGATATGAAGAGACATTCCATACTGTCGATGGGGGTGATTTTGAGCTTCTCCCAGTCCATATGGGAAAGTCGGGCATGCAGCAGCCCCTGTTCCAGGAGGTGCCCAGCGCCGATCTGGGGTTCTCGCAGGTTACTGAGCCCGAAATATTCCGCGACGTGGATGTATCTCAGATGTCTCAGATGGATTTCCAGCACCACTTCCACGCTTGAGAAAGCAACTATGGCTATATCGTCTGGAAGATGGCGCGGAGCGGTGTATCATGCACAGCCAAATGGGCTGAATAACGAATTACGATGAACGTCTCACAGCACGTTGTGGGTTGAGGATTTGGGGAACGAAAAATCTACGACCTCGCAGCGGAACTTGCGCGGGTGGGGTTAATGGACCCTATCATTTGATTTGAAGGCAACGTCTATTTTGAAGATTGCGATGCCATTTGTATTATCGAGCTATGGATGGGGCCTAGGCGCTGGACAGAACAGGCCTACCGTACGTTGACGCTCGATTCTGTTAGACTGCAACGAGACGAGACGCAGCTGTTCATGGACCTGGCACAGTCAAGGCAATTAATAAAACATCTACTTCATATCCTTCCTTCCATGGTCTGCATGTGATGTTGGTTCGGGAGCGTCAAGGGTCAACGAATGAAGGACCGTTACCTGGACATAGCTACTTATGTTCTCGGTTCTGGCCATTCAAACCCCGGACGCACATCCCCCGCACTACTTTACCTTATCGTCCCTTATATCCGTACATCCAGCACGATTAAGCGCACCTCAGCCTCGGCCTAATCTGGTTCTACTAATGAGAAGCAGTACTGTAGCGTCTGTTTCGCACATTCCTCTTCCGCAGATTCCAATCATAGCGTCACTCATGGGAAGAAGGTAGAGAGAGCTAGCCAGCCGTGTTCGCCGACTGAGGGGTGGAGAAGCTAGCGTGGGAAGACTGGAGGCGGCACCTGGCGGAAGACAGACAGCCTGGGACTGGAGCCTCCATGTCCCTGGAGTCTGGACCCTTAATTACCTAGGTACCTACCTTGGCACTTGCTCCTCCACATCCTCATCATCGTCATCACTTCGTTCCCTTCGACTCGATCTCTTGGCCACCACGCTCTGGGCACCACCCGATAAGGCGTCGAAATGGGTTCACAACCGGGCACAAAGGGCGAGCTTACTGTGCTCGTCACCGGATTTGGGGTACGTATGCAGTCGTTTCCGCCATTGCATCAACCATGGCGCCGTGGTTCCGCAGGGACACTGGAAAGGAGCTCGGCTGACACACGACCTTGCAGCCTTTCCGCACGCAGTACCCTGTCAATCCGTCGTACGAGATCGCACGTCAGTTGCCGGCCTATCTCCCGCCCCTGCGTGCCAAAGATCCCTCCAGCCGTACCTCGCCGTCCATACCGGAGGTGCGCATCCTCGTCCACCCTGAACCCATCCGGGTATCGTACAGACGAGTCGGAGAGCTGGTACCGACATGGTGGGACGAGGACATTGAGGATCGGAGGATAGATCTGGCGATACACATCGGCATGGCCGGGCCGAGACCGTATTACCAGATCGAACGAAAGGGTCATCGGGAGGGCTACAAGAGTAAGGACGTCGATGGGCTCGTTGGCGACATCAAGGATAAGGGACGGGAATGGAAATGGTATGGCTGCCCGGCGGAACTCGAGAGCGACCTCAATATGGACGACGTGCTGGGACGCTGGCAGGCACATAGTCCGGTATGTCACTTACTGCCGTCTCAGGCCCATTGAAGGAGCGAGCACTGACTGACCTTGACATTGCAGAAGGGCATGGACTTGCGGATATCAGAGGATGCGGGGCACTACCTCTGTGACTACACGTATTACTCGAGTCTGGCCCATCTGTGGAAGCAGCAGCGCGAGAGAAAGGTGACCTTTCTGCACGTGCCGGCCGATGCGTCGCCCGCTAGCATCAGTATCGGGAGGGAGTTGGCCATTAATCTGATACGGGCCATGGTCGAGAGCGAGGTCGTCGCCAAGGATAGGGATCTCGCGAGGCAGACGAAGGCCGGCGACGAACATGGTAAGGTGAACGCATGAGCGCACTGTGGTCTCCCGAAGCTTCACCTCTTTATCAATCCTACGTGTAATAGTCCATTTCTGTAGTATGACTAGCGATTATAAATTCTTGCAAGCCTTCTTCATCTTGCACTGGAATGTGAATGCAAGTCGACCAGTAGTAAGTAGTATTCTTGATTCACTTCCCGTAGTAAGAGTTATCGTACCTAGATACGTACCAACTACGTATGCTGTTGGTGGTTGGAACTTGGGGCGCCGCCACTTCCTGAGGTTCCGGACTCCGCAACAAGGACGGCGAGGTCGGTCCACAGGTCGCCGATTTCCACATCTTGACAGTCACTGACGTTATCCTAGTGTCCATTTACGACACTTCTTCCTATAAAAACATTTCTAAAGCCCATCTGACCAACGCAAGACGAATCAACCCAAACCGGCCACCATTCGATATTCCACAGGAACGACATACCCGCTATCTGTTTGACCCCTCACACGTCATCGCCATCCTCACCATGTGCAGAAAGGCCACCTGCGACAATTGTCGTACGTATAACCCCGTCACCCAACTCCGTGGCGTTCAGTGCACTCCTTTTTGTAGAACCCGAAATCACTGACGCTCATCAGACAAGACCACCTGGTGGGGTTGTGGCCAGCACGTCCCCATGGTCATGGACTCTGTCCCGGAAGAGGAGCGCTGTGCGTGCGAGCCGAAGGTTGACGTGGACGGCAAGAAATATCCCCCCAAGGCAGGAAAGGGAGGTTGCCATGTGATATAATCATATCCATGATGGAGATTGCGAACATGTTTGTTTGCATGGCGGCGGCGAGATGGGGGCAGTTTTGGCGGCGAGGTGTTCAGGGTAGGGTGTCAGAGGATTCAGGGTAGGGTGTACAGAGGATGTGTTCAACGCCTTTGCGTACTTGCGTACGATGCAAACATGGCTCATAGTATTCAATTGTATAAAGTCTGATCATCTCCTCCGTCCGCCAGCACCGCCCGCGTCGCCCCTATCCGCCAAACTGACCACCTCTTGTATCCCCGCGGCCTCCTGCTCTTCCTCCAGCGCGGCAACCTCCTCGCGGCAATCCCACCACTTCTCCTCGCTGAGCTCGAATGCCTTCGCCTTGATCTCCTTGACGGGCATGGATTCGGGTTGGATGTTCTTCCAGCGTAGGCTGGTCATGAGGATCTCTTGCCATTCGTTGGACGTACGGACAAAGAACTCGCGTCGAGACTCAAAGGGCTGTGTTGCATGCATTGTCAGTATCACGGTCTGTAGCACTTGGTGTTCTGGAGAACTAATTGAGCTTACCCTGGGATGAGGCAGACCGTCGTCCACGGACGCCGCGGCGGTGGATTCAGCATCGTCCTCGTCGGTAGACGACGCCGTCGTGGGCGCAGCAGAGGTCTCTGATCCGTGCTCGGATGCTTCGTCACCCTGCTTCTTCTTGCGCTTGCTCGGCGTGAACTTGTTGTCTGCGGCTTCGTACTCGTCGTCGTCTTCATCCTCATCTTCCTCATCTGCGTCTTCATCTTCCTCGTCGTCGCCCTCGTCGTCCGACTCGATCCAGTCTTCGACAGGTCGCTGGAAGATCTCCTTGCACCCATCGAGTTTGTCCAAGTTGATGGCGTACAAATCATCAAAAGTAAACTCCCGGTCACCCTTCTCAAATGTGCCGCCGTAGATGTAGAGGTTGTCGCCCTGGACAGCCAACTGTGCGTTGAAGCGCATGTGCGGTGGCTCCATGGTGACGGGATACTCCTTCACGGGAGCCTCCTCTTCGGCTTCTTCTTGCTTCTCAAGCTCAATGTCGTCCACATCGTCCAGTGACGCGCCCATTTCTAGGGCCTGCAGCTGTCGAAGAAGCTCCTCGTCACCACCTTGTCGACCGCGGCGCCCGCCACCTCTTCGCTGATCCTGCGCGACCTTCTTGTTCTGTTGGCGTGGTTTACGCAATGGTAGAGGCATGAATCGGTTGCGGTCCACGTTCCATGCGAATAGCTGGTTGAAAAACTCGCTGTCCATGCCCTCCTCGCTCTGCTCCACATCATGCACACCGCCAAACATGATACCTCTGCCTTTATGCCATGTCATAGTTGCCCCTGCGCGCGGCGGGTTGGGAGAGTTGGCCGGCTTCTTCCTTCGTTCCCATCGCACGGTTGGGGGCGAGTTGGGCGGCGCATCATTAGGGGGCTGCGTCATGCGCAGGAAGAAGCAATCGTCGTGGACCTTGGGCTTGAGGATGTTCTTCTGCCCTTGCGCCTGCCCCTTGCCCGTCTTCTGCTTCAAGTTGACCGTCGCTTTGATGCGGGAGTAGCCTCCGTAGAGCACCGCGCCGGACTCATGAGGGAGGAGTGTGAAGGAGGATCTCGCATCAGGCTTCAGCTGCGCCTGTGGCAGCGCTGGCGAGTGCCACACAAAGTTGACCGTGTCAAAGATCCACAAGTCGGACAGGTACCGCGTCTGGTTCGAGGTATCCTGGAAGCCCCCAAACAAGATGATGTACTGCTTCCAATACGTCATGCGATGGCCGCTCCTTGCCGGCGGGCTCTTGTCCTTGCCCTTGGTCTCAATCTTGGTCCATTCCCTCGTGGCTGGCTCCAGCCTCCAGAAGTCAGAGTAGTGATGAAAGGTGCCCTGCTTGGGAGATGAGAATTCGCCTCCAAAGAGATAAACATGCTTCGGATTCTCCGCACGTGTCCAAGCATGACCAGACCGCGGCAATGGGGCATTTGGGCTGGTCACGCAGCGCCACTCATCTCTGTTGATGTTGTACACATTCAAGTCGTTGAAGAAAGATGCCAGTGAGCCATTAAAGTATTCGCCGCCAAATAGCAGCAATGTGTTGCTGTCATGAGGCGAGGCGAGGAGTGTGCTCGCAGCGCGTGGTCGAGGCGGGGCGTCAACGACCGTCTCTGTGATTTTGAGGTGCAATTCCTGCTGGCGCCGGTATTCCTCCAGAATCTCGTCGAGATCGGCATCCTCGGCATCGGAACCCTCGACCTTGGCCGCTTTGGACTTTGCCTTTTTCTCTCCCTTGTTGGCTTGTTTGGCTGCCTTTTCCGCCTGCCAGTGAAAAATGTTGTCAGTGGGGGAGGGGCAGGGCATGACGATGGTCTCGGGAGCTGTATCCGTACCTTCTTTGCCTTTTTGGCGTCGGCGTCGCCCTTTTTCTTCTTTTCTTTTGCCATTGTCAATGATGGGGATTTGAGAAATGTGACCGAGTGAGAAGAGTGCAGGATGAGTGAGAGAGTTAAGCTGTCGCATAAGTACGTATGGTGGTGGGTAGAACTGGTCCCCACTTTATGACATGATTTAACTGAAAGCTTTCTGATCATGTTGAAAGCCAGCCAGGAGAAACCGACCATCTGCGTACGTAAATTATGCGCTGTCCTGTTGATCATTATATACGGGCCATCCACGCTCTTCCTCACTAGTGGACCAAGAAGACTGACGGATGGAGTTTGGCTGGGTGGATGGGCTGTCCTCATGCCCTAGGGCTATCGTCGTCCTTTGGCCTGCCTCGATTCGACGCTCCCGGCATGTATGCAACCATGGCCTTGCTCGCCCCTTCCATGCAATACTGCACAACCTCAATCTTCTGATCCTCCGGGGCCAGCTTGGCAATCTGGCGGATGTCGCTGGTCCTGGGGAGGTACAAGGCATGGTTCATGGGTCCCGCTATCCCGTGTAGCTGCTTCAGGCTGTAAGGTTGCATTGTCCGAAGATCAAAGACTTCATCCGTGGAATAGCCAGGCCCACCCCACGGGGGACTTGCAAAGACAACGGTCGTATCCATGTCCAGCCTCAAATCGGGATGCAGCTCCTCTGGGCGGTTGCGGAGAGCGTCTAGGAATTCGAAGCTGTCGCCGTGGACCCAGGTGATTATGTCCGACTCAACTTCGTAGACGTCGGCGTTGTGCTGCGCACATGCCAGAGTTGAAATGTCCTTCTCAATGGCAATGATTCTCTCCCATCGCTCAGAGTTGGCAAAGGCGATCGTGTTGCCCCCAGCGCCTGCAAACATGTCGATGAGGATGGTCTTGTTCTCATCGGTGCCATACATATCGTTGGCCACAGCCCTGGCTCATTTGTTAGAATTGCCTGGCGGGTCGCAACTAGCAGACAGATACATACGTTGCTACCGGTTCGGGTGTCACGCCAAACCAAGCATCGTCCGTCATCCAGATACCTTCATCGTAGAGACTGAAGATGGAGTAGCGCTGCGCAAAGTACCTTGATCCACTTCAGCTTTGAACCTTTCGCCGCTGTGAGAAACTCACTTCTGAATGTCCCATGGTACCTGGTCTCTGCTTTCGTAATGCTGGCACTCGTCCGTCAAGTCAACCTTGCCCGCAGGCGTCATCTTGAACGCTTTGTCCATCTGCGACTGGATCAGCATGCTGAAAATTGAGCCCATGCTGGCCATTGCGCTGTCTTCCATAACGCGCGACCGCTCATGCCGAATGGCACTACGAAACAACTGCGAAGGCGATATGAGATCGTGCCTGGGAAAGCTGAGGGTAGCGCTGAAGACTTCGTGTTGATGGATGAGCGTGACAAGGCTGAAGGTTGGAATTGACCAAATTGGTTAGCGCCTTGGCGACGCAAGGCTGCAGTGGACAACTTTCGCTGGAGCTCCACTGACGTGGAAGCTGTGCAGTGAGCTCCCGAGCTACGACATCCTCCCTCGCAAGAGACATCCATACATGTACCCTACGACTTGTACAGTAACCACCGACACACCTTGTTAAAGGAAGGAGAGTCACCATGTTCAACGCGCTGAACCGATTCATGTCCCGTCTTGACGGCGACTTGCCGCATCAACGACGACAAGCGGAGGCAGGGTCATTCGGCTTCCAAGTGCTCAGAAACACGAACCTCGACCTGTCGATCGAGCCGTGGTTTGACTTTATCGTCGGCATCAATGGTCGTCCCATTGTACGGCGGCAAGCCTATAATTATCCTGACGCCCTGCTGACACGGTGGTAGGATAACCCAGATCCCGCGCTCTTCGCGCAAGAAGTGCGCAATTGCGCAGGCGGAACTGTCAACCTCGGACTGTGGAATGCGAAAGTATGTCTCCGCTTCATGCGCTTGTTGTGAATGCAATCTGACATAGCATAGGGCCAGCGTACAAAGGACGTGCATATCCCTGTCCCCAGCGACACAGCATCCCTCGGCCTGTCATTACAATACGCCCCTCTCGCTCTGGCCGCCAACATATGGCATGTCCTCGATGTAGCCTCCAACTCACCTGCGGACCAAGGCTCGCTGCTGCCCTATTCAGACTATATCCTTGGTAGCCCCGAAGGCGCTCTCCATGGTGAGAGCGCATTGGGCGAGCTGGTGGAGGACTTCATTGGACGGCCACTGCGTCTTTACGTCTACAATAACGAGTACAACGTCACAAGGGAGGTGACGATCCAGCCAAGCCGCGGATGGGGAGGCGAGGGCGCGCTGGGGTGCGTCCTGGGCTACGGAGCGCTGCACAGGCTCCCCGCACCGTTGGACGAGCCAGTGAACGCGCCCGGGGAAATGATGTTCGATGGCGGGAACAACAACGAGAAGAGCGAACCTACCTTCAACCCGGCCAGTGCACCGTCGCCCGCTCAAGGCGGAGACTACCTGGTGCCAGCACAGATGGTGACGCCTGCCAGTGCCCCTCCACGTGGCGGGAAGAAGAAGGACAGGGGCGGGCGGAGTCCGAATCGCTTGATGGATGACTACTTCAAGGAAGAGGAGGAGAAGAGCCGGGCAGTGGACAACGCGCCGCAGAGCAAGACTCCGAGCGGACCTCCGCCACCCAAGGCTGGCGGTGGGCCGCCCAAAGCAGAAGAAGCACAGGCCGATGAACAATGATAGAGCGACACCTGGAATTGATGTGAAAGCAACAGATGGATTGAACCACTCATCTGTCTATGGCCGCCTGTCTCGTGAAATGCTATGGCTTGTTGTACACCTTTTCCCAGATCGAATGCCTGGCCGAACCCCTCGCTTGCTTTGTCTAGTTAATGAAGTTGACGCAGAAAAAGTGCAGGATGAGACTGCAGACCACGTAATCAGCGAATGCCCTAGTTTGGTCAGCGTCCAGCATCTCCACGCTTGGATGTTAATGGAACCGTACCTTTCGGGCGATACCTTGGGGAAGTCGGCCTTGTTTGCTTCAGTGGTCTGGATCCGTAGTGAAACTGCCCATGTTAACCACCATGCGCCCAACGCGGCTCCATTGATACTCACTCGTCAAGACAAACTGCCCGACCGTCCCACAGAATCCTGATAGGAAAGCGTTGAAAGGCTGTCGAGCTATGGTTAGCCCACCATCGCAGAGGTTCTCGATTCTCCAGACATACGTAGTTTCCAGCTAGGATGCAGTACAAGAACTGCAAAGCGCCCACGAGCACGAGGAAGAGCAGAAACACATCGAGGAGCTTGGTTCGCTGCGGCGTCTCGGAGAGATAGTAATCGTACAGGTTTTGGAAGACTTGGGCCCAGCCGCCTTGCGCGGCGACGGCTTTTGGCTGGGCAGGCGTGGGGATGGGGATGGGGTTCTTGGTCGGTGTCAAGGGTGCTTTCGCGGAAGGAGTCGATGTGGCAGTCGTCGCGGGTGCCGCAGCGGGCTCAGATCTGGCGTTCTTCTTGCCAGCCATGGTTCGCGATGATGTTCATCAATGGTGGTGGTGATGGGAACCTGGAGCTTAGGTGATTTCGAGGTTTCAATTGACACGACAGCTACATGAGTGCAGGGCTGTGATTGGGTCATATCAGTCAAGTGGACCCGCAATCCGGGGTTCCTCTATGTCGTCAGGATGCCCAGGGACGCCGAGGCTTCCCATTACCTTAGACTTGCTATCCAAACTCGTTACATCTGCTCTTGTCCAGTTCCTGACAACTGCTTCCACACATATCAGAATCTCCCCATGTCGGTTAATAAAGCCAATATGGTAAGTGGCTCGCCCGACAGCAAGCACGCCAACTAAGACCTCTCCAGTCTGGACTTGAGAACATCTCCTACATCCTCGCCGCGCTCGTCGCGAGTGGTGGAATTATGGGCTATGCGAAGACCAGGTCCCTGCCCTCGATCATCGCCGGCTGCGGCGTTGGCGCCCTTTGTACGATTGTTCTCCAGCCTCCGAATCACCCGCCAGTACTGACCCAAACTAGATGGTCTAGGAGGATATCGCATGCAAAACCGTCAACCATATGGTGTTGAGTTGTCACTCCTTGCTTCGGTTGTTCTTGGCGGGGCTTCGATCCCAAGGGCGATTCGTCTGAGGAAGCCAGTCCCCATGGCTCTGAGCGTGCTATCGCTGTTCGGCGCGTGGACCTTTGGCAACGGCGTTCGCAAGAACCTGTAAATTACCTGCGCCAAGGCTGAAGAAAATAACATGCAGATTGTTGATACATTGTAATTAAACAAGTATATAGTGTTTGAACCAGTACAGGGGGCGAGTTTCGTGCCTATCGTAAAAATCATGTCGTCCGGCCTCTTCCGTGATCGTACAGGCTGGTATAGAAAGCTGAGCCCTAGCCGCTGACGCCTCGCACCATATGTAGTTTACAATTCTCAGCAGAGACGGTCTATGTATTCGTACGTCGTAGAAACGGTTCGGGCTCGATGATGGATCGCATTTGGTCGTGGTTGGTGGCAGTCGACATCTACAGCCCGAGCTCTTTCTGCTGAGCCTTGATCCTGTCCCTCTTTGCCCGTGCCGCCTCTCTATTCTCAGCCTGCATCTTGTATCTCTCCACGCGGAGGCACTTGTCGACTTGGTCCTTCATGTCGTTACATCCGCCTGATGCCTTGTGCATGAACCCCTTCGCGTGGCATTCTTCGAGCGCGGCGATGACGTCCTCGCAAGCTACGCAGAATTGTGAGCAGGCTGTGATCAGCATCAAATGAGCAGTTACATACCGAGGGCGTTCTTCGTATGCAAATGTGGATGCATGTTGGTTGTGTCGATGATGGCGAAAGTTCCATCGGAGGGACGGACGGGCGGGTTTGGCGATGCGATCTTAGTGGCGCTTGGGCCACTGGATTCTTGGTGAGGTGGGTTAACCTGGGCTCATCCCACTTTCGCCAGTCCGACATAACGGCGTCTACCAAACAACGACAGCACGACCTCAACCACACTGAGCAGATCCAAGGCATCCACAGTCTGCGCAATGTCGGAAGCAGCTGCGCAACAAGGCTCTGCGCAGGCGCAACAGCCGAAAGGTCAGTCTCCTCCTCTTACCAGCCAGCTCACTCATGCTCACTTGACAAAGTTGATCTCCAAGCCACGTACTCAAATTACAAGAACACTCTGCAACAAATAGCACAGAAAATCGGCGATATCGAGCAGGAAGGAGAAGAACACAAGTCAGTCCACACCCACCGGGATCAGATGGTCTCACTTTTTTCTGTCGATCTCTTCGCCTCCCCTCGTTGAATTCTTTCTACCGTCCCGTTTACTGATCTTTTATAGACTGGTGCTCGAAACTTTGGAACCACTTGATGGCAACCGCAAGTGCTACCGCTTGATCAACGGCGTACTCGTGGAGAGGACAGTTGAGCAAGTTGTCCCTGCCTTGAAGACGAACCAGGAGGGCCTAAAGAAGGTCTTGGACGACATGTTGAAGCAGTACAAGACGAAGCAGGAGGAGCTTGACAAGTGGAAGGTCAGTGACTACCCGAGTTTACCAGCACACTACATCATTAACATACTGACGCCTTTATAGAAGAAGAACAATGTTCAGGTAGTCCGTCAATAAGAGACTAGGCCAATCGAAAAACGAAATTTGCACTCACACTAGACTGGTGAAACTCGACTAAGCCCAGACACTCCAGTCGTACGATGCGAATCCTCAGTATCATCTTCTGCTCCTGCTGCCCTGCTATGGGAAGCTGTCGACCGGCAGCTTGGGCAAGGTATCACGTGAAACGTGAAAGTATGCAGGATGGGAGCTTGGTGTGGTGGATGCATATGATGCGCTGTCATCCCACACAGGTACGGCGTTTCCCACGAGTAGTTGAGTGAGGCGTGGGGTTGCACTCGAAATTTGCTGCCTGATTATTGATGTCTAGCTACTGCCCCAATTTGTCAGTCTGCCATTGCCTGGAGATCTAACACGCTTCCATGACACATGCTGACGAGGCTCCTTTATGCTGTTGTATAGCAATTCGAACAAATACGCGGTGTCAATTGAGAGGTTGCCCATCGCGCTTCGAAGGAGCTCAACCAGATGACCGGGTCAGGCTCTCGTCCAGGACTCATAAGGCGTGCGCTGAGGGTGTCATCGCCAACAAACATGCGTAGACGAACAGGCGCCAGTTGGCACGGTAAGCCCGACGAGTACAGCATCGCGCTATAGCCCGTCCACTTCCTGCTATTGCGATGGAATAGAGAAAAACGGCTCTCCATCGAGGCAAACGCTGCGGCTTCAAATTGCCGTGGGGGCTGTTGCTGAAATGTGCAAGCACACACGAGGCCAGCATCTGATAAAGCCCCGCGCACATGGGCACCAGTCAGGACTCAGCCATTAGAGACGCATCGTGCACGAGCCAGGGTCTGGATGTATCAAGGAATGCCGAGAGCGATATTTAAACCCCTTCCACGGGGTTATGCATCATGGCGCCAACCTCCTGGTTCGGTCGGGAAAAGGCGCCAACCCAGCGCTCTGAGTGGTAACCCGATGAGAGTACAAGTACGTAGCTCCAACTTTCGGAATCTGATTCACGGTGCAACCCTGGACCTTCCAGAGATGCTTGGAGGTATAGGTAGTTATAGCATCAGAAACAATCCTACATCATCCAATCAGTCCGTAACCGTCTAGAAGCTTCAATTCTCCGTCCCAGACAAATCGCGCTCGAGAAGGGCCGTAGATGATCGCTTGTGCAGTACCTTAAGCTACCGTCTATGCGAAAGCAAACAGACGGGACAAGAGACATCTCCCGTAGCGGCGAGGTAGCCTGACGTGGGACACACCGCTTGTCCGAGGTTCATATTACGAAGTCAAAATCCAGAGTGTGGCGCAAACTAGCGGTAAAGGCACTGATCCTTCCCGAACAAAGTTCTGTCGTGCTCATATCGAAGACATGGACGCAGCGGATGTAATTAGGTGTTGTTGTACAGACGGGAAAGGGCGACCGTCCTACCACCTTTCGACAGCGATGGTCGTGATTATGTAATTGGTTAACAGCCAGTAGGGCTGTTGTTATGCAGGCAGGCGGCATGCGATGCGATTGCCCGGTGGACAAGCGCTGCTAAGTTACCTCAGGCCTCACCCGGCACGTTTTTCATTTTGGCAATTGACACACGTTGCGATCCACGATACCTTATCCAAAAGCCGGGAAAGCATTGGGCATCATTGACCGCCTCGCCCGCCTAGTCTTGGACTTGCAGTACGTACTTGGACTCCTCATCCTTGCTTTAGCCTTTACCCGCGTCGAGGACAGATGCGCGCGCGGAACCCCACGTCAACGAACACTCCACATATCCGCATCGAAATGCGACAGCCCAGCAGCACTAGGACTGACCGCGATTGAACAACGCAGACACACCCTCTTGCATCCCGTGCCTGTACACCACACGCACCGATTCCTGCCCAAACAGTCCCTAGTCAAGGTAGCTCACTCTCTTCTCGCAGCCCGAGTCTACATACTTGGCACTCATCCCTGGTCCGAAAGCATTTGCGCTGACGCGATCTTGCAGAAAAGCCATTGACGAACGAAACGGCGCGACCCTGTGTAACACAACGTCGCCGTCGCAATAGTGTCTCGGTCCTAAGCCACATGCACCCAGGCTCGAGATCATCCGCCGTCACGGTCAGCTGCTTCTGAATCAACACACGCCCCGCTTGAGCAAGCAACGCCAGGAAGACCGAGAACTCCGTCCACGCTGATCAGTCTGGTTGCTTGCTAGCTGCAACTGCGACGTCTGCCTGCGGGTCGTTCCACCCCTCCCTCTGGAAGCCTACACGGCTTCTTCTCACCACCCACAGACGGGGTGCCCACAGAGAAATCGTCATAGTCTCCGATTACTGCGGGACAGGGGACCAACTCGGGTCGAAAACCAGTACCACAGCGAGTAGGGATACTCGCCGGACGTGCAGGATCAGACACGCTTGCTGGAAGCAACAGAAGGCTTGCTGTGCTTCTGTGCCCTGACCGAACAGTCCTGCAAAACGCACCCTTGCGACGTGGCCCACCGCGGGAATACCTCATCAAGGCTCAGCTGTGTCTTTCCGAATATCATACAAAACTGCTAGCAGCCGCTGCAGGTAGCCACAATGTCCGACTCCCAGTCTCCCCCCAAGGATGTCGAGGCTGGCGCACAGTCTCCAAACGACGAAGAAGGCAACATGAACGACCAGGACCCACAAGGTGGCCTTGGATCCTATGAGTATGAAGGTGTAAAAGAGCAGGATCGATGGCTTCCCATCGCCAATGGTAGGTCTTCTCATCCCCATTCTTGCTTCGTGACTTGCTCCTGGTGCGCGCCATCTCGATAGCCGTGCATACTCGATATATTATGCCACAGAATACGTTTCAATCGTCCCAAGGGTCACTGCGCGGCCCCAAGGCTGACAAGAACGACGAACTCGATGCTAACATTCGTAACTTTGCTCCAGTGGCCCGAATCATGAAGAACGCGCTGCCTGACAACGCCAAAATCGCAAAAGAGGCCAAGGAGTGCATGCAGGAATGCGTCAGCGAATTCATATCCTTCATCACCAGCGAGGGTGAGTCCCTCCATGCTACCACTCATGAAGACAGATATTGACGACCCCAGCCTCGGAGAAGTGCCAGCAAGAGAAGCGTAAAACGGTCAACGGCGAAGACATCTTATTCGCCATGACCTCGTTGGGCTTTGAGAACTACTCGGAAGCCCTCAAGGTGTACTTGTCTAAATACAGGGAGGTAGGTCGAAACCCCTTGTCTTCTCACGGCGTGCAACTTGCCTAACACCGACAGCAACAAGCCCAGGGCAACCGAGAGCGGGTGATGGAGAATGCTGGCTGGGCGACAGGGATGCCTCTCGATGCTACTAAAGTTGGCGATGGTGCTGGCGATTTTGCGGCGGCCGACAATGCTAACAATGTCGAAGGCGGTGCCGATGTCAACTATATGTACGGCGCTCCGCCACCGGGACACAATGGGGCTGGTGGTGATGGGTACTAGAGGGGCCCATATCGCGATGCAGACAAGATAGCCCCGGGTGTTCACGACAGCACTGGTGCGGATACCTCGCAGCAGAGGCCACCCGGGGAGTCTTCCTACAGTACTGTTCTTCGAATTCCTGGAGGTATGGCGGAGTTCTCGACCCTGCCATGGTCGAATCGAAGTCCCTCTCGCCTGACGAGGATGCCAACAGGGCGCAAGAGACATATGTCAAAAGGGAGTAAGGATTGAGGAGGGAAATGAGAGGAGGGAGTCTCGATGTGTTGCTTGTAATATTTGTCTTCGATATCTTTGGCTGCAGAGGTCTGTGGCTATTGTCGTACGGATTACGATAGATTCCCCTGGGTTGACCCTTTACTTTTATTGCTACGTACAATTTCTCCCTTCAAGTAGGCGAAAGCAAGACGACCAAGGTCCTTTTTTTCTCGTGATGTTTATATGCAGTAATTCCCGAGCCTCACGGTTCTGACTCTAATAGAGCAGTGAATGGCCACGTACATGTTTTGAGCGTGTCTCGTAACGTGATATACCAGGTAGTATTGGTACGAAAGCTTATGATCGCGAACTTGGTGGTGGTGGTGTTGAAGTGGATCAGCAGATTGACGATATAATGCCGGAGCTGACTCGGCCTGAATTGGTTTACAGATGCTCGAGTAATGTGTCACCCATGGACCCCTGGTTAAAACTGACGTCTTTGCGGAGGGTGGGCACGTGCACCCACCACTAGCGCCGTCCAGATCCAGTTAGGCCCCACTCACTTTGAACTGCTCGGGTTCCCACTGCAGAAACTGAAAAAAAAGTGCCATTCTATTCACATCTCCGCAGTCACCACGCTTTTCCCCTACCTACGACCATTACCAATACTTGTAGACGCCGTCGTGTGTTTCCGTACCTCGTGAGGCCTATCAAAGTCGCCATATCGGTCATCTTAGCATCTTTCTCGCCAGTGCGGATAGCATGACCGACAGTCTAGTTCGCGCGCTGGCTCAACACATCTTTCAATCCATGGTCATACCTTAGCCGCCCGCCTTTACCAAAGACCGTCTAGACGACACGACGACACGTTTGCGACTTTCTTCCTCCCAACCACATGGTCCTTCGCGCCGATGAGACCATTTACACCCGCCAAGAGGACCCTCGGTCGTCCTACACCCAACTCGACACCTGTCAAGTCCATACTCAAACCCGTGTCAGTGCTCGGCCGCCGTACAGCTGAGGATGCTGGCATCGACGACCCCAGCGACGCGCCCAGCAGCCCGACGAAACGCCGAAAAGTGTTCTTTGACGAATCTCAAACACAGTTCTACGAGATAGGAAACCGAAACATGGATGAAATTAAGCGTGAAGTGAGGGAAGCGCTGGAGGAGCACCGGCGGGGCAACGACGGACCTTACGACACACTCAAAGAACTCTTCGCCAACGACACGAGGCGATATCTCCCGCCTGTTGTGGGGGAAGAGGAGGACACTCTCAAACCTCAAGAACTCAAGAACTACGTCATAGCCCTTACGAGCTGCATGCCGTTGTTGAAGAGCAAGGAGTGCAATGGTTTGGTCAAGACCATTATTAAGTGCTCGTGGCTTGGAAGGGACAATGAGTTCATCAAGGTCTACACATACTTCCTGGCGTCCCTCATCAGCGCCCAAGGCTCTTACCTGCTGCCCGTCCTGAGTATGATGGTCGAGGCGTTCATGACCGTGCGGCCGTCGGCATGGGCAGTCCCCGATTTCCCAGAAGTTGGCCGGGAAACCGTGCGCGACAGGTTGCACAAGACCTTGCGGCATCTACTACAGATCTTTCCTGCGGCGACTAGTGTTCTTGGACATCTCCTCGGAGCCAAGTTTCCCTTCCCAAATGATTCGCTCAAGGTTCACATGTCCTATGTGCGCAACTTGCTGAGGGTGAAGGACTATGCGCCCGAGTTGCGAGAAGAAGTGTTGGATCTCATCCTCAACCGCGTAGTCAAAATGGACTCGCAAATGATGGTTGATCTGGAGGACCTGGACGATGAGCTGACGGCCGCTGTGATGTACACCCTTCGAGACAAGCCAGCGGACCCGTCCCAGTGGGAGGATGACAACCTTGACGACAGCGACACAGAGTCGGTTGATAGCGACGACTCGGATTATGATGAGGAGGCGGCGCGTATCAAGAGCGTCAAGGACAATGTCGAAAAGATGGACGCTATGCTTGACACACTATTCGCCTACCACGCACCCCTTATCGAGCGCGACCCCGGGTCAGACGAGGCTTATGCCGCATTCACGACAATTCTACGCGAGTTCGACACGCTCGTTCTGCCCACCTACAAATCACGGCACACGCAGTTCCTCATATTTCACTTTGCGCAGATGCACGACAGACTGTCGGATGGTTTCTGCGGTCAGCTCATGTCTATCGCGTTCGACAAGACCTTCCCAGCAGTTCTACGGCAGTCATGCATAGCATACTTGGCTAGCTTTGTGGCACGCGGCGCGCACGTCGATCGGAAAACCGTTCAGGCCATCTTCGATCTCTTGATTGAGCACATGAACAACTACCGCGACCACTGGGAGGCCAGCTGCAGAGGGCCAGATCTCAAGCGTTTCACGACTTTCTACTGCCTGGTGCAAGCCGCCATGTACATCTTCTGCTTTCGATGGCAGGACCTGGTGATGGTGACGCCTGACTACGTCGATCCCGAAGATCCGACGTCGTACATTGGCGCCGATCTGGGCTGGCCAGCGACGAATCGACGCGACTTTATGTCCCACATCTTTGGGAAATTCAACCCTCTCAAGGTGTGCGCGCCGGTCATTGTGGAGGAGTTTGCCAAGATCTCGCACAAGCTCAACTTCATCTACGTCTACCCTCTCATCGAAGCAAACAAGCGATTGCGACTCACGCAGTTTATGACATCGTATGCGACGGGCGGTGCGCTGCGCGACGCCGGTTATGAGAATGGCGATGAGAGCTTGCACGTACTTGACCCGTATTTCCCCTTTGATCCTTACCAGCTACCCGTTAGCAAGCGGTGGCTCGAGGGTGACTACGTGCATTGGAGGGCGGTGCCCGGGCTGAACGCTGAGGAGGAGGATGAAGACAGCGACGAGGTGGATGACATGGACGACGAAGAGAGCGTGGATCTGGAGGAGAACACGGCCACGGACAGTGAAGGTGATGATGATGATCTCTAATGACTGTAATCTGCCACTTGAGCATTGGCAACTGCATTTGGGTATGATTTCTCAGCGAGGCGTTGGTAGATAAAAAAGCCAAAAACGATGACGACTTTCTGTACCTTATGCTTGGATGTCCGTCCAAATCGCGTGTGACATGATGCAGGGCATGGACTGCCGTCAATTCCGAACTTGTTTGGGCGACTATATATTGATTCTCGAGGTATGGCGAAAGATAACAATCGATGTCATCGCACAGGACGGCAGGAACCGCTGTGACGCGCTGTTGGGCATTAGACTCTATAACCGCCGTTTCCCCATAAGGTATTGAGTTCTCGCGACGTCCCGACATGGAAATCTGACTCTCTTCCATCCCCACGCTTACCCACTATCATGACATTTGTATCTCCTCCCGCCCATTGAATACTCAATCATTGCCGAAGTTGCGATAAAGAAAGGAAAGGCTACCATGGCTGACGACCCTCAACGTCATTCCCTCGCAGCGATGCTTAGAAAGGGCAAGCAGCGCCTATTCAGTACCACGTCCACCTCTTCAGATTCACAAGCCCCAGCACCCTCATCACATCAATCATCATCTACCACGCAGACGCCACCAGACGGCGGCGACACACAGCAAGTCACAAAGCAACAGGCGCGACGCGCCCAGGTCCGATCGGCACAGCTCAGACACCGACAGCGCAAGGCAGATCACCAGAAGGAGCTCGAACTCGATGTCAGCCGTTATCGAGGTCTGATCGCCAGTGCGCGGGACGACGCGGAGGCTTTGCGCAAGGAAAATGAAGCGATGATGACAGCGCTCCGTGAGCTGGGCGTGTGCAGCACACAGCAGGATGGCAACGGGAACGCAGCGCCTGAATTGTTCAGCGGTGTCCATGTCGACGATGTGGCAGTGTGTCTGAAATATGACGAGAGCCTCGACTCGGCCTGCTTCACAATCAGCAGCACACCGCCGAGCCTGGTGACAGCATCGACTGCAGCGACAAGCACCGTGAGCAATGAATCAATGACGAGGCAACAAGAGGACGCGGCTATCAACTTCGTACTCGCGTAAGTGTGCCTGTTCAAAGCCCTGCCTCGACGCGAAGTTATTAACATATGTATAGCTTGGAGCACGTGTGCTGGGATCACTACACGATGGGCGACTTTGCCCACCATGCGCAGCCAACGCTCACTGGTGACGAGGATGACAAGAACCAGGGGCATCATCTCATGGCCACCGCGCTCTGCATGGAGGATGCCCCCGAGGAAGTGTACGGTTCGAGAACAGCGTTTTCTTCCAATCACCACCATCCGTCGATACCATTCCTGTCACGGCGACCGGTGGCGCCCTCACCTCCGCCAGAGCTCCGTTGGGAGGCATCTGGCATCACGCTGTCCAATCTGCGAGGCTTAGCCGCGTCGCTGAACCCAGGACCGGAGGAGGTGACACCAGTGCAGGCGTGGTTCGAGCTGGCCGAGCGGTACTCGCCGGTAACGTTGGTGGAGAGCGGCATGTTGCAAGCTCTTCAGTTACAACTCAAGGGTGTAGTCCGTTGTGTAAGCTTTGGCGCAGCCATGGAGAGGGCGGCTTTCGAAAGTGTGGTCGAGCGCGTACTGCAGCAACATCAAATACAGTGAACACGCTTAACTCTTATATTGTCATTGGTGAGTAAGTCTACCTGCACATGTGCGCCAGGATGCTCTAAGATTGCGACGATGCAATTTTTGTGAATTTGTTCTACATTTTAACTTTGGTCACGGCGCCCGTGCGATACTTCTGTCATCAAACAAGTCCTTCAACAACCCCTGAACGCAGGCCTCCCTGTCCAGTGTCCCCATGGCGTACGTCGACTCAAATGCAAAGATGCTGAGTTGTCCAAAGAATGGCCGGAGTATTTTAGACACCAGATCATCCCTGCGCTCAATCAGCGCATTATCGTCGATTACCCCAGGGCCGAGCAGGGGTCGTCTATGCGAGCTGCTGGCGCTGAGGTGTGCTGCAGCCTCGGACTTGTCCAGATACTGAGAGGCACCACTGCCCAGCTCCTCTGAGAGCTCGTCAATCAAGGCCACGGGTTGGGCTGTCGAGTAGCGGTAGACAGCGTCAATGGTGTCTGTGATAAAGAGCCACTCGTGGAGTTGGAAGTCGTCTGGCCCCACGCAGATCAGTAGGTCCAGCAGCTTGCAGGCCTGGAGGACAGCAGCGTTGGTATAGATATCTGCTATTGAGCTGTTGGCCGGCGCAGTGATGGAGGAAATGGCACTGTGAATCTCGTGATTGATCACGGGCCACAACACAGCCAGATGGACCGGGCTCGTGTTGAGCACTAGAGCTCGCACAACCATGTATATGTCAGCACGTGTGGCTGACGATGGTGATGATGTAGCGGTAGCCCCCAGCAGCTCAGTAAGTTTGTCAAAGATGATGGGGAGATCTGCGACAAAGGCGTCCTCGGTCGAAGCAAGGATCAACGTCGCAATGCGGCGAAGGTTCACTTGTGCCTTGCGGTCTGCATCAAGTCGAGCCGAGGTAGCCCCAACGCCAAAGACAATGCCTGCCGTAGTGGGTGCTGTCAAGCGCTGCACAATCTCCGACATCTTGTCTTTATCTGCCATCGTCCACTGACGCAGCAGTGGCATCCATCCATCCTTCACAAGATCGAGATGCATGCTGAAGAAGCGAGCATCGTTGAAGGCCTCCCCGACGTCCTTCTTCCAGGTTTTCTGGTTGTTCTGCAACCTCGAGAGCTCGTGGAGCAGGCTCAATGTGCTGTGTCCAACTGTATCGGGGAAATTCTTGGAGCGTATAGTAGGGCCAACGACATTGCTCGATATGGCACCAGCGGCGGACAGTACGCGGTCTGAATCAACTAAGATCTTGGGCAGGTTTGGTACAATGGAGGCGAGAATGGCCACCACGTCTTCGGACCCAGTGACAGAACCTAGCGGCGTACGCCGACCAGCTTCAGTTCTGTGTGCCTTTTCCATCGTGCCGCTGTTGAGGTTCGTAGACTCAGTGGTGATTGGCTTCGTTGTGAATAAAGCAGCGAGCAGTCTGGTGAAAAGATCTCCCAACTCTCGACGCATTTTCCTCTGCTCGCCAAAGTTGGTATTGTCCACCTTCTCACCCAGAAGCGCGGCAAACTCGAGCAAGCTTGGCAGATTCTGCCTGTGAGGGAATGGATTGCTCAGGAGATCCTTGAGGAAGACGATGCAATCTTGCCAGATTTCATCCATGGCGTCGTCATCCAGCGAACGTGTGTACTCTACCAAGAAAACCACAAGATTGGTCTCTTCAAGGGAGATAGTCATGGTCGACTTTCGCGATGGCTCCAAGGCTGTGGGGTTGGTCCGGCTGTAGATGGAGTTGAATAACGCTGGGATGGTATGTCTCGGCCGCGAAGCTTCCAATGCGGACAATAGGTTGAAAACCTCTAGTCGGGCCTTTGAGTCTGGTGCTTTCCTCCATGTATCAATGATTGTCTCTAGGCACTCGAGGTTCTCCGCCTGCAAAAGGTGTTCCAGTAAACGCCGCGCGCGGTTGCGCATTCGGAGCGAAGTGTGGTTGAATGTAGCGGCAGATGCGGGATCCTGTTGCGCAGCCTCATCGCCGAGACCCCAGGACCAGATCTTGTAGCAGATGCGGCAGGCATCTTGGAAGGCGAGATGGACGGTCAACCTATCGTTGGCTGTTGCGCTTCGGGAGCGATGCCCTTCCGATTGGAAAACCCCTGAGACCATGCTGCCAAAAAGAGACTGTTGTTGGTCGGGGTTTCTCATCAGCTGGGCACGTGCTTCCTCCGATAGCAGCTGATCGTGGGATCTTGCCAGAACCTGTTCGAGGCCGTTCAGTAGGTGTATCAATGTCGACTCAGGGAACCCTGTGCTGCTGACAGCTTGCTGCGCGCCATTCTTAAATGTGGACCTCAAGTGATCAAAGGTTTTTCCAACCTGAGTGCACAGCGTCTCAACGAGCGGTATCAATACTTGAAAGATGGTGTCAGCGTAGAATGGGAGACACTCGCTCAAGAAGACGATCCAGCTATCCAGAACTGATCGACTGCCGGGGGCGGTCAACGCCGATTGTATGCATTGTAGTAGCCGAGGCGGCGGCGGGACTAATACATGTCGTGTCTCGCTTGCTGTAAAGGAAGGTCGACCAGTTCGTCCTGGGTCGAGGTTGGAGGTTCGCTTCTCGGAAGGCGGTGTCCCGGGTGCTTCGCCCATGGACGCTTCCCGAAGCTTGAGGGCGTCATACACCACATCCAGCAGCAGGACCTGAACAGAGGGGTCCTCTTGATCTATAGCTCTGGAAAGTCTCTCTAGGAAGAGATTCTCCAGGTTTTGTTCTGGCGAACCGCTCATGTGCCGGCTGAGAAAGAAATGATGAAGCATGCCGAGCGCAAACTGTTGCAGTCGGAAGATGCGGTGCTCTAGATTAGTGCTGGCTCCGGGCACGGCATCAGCCATTACACACTTGAGGCATACTTTGACCATGAAGTCCTGGAGCAGAATATCGCCCTCTTCTCCGCCAGCTGTCTCGAGTCAGTCATGCCCAGTACGGTGTATCGATGAACTTACAACTAATATGAAGGCCTTGATGACTGAAAGACACATGCTTGGAAGCTAACACGGCCCATGCAACGTCTCCACAAATGCGTAGTACGTTGCTCAAGGTACGCAAGTAGTAGAGGCATAGGTCAAGATCGTCTTCCTCTCCAAAGGGCCGGCTGTCGGGTACCCCTGGCTGAATGATTCCGTCCCGCAGGGTCGATAAGAATTTGACTTCGCAGAACTTCTGCACCATAACCAGAAAGAGCCTATCGATCCCAATCATGTTGCTGAGCCACGACTTCACCGTCATGTACTGATGTGTAGTATCGTCCAAGAGCACATCCAAGATCAAGAAAAGGGGTCGCGTCAACATGACTTCAAAGTGCTCCATTCCCGCCAGACGAGGTCCCGACCTAATCTCGTGTGCGGCAGCCTTGGAACCGCGTCGATCGGAAGGGTTGTCCTGAAGAGTGAGGGACCACAGGACGCTAAAAGTATGTGCATCGCTCACGCACTGATGCATGTCCATGGGATCTCGGGATTCCGCTATGACTGTAGCAAGCGCGGCCTCAATGTCGCGGTTCGCAACGGACAGTGCCGTTTGCAGCTGCCATAGACATCGGACAGTCTCCACGTGGAACTTGGGCTCCTCCGTCGAAAGAAACCTCCAAGCGTGCCCCACCAATACAGTGGCTAGATCCGACAGGCCTCTCGACGCTATGCGATGGGCCGCATGTAGCTCAGTAGAGAGTTGAACCACTGCTGAAAAGTCGGAGAAAGCCAGACGCTCTGGTCCTTCCAGGCTCAGCTGAAGGAAGCTCAGTAGCTCCTTTGCGTCCAATGCGTACGACGCAGGCATCTTCGTCAATGCTAACACGAGCATCCGAACGGACGCGTCTCCTAGCGTGGGGCCTGTCCGGATGAACAGGGATGACTTTTGCAGAATCAGCTCGCCCAGCTGCCGCAAGTGGAAGGGGATGGAAGAGGCCTCAATGTTCCCTTGCTCATTGACGTAGAAGTCTCGGATCTTCTTGAGAAGCTCGGCGTTTGCCGTGCTGCCAACCAACTTTGCATTTCGGCTGGGACTGGTCCCTCCGTTGGGAAAGGCACGTGGCGGGACCATCTCGAGCAGGACTATAGCAGTCTCTAGTGCTTTCTTGGACACGGCCGAAACCCAAGGAACAGGGGTGGTCGACGTCTTCCTCCAATTGTCCAAGTCTTCCAGCATACAGATCGTAGCTAAAGACGATAGAGGAGCGTGGATGGTGACCATTTCCTCCTCTCGAACGTTGAAGTTCGCCAGGATGAAGTTTGCCATGGCAATTTTATCTTGCCTTTCCTCGGCACCAGCTTTGCCTGGGCTCAGTGCTTGCGCTAGTAGAGACACGATTTCGCTGTAAATCAGACCGCTCTCAATGCCATCGAAAAACACGCTGGCGCTCTTCAACACCTCTGAAAACTCGGCACTTGAGGACGCCTGACCCTGAAATTGGCGAACGTTTTCGATGATTGGGAGAAAGACCTCTGGCACTACCAGCCCACCAATCTCCCAGCGATCCATCAAGGACAAGCATATTCGATAGGGTCGCGCTCGCTCTGCGGGGTTCTTGTTGCCGCCCGACGTCACCATGGCCAAGAGCGCTCGTGTCAATGGCTGAAGGCCATATTGTTCAAAGTAGCTAGTTCTGGATGCCGCCATGGATTGTTGGTGGTCTGTGGCTGGTGATGTCGGTTCAGCAGCCTGCTCCGTTTCGTTGCTCGCAGGCTCCGGTCCCAAGAACCACGCCCACAGCCGGCGATTAAGGCTCATATCACGCCTTATGACAACTCCAATGGCTGCTTTCATGAGGAGCTCCAGGTCATCGGATTTCACCTTCCCCCGAAGTACACTTGAACTCAGGGGCAAGTGAGTGACTAGCAGGTCTAGAAATCCCCGTTGAATCAGTAATTGCTCGTCTGATAGGCCGCTTGCGAAGCAACGGATCAGGAGTCCCGGTTCTGGAGAGGTGACAATAGATGCTACGTTGTCGCTAGGCTGATCAGCGAATCCATTCTTGCTGTTCGCTGCATTTGTCGTCGCGCCGCCTTGTGCAGGCAGGTACCGCACGAGATACGCCAATGCGCCGGGTCGCCGTCCCGAACTGGTGATACAGGCTAAGAAAAAGCACTGCCAAAAGTAGTCGTCGCCAGAAGCATGATCCTCGGTGAGGAGCTCACTGCTCGGGGGGCGGATAGCCTTCTTGAAGCTGACCACGAGTTTCATCGTCCGATCAAAGTCCTCTGCCGCCTCGTCCTCTAGCCCCGGTAGCAATGCGAGAATGACTGACTTGATTGCTGATCGAAGTGACCTCGGGTCAACCTTGAGGAAATACGTCTCCAAAATGTCCAGGTAAGGAGCCCTAACCGACAGAGATGCAAAGGACAAAACAGAGGCTAGCCCTGGGAGATATAATTGCAGATCCCTGGACAGCCCTTCGGTGCCAATGGTGGAGAAGACGTAGTTGTAGATTTCGAGAGCTTTCTGGTGGACGCCGGACGGTAATGAGGGGTCGAGACATTGCGACAGCCTTTGGGCGACGAGACTTCTAGCTGGTATGGCTGATATATTGCTTGGACGTGCTTGCAACGCTCTGAGCAGGCGATTCAAGAATGAAATGTAGTCCGCCCACTCTTCCAGGGCCGTCTCGAAAAGGGCCAGCGCCTTGTCCACGCCGGCAGCATATTTGCGGAATGCCTTGTCCTTCAACAGCTTGTCTTCCGCTACCATGCGTTAGCTTCTACGGGTCATTCCTCTTGCACTGACGAAGTACCAACCTCCACCAAGCTGATTCCTCCACTGCCTGGGTATCGGCGAGTCGCGGCCAGAGCTGCCAGGGGACACTGACCGGCGACCTGAAGCGGGATCAGGTGCCATGGTTGCTTGTCTCGGGATAAAAATCGGCAATCATGCTTCGCGCATTCGAATTCGACTTTCGGTTTGCTCGGGGAGGTTTTGGTGGCGCCTCTTCACCATCAACGTCGGAAGTTGAAGTATGGTTCTCGTCAAATGGCGACGTATCGCATTTGGAGTCGGACCCCAAATGTTAATGTTCAGTTAATTAGTCGCACTCGGGGGTACGTACGTCAGTGGTAGGCTACAGCCTACAGCACCCAGACACTTCTGGTTAGCGCGGCTGCCACTAGTCAACCTTGTACATCCATCCATCCCCTCGAGACCTGCTTTGCTGACCCTGTAGCTAATATCGATGGCATGCTGCGGTTGCGCAACGACGATCTGGACATATTTTTATTGTATAAATTTTATAAAGGCGAAAAGCGGCTTTTTTTATTCACCGCTCATACTGAAGATATTCTCAAAGCAAATTTATAGGTCAAATAGGAATGCGCACAATCACACAAGCAGCCACGTCCCGGCTGTTGACACGCAACAACCATTCAACGCGATGGTTGGCTGACCACCACCAAACAAGTAATACGAATGCTGTTCGCCGTCATACGCGCTCAAGCATAGGTGTGTGGCTTGTCACTTGCCACCGTACTATCCCTCTTGTTACTCGTGAAAGGCGTCGTTCGGTTGCCGAGCACGGCTACGCGGCGTCTCTCGACCCTGGGCACAAAGAGCCTAGTGACATTCGTTGCGGCACAGCAGGAAATCTTCCCGTGCGCACGCATCTAATATCGGAGTAGTATCCACAGTAATGATTACGCCAAGACAATGCATAACGTTGTTCCTGAAAGGCTTGTGGCCTTAATATAAAGAGCGACACAATCTCTGTCGCCTTCAGCCGCGCATTCTCAGCCCTTCGAACATACATCCATATCGACAGACACTCGCTCATTGCTGATCTTTTTTATCGCGTCCTTTCTTTACATTGCCCTTCTCCTTACATTCAACACTATGAAGTGGCTCATTCTTGCTGGCCTCTGCGAGTACGCCTTGTCTACACCCAGTCTTGACTTTAAGTTCTGGGGGGATGAGACGCCACAGAATGGCAAGATCACCTCCCAAGGCTGCTTCAAGAATGAAGCTGATCTGACCCTAATGGCCGATGTGAAGCCGTTTACGGTGTCCGCGGGGGCTTGCGCACAGAGATGCTTGAAGGACGAATCCGACAACTACACCATCATGGGATTGCAGGGCCACCATTGTTGGTGCGGCAGTCACATGCCTCAGGAGGATGATAAGACCGCCGCCGAAGATTGCAACTACGCCTGCCCTGGCTACCCAGGGGAAGCATGCGGCGGTGTTGGTGACAACAAAGCGTTCAATATTTTCAACCTGGGCATAGACCTGACTCCTGATGTTTATGGCATGGGGGGAGATGACTCGAGCGAGGACAACAGTGACAAGACGACGAGCACCGACATCATTGCCACGACCGAGTCGGCCACCTCCACCGTTACGAGCGAGGGCGAGACGGTCACAGTCACCACCACCAGCACCCCTGACGGCACTCCGGGTGGCAACCCAACGCAAACCGATTCCGAGAGCGAATCTCAGACCTCTGACGCCGCCAGTGAGAGCGAGACACCAGATGAACCTGGTATGGGCAGCTCCATAGGCAGCTCCGTGGTTTCCATGGCTGTCATTGCTGGAGCCAGCGGCCTTTGGTCCCTGTTGTAGACTTGTCTGCGGAAAAATTGTTATCAAAAATTTCTCCCAAGGTCTTCGACTCGGTTTGGAGGTAGGAGGAGATGGACGTGGCTTTCTATCTCTTGATAGTAGGGAGGAAAAGGCGCAATAGCCTTGTACCAAGCCATGTGTTTATACAAAACAACAAATATGATCGATTGATGAAGTATTCGAGAAATTCCTTAATACTTAAGTAGGTGCAAGTAGTTATCTCGGGCATTCAGCAGTGATCCGTCATCCTCGTCTAAAAGCGGCAGCATCACCCGACTAGCTTGGAGCTACCTACCCGGTAGTCCTTTTACCTCGGACCTCCACTGCGCTGTCCATCGACGTGACCAAGAGCTGCCGGCCTTCAGGCTACATCGAAGCCTCAGCCATTCGTTACAGGTATCGCACAACGCAACCCAACAATCGTTCCCTCCATGCTTGCAAGCAACCCGCCGCTGGCTATGGCACGATAAAATGCCACGACTCACATCACTGCGCAGCGATATTCCCGGTCGCGCACTCCCTCATTGACCGAAAGCTCTCTCGGCCGGGCTAGGCTGAGATGTCCCGACCCGTCACCAGAACCTAGATACACAATGGGGCAAGACAGACAAGCCGCCGAAGCGGAGGAGCGCCCTCCTCTGCCACCCAGGCCCTCGACATCAGCCTCGGTCGATCCCAAAAATCTCCAAGCCCAGGCTACCACCGCCGTTACACCGCTGGAGATACAAACCTTGTCGTTCCCCGATGGATCGCGAGGCACCTTTTCGACACCCGGCGCCCGGGCGGTGTCCAATCCTATGGACAGTGGATCGTCTACGCCAAGAAGAGACAAGGACAGCGCGAGTCCAGATAATGACGACGCAGCGAGCGTGACAAGCTTCGCGCCTACCATGCGACCAGCGGCAGACATTGCGAGTCTCCTGGCTGGTGGCTTGCCCAAGAGGAGTCCAGCTTGGAATCTGCTACGCACCCAATCGTCCAATGTACATCCCTTTGAGAAGAGTCAGAGCGGCACGCCAGACAAGTTCGACGACTTTGCGCGAGAATTCGAAGCACTCCCCGAGGATTCTGGCGAACAGTACGGCGACGAGGAGCGGCTCGCCATTTGGAAATCCAAGCTCAAACATTACATGATCATTTCGGCCGCCGGAAAGCCAATCTGGAGTCGACATGGAGATCTTGCCCTAATCAACTCCTCGATAGGGGTCATCCACACCATTATCTCGTTCTACGAGGGCGCCAAGAATCCACTGCAGGGTTTCACAGCAGGCCAGACTCGGTTCTTCGTCTTGACGCAAGGGTCTCTCTATTTCGTAGCAATCAGCAAGTTAGGCGAGAGCGACTCTCAGCTTCGGTTCCAACTCGAAGCTCTCTACATGCAGATCCTGTCAACCCTGACCCTACCGACATTGACTCACATCTTCGCCAACCGCCCGTCAAGCGATTTGCGCAAACCACTACAGGGGACAGAGTCCCTCTTGTCTTCCCTAGCGGATAACTTTACTAAAGGTTCACCCACCGCTTTGCTGGGGTCGTTGGAGTGTCTCAAGCTTCGAAAGTCGCAGAGACATACGATCAACAACACGTTCCTGAAGCACAGGACTGACAAGCTCCTCTACGGACTCATTGTAGCAGATGGAAAGCTTGTCAGTGTCATTCGCCCGCGACGACACTCGCTCCACCCGAGCGATCTGCAGCTCATCTTCAACATGTTGTTTGAAGCGGAAGGTGTAAGAGGCGGAGGCGGTGAGAATTGGATCCCACTCTGCTTGCCTGCGTTCAATAACCGAGGCTACCTATACATGTACGTCAGTTTTCTCGACGAGGAAGGCCCAGACGTGAAAGTACCAGGCCAGGAGCAAGCATCCCCCACGGCACCGGGCGAAGTAGCCATGGTTCTCATCAGCGCGGAGAAGGAGAGCTTCTTTGAACTTCAGCAGATGCGCAGAGATGTCGCGCAACAGCTGGCCAAGAGCGGGAGCCTCGCAATCATCCGTGCGGCGGCACGAGCGGGTCGCCCACGAGTGGAGGGGATAGCGCCAGGAAGCCATATCAGCCACTTTCTCTTCAAGTCGCGTGCCAATGTCCAGTACTGCATGGGCTCCCTGGACGCTCTCTTCGCAGACCTGGATGAGCGGAGAAAGCTGATGACCATTTACCATGAACTGCATGCGTCTGTGCATGCCAAGTTGGCGCACCTCAAGGTCCTGCACTCGACGCGACAAGATGCCACAGCCTTGGCCTGGATCACGCCCGTCTTTGAATTCTACTGCGTGGCTGGACCCAACATGTCTAGGGCAATGATGACGCAAGGTGCGAATAAGATCATCCAGTGGGCAAAGAAGGAGGAGGAGCGTTTGTTCATCATCGGAGGGGGTGTTTTCTGATCCTGCCGTAGCTGGCCAGGCGGTAGGACACCGAATAAGGTATACCAGGTACCAGCCGAGTCTCTTCCCTCGATTGCCTGAGGTTTCAGCGACTGTCATCGACCGCAGCTTCCGTGAAATGTTGCCGGCCACATCAAGCGCACTCCATCATGTGAGACGGCGAAAAAGAAGGAAGGCGGAAGGCGTTCCATGGTGCCAAACACCTTCCCTCGCAGATAGAGCCCACGGTATGTCCTCGTCCCAATTTCACCTCCAGAGCACGTCATCCAAACTCTCGTGCCTCCTGCCTCCATTCTCTGTCTGCTCTTCTACCTTGTCTTGCCATTCCCTCACATCGTCGTATTTGCTTAAAGAACATCGCTGATCTGCGAACCAAGGCTTTTGTCAGCGAACATTGCTGGGACCGCAATACAGCTGTGAAACTTGGATCAGCAAACATTCCATCGTTACCAATTTGTTCACTATCATCGATCTGGCCTCTCATGATCACTTGCACGATGCCGTCGTCCGTCAGTATGGACCCCAGGATGGCAAGACAGAGGGCCATGAGCCAGACCCCTTCTCGCATTTCTTACTCGCCGTCAATTTCTCGCCAAGGCTGTGGCAGTCTGCCGTTGCATCGTCAACATTCACGGCGTACGCCGCTCCGGTGTGTCACTGAAAACACGACCAACTTTCTACGGTCGCCTGGATCGCTGGAGAGCATGCTCAAAACAACAACGGAAACGGGCGATATTGGCCTTTTCAGCATTACGCCAACTATACCTCCTGTATCAGAGCCGGACTATCAGCAACCAGGTCACGCAAGGTGGGTCTCAGCCGATGCGGATCTTCTCCAGGCCAGTCGTGCCCAGTATCGATTCAAATCCAACTATGATGACCGCGACCGACTGCCCTCCGCATACAGAGACACAACATCGAGAACTCTGTCGCTGTGTGGGCGCAATTTTCCCCGCTCAGAGACTGTGTCCCCGGAGAACCAAGTAGGTCACAGAACGTACTCGATGCCGACTCGCAGTGCTCAGTACACGCCTTCACCAGGGCCACCCATGCCATTTCAAACATATGGTTTTGGCACAAACAGACACAGGTCCCGCTCGCCTTTTGTGTACCCAGCGCGTCTGAGACGGCCTGTTGCTTGGCATTATCCGCCATCTGAGACCGATGCTGCATCTGTAGGCGACTCCCAGCATTCCGACTCGGGCCGGGGCTACCAGGTAAGCATGTGTCAAGTCTATAAAATGAACAAGTGAACTGATACACTTCCCATCTAGCAGCAGGATTGCGATTCGGAGAGGCCAACCCACCCTCACAGTCGAAGACAAGGACCGCCCCTCTCACTCCGACTGGACAGTTACAACGCGACGGCCTCGCCGGCGGTTCACTCCTCCCCAGGACCCCTATATAGGACAGCATCTTGCCCGCTTCGCTGCCGAACGCCAACGTCTGGTCAAGGAAGGTCTCGAGGGGCAAAAAGCAGAGACCGCAATGCATCCAACAATGCCAATACAAGAACGTGCAGCTTAACCTCTATCGTCGAGATGTATGATCAACATTTGGTCGCGGAGCCAACGGAACCAGGCAAACATCACGTGGAGCCTTTCTACTACCGCTACGGTGAAGGCTTTGAGAATGCACATGCTGAGTTGGATTCACCGTCGTCTCCCAACACTGAACGGATGGGGAGTTTATGGCCACTGATGATCCCAGGGACTGAAGATCAAGACAATAATCTTGGAGTCTCGAACAATACTTCCGGCATGCGCGATGTTGAACATGCCAACGCAAGTACTCATGGTAGGTCGCAATGCCTCTAGATTGCAAGCGATCTAGCTGCTGATTGTGCACAGTACCTCGCTCGGGTGAGATAAGCCCGCAATCGATGTCTACCAAAGGAATCCAGGGATTGCCCCTCTGGTCGGAGGAAGCCGCTGCAAATGTTGACTTGGATATTTTCTCTACGCACGTTCCCGAAGAATCTACGACCAGCATGTCATGCACTGTAGACAAGGGTGAAGGTTCTCCCCTATTGGAAGGTCGACACACGGTCGAGTCAGACGATGAGGAGGAGACGGCCCAGCAGAAGATTGAGCCCGCCGAAATCGAGACGCCCCTAGACCAACACACCACGAGTGGATGGCCTCAGTACAGATTTGAGGAGCTCCGATGCTCGCTGGATCTCGATTTCAGTGCATTTGAAATCTATTCCAACGGCGAAAATCACCGCAATGAATCTTCTATTGTGGCGTATGGGGATCGCCCCAACAACGGCCAATCAGCCTTGGAGAAGATGTGTCACGATGCTGCCGGGGACGCAGAGGATCAGACTAACGCCGTGTACCAACGACATCGACGTAGAAATGCCGTAACGAGAATCAGCACATCGAGAATCGAGAAAGATGTCGTCTCAGCGCTGTCAAAGCCAGAGGCCTCGCCCCGGGACTCGCAGCCATACTCAGTGCTGCCTGCCAGCGCTTTGCAACCCAAAATCAGCAATCAGGAGCTTGTGAAGACGTTTCCGCCTCTGCCAGTGGAGGTCCAGCAAAGCGAGAAGGAAGACCTGAAAGCACCGGCTCAAGCACCGAAGGGTGGCCCTCTGCTCAGCGGCGAGACAAGATCAAAATTGAGACTGCGAAACAAAGCTATTGACAGCATGTCATCAGCTAGTATTGTTGACGAACCCGAGGCTTTGAAGCGCAGCTCAGAAGCCAAAGACGATCCACAATCACCAAAGAAGTTCAGAGTCAAAGTCTCTCAACACCATGAACGGGGTTGGAACTCTTTCAACCGTGATGGCACGGTGGTTCGCAGTCCTTCACTGAAGCGATGCAACTCCCTTGCCGAACTAGAATACTGCGCCAAGAAGGACATTTTCACGAGTCACTGTCGGCTGGAGCAGGCTTTCGGAGATGGTGAAAATGGGTTGACTCGCTCGAATCCGGGTGTATTGCATAAGAAAATGGTTGAATCCTCCACCACCCAGGCCTCGGGTCCTGACCTGGATGCCGAGAAAGAAAAATCACCTTCAACAGTCGGGGTTGCACCTACGAAGCAACGTCAGCAAGCCCTGTCTTCTTGCCCAAAGCTGAAAAGTCGTGGCCATCGTGGACTCCGTAATAGGCTCTCTTTTTGGAGACTACGAAGCGGTGGCGCACCGGTAGGCTCGTCCTCGCCAATGCACATCGAAGATACCACCGTGCCCGTCTTCGCCTCCCCGGATGCTATACATAGGCCTCCATTGAGGATCTCAAGGCAGAAGTCCAGATGGATCAAGAGATGGGCCACCAAGGCCTTTCGTCTATGCACGAGGAAGAGACTGTCCGACGGATTGGGTGAAGAGGCCTAGGGCCAAAGGTGATTGTATATTTCTTTGGCAGGCGATTCAGCGTAGGTGTTGGGTGCATGTGAGTAAGGAGATGAGCCGGGCCTTTTGTTTTGAACCACTGAACGAAAGGAGGAGGAGGCCTTTGTGTCTTCGCATTAGCATTAGATAGCAGCAAGTCCACCACATGTTACAGGAAAAGGTGGTAGGAGGCGGGAATGCCTAGATGATCAGCATAGTACACATCCACGAGTGAGGAGCCCCTTTTTTGTATACGTCTCTCGCGATGTTGTGATTGAAGGAGGTACTAACTTTCTACGAACTGACTACGGAGTACCGAGCGGAGGTATAAGGCTCCGTGTACGCATGGCCCGTCCTGAGAAGACGAAGAAGAACGCGGCGGCGCTTCCGCCGGGGGTTGGAGACTGTTTGATGGGTCTCCCCACAGTTTGAGCAACGCTGACCCTCGTGCCATGGTCTGACGAAGACACGAACCACTCAATGAACGGGGCCATGGGCGAGCATTGGGAAAGGACTTGTGCCAAGGTTGCTCCGTGGGACTCCAAGATGGGGGCCTCATGCCGCATCATGGGACACGACTCGACACGACGCGCGCGCAGCAGCAGCATCGTACATATGGAGGAACCAACTCATGATTTAGCCTAAGCGACCGCGACTCCGGGCCGACAATGCATGGATGGATGGCTCCAGGTATAACTACTTGACGGAGCCTCGAGCGCCGCTCACCACCGACGTGAAGTGTGATCGGACTCAGACCACCACTTTCATTCACAGGGACTTGACCATGGCAACCTCGCACGACCTGCTGCTCGGGCCAAGCCCCAATGGCCAGCGCTACGAGCTCAACAGCCCGACGGCACTCCCCGTGGCCAGCGGCTTTCTCTGGAACAAGAGGATGATGGTTCACTCAACGTGCCGGGGGTACTCGACAGCGCAGTTTATGCAGCCTGAGCCTGCCAAATACTCCCACGCGCCCAACATTGAAGCCAAGACCTTTATGCAGCCCGAGCAGAACTACTACGCCCACCACCCTGGCCGATTCGTGTACATCAAGGACGAGGACACCAATGAACTCTTCTCCGCCCCCTATGAGCCTGTTCGGGGGAAACTGGATCGCTTCAACTTTTCCCATGGCCAGAGCGACCTCCAATGGACGGTCGAGAAGCTCGGCATCCGCGTCGAAATGACGCTGACGCTCACAGTGGACGAGGCGGTCGAGCTGTGGTCCGTCAAGGTCATCAATGTCTCGGGTCGCCCACGCCACATCAGCGTTTATCCGCACTTTTCCATCGGCTACATGTCGTGGATGAACCAGGGCGCCTCCTACAGGGAAGATCTCGGGGGTGTCGTGGGCACCAGCGTCACGCCTTATCAGAAACCCGAGGACTGGCCCAAGCAGAAGGACTTTAAGGACAAGACGTACTTTCTGTGCGAGAAGCCCCCCGTGGCGTGGGAGGCACGGCAGTCGGCATTCGAAGGCGAGGGTGGCCTCCACGCACCGTCGTCGATACTGGAGGCCCCACGTCTTTCGAATAGTGATGCCATCTACGAGACGCCCACTGCCGTTGTCCAGTACAGCGAGCAATTTGGGCCGGGCGAGGAGCAAGAGTATCGCTTCATCTTCGGGCCCGCCAAGACCGATGATGAGATCAGGGAGATGCGTAAGGCCTGGCTCAGCGCGGAGAGCTTCGCATCGGCGGCGAGGGACTACCACGGCTATGTGACCGCTGGCGCGGGCTGCCTGCGGATTGAGACGCCCGACAAGGACCTCGATAACTTTGTGAACAACTGGCTGCCCCGTCAGGTGTACTACCACGGTGTGACGAATCGTCTCTCTACGGATCCGCAGACGAGAAACTACATGCAGGACAACATGGGTATGGCATACATCGACCCGGATGTGTGTCGCGAGTCCATCATCACGGCCCTGTCGCAACAAAAAGAGGACGGCTCGATGCCGGATGGCATTCTGCTGGCCGCCGGCGCGACGCTGAAATACATCAACCAGATCCCCCACACAGATCACTGCGTCTGGCTGCCGGTGGCCTTGGAGCTATACCTGGGTGAGACGGGTGATTTTGGCATCCTCAAGCAGGATGTGACGGGCGTCAAGAACGAGACGTACACTGTCTTTGACCGCTTCTGCCGCGCAATGGACTGGCTCCTGACGGCGTGCGACGAACGTGGCCTGAGCTACCTGGCGCAGGGCGACTGGTGCGATCCGATGAACATGGCGGGCATCAAGGGCAAGGGCGTCTCCGGATGGCTCACGGTGGCGACGGCGTATGCGGCGAGCCTGTGGGCAGACATTTGCGACGAGGTTGGCCAGATAGACCTCGCTGCGCACTTTCGCAACGGCGTGACCCGGTTCAACGCGTCGGCCAACGAGCATCTCTGGGACGGCGAGTGGTACGCGCGCGGCATCACCGACGACAATGTCAAGTTTGGCGTCGCTGCCGACAAGGAGGGCCGCATCTGGCTCAACCCGCAGGCGTGGTCCATCCTGGGCGGCGCCGCCTCGCGGGAGCAGATCGCCAAGATGCTGCCCCAGGTTGAGAGGCAGCTCGGCACTCCGTACGGCGCTGCCATGTTCGCGCCACCGTACAGCGGGATGCGCGACGACGTGGGCCGCGTGACGCAAAAGTTCCCCGGCAACGGCGAGAACGGGTCCGTCTACAACCACGCGTCCGTCTTTTACATCCACAGCCTGTACCACATTGGCGAGGCGGACCGCGCGTACGCGCTCCTGCGCCAGATGATCCCGGGGCCCTCGGACGCGGATTACATCCAGCGCGGGCAGATGCCCATCTTCATCCCCAACTACTACCGCGGCGCCTACCACGAGTACCCGCGCACGGCGGGCCGGTCGAGCCAGCTGTTCAACACGGGCACCGTCTCGTGGGCGTACCGCTCCTTCATCGAGGGTCTCTGCGGCCTGCAGGGCGACAAGGACGGGCTCAAGGTGAACCCGCAGCTGCCCTCGCACTGGGAGGGCATCAAGGTGACGAGGATGTTCCGGGGCGCCACGCTGGTCTTTGACATGCGTCGGGCGGACGTCGAGACGGTCACGGTGTCGCTTGGCAAGGAGGTCCTGCCCGAAGCGCGGGTGACGGGGTTCAAGGAGGGCGAGACACTCGAGCTGTCGGTTGCTGTGCCCAGGGCTCAATAGGCATGGGTGCTTGAGGCTATTAGACAGGCAGTATAGACTCATGAATGCGAATAAGTAGTGCATACCTTTTTTTTTCTTCTTTTTTTCTTCCTCGTCAACGGATCAATTACATGATGTCCCCGAGGTTCTTGTTTGACCGGGCGTCTGAGACGTCGTAGGGTTTCATCTGGCGCAGGATAGATGGCTGACCCCTGGCAAAACTAGACACCCTGCGTTTTAACCTCAAATTCATCCTGTAATTAGCGGCGATTTCAGTTCCAACTTGTAGGGAAACGCGTGGGGCCTGCCACGTTGAACTTGAGACGTCGGAGAACCTGACCTGAAGACGACTTCGGACGCAGCTGCAGCGACGGGGGGTCCTTGGGGGGCACGATGCGGCAAGGAGACGATGGCCTGCTCGTGAATAAAAGGAGAAGCAAGAAGCACACATGTCGAGAAGACGGACAAGCCGGCCTTCACCTTCTCCTCCTCGTCCCCCAACAGCAACTTTTGGTACTCCCGCAGCTGGCCTGCCTTTCGCTTCGTTTCGCTTCGATTCTGTCATTCATTCTTCGGTACTGATTTACGATTGGACGTATTGTTATTACTCTCAAAACGCCACAATGAAGCCAGCCGGTCTTTTCCTCACTTTCCTTGCGGCGGCCAACGCCAAGTTCCTGTACGGGCGCCAGGTGTTCTCCGTCACCAGTTACAATGACCTCTCCATCTCGGGCGGCGTAGCAGGCAACGCGGCCGAGGAAGCCTTCTCTCTGCTGCGCGGTCCGTTGCCAGCCAACCCGGAGGACGTGTCGTCCGACGACCTGGACTTTCTCGACAGCGTCAACTCCATCTGCAACGACGCCGAAAAGGAGGCGTTCAACCCTGCCATTGAGGCTGCCAGTGGTGAGGAGGCCGATGCTCTGCAGGTAGGTCTCCGTCTCTTTGTTCTTCGTGGTGGCAGTGCATGTTTGCTGACCCCAATCGTTCGACAGCGCGGCAAGATCAAGAACAAGGTGCTCAAGTTGACGGCCACCATGCTCAAGCTCACGGCCCAGGCGGCGCAGGGCCAAGATGTAGCCGACAAGCTCGAGGAGGAGAACAAGAAGCTGCAGAACAATATCCAACAGGACGAAGAGGCTGCTGGTTTGCCGTCGACATTTTTGAGTTTCGATGCCCAAACGGATTAACGAGACATGACTCGGGCGATACGACGAAGAAGGGGATGACGATGGGATCTCATGGCTACGATATCAATGGCCGTGTCCTACTTAGTTCATTAGCTGCATTAGAGCAACCCAACAAGCATTTGCTGAAATCAATTCCAAGTTTCACATGGACAGCAGCACCAGGCGGTGTCGAGGATAATGACTGCGAGCAGACAAAGAGAGAGGGTACCCTTGCTCGGGGCAGTGTACGCTTCTTGGGCACGAGTTGAAAATTGGGGTCCATTCTTATCCAAGGAACCAAGGACAGGATCGGGTGCCAGCACGCAAGATGCATATGACATATGCAGGGAGTCGGCACATGTTGTCTTGGGCGCGTAAGCTGAGCTCTGCTTGAATGTGTCGATCGGCCTCACGGTTCATCAAAGGCTCCCTTGAAGAACCAAGTACGAAGGAGTCTGGCGGACGACGTGCAGCTCTGGGGTCAGAAGTTAGCATACTGACGGGTGTCATACCCTCGACTGAAGCCTGCCAAGATGCCCATGGATGCGTCGATGACATCGACTGTTTTGTCGGCGTTACTGGTAACTCGTTGGGTACTTAGGTAGGTTGCGCACGCTCGTGAGGGGTGGCCAGCTGCACCAACGCCGCAACGCGTACATGGATGGGCGACGCACGCCAGCGACAAGTCCAAGCGCTTCGATCCGCACGGCGGTTCGGGTTCGCTGGGCTGTTGGCCGGAGAGAAGAGTCTGTGTCGTTAGTTGGCAGGATGCATTTACGAGCGAGAAGGGTGAGGAAGTAAACGTTGAATTGTTGGCGGAGTGCACCGTGAAGTGGTAACTAGCTTGAGACGGGTTGCGGAAGGAGCCATCCACGGCTGTTCTAGAAGGGGCGGCTGGCTACCCGTGGGCCGTAATTAGCACGTATAGGCGGGCGGGCATACCTCAGGTAATAAGTATTTACAGCCACTCCTATCACCACCACCACCATCACCAACAGGATTATCTTCGGTCGGCGGGTGTCTCACTTTCCTTCACCTCGCTGTGTAGAGTACGACGACAATTTACTACGCCTTCTCGGCTCGCATTTCGACATATTTGCTTGTCCCGCATCGTCGACACTAAGCTAAGCTATCCATACGCCTCGACGACAGCTGTGCCTCTCGTCGATAATCCTCCATCCGCGTCCCGATAAATCTGCCATGGCCTTGTGCAGCTCCCCAAAGCGCTGACACCCACCGTCTACACGTCGCCCGTCTACGTACGACCCGAGGCCATCTTCAACATCATGGCCGGCGACGGCTCGACAGGCACGATTCGATCGCAACCCGACGCGACCCCTTTCGACCGCCTGCCAGACGAGATAATCGAACAGTAAGACGCTCCGGTGCTACTCAAGACGAAGACGCCGCGCGCTAACAATGACCCGCGCTCTAGAATTCTCACGGTGGCCGACGCCAACGGCTTTGCCTCGCTCGTTCTGCTTAATCGAAAATGGCGTTCGATTGCCCAGCACGCCCACATCTATCTTCACCACCTGGCCCAGTGCCCTTCCTTTGCCGCCAACAAGACCGACCTGCCCACTGCCGATGACGATAATCTACCCGCGCTGCGTCGCCTATTCACACGCCAGGTGAAGCGCAACCTATTCGATGCATATACCCGGCCACATGAGACAATCGTCAAGCTTGTCTCAACCTCGATTAGCTCCTCATCATGCCCCGGTGGCGAGGGCATGCATTTCAGCGCTTCACCGCGCTGCCAACTGCTGCTGGCCTACAATTCGGCGCGCATCTTCGTCCTGGACGTTCGAGGCGAAGCACCCGTGGTGAATCGTGAATTCAAGGTCTCGAGAAGGCCGGTCGCTGCATCTATCAAGGATGATGGGTCGTTGCTTGCTGTGCTATCCACCGAACTACAGGTGGACCTGTACGATCTTGGCGTCTCACCACCCCGACGGAAGCAGGCCATCATACTCGACAATACCCCTCGAACGATTGCCTTGTCGCCCTGCGGCTCTGTGCTCGCGGCGGCTTACGAGGGCGGCATTGAAGTCTCGTCCATCGACGCTGGCGCCTTGCCGTCCCAGAAGCGCTCTGTCAAATGTGATCCGGTCGATTCCTTAGCCTTCTCCTACGATGGAACCCAGATCATTGGAACGACGACGCAGTCGCAACCGCCCAACACAGTCATCATCACAGCACCCTACTATGACCCTGGAAGTCTCTTGACGGACGATAGTGTCAGCTCCATGTGGACCACATCGATCCTCTTCCCCACATCGAGCCGCGATTGCAGCCACGCTGTTTTGCTCCAGGATGGAAGTGGCGAGGAAGCAAGCTGGTCGTTTGCCTATGACGGCAACTTCGAGGCGTTTCGCGCGGTACGGATAGACGACCTACGTAACGGTACGACTTACTTCACCGGCCCTGCGCCCAAGCCACACTCACAAGCCAAACTGCTCCCTTCAACCCTGCCTGGGGCCACGTACAAGGGCGACCTTGTGGCAGCAGGCCTGCATTCGCAGGAAGTTTGGGTCTATGGCGTGCCAGAGAATCTAGATGCAGTGCCTGAGCTACGTGAAGGCACGCACGGGCTGGGTCGGAATAATAGTGAGCGTAGCAGCGTCTCACGACGACTCTCCTCGCGCGGCTGCGACGCAAACGACGTGCGCCCGCCGCAGTGGCAGATCCTCTGTGATAAGCTGCGCAACACACTCGTATCTGGCGCCAAGGTAGTGGAGCTCCCCGGTGTGAGTAATGTGAAATGGGTCAGCGGTCTGTACGACGGTGCTGTTAAGGAGCGCTTGCTTGTCACGGCAAAGGGGGTCATGCCCAGGTTGATCAGTGATGAGGAGGACATTGACTTTGTGGACGGCGGTAGGATCGCTTTCCTGGATTTCGACTACAGGCTCTCCAATGGCGGGCGGACCGAGCTTAGCATAGAGGTGGGCACCGACAACGCCGAGCCCCTAGAGGAGGAGCGCCGTGACATGGAAACAGAGGTCGCCATTGTTCGACGGCGCACCGTGGCACAGCAACGCCGTGGACGCACTGCTGTGCTGCGCGCTGCTACGACAGCGCGTGACAGGCCTGGTCCTGGTGGACCACACACGCTCGGCCCCTCTTCCGAAGAGGCAGACGATGACGACCCCCTGAAGCCCAGGAAAATTGGTGCGAATCCAGTCACGAATGCGGTGGATGAATTCGCAGATGACCCTGACGTGGCCACCATCGAGGAACAGGAGGCGATGGAGTCGCCCTACGCGCACGCAAGTCCTCGATCTGCGCCAACGCTACGTCGCGCAGCTACAGCGGCTGCTGTCAATCAGAGGCTAAACCCTCGTCTCGCCGACGGTCGGCCAATCGAGTACCGCCGTGCTGATGGGCGGCGCGAGCATCCTCACGAGAGTGATGCCGACAATTGGGTTCCTCCTCCACCACCGTACCAGAAGGACGATCCTGGCGAGATGCCCAGTTTTATGCGAGGTCCAGCTGTCAAGCCGATGGAGACGCCTCTGGTGCCGGCGGTGCCCGCGGCGACCAGGTTCGACGCTCTCACCAGAGCTCGAGGCCAGCATGAGCATCGTGACGCTTTAGCAGGCTCGACTACGCGATTTGACCAGTTCGGGAATCTCAGCTCGCCATCAGCGCGACCCACGTTGCAGCACCATCGTTCAGTTAGTGATTCGACCACGGTCAGCAGACCACCTGCGGACGACACCACAGCACGGCCACGGTCAAGCCCATCAACACACGTCGACGCAGAAGATATATATGAAGTCTCGCCACCAGCGTCACCGACCGTCGACCCTCCACAGATGGCACTCACTTCCTCTGAGTCTCGACAGGCGTCGTGGTCGACGATCGGCCCAGCAGACTCAATTCACGTGGAGCCCGCCCAAACTCAGCCGGTCATTGTAGCAGAGCCTCAAGAGATTACGCCCCCCTCACCACATGAGCCTGATGAGATCGCTGGCTCGCCAACGTTGACGCTGTCAACTCCAGGATTGCCCAAGAACAATACTATGCCGCTCCCACAGTTAGCTGCTGAGCCCCGGGCTAGACGACTTTCCAACGCCCAGACATGGCCAGCGGGTCCGGGGCCAGAGGCACGGCAAGTACAACATGCGAGTGCTGTGCCTGTACCTGTTAACCCCTGGTCTGCACCGGGCCTCCAGCCTTCTACGAGTGACATGCCCATACTGCCACCAGCACCCAGTTCTGGGCAAATGGCCAGCTTGAACAAGAGGATCAGTCAGGGCAACCCTCGCAGATTGTCAGGCGGCTGGTACGGACCTCAATCAGGTGGGCAGTCGGTCAGCAATCGGCAGAGCTCCCAGTCCATGCACCGACCTCAACCAGAACTTCAGCCCTTACACACAGCCACCGCGGCAACATCCTCGTGGACTGCGCCCGAGCCACCCATGATCATCAGTACCCCTCGAGGTGTCAGCGGAGCTTTCGACCCTCCTGACCGGCAAGCTTCCACCCGCCGGACGGAGACACCTATTGTAGCGCCTGTTCCTCGCCATCCTCGTCCGGGGCCTGGCTCAAGCACGAGGCCGACAGTCGAGCGCCTAGAGACGATCTACAGCATTGCGCCTTCTACAACATCACAAACCCAGCAGCAGGCGCCGCGACGCCGTCTGTTGGCACCTTTCCGTCGCTCGCCGTCTGTCTCCCCTGGCGTGCCCGTGGGTGTGACGCGCAACGGCAGCCGCGCTGAGCGGAGTGCAGCCCTCAACATCCGTGAGGCTAAGAAGCGAGGCTGGGACCCCAGCAAATCACGAAAGAAGAAGAAGAGAAAGGATTTCGAAGCAGCAAGCAGTGCCGGGTGGACGGATGTCTCCACCACAACTGCGTTCCGCGAAAGTTTGAAGGACAAGAGATGTGTGGTTATGTGATTTTCGCTTGTCTTGTTTCCTTTTGTCTATTTTTCTTTATTGGGACTATTCAGCGATCTGGGTTTCACATGAAGCGTTCTTTGGCATAGCGATGATGCAACATATTAGCGATATCGATACTCTCGTTGGCATATGGACGCGGAGATATATATCATCATCTTACAGTACAATTAATTAGTGCGGCAATCGGAGAAAAGGAGGTGATGTACATAAACCTTGAATTCATTGGTCTAAAATCAGGAGAAACCACCAACGCCTAGGTACCATGTAAATATTTCCCCACCGTGAACCAGCATTACATGCGTCTATATGGTATACCTTGTGCAACAGAACAAGAAAAGGGGGGAAAGCTGCTAACCAGAGTAGCTTCATATCCTTTTGGGCGTGCGGGTTGTGGGGACATAGGACCTCTCACTCCCGACCCCCTCGAGGTCAGCCTGATGCATCAGATCCGAGAAGCGCGTCCGCCTGTCCTCCGCGGAGGCGTCCTGCACAACAAAACGCGGATCGGTAAAGACATTGATGCTCTCAGTGGAGTGGTTGGGCGTGGTGAGCATAATGTGCCTCGCGGTCTCGGGGTGGAGGTGGCGCGACGCGGTGGGCCGCATGGAGCGGATAGGAGCGAGCTTGGAGGAGGAGACTGTGCCCGTGCGGATGGGTTTGGAGGCGGTGGATGCGTTGGAGGGCGTCCTCGGTAGGGTGTCGCTGATGGACGGGGTGGGCGAGCCGGTGGCGAAGGCGTTGGGTATCGAGTCGTGGCGCCTCTCTTGGTGGTGGTGGTCATCACGATGATGAGGATTCGTGAGGCTGCGGCCAGACACGGACCGGCCGAGGAGACCGAGGCCGTCGACGCGTGGCGCCTTACGGGGTGTGCAGATGGGAATGTCCTCGAACGAGTCGCGCTTTGGGTAGCTGATGAAGCGAGGGTTGATGGGCTGCGTGGTGCTCATGTTGGAGGGCTGCCGGCTGTGGCCTCCTTTCGATGATGGGGCCGCCAGGGTGGAGGCGGCCATGGCTGGTTTGGATGCGGATGGGGAAGGCTTGCGGTTGCGCTTGGCATTTCGGCGGACGCAGATGAAGAGGATGACGGCTAGGATGACGAGGATGCCACAGGCGCCCACGACACCGCCGACTATGGCGGTGATGTCCGGGCCGCCGTCCTTTTTGTCGTTGCCCTCCTCTGCCTCGTCACTGGTTGAGGTCGGCTTTGAAGACGCAGTTTTGGTGTCTGTAGGCTCTGAAGTTGGGTCGGCAGTTGGTGATGTGGCTCCTGTTGTTGTGGAGGAGCTTTTGTCGTCGTCTTGCTGCTTCTTCTTGGGCTTTTCCGACTGGTCCTTGTTCATCCGACATTCATTGCCGTCGTCCCCTTTTTCGCAGCTGAAGCCGTACGGACAGCAGTGGTTATCACCGCACTTCTCCAGCGGCACATCGAAGACGGTCGTCTTGAGGGGGATGCGAAAGTCCTTTTCCGCGTCCTGCCCGCTAAGGTTGCAAGTAATGGGCGCCATGCCTTCGCAATTACTGCCCTCGGGACAGCAGAGGGCGGTAGTGCCGCCGGCGAGCGAGAGACATTTCGTGTTTTCTTGGCAGCAGAAGTAATCTGGGAAGTCGTTGCCGCATGACTCGAAGCCATCGGCTGAGCAGCTCTGTTGACGAGCAAAGAGCGATGCCCCCGGTATGGCGGACGATGTTGTCGAGGTTATGAGTGTGAGTAGCAGTAGGCCCACTGATGGTGTTGATGGCCGTAGCATTTTGCGGTGTCCTCTTGCTGTTTGGATCTGATGAGATGGCGTGCGGAGTTGTGAGGTTGGTGGTATGGGCTATGCCCGTGCGTATCGTTTCCTAGTACTAGGTAGATTGAGGTTGGTTCGATCAATATGCAGGTCGAGCACGATTGCACTTGGTCCCGCCAAAGGCGAGGAACCAACAGTATAAAGGAGGGAGGTGGGTGGCCCAGATGCGTTGGTCTTCACGAACAAGGGCGAACCAGCGCGCTGTTCTTCGTTTCTGGCGATTTGTTTTCTTTTTGTTCGAAGACGAATTGTTCAAGGCGACAGAACGACAGCGCACATGAGAGAATCACTAGTGAATCAGACAAAGGAGATAGACGAGTGTAAGGAAATGACAAAGAGAGGAGAGAGAGAGAGAGAGAGAGAGCATTGACTGGTGGAAGAGTGCGTGTTTCCCACGGCAGTGAAGAGGTCTCATCTCAGTCCATCACTGATCGTGGCTTCGGGATGCCGCACATGCGACCAGGCCAGTAGCCGCCGACACCATCAGGTTTTGCCCCGTCATTCATTCACTGCGGTCCTCTCGATGGACGGAGATAGAGGTACTAGACTCATTGCTACGCGGCGGAAGGACTCCACGAAGGCCACTGGGCAGGCCATGGCGAAGGGACTCTGCTACGCGACTGGCAACGGTGGTTGTCGCGGTAGACGCCAGGTGAGGTCGAGATGATAGGCCATGGAGAGATCCTGGCGGTTAGGCACTGATTGGGCGGTTGCAGTGTCCGGGCTGGAAGCGTGCGGCGCCAATCATGTCGCCTGGGCTGTCGTGGGTCCAGCGCAACAGACGCTGGCTGCCTGTGTCCTCTTGCTAGGCATGATGATTATTTTCATCCGAGTTGATGAAAGAGAACCAGCGACTCGGCGACTCAGCGGACGGAATGAGGGATACGGGCAGTGTGCTTGGTGGGTTGACCAATCAGATCAGTGTTTCTTGTCTGGATTAGCGTCATTCTTCAGGCCTGTGTTTCAAATACGTACCCTACAGCAGGGTCCTTGTCTTACGATGAACTGAACAACTTGCACAATCGGCCCCTGCTCATAAGGTACGTCATCTCAAGAAGCTAAAGACAATTTACAAAAGAACGGATACTGAACCCTCAATTGTCCCCTCTATACCTCCCAGGCCTCCAGCTCATACGGCCGACCACCTGGCAGTCTCAGCCAGCCTCCCCAGCCCCCACGAGATCACAAGACCATTGTCCAAAATGCCTCTCCCTTTCATCGTCACCTATCAAGTGAATTTCCAAGCCTTTGACCAAGACCAAAAACATGGCAGAGAGAGGGGCTGGCATAGTGGCACTACACACTTGGGTCATTTGACTCACGTGCCACTCTGGCGGTGAGGCTTCCTTTCCCCACGATGACTCTTGCTCGCAGGGCAGGCAGGACATTTAGACCCATGCTCGAGAGGGCGTGTGTTGAGTATCAGAATATTCCTGCACTGTATCGTAAAAGAGAGTCCAGAAAGTCCATTCTGAAGAGAGGATACTGCGCTGGACATTGTGCACCTTTTTTTTCCCGGGAAGTGCTCTCCCACATTCATGCCGGCACCCAACACCTGGTGTCGTGTAAGTCAAAGTTGGACGTGAATGCCACTACAGACCGTTGCAATGCAGTGTACCACGGACTTCCTATAGCAGTAACATTTCCGTGGGACATATGCTGGCAAAAAAGAGGACAAGGCAGGGACCTTGCAGTCGTATGCTGCCCTGCTACGTCGCACAGCGTCCTGGAGTCGCAGTGCAGCTCGACGCGCCCTCAGCATGCCCAACGACCTCTAGGAAGAGCCCGCCGACACTGCTCGTAGCCCAAAGTCTGTCTGTACTTCACAAAAGGCAGCAGAGGATAATGTGGTTATCGGTATTGGTGGGGTATATTGTTTCGCCTCCCTATATCCTAGCTATGGAAGATTGTTTCCCAGAGGCATCCAGCCTCCCTCGCCCAGCCCGGAGCGGGAAAAAGTGAAAATGCACCGCTCTCAGAGCCCAAGGTGTCCGTCCCAAAAGAAAATGCAAACCCGAAGGAACCCAAAAACCTGCGCGAGTCCGGTGTTGTCCGCGACTCGGCCTCCTGTGCGCCATGTACGCCTTTCGTCCCTCTCTCGGAGAGTGCCCATGGTATGTGTGTGTATATGGAGAAGAAAATGCCCAGTCCAGCGGGTGACAATGTCCCGCATGCAGAAATGATGAAAAAGAAAACCCGTCGTTCTTCCGTTCCCACGTAGCCCATCAAGAGTGTTGTCGTCGCGTCTCTCAGTCCTCTTTAATCATTGGTGAAAGTTCCCCCGTTTCGCCTCCGCTGGCCTTGCGGCGTCCTCTAAAGCCCAGCCCAGTAGGTATCATATGCGTAAATGCAAGAAGAATAGAAATCAAAAAGAAGAAGAAGAAGAATAGAAAGGAAGACGACCCTTAGATCATGAGGAAATCCCAGCCCTTGGAGCGCATCACATCTCGCCAGTGGACGTGCGAAGAGTGACCATCCGAGGCATTGGACCCAGGCGTGCTCGCCATGGATGTGATATCGTTCTGCAACCACGTCTCACGAAGCACGGCGCTCATGCGACCGAATGAGCCGCAAGTGGCCGCAGCACCGAGCTGACTGACGCGGTCATCAAAGAAGGCGCGGAAGCTGCTGTTGGGCAGGCTGATGGAGCCGCCCATGAGGTAGACCCAGGTCATGCTTCGGTCGTAGCCATTGGGGCCCGAGGGGATAGTCTCGAGCACCTCGGTCAGCTTCTCGACCAGGTTCATGGGCGAGTGCTGGTGGGGGCTGAAGCCTGGCACGAGGCTGCACAGGTAGATGCGCGCCGCGGTGCGGAAGGCCGTGGTCATGTTCTTGGACAGCTGCTTGGGCGAGAGGCTACCGTTGGCGTTAAAGGGCAGCTTGGGCACCTCGACGCCCATCTCAGTGAGGCTGATCTGCTCGCCGAGGCACGAGACGTGCTGGCAGAGGGAGAAGTCGTTCAGCATGCCCGCCGCCTTGAGAGACTCGAGGCAGGCAATCTCCGAGATGAGGTACATGACGCGGTCCTCGCACCCCATGAGCTCACGCAGGCCCAGGTGGTGGTTGACTTGCGACAGGTGCTTCTCGCGATAGGTGTGCGCAAAGGTGGGCGAGACACCCTGCATGGACGCTCCGAGGATGTCGATCCAAGCGGTGAGGGTCATGTTGAAAGGTGTCTGGGCCATCTGCTGCACAGGGTCCGAGACCATCTGTGTAAGGCCGAGCTTCTGCACCAGGTTGATGGCCGCTTGGAAGTGCTGGTGCCAGGGGATGTCGAGCAGGCCATCGTCCGATCGGCCCACGACGCACTGGAAGAAGATGAGGGCCAGTGTGGCCTCCAGGATCTGCTGGTGGTTCTCGTCGCGCTTGAGGGCCTCGCAGAGCGACCAGATGGTGGCGTACCGATGGCGCATAATGTCCTCGTCAATCTCCTCGCTCACGGCGTTGACTTGGCCTTTGAGGTGCTGGGCGGCAATGCTCAGGCAGCAGTGAAGGTAGACCTTGTTTGATTGCAAGGCTGGGAGAACCAAGTCGGAGCCGACCGAGCCATGCTGGTTCGATTCGAGAATGGGGAACAGGGTGGGGAGAACAGCCTGGATGAAGTGGTCGAACAGGCGCTGGTCGTTCTCCTCGAGTTCAATCTTGGCATCAGTGGAGGTGTTGTGGGCAAAGTCAAAGAAATTGACATTGAGGGCCTCTTCTGATAGCGACTCTTTCCGCTCATGGCGAGTGTGCTCAGTCCAGCCACTCTCGAGAGGGTCACACTGCAGAGCTGTGCCTGGTGGTGGTGGTGTCTGGAATGTGCTGAACGTGGAGACATGCGACTCCTTCATGGTGGGCACATTGTCGACAAACATCTGCCTCTCTGTCTTGACGTCAATCTCGTAGGGCGAGAACTGGCCCTGGGCAAAGATGAACTCGGGCGGTAGTTGCGAGTTGTAGGCGCCATAGTGCCCGACGGACGGAGGGGTGTTGAAGTTGAAGCCGTTGGAGAAGTGGGAGTCGATGGAAGCCGAGCGGTTGCGGTCCAATGGGTCTGTGCCCGAGGCCGAGGTGGGCAGTGAGTGTGACAGGCCGGGAGGGGAGCTCATGGAGGTCGAGATGGAGTGCGCCGACTTCTCGGAGAGCTTCTTGCGCTTGATGATGTTCTTGATGTCCTCCTTGTGCTGGCGGCGGGCATCGTTGTTACTCCACCAGATCGGTCGCTTGTACTCGCATTGGAGACCGAGATGCTTGCAAGCGGTGCACATGGGGTTCCCCTCATCGCACTTCTTTCGTCGCAACCTGCAAGTGTAGCAGCCTAGACAGTGGCACAGTCAGCTTCCAGTTCATGAGCCTTCTCGGGTAGGGCGTGTGGTCCCCGAGGGGGACCCGCGTATAAGTGATGAAGAGAGTGTACGAACCTGTTCTTGAGCGACGGTGCATCTGTGACTTTGACTTTGCGCTGTTGTTGGCAGCACCAGTGCAGGTGTCGCCTTTGGTAGCGCTTTTGGCATTGCCAGTCTTGGAGGCCATCTTGGCCTTTGCAGACTGCGCAACAGCCATGTTGGCAACGGGTCCAGAAGCTCTGATTGTCGTGGCTTTGCGATGGCTGGGGGGCATGGTTGACATTTGTATGATAGCTCTGCTTCTTCTGCGGGCCTGCAGGACCGGACTCGAAGGAACCTCCCGAATCGAGTACTTGGGGTGGGCGTGTGTATGGGGGAGATTTGAGAAGAGGGGGGGCGTGCGGTACTGTGTGGTCGAGAGTGGCACACTGTACTGTGGAGTCGACAAGGAGCGGGAGCAAAAGGTGCTAGAGTTGCTGGGGTTCGCCGCCAGTCGACAGGGGGCTCGCGCACGTAGCCAAGAGGAGGAGGACCGCGAGGGAAAGCAGACTCAGAGGTCGAGGACAGCCAGTGCCGTGTCCTTGACTGTTGAGTGGCGGGGTGGCTGAGGTGACGAGTGATATTAGGAAATTAAAATTGTCGGTCGTTGGGATCTGCTCCTCGTCTGAGCAGCTGACGACTGACTGAACGCAGTCAAATGGTATAGCAGGGCGAGTTGTCGTATCAAACGGCTCGTGGGGTCCAGCCTGCTGCGAAACAAATGTGTCCTGACTAGTGCCGAGGACTCTGTTGTGGTAGTGAATGAGTGGATGTCTGGTTCCAGGTGAACAAGTCCAGCTTGTCTTTTTGGCGGTGGAACAGAGAGGATGGTCTTGGGGGGGCGGCGGGTAGGAAGGTAAAAGGGGAATAAAAAAAGAGGAAGAGGCGACGACGACACCACAGAACTCCTCACCTTGCACGATACGTTGCGAGAAGGAAAAGAGGGCA